GGATTGATGCGCGTCAAGGTCAAGCTGCAGATTGCGTTCCCCCACATCGAGCGCGTGGACGTCTGCTTCCTGGAAAAGCCCGAACTCGACTACGTCTGCAAGCCCCTCGGTGGTGATACCCTTGGATTCGATATCAACTTCATTCCCGGTCTGGAGTCCTTCATCAAGGACCAGATTCACGCCAACTTGGGACCCATGATGTACGATCCGAACGTGTTTCCGATTGAGATTGCCAAGATGCTTGCTGGAAACCCTGTCGATCAGGCTATTGGTGTGGTCGCGATTACTCTGCACGGTGCTCAACAGCTCAAGAATCCCGATAAGTTCTCTGGCACTCCTGATCCGTATGCCGTGGTATCTTTGAACAACCGTAATGAGCTCGGCCGTACCAAGGTCATCCACGATACCGACAACCCCCGCTGGAATGAGACCATTTACGTTATTATCAACTCCTTCAGTGACGCATTGTCTATTGCCGCATACGACTGGAACGAGTACCGCAAGGATAAGGAAATGGGCGTTGCTAGCTTTGCATTGGATAAACTCGAGCAGGAACCTTCCCACGAAGGTATCTATCTGGAAGTGCAGGCGAGTGGTCGCCACCGCGGTGCCATCCAAGCCGATATTCGCTTCTTCCCCGTTCTCGAGGGACGAAAGAACGATGCTGGCGAGCCTGAGCCTGCCCCTGAACTCAACACTGGTATCGCTCAGTTCACCGTGGAACAGGCCAAGGATCTCGACGGAAGCAAGAGTCTGGTTGGCAAGCTGAACCCTTACGGTGTCCTTCTTCTCAACGGAAAGGAAATTCACATTACGAAAAAGCTCAAGCGCACCAACAATCCCATTTTCCAGAATGCCTCCAAGGAGTTCCTCGTCACAGACCGAAAGAGCGCTCGTTTGGGCCTTATTCTCAAGGACGACCGCGACATCATGCAGGATCCCATTATCGGCCGCTATCAGATTAAGATGAACGACATGCTGAAGATGATGGAGCGTGGCCAGCAATGGTTCCATCTCCACGGTGCCAAGGACGGCCGTGTCAAGCTGACTCTCCAGTGGAAGCCCGTCGCTCTGGGAGGCATTGGCAGCGCTGGCTACATTGACCCCATTGGTGTCATGCGTTTCCACTTCAAGCGTGCGACTAACCTGCGCAACCTCGAAGCTATGGGCAAGTCCGATCCTTACGCTCGCGTGCTGCTTTCCGGTCTCACTCGTGGCCGCACGGTCACCTTCCGCAACAACCTCAACCCCGAATGGGACGAGGTCGTCTACGTTCCTATTCGCAGCGCCCGCGAGAAGCTGACCGTCGAGGTCATGGACGAGGAGACTATCAACAAGGACCGAACTCTTGGTTGGTGCGACCTCAGTGCCTCCGACTTCGTCCGCGAGACGGAGACCGGTGAATATGAGATCGACGACGAGAAGCAGGAGATCGTCAGCAACCTGAAGATTAGCGGCGGCTCTCCCAAGGGAGAACTCCACTATACTGTTGCCTTCTACCCGTCCGTGCCGGTCGTCAACCCCGAGGACGAAGTTGAGGAAGATGAATCCTCAGAGCTCCCTGTCACTCCAGGTCCGGATTCCACCGAATTCCCGAAGGGCATCGAATCCAAGCCCAAGACTTTGCACTCGAAGTCTGCTAGCGTTGATTCCAAGGCTTCGAAGGCCTCCAAGGCTCTGTCCAATGGCGCTGCACCCATCACCAACGGAACTACCAATGGCGAGTTGGCTACCAATGGCCGCACCAGTCTGGAAACCACTACGTCCCGCCCAATGACTGCTACCCTGTCTGAGACCGCGTCTCTTCGTTCGGTCAAGTCCATTCCCCGCACTTTCGTTAGTGCCGATGATCTCCCTAAATATGGTATGTCATGTTTCGATCTTGAAAGCAATAGTACAAAGCTAATTGAGGATAGAATCCGGTTTCATTGTGTTCAAGTTCCACGAGGGCCAGCTGGCCGTTCCCCATGTCCAGTTGGAAGTCTTGATGGACGATTACATGTTCCCCTCATATGTCTCATCTAAGATTCACACCACTACTGCCAAGTTCACTGACGTGGGTGAGGCATTTGTTCGCGAGCTCGAATTCTCGAAGATCACGTTGCGTCTAGTTAACAAGGATGACCCCAAGGACTCCAGCGAGGAGCACACAGTCGCCAAGCTGACTGGTGACACGCTGCCTACACTCATGCGTATGCTGTATACTCCCACCGAGCTCGTGCTCCGCTCCAATTCTGGTGAGGTGAGCAAGGTCACTGTCAGCGCCCGGTACATTCCGACAGAAATGAAGCTCGACCCCAAAGAGAGCATCAACAACATGGGTACCCTGCGCGTTGACGTCCACGATGCCGCCGAGCTTCCCGCGGCCGACCGCAACGGATTCAGCGATCCCTTCTGCAAGTTCCGCATGGGCGACGAGACTGTATTCAAGACCAAGGTCCAGAAGAAGACCCTGCACCCGGCCTGGAACGAGTACTTTGAGACCCCCATCAAATCCCGCATTGGTGCCAACTTCCGTGTGGACGTGTACGACTGGGACTTTGGCGACAAGGCTGACTTCCTCGGCGCCACACCAATCGACCTGGAATCCCTGGAACCCTTCCAAGCCAAGGAAGTCACCCTGCCCCTCGATGGTAAATCAGGCGCCATCCGTCTGAGCCTGCTCTTCAAACCTACCTATGTGGTCCGCGCCCGCCAAGGTTCCTCCACTTTCTCCGGTACCTTTGCCGTCCCCGGTAAGATCGTCGGCGCTCCCGTCAAGGGCGTGGGCTTCGTCGGTGGCAACGTCATCCGCGGTGCCTCCTTCCTCAAGCATGGCCTCATGTCGCGCATCCACAAAGAGAAAGGCGAAGATGCCGCGTCGATCATGAGCAACATTGAGGAACCTGAGCCCGCCAGGGGCGACCGTCTCACCCCAGCCGCCTCCCTTGTCGATGGGCCCAGCGGCACTGGCTCCTCTTCCCCCACACCCCGCAGAAGGAACACAGCCGCAACCGCAGCACCGCCTCTCAGTTCGGAGACCGCCTTAGCGTCTTCGGTGGCGGCGGCTCCGGCGAGAAGGGTTCCGCCAACATCACCATCGTTTCCGCTGCCAACTTCCCCACCGATAGCAACCTGCGTGTCATCATCCGTGCCCAGGGATCCAAGGGCGCCAAGGAAGTCCACAAGACCAAGGCGCATAAGAACTCTGCCGGCACAGTCACCTACGACGATTCCTTCCGCGTCCCGAACACCACGGCCGACGCCCAGTACCAGGTCCGCGTGGTGGACCACGCTACCTTTGGTTCGGACGACGTCCTTGGCGAATCACCATTCTTTGTTGACGACCAGGGTTCCGTCGCTGGCCAGGACAAGATTCTTACCGTTGGCGACGGTGTGGTCACCATCCGTTCCAGCTTTGCCCTTTCCGATGCTGGGTTGAGACCCACTACGTCTCACTCGACGGCAGGCGCCCCCGATGCTGAGGGTGCCGGTAGTCCCGATTCGAGAAAGATGCCCCGTCGCAGCTTCTTGAGCAAGAGATCTGTCAGCGGTGTTTAATTCCGCTTCTATCGGGTTTGGACTTGCTTTGCCTGTTTAGGTTGAAGAGTATATGAAAATACGAACTGCGTGCGCTTTGTTATCAATTGGGTTCTATTTCTTTTTGTGTTATGATATCCTTCCTTTTTTTTTTTTTCTCTTTATCAATATGAAATCAATTGTTGAGATGGTGTTCGAACTTGAGACACAATGGAAATAGCCGAGTAAAAATAGTCGATAGTTGACGCCACACTAAAAACCCTGAACCCTCCAGTCTATGGCCGCCGACTGATGTCTCAGTTTGGAATCTTTCAGGGGCCCAAGAGGTCTTGTTCTCATGAATAGAATTGCATTCTCTCGGGCTTAAATTAAAAATTTGCCTCTCAGGTTTTTCAAACTTTGTGCGCACAGCCCTGATCTGCGTTTTTTTCTGCTTAGGCCTCTTTGTCCAAGATTCCAAGTTGGAACCCTTGCTGTGAACGGGGAGTATATGTAGAAGGTACATGGTACAACATACAATCTAGTGTCCCGTAGAGATGTCAAATTTTTACAGATTATTTTTAGATTATATTAAACCTCATTTGAGAAAGGAACAGGCACGGTGGAGTCTATAATTTGTGTGTCCCACTTGGACCGGAATTTGATATACAAGAGCTGTGAGCTGTGAGCTGTTCGGAATGGGCAATTCTATCTGTGCCTGATGTAAGTACCCTGGTCCATTTTCGTGGGAAGAGTACAGAGTACACAAAGACTATACATGTAGATACAAGTCAGATGCACACACTTCTAAACATCGACGAGCACGACATGGAAAGTTGGCCATTCCACCTGAAAGTGAAACAGGGAAAAGGAGAGCTTGTATTATGGTGGGGCTGAATGTTGGTAGGGACTAGAGAGGGAAAAGGGGTCTGGACTTGTGTACTCCGAGACTTAGGGGTCTAAGAGTACTACGATGGCAATTCTGTAGAACGCATCTCTGTCCTTGTGCTGGTTCCGGAGATACTTGGGAGTGGCTGGGGAGGAAGGATGGAGATACGAGAACAGAGAACAGAGTCGAGTGAAGTGAGTCGAGTGAAGTGATAGAAGAGCACAAAAATACGGAGTGATCATTTTAATTAGTCCCTCTATCCTGAGATAACTCCATCTGGCCCTACAAATACCCAAAACAACAGAAATAGCAAATAATCACGGGGTCTTTGCTCCCCCACTCGATCGTCCTTCACCCTTTTTCCCTTTCTCTCTCTCTTATAACTCTGGGACATCTTCCTCTTTTCCCTTCTTCATCTGAATTGATCTGTAAGTGTATACCCTATGACGGCAACTTGACATTCAAGTGGCAACCCCTCCTTGGAGAGCTGGAGCTCCTGAAACGGCGCCACGTTTCCCTCTGTTTCCTTGAATCTGCCACTGACCTCATATCCCTTGTTAAAACAGCCAGTTCCCACTGAATTCACCCCCCCATATCCTACACATAACTCATAATGGCCTCCAAGGCTCTTCCCACTCACCTTCGGGCCCCTGCCGAGAGCGAGGCTTTCGGTGGAAAGCACCATGGCAAGTCCCAGTCGCACATGGTAAGTTCACTTGGAGTGAAGTTCGAGTTGAGAACCTGGGAGCATCGTTCCTTCCATTTGGGCTGTTCTATTTGGGCCGTTCCTGCTATTTTGGGTTTGTGTTGATGCTTGGGCTGCTGGATTTCGCGTTCGGACACTGGAACCTCTTTTTCTTCCCCTGCATACACTGTTATCCCTCTATTTGTTCCCCCAATCTCACTGTATTTTGGGAGCCCCTCTTTCAAGTGCTGGTCTATTCCTCTCTTTTACTATGGCTACCTTGGCCCCTCCATTTGGCCCAGAGCTAACCCGTGAAACCTCCCACCAGGCTTTCGAGAATGCATCCACTAGCGTCGCCGCCTCACAAATGCGCAATGCCCTGAACGCCCTCGGTGACAGCGTCACCGACCCCAAGGAGAAGAAGCGTTTCGAGGCTGAGATGGATAACTTCTTCGCCTTGTTCCGCCGTTTCCTGAACGACAAGGCCAAGGGCAACGCCGTCAACTGGGATAAAATCGCCCCTCCCCAGCCTTCCCAGGTTGTTGGCTACGATGATCTGGGTGCCGACGCCTCCGTCGAGTTCCTGAACAAGCTGGCCGTTGTCAAGCTGAACGGTGGTCTCGGTACCTCCATGGGTTGCGTTGGTCCCAAATCCGTCATTGAGGTCCGTGAGGGCATGTCCTTCCTCGATCTCTCCGTGCGCCAGATTGAGCACCTGAACCGAAGCTTCAACGTCAACGTGCCTTTCGTCCTCATGAACTCCTTCAACACCGATCAGGATACCCAGTCCATTATCAAGAAGTACGAGGGCCACAACGTCGACATCATCACATTCAACCAGTCGCGCTACCCCCGCATCATCAAGGACTCCCTCCTGCCCGCCCCTAAGAGCTTCGACTCCCCCTCCAGGACTGGTACCCTCCCGGACACGGTGACGTTTTCGAGTCCCTGTACAACTCCGGCACTCTCGACAAGCTGATTGAGCGTGGCATCGAGTACATCTTCTTGTCCAACGCCGACAACCTCGGTGCCGTCGTTGATCTCCGCATCCTCCAGCACATGGTTGACTCCAAGGCCGAGTACATCATGGAGTTGACTGACAAGACCAAGGCTGACGTCAAGGGTGGTACCATTATTGATTCCGACGGCAAGGTCCGCTTGCTCGAGATCGCCCAGGTGCCCAAGGAGCACGTCAACGAGTTCAAGTCCATCAAGAAGTTCAAGTACTTCAACACCAACAACATCTGGCTGAATGTCCAGGCTATTAAGCGGGTCGTTGAGGAGAACGAGTTGGAGATGGAGATCATCCCCAACGAGAAGTCCATTCCCGCCGATAAGAAGGGTGAGGCCGATCAGGCTATCTACCAGCTGGAGACCGCCGTCGGTGCGGCCATCCGCCACTTCAAAAACGCCCACGGTGTCAACGTGCCCCGTCGTCGCTTCTTGCCTGTCAAGACCTGCTCCGATCTGCTGGTCGTCAAGTCTGATCTCTACCGTCTCGAGCACGGCCAGCTGGTCATGGACCCCAACCGTTTCGGTGGTGTCCCCGTGATCAAGCTCGGTTCCGACTTCAAGAAGGTTTCTGATTTCCAGAAGCGCATTTCCAGTATTCCTCGCATTGTCGAGCTGGATCACCTCACGATCACTGGTCCTGTTAATCTTGGCCGCAACGTCACTCTCAAGGGAACTGTCATCATTGTCGCGTCCGAGGGCAGCACCATTGACATTCCTCCTGGATCCGTTCTTGAGAACTGCGTTGTGCAGGGTAGCCTGAGAATCCTCGAGCACTAGATGTTTTGGCCGAGCTGTTTTGGTCTGATTCTTGCCTTCACCGATCTCTCGCGGTGTTTTGATTTTCTTTTAACTGGTGCATCCGAGGCTATGGATTCCATGGAGTATGCAAAAGAAGTACTTGTATTACATTACAATAATCCAGCGTCTTTTTTTCTTTCTTTCTTATTGGGTTTTTAGTCTAGACCTGACTTTGTTTCCTAAGTACTGTGATTGTTGCTCGAGTTCTCAATGCATACCAGTTATCTGTTCAGCCTTCTATTTGTAGCTGTATACATGTAGCCTCTCTCGGCCGTGTCTTCCATTACCAGCTTGGTATATTCCCTCAGAGATGAATGTAATAACCCGCTCAACTCGACCCCAACATGAAATTCCCCCATTCCCGCCATTGCCTTGGGGCAAATTAACTCCCACGATCATAGGCGGGTGAAAGTTCCCCATGAGATCTTCGCAACGTCATTGGCGGCAAGCCCATTTGCCCTAAACCGGGATCAACAAGTAAATCGTACACTTCCAAACAGGATATACCTTACACGATGAATTCTTGATCTTGTACAGTTTCAAGTTTGCTTTTTGTATATTGCAAGTACATATTCGACTGTATATCTCGTCTTACATATTGTTTCTTTCTTACATACGCTTGTCACATATTTGATCGGTTCTTGTCTATATATCTGATATTTCACTACATTTTACATTTTATATCTTACATTAAAAGAAACCGCAGAAGAAAGCAAGGCGGAGTTTATCTGCTCATGTCGGAATATGAGTAGCCATCCACGTCGTCTTGTACCAGGTCCCTCGCCTGAGAATGACCATGAGGAAAACTACCATGAACACAACACTGAGAATGGTAGTCCGCCCACCGAGGGTGGGAGAGGTGCTGGTACATGGAAGAAGAGGGTTTCGACTGCTTGTCTGGCTTGTAAGAAGTCAAAGAGGAAGGTGAGATTATTATACACTTACTATACCTATTCTACACATCTATATTATATCCACATTCATCCCATATCCAATCTAACACAAACCCAGTGCTCCGGCACATCCCCTTGTGCAAACTGCCAAACCTTCAAACGAGTCTGCATCTTCGACGAATCCCTTGACCAACGCCGACGTGTAGCCGCGAAACGAACAGCGGATGAACTCTCCTACCACCGCGACCTCCTCTCGGATCTCTTCAAGCTGGTCCGCGAAGCAACCGAACAAGACGCCCTGCACCTCCTGACAATCATCCGCCACAATGCCCCCGCAGATGAAATCCGCGGTTATATAAACGAAACTCTGGCTTCAATTACCGAGTCTACATCTAGCTCGACATCTACAGCTGTCAAGCAGGAGACTGTCGCGAAGCTGGAAGATATGCGCCAGCTCATCAATGTCGAGGGTACGGGTCCTACTTTCCGGAGGAAGGTTATGGATATCCATTACCTGTGTGACTCGGCGCCTTGTGAGGTGCCTGCGGCGCCGTGGACGAGGGTTACGGCTGATGCGGATCTGGTGTCGCATCTTGTGTCGTTGTATTTTGCGTGGGATTGGCCGTTTAGTGCGGTTTTGGAGAAGGAGGTTTTTGTGAAGCATATGGCCAAGGGTGTGTTGGGGTCTGAGTTTTGTAGCCCGTTTTTGGTTAATGCGGTGCTCAGTAATGCTTGTGTGAGTGTTTCTTTTTTTCTGTTTTGTTCTTTGGTTTTTTGCCTTTGGGGAACGAAGGCTTGGTGTTGGTTCGGTCTGCTGATTGTTTGTTTAGTACTTCTCTGAATTCTCCGAGGCTTATGTGGTTCCTGGGGATATCTCTTCGAAAGGAAGTGATTTCCTTGCTGAGGCAGAGAGACTGAGGGGTGAGGAGAGTTCGCAGCCCAGTTTGGCCAGTTTGCAGGGGACGTTGTTGATGTATGAGAGGTTCGTATGAACATTGTTGCGCTGATGATTCGAGGCTGTTCTGATATGGACAGATATGCGATGTCCCGCGAGGACGATCTGGGATATATTATGCTGCACGAGGCCATCCGCATGGGCGAGGCATTGGGGTTGGTCGGCAGCACAGGACCTAGAATGGCTTCGGGTGAGTTATCCCATGACATGGATATCTCATGCAAGCGCACAGCCTGGGGTTTATTCAACGTCGACACGTAAGTGAACCCTGCTAACACTCACCATTCGAACTCACATTCACATTCTCATCCAGAATGGTCCACACGTCTTTCCTCCGCCCAAGTCTCATCGACCACGTCAACATGGCCCGGCTCGATATCAATAAGCCCGAAGACAAAGCCCTCTGGCACCCATACCCAACCCATCGCGACCCGCGCCCGTCATTCTTCAGCCAGTACTTTGATGAAGCATGCAACCTGTCGACCATTGCGCGCGATATCTCGCGCAGCATGTTTGCAGATCACAGGAGCAATCCCGCCCTCGGTCCAATCCATCACCAGAGTCGCGAGGATCTATATGACCGAATCCGTCGCTGGCATGACCTTCTCCCAGAGGACTTTGATGTGCGGTACAGACCCGCTCCGCATATCATCTTACTGAAGTGAGTGACCTTTCCAGAATGACCCGATTTCGCAAATATTCATATCACGCAGAATGCGCTACCACGCCCTCATCATAAATCTGTTCAGCTGCATCTCCGAAGATGAAGTCCCGCCCATACAATTCGAGCCTAAAACACCCGAAAGCCCGCCCCGGCACACCCCCGAGAGAAAATACAACGCGCGGGAAGTTACTCAAAGCGCGGCGCGTGGCATCGCATCCCTAACGCGGTTGCACAGACGCGAGTTCGGGGTTAGTCGGGCGCATCAGTTCGCTATGTACGCGATCAACTTGGCACTGTTTACGATGCTCGAGCAGGAGTCGTTTGATGTGCTGGATGAGGATTTCCTCACTCTTGCGAGTGCGTTCTCTATCGTTGCGAGTCGATCTGCGCTAGGGAGAAATCTGTTTCATATTTTCCGGCAATCTGTTCGGGCCAAGGCGCAGGGGTATCGGATTCGGGAGGCGAGTTCTGTGCCTGATGAGTTGAGGGAGTTGTTTGATGAGGAGTCGAAGGCCAGAGGGTGTAGTCGATTTGATGAATATGCTGATGGGCTTGAGAAGTTGAATCAGAAGGATAAGTATCATGGAATTGGAGAGGGAAATGGGAAAGGATTGCAGGATTATCCTGGTCTTGGACTTTCGGATATGCTGGATCGATATGAGAGTCTTAGTCTTGGCAAGGACGATGTTTTGGTCGACAGATATCGACCTGTTGGGTGTTGAAAGAAAGGTATATGTCATCGTCACCGTCGTCATATGTCCCCTTATAGAGTGGCGATAGTATTGTATGGATTTGCTCCATATACATCGACTCAGATGGGTACTGACAAGTCATAGCAGTCATCCCAAATGGATAACTCCAATGACCAGGGGTTGGAGAGATCGAGATATTGTCTGACGTCAAATCGGCACTTGTATCCCCACCAAAGTGGCAATGGGAATATCATCTCCATCTTGGTCTTTTTTAATGCCAATGATGTTACAAAGCAGACGGGGGAAACCAGCCCGCTGCTTTACTTTCGAGAAACACTTTTTGCCATGATTCCGCCTTTCTGGCCAACCTTCATCCCCTCTACCTTCCATGTATATATATATACACACATGTGCATATTTACATTCATGTGAAATCGTTAAAGCATGGACCCAACGTTTGAATACAATTGGACACCTTTAGATGCAGCACCTGTATCTCATCCATATCCCACACCTATCCCCTTGTCGCCAACTCAAGTCCCCGCCCAGGGCTTTCAGTATATACCTGCTCAATCAACCTATGGATCAGGAAGTACGCCAAAGGTAGCCATTCCTCGCCTAGCCAGTTCTGACGCCTTGCTACACGGGCGCCGACGATCAGCACGGGCTTGTGAGCCTTGTCGCCAGCGCAAGATCAAGTGTGACGGTATCCGGCCGTTGTGCGGACAGTGTGTCTATCACAACCACACATGCTCCTACGAGGATGTCAAACGAGTGCGCGATCAAAAAAGACTAGGCTCTTTAGTCAAGCGAGTGGATACATACGAAGCTCTTCTTCGAGACCTAGAAGTCGAGGCAGACCCTCCCACAGCTCGAAAGATCAAAAAAGCATTGAAGGTATGTCGGTTCATGACCCAAGTCCCTCCCCCCAACCGGAGATTTGGATCTTTTGGTTCGAGTCTCGATTTCAGACTCTGACCCTTTGCCATTTGGCAAATTAAGCCCCAAACCGGGAATTCCTCTAGCAAAGATGTTGATGACTCCGATGATTCCTCGACTTCTATGGGCTCACTCGATGCAATTGACCAGGTTGACGAAGATTTGGATCAGAACGAAGACACCCGTGCCGCGGGTTTCTTCGGGAAGAATTCAGAAGTCAACTGGATTCGCAAACTGGAGAGCGGCGTGGGTATGAAGAGTCCACGGGAGCATCTATCAAATCATTTCCACAAGCAGAGTCAGCGTGATCCAGTGGCTATTCAGCAGCTGCAGCAGTCATTGGAAAGGCAAATTCCCACGTCTATGATGGATTATCATCTCGACGGATTAGATATCCCGTTGATTGAACCATGCAACCCATTAACAGTGCCTCCACGGGACTTGGCAGATCGATACTTACATGCCTACCTGATCAACGTCCATCCGACATTCAGCGCAATTCGGAAGATGACTTTTATTTCTCAGTATCATCAATTCTTCAACAATGCATCGACACCACCCCGGAAATGGCTAGCTGTTTTGAACATGATCTTCGCTATTGGTTGTCGCTACTGTCGACTTATAGATGAACCCCACAGCGCCGGCGAGGAGGACCTGATCTATCTGACGCGGGCACGCCATCTCGGTTTGCACAGCAACGTGCTATTCGAGCACACTGATCTACAGCAAATTCAACTCGAACTCCTCGTAGCAATTTACTTGCTTTGTCTGGGCCAGGTCAACCGGTACGTCCCATTTCTCCATTTCCCTTATCACCATACTAACTCTCCCATACCCCCTAAGAGCATCCAAATTCTCCAACATGGCCCTCCGCTCAGCCCTATCCCTTGGCATTAACCTCCGCCTAACAGACGACCGCACCAAAGATGCCGCCAAAGAAACCCGTGGTCGCCTTTGGTGGTCCATCTACTCCCTCGAACACCTCCTCGCCTCAATGACCGGCCGCGCCTCCTGTGTCGGGGAAAGCCTCTGCTCCGTCCCGGCACCTCTCCCTTACGAAGAGGAAAACTTCGACCAACCTGACGCCAAGCGCCTCCTCCAAAATCCCGCCCTCCGCGAAGCCCAACTCCGCTCCACCCTCTTCGAATCCCCCAGCCAACGCCACTCCCCCTCATGGGCAACATCCTGCCTACCTTGTCCATCTCTCTTCTTTAACTTCCTCATCGATTTAAACCTTATAACCCATGCCCTCATGAACAAAGTCTACAGTATCGAAGGCCTCCGAAGAGGTCCCAGCCAAGTAGAATACTGCGTCCAAAAATCCAGTCTTCAAATGGACCGCTGGCTCTCAAAACTTTCCCCCTTTTACCAATTCACCATCCCAAATGCCGGCCCATGGCATCTTAACCATAACCAACTAGACGATCTCTCCACCCCCTTCGTCCGCGAACGCGTCTGTCTAGCAATGACCTACTACTCCTCCCGCATCACCCTCTGCAGACCATGTCTAAGCCACATCCACCAAACCCCACGCCACGCATCCCCAACAGGCGAGCCCACCGCGCGCGAAAAACTCCGCACCGAAATGGCCACACATTGCCTACAAGCTTCGCGTGCACTTATCTCCGTCCTCCCAGAGGAACCGAATATGGCGTGGCTAGCCTGCACCGCGCCCTGGTGGAGTATTCTTTATTTTATCATGCAGGCAACCACTGCTCTATTACTGGGTTTATCGTACTGTTCTGGAACGCATAATTTTCGCAGCCCTGACCCCGAAAATCCACTCCTTAGCCCTGCTACGCCGTCGCAGGCGGGGGCCTATTCGCCGCTATTGGAGACGGATTTGAGTACCGCCGTTGCGGCGGCGAAGAAAGCGCTCGCTTGGCTTCATACTACTGCTTCTGTGGACCCGGCGGCGCGTAGGGCGTTTCTGCTTTGTGATGGGATTGTTAGGAAGATTGCGCCTGGGTTGAGGATTGATTTGAGCGAGTGGCCTGATGGGAGTTCGTTTGAAGGGTTGATGGAGGGGGCGGAGAGGGTGCCTAGTGGGAATTGGAATTGGAATGGGAATGGGAGTGTGAGTGGTAGTAGCGGAAACAATGGACATGATAGTGGGATGGAGGCGTTTGAGGAATTGATTGATTTTGACGGTGGTGTTGGATAGAGAACCTGTGGGTTCTCAATTTGATGACTATATGATACCTATGTACCTATATGAATTTCATTCTTCGGGCTTTCGAGAATCATCTTTTCAGGTTGTATTACTGTGTACTTTCCAGGGTAGCTGTTGCAACATATTGATCAGCCTCTTCTTCTTAGCTGATAATAGGATATCACTGAATCACTTTATATACTATATGTTGACTTTAAATCACCTCCTAGTTGCACTATCGCGCTGGGTTCATAACCCAACTTGCCCACTACTTCATATCGGTAGTTGAGTACCTCACCACAACACACAGGATAGAATTCTTCGGGTCTATAGCTGGTCATTGACTTTTCCTCAATGGGGATGGAAGGACCCTGAAGACAAGATAGACGAGTTCTCTCCCTTGACGCTCTGGCGTCTTTGGTTTCTGTAAGATCATGAAGAGACCCAAGTATCTGAAGTAATCAGAAGCCCTAACTGGCTCATGATTGTCATTGTCGTCCCGGTTACGGTTCATAGTTCGATCTTGGAGAAGTCATGGAGCTGGGCCAAAAAGTCGCATAGGTCCCACATATGACCATTCGAGGCTCACTACCCCATGGGTATAATAGGGCTCAAGTACCTAGATATCGTTTGAGTAGGCACTTTAGACAATAATAGAACGACTATGGCGTGTGTAAAAAAATAGTTTCCCTGGGAATCGAACCCAGAACCTTTCCGGAACACTCGCTACGAAGAGCAATTGTTAACGGAAAATCATAACCGCTAGACCAGGAAACTGTTGGATGAGAATCGGGCCGTTAAAAAGAAACATGTAGATAGTAAGACACAAAGTGTTCTGCTAACATCTTCGAATGTTTGACACCTAAGAGTGGGGCATTCGTCTTTAGGGTTAGGCAAACTGCCAATACCCTAAGCTGAAATGGCACGGGAATAGTAGTGTTGTGGCAGAGATTTAGGGCGGTCGCTGCTATAGCGAATTTCACGTCGGTATAGTCGGAGGTCATTCCCGCACGAGGGAAATGAACTATGCAGGTAGTGTTATGATGAAAGCCGAATCCTTATGCTAGTATGGAATGCCTGATCGGGAAAGAAGTCGTCCGGTTGACAGGGAAGCTTGTCTGGATGGAAAGTTAATACCCATTGACCGAGGGGAGTAGTTCTGTAGGTATCGTCCATCTTTCCAACCCAAAGCTGGTTCTGCACCGCGTGGATAAGAGCGTCGGGACTCATGCATGGATAACATCAAGGGAGAGATGAGAATAAGCACGAGAACCGAGGCGATACGAGTTTGATGAGTGATTAAGTTGGCTGAGATATCCACGAGATGGAGACGAGGCTGCGACCGTTTGAAGCCTGGTGTAGACTTATTTGGAGATTTGAGTGAAAGGTGTGACTTGAAATGAGTAGTGACGCGCCGAACTCTTGTACTGACCGCTGGGGAGGTGATGGTCCGAGCCCATGAATGCGGATTAACCCCGGACAAAGGACTGCCATGGTGTGTCAGCATGGATGCGCACTGGTCAAAGAACCGATCATAGAAAAGAGACACCGCTAGGACTAAATAGAGAATTCACTACACAGTACCTGCGAGGTTAAACAAGGCTAGTTGTGCACAATTGACAGGATGAGATTAGAACCGAGTATGTACTAAATTGAACATTAGATATGTAAGAAAAAGGATAGAAAAAACCACAGGCTAAGTAAACAATAGACGGAAATGGAAAATGTCTGAGATGCCAATGACACAAAAGCACGAAACGCCATAATAGGCCCACGTAAACACTTGATACGAGACTTCATGTACGTAAAATGATCGAGAGAACACACGTAACAGAGCCCAGGAATGATATAAACACCGATGTTCTTTAGAACGAAAATCAAGTCAAAATATACTAGTCAAAAATGAAACTTCGGTTGGATGTTGCATTGACTGAATGAGACTTCATTCAGTACTAGGTTGGCTGCGGCTGCATCTGGATCTGGAAGGTATGCTGATGTTCATGTTGCGGTGCAGGCGGGGGAGGGGCCTGGCTCCGTTGTGGAATTGGGGGTCTGCGTGGTTGTCCTGGCATCCCGTGGACAGGGGACTCAGACGACATCGGGTGCTGCATCTGTTGTTGCATCGGCGATTGAAGATATGGTTGGTGAGGGAGGGGTCGCGGGGGGTGAACGGGAGAATGATGGTGCATTTGCATGTGTGGCATAGAGAGCGCCTGGCCGGGCTGCTGGGAGAGGGACTGGCTATGCGGCAGGTGGGAACCAGGTTGTGAGGACATGTGTTGGTTCTGTTGCTGATGCATGTGCTGGACTTGCGGCGGCCCAATATGTTGATTTGCCTGCGCCTGTGAAGATTGATTCTGCTGGAACATGTGGAGATTTTGCTGTTGCGGCAGAGACTGGCCTTGAAGCATCTGCGGTGGGGTCGGGCAGGACCGTTTGCGCGCCTCTTCATCGACCGAAGAGGTTGCACGGTTGAGTGCGCTCGTTGTATCTGTGCCCTCACCCAATTGAGTATTGCTATCTGCTTGCGTCTGATCCCCACTGGCAGCGGCAGCGGCGGCAGCCGCAGCTGCAGCAGCTACATCAGCCTTGCGAGGTCTCCCACGTGGTCGGCCTGTACCGGGTGCTTTTGGCTTAGCAGAAGCTGGCTTCCTTGGTTTTGGTGGTGGTAAGGGTTGGCCCGTTGCAGCTGCCCATGCAATTTGATCAGCCTTACGGGGACGCCCACGTTTCCGCTTCAAAGGAGTCCCATCCGGTCCCAGAATAGGCGTCCCCTTAGTGGTAGTGTTTGGGCCCGCGGAGCCTGGAGCAGTTGGTGTCATATTCGCATTGAATGAAGCTTGCCCCGGTTGAGGTATTCCTGGGATAGACTCGCCGTTTTGGGCAGCCTGCGCGGCCTGCGCAGCAAGCCTGGCTGCCACTTCCTCCTTCCTAGGTCGTCCCCGACGACGCTTCGGAGGCGGGGTAGCAATTTGATCACCTCCAACTGCGGCCACGGCAGGCATCTGTCCTTGACCGTTGGCCTGTGCGGGGAGAGCATTTGAAACGGCCATGGGGGCATTTAGTTGATGCTGGGCATGAGGCTGGGTTTGGACAGGCTGAGCTTGAGCCGTTGAAGCCTTCTTAGGTTTCGCTTTCTTTTTCGGTATAGGACTCAACTCGTCAGACTTCATGACCGGGCTTTCAGTGACTGCAGGGACAGCGGGTGCAGGTGTCTGTGAGGAAGGCACGGCAGCAGAGTGTGGTCCTGGCTGATAATGCTGGAATTGAGCCTGGTGTGGAGACTGCTGGAACTGCGTCTGCTGCGGCTGAGAAAATTGTGTCTGGTGTGAAGCGTATGGATGTTGTGATTGAGGTTGATGCTGTTGATATTGCGATGGGTGGAATGAAGGCTGGGTGTGCTGGGAAAAAGGTGACTGCTGTTGGTATGGATTGTGTGCTTGGGACTGGTGTTGCAATTTTTGTAACCTCTGCTGCTCCAATTGCTGCTTCTGCTGGTGCTCAAGCCGCTGCTGTTCCACCCGTTGTTGATGCTGTTTCTGCTGCTCAATCCTTTGCTGCTCTAGGCGTTGCTGTTGCTGCTGCTCCAATATCTTTTGCTCATCTAGCTTTTGTTGTTCCAATTCCTTCTGTTGCTCAAGCCGCTGCTGTTGTTCCAAGCGTTGCTGTTCCAAACGTTGATGCTGAATTTGCTTCTGCTGCTCCATCCTTTGCTGTTGCTCAATTCGTTGCTGTTGGAACTGTTGCTGTTGAATCTGCTGTTGCAACTGTTGGTGTGTCTGCTGAGGTGATTGAGGTTGTGACTGTGGCTGGGCCTGTCGCTGTTGATTCAAGGCAAACATAGAAGGGCTGGCCATAGATGGACTGCCGGACGTATGGCTATCTCTCTGCTGCATGCCTGCGTGAGGAAGTCTGTTCATCCCCTGCTGCGGCGAAGGAACGTTCATGGGGTGTCCATGAGTGAGGCCAGTTGAAGGACTCATTCCTGGCTGCGGCCGAAGGTGGGCCATTGGATTAAACCCACGCTGGAGGTTCTGCAGCGCCATAGGATCTGGATTCCGAGACATCAGGTCCGGGGAGCTCTGCGCCGCAAATTGCCCCGGAAATTGGCCGAAACTGCTAGTTGTGGGGTACCCACCCAATGATCCCGATGTCGGGGTCATCTTGCGCATATCTGGAGATTGCGACGAACCGAAGTTCTGCTGAGGTTGCCCCCGAAAAACTGGCTTATTGCCTGGGAATGGACTGCCATGCTGTGGCAGCTGCGGCCCCGCACCTAGCAAGGGCGACTGGGCATGCTGACGTTGAGGCTGCGGACCCAACGGATGTTGGGGTTGAACACCTTGATGTTGCTGCTGCTGAGGTTGCTGTGGCTGCTGAGGGTGGAATGGGTGACCACCGTAGTTCATCATTTTGACACAATTTTAGAGATGCGCTGGCACTCGGCCGTAAGCGGCAGATGATGGAATGATCCTTTCACCCACAAAGCATGCAAGGGCGAGAACAGTCAAAACCAATCGCGGACTAACTTGAAAGAGAAAAGGTGGAATACAGGGCAATTCTAAACCAAGTCTGTCACCGATGTTGCGCCAGCGCCGATAAATTCTACACGGAGAATCGCCACTTGAGTCGCGCCGAAGCCGCGTGTTTGTTGTTCCCTGGCAGCCTGAGGCCACAAGGCAACAAGGCAAAAAAACCGTGTACGGGTTCCCAATTGGGATTAGCGGCTACGGGGACCGAGGTGAGTCGGTCAGCGCAGTTCGAGAAAATGAGTCGACGGTCGCTCAAAGGGATTCAGGGGGGGAACCAGCTGATGGGGATCCAGAGAGGTAGCGAGGGTGATCCAAATCTGCTTGCTAGCGACCTCAGTAGATAACAGGGTCCAACAGAATTAGATTGGAGATGAAGTGGATGACGCTGGGCTGGAATCCTCGATGGCGAGGGAAAAAAACATTAAAAAATAAAATAAAAAATAAAAAAATAAAAAGGAAAAAAAAAACGGAATTTTCAGATTCTCCTCTCCACATCACGTGATACCAATGCCCCAGTCTTCCCTCGCATATATCTACGGAGTATGGACGGAGTAGGACTCTTTATTCATGATAACTGTACGGAATACACAAACTCGAAACCTCCACTGGATTCTGATTCTTCTTTCCTGACTCCCCTGGTCATCTGATTATCTTCCGCAATCCTTGTAAAGTATAGAATCACACCACTCACAAGTACTACACAAAGTACGTGTGACCTAAAAAATATACAGACACCATGCTGCTTTGCAATCCTTGTCCTCCGCTACCCGAAGATCTACCAAACCAGGCAAAATAAAGAAAAGGTTGCCGGAACCCTTTTCAAAGTGCCAATACAGAGGATGATCCACAATACTCCAAATAAGGAGCCGATCGGCATAAAATTAGCCGAGCACTATGTACATATATTGTAGATCATGAATTTCCCCAGTTTGATCTTTCCGAGGATAATTCAAGGATTTTCATACATAGCCATCCCTTTATTTGCGATTCTGGTGGCAGTCTTGATATTGCCTCCGGCAGCTAGGCTTATCTGGGAGGAACACAGGCGAGGTTCAATGGGACTGTGACTTGGCTTAGAGACTGGTGTACGAATGAACACTTCAATTCGGAATAAAACAAATGGCCAAAACGCCAATCTACACTGGAAAACTCGCGTGGGAAATCATACCTAACGTGCGTAGTTTCTAAACTATTATAACACTCTCTGATCCGCCACAACAAAGTCTTCCCAGACTTTCTTGATGTCATTTTGATAAATGAAATCTTTGTCTCCATAGAGGAAAGTGTCGATTTTGGCTTGCAGAATCACATCAAAATCCTTCTCTTCTGCTAGGAGTTGTTGTGTTTTGTCATGTATTTCGTCTAAATGCTGATACCTATGAAGGGGAAAAGGATAGTCAGACCCAAGCCATTTCGCACGTGATATAGACTCTGAACTTACATTTTGGCATAGTACGGAGAACGAATTTGTTCGAAGATCTCCAGAGCATCGCGTGCAGGATGAGAAGCAAACCGTGTAAGTTCAAGTGCTCGTGCGAGAATCCAACCATCCTCCATGGCAAACGTCGCCCCAGAGCCAAACGCACCTGAAAGGCCGTTAGCGCTGGACATGACAATAGGCTATCAATGGTAACAGATTGGACTTACCCGAAAGAGGGTGGCTGGCATCGCCGATAAGGGCGACTTTACCCCAGCCCGTGATTTTGTTCAGACGAGGCCCGGCGAATGTCGCAAACTCTCTCCATTCTCCTTCAGTAACTGCACTTACTGCATCTCTTATCCTCTGATCAAACTTCTATCTTGTATGTTAGCAACAAGTCCCTCATCCAGCAAAGGTCTGTCGTACCTCAACACGCGATCCCACTTTCTCGTTGGTGGCAGGGATACCCCAAAATACCGTCTTCCCCGACACTTCAGGCTCTCGGTAGGATCGAACAGTAATTTCAAAGAGCGGATCTTCGATCTCTCCCTCATCATCCACATCGGAGAGATATACATGCCCGGCTTCACCCCACCACCAGGACGATGTGGTCGTGATATCCGGGATATGCGCCAGGCGGGATTTTGGAATCAGAACACGGAATGCAGAGTTGCCTGTAAAGTGGAGCTGATGATCGGGAAACAAGGCCCTACGGACAATCTACCCCACAAAGTTGCGTCAGTTACGAATGACAGTTTCAGCACAAGGGATTGGACGAACAGAGTGTATTCCATCCGCCCCAACGATAATGTCCGCAATCACCTTTGTGTGATCCTGAAAACACAAACGAACTCCTTCGCCTGGGATATCCTCTAAAGATACCACCTTTTTCCCAAACTGGATCAAGCCCTCGGGCACTCTTGATAAAAGAGCTGACTGAAGTCGGGTTCTGCGAGCACGGATTGATCCGCGGTCATCTGCAGACGACCCCTCTGGACGAGAACTGATGCTCACGACCCTCCCCGTGTAAGCATTTCTTGGAAATCGAAGTTAGCATATGCATTGAGGCATATTGCTGCTAGGAAAGCACCGCGTACCTTTGGTATGTGTTGAATTTCGAACCCCCTTTGACCCTATCACTTGCTCCAAGTAAATCCAGAACCTTCCACGCATTCGTAGTCAAACTGATGCCAGCGCCAGCTTCTCGTGGCTCTGGGTTCTTCTCGTATAGAGTCACCTTCAGGAAGGGCAATTCAGAGAGAGCAATCGCAGTTCCCAGTCCTCCCGGTCCGCCACCAACGATGGCCACAGAAGTCAACGCCTGCCCGACCATGTCCGTGAAACAATTCCAGGCGTGAACACGGTAATATTTTAACAATGTTCTTTGCTTATCTATCTGAATCATCAAATCTGGTCGGGAGCGGCCGGTAGATAAATACATCGCACGCCATATTAGGCCTCGAATGTGCCATGCGCCACTAGTGTCCTGCTGTCCAATCCCACAACGAGCTGATAAATCCGTCAGTTCAAACCCCACGTGTAGACAGTCATGCAATGGTTTGTTTTAGACCTCCTGGAGTGCTGGTCAATCAGAGTGTCTTCTACCAGACAAGATATGCGATGGCCCCGTAAGGTTCCGATAGGCACTCACGGCAGAGCAAGAGAACGCGTTATTGGAAATTTCGTTGTCAGGAAAAGCTTGCTAGTGGAGTGGGCTGGCCGTATGCCTGTTGCCCTTCGTAGATAAGATCTGTAGCAGTTCGTTTCTGGTTTTTATGAAAACACGCCGTAAGTTGAGGATACATAGCGGCCAACCTAGTATGTCAGAAACTTCTGTAGAAATACCTATCCACATAAGCTTTTAAACGTTGGTTAACGGTGCATGCTGTTTTGAATGGTGATGCGATTTAGACCCGAGACGAAGATTCCATATCTCAATGTCGAGTTTCCACACTAGATTGCGTGTTGAAAGTATACAACCCGGCCGTTAAACCACACCAAACACGATATCCCATTATGAAACACGGACACTATATCTTTGTCTGGAATTGCGTGTTAGATGAGATTCATCATGGATGCATAGCAAGGATACAGCCGCATCCTCCTCAATAACGAAAGGTTGTATAAAGAAAGGTACACTGCACAACTTACGATTCTTACACAATCTTACTATAAAGCCAAGAGGAGAAGAGAATCCCTTGAAGGAAAGAAAGAAAAAGAATTTCTCAAGGAGATGCAAAATATCGAAAAGTTATATCGCAAAAAGCTACCAAAAGGTCGCTCAAAATACAACTTATGAGGCTTATAAAGATACTAAATTAGGCCGCACAAGCGGCTGGCGATGCTTATCAAGCCTGAACTCCATGTGCCTACATAAGGTAGAATGAAAAACCGATAAGCCAGGTCAAGTTTTACTATGAAAAATCTGTGATGGCGTACTGGCAGTTAGAGACTGCAACTTCCATATCTGATGCACAAAAACGAGTAAAAAGCCCCATAAATACCCAAACATAAGCGACTGCGTATCTCAATCATCATGACCTCAACCACCATGACGGCTTGTGCAACAGTCCAAATCAGTGGGATTCAACCACCCTACTTCTATATCTTGGCGCATAATTGGCAGAGTCAAAATGGCATTCTTATAGATAGATACTACAATTTTGGAGTTTCCAACTTAAGGGTTCTCAACCCTTACTTGCTTTATATGTTTACTGAGTCATACTAAAATACAGTATATCTAATCCAAACTCCAAACTCTCAATTACTTGCTATACATGCTATCCACTACGTAGTAGCAACCCCCCTAAGTATCAATAACCACCTAGCACCTTAGCGGCGGAGGATCAATAAGATAAGAAAAGAAATCCTCCGATTTAGTCTCCTAAGCAGACGAAAAACCGAAGCTTTACCAACGTAAAGTGCTAGTCCCCATACTTCTCTTCGATTCAATCCCTATCCAATTTCACGCCATATTTACATTATCTAAGTCCCGTCAGAGAAAGGAGAAGTCATAAGTCAAAGAAATATAGTCAAGACGGGGTTGAGTATTAATCCTAGTCATATTCGTTCTCCTAGAAGCGACAATGTCCCTTTTAAACCAAGCAACTAGGCCTCAAATATCTAGCCTCCAATTTTCTGGTGTTACAATCGAAGGCAATCAAGATGTCTCTCGTATTAGCTCGCTATCACTTATTAGATAACTAGACGCCAATCCTAGCGAGATACAGGTTAGAAGAATAGGAAAGTGATTAGCAGATCTCTTGTTCGTCGGTCCAAGGGGGTGAATGCTTCTAAGGTAGACTGTTTTATGGGGTACAGTTGTGGGACAAGTCGGTGACTACATGGTGTGACCCATATGCTTCCTTGATAGTTGTGGACTTTCATTCGGCCAGAAAGTGAAGAACACCGGTATTCTAAACTTGACATGAAAATGCACAGTTACCCCCTGGTAATAAAGCGAAAATTGAACTCCTCGGAGTGCTTACGTTGTCTCAAATGAACTAGTAAAATCAGTAACGACGCTCCTCTCTGACCGTTTCAAAATATTCATAGATGCTCTGGGGATCTGGTATATGGTTTCTTTCCCACGGTGCTTCCTTTCGGTGATAGGACAAAGCTTATAGGACAAGAACTACTAGTATGCTTTTAATATACGACTGTTGTAGTTTCTTGCTAAATGGCAAAAGAGGCGATATGAGAAAGTCTTGAGCAAATATCGTCCTCAAGAGTTCACCCACTAAGTAATGAATAAGGTAATGGATAAGTACACACATCGTGGAGACACGGCAGCGTAAATCTGAACGATAATCTATCAAAGCCAAGATACCATTATCAACTGAAGCACAAAACCAAGAAACGAAGGGTATACGCGTAAGTCTCATGAGTCGCTGTGTTACAGAAAGACAAGTTTTCCCATAGGTATCAATTACGTAGCACTCGCTAGTTGAAACCTTGCAGGATGGGATATAAAAGAGCGTGATATGAAGGCATGATCTATCCAAAAGATAAAAATTCCGCTATTGGTCACTATAACCCACAAGTGTTCGAATCTTTACTTCAATCCAATCACTATGCCTGAGTCTCAAGGCAACCTTACCGGCTTCGATGAGCCCAACAGAGTTCCATTCGGCAAATGGGATTCCTTCTCCTGGGAACCCTTCCCTGAATGGGAGGGCACCAAGGCTATCATCTCCCGCTCACCGGACGGCAAACGCGTCGCTGCCGCTTTCCGCGAGTCTGCAACTGGCACTTTGAAGTATCCATGTGACGAATTCACTTATGTGACAGCGGGATCAATCAAGATCCATGTCCATGGCGGTGAAACATTTACTCTCAATACTGGAGATTGTGCCTACTTTACTAAGGGCCAGACGGTGGACGCTGAGTGCAGCGAGGACTTTGCCAGTGTCTCTATGCTCTCTGATACTGAGCCTATTACTATTGTTTGAGCTCAGTATCGGGCAGTTCACTAGTGGCACGAAGATACGGCCTTGATGTTATGGACATCCATGTTATTGGTAACAAATGAATTTGCATATGATGGCCTGCATTCCTTCTCCTTTTACCGTTCCCAGGCACTCTACTGCCCAGAATATCAAACATGTCAATAATTATTGCATACCGTGTAATTCTCAGTGATAATTATAGTTGAGAAAGCCCAGAACCCTCGAGACAGGCCCTGAAAATAAGCGCTAGTAGCATCAAGCGTAGGAGTCTTCCACGAGCCATCTATACATCCTTTCTATACAAAAGTGCATTGTGATGATTTATTTGCCTAAAATTCTCAGATAATTATTGTTCTCCGAACACTAGACTCAGAGGTCTGTCTGTTCCTGCCGAGGCTAAAACGACTATTGGAACTTTTGCCGTTTTCAATAAGAGAAAGACGCACTTTTAGTTACAAGCTAGCTAGGCTTGGCTTTTAAGTGCCATCTTTGTATAACACGTGAGCGCTAGATATCTCCCCGGTTATAGGTTGACTTGATACACCCGATGCCGCGGGAATTATACTCTGCGTGGCAAAGAACACGACGTGTTAACCATACAAGAAAAGACCTAGTTGAAGAAATACTACCTGAGTTATAATGGAGCAATAGGTATTGCGTGACAATCTGGCTAAACGGGTTAAGCCCATTGCTTAGGTGCTGCACAATGAGATTAGGCACCGCGCTACTCCCCTAAGTGATTTCTTTTCCTGTTGAACTATCGTGGTCGTGGCGGCAAATAAAACCCATAAACATTGACTACCCCTGATCTGCTAGGGGTAATTTAGCCTAAATTTCCCCACGCTACCCCGGAAAGTCATTAATAGCCAATACACCGGCAGATGTTCACCTTCACCATACACATCGAATTCCCGGCGCGGTGCAAAGTGGGATTAGCTTGGAACTAGCTCTCTTTTGTTGAGAGGGGTATACCAATTTCTTGCAAAATTCGTCAGGTTTAAAGTCAATTTTTCCCCCGTCATTTTCTGAAATGTCCTCTTCATACGCATATTGACTCATATGTCGGTGACCATGCGCTCTTTCATTGCAATCATAGCTTTACTGGCTGGTATTACTCAGGCCGCACCCCATCACCAGGGCCACAAGGATTACAATCTCAATGCCCTCGCTCAAGCTCGCGGTCAACAATGGTTCGGAACCGCGGCTGATATTCCGAAAACGGGCGAGACGAACGATGCTGCGTACCTGAAGATTCTGAAGAATCAGTTCGGTGAAATAACTCCGGCTAATGCACTCAAGGTACGATGGATCAGACATCCAAATCTCATGTTCTAGGAAACTCGCGACTAACAGTTAACTATTCTCGTATCGCCAGTTCATGTACACAGAGCAAGAGCAAGATAAGTTCAACTTCACCGATGGAGATTATTTCATGGACTTAGCCGAGCGATTTGGCTCCAAAGTCCGCTGTCACAATTTGGTCTGGATGAGTCAGGTTTCAGATTTCGTGACCACCAAGACCTGGACCGCCAAGGAGCTCACGGCAGTTATGAAGAATCACATCTTCAAGACCGTCCAGCACTTTGGCAAGCAGTGCGCCTCATGGGATGTTGTCAATGAAGCCATCAACGGAGATGGTACTTTCTCCTCGAGTGTCTGGTACGACACCATCGGCGAGGAATACTTCTACCTCGCCTTCCAGTATGCGCAGCAGGCTCTGGCCCAGATCGGCGCACACAAGGTTCAACTTTACTACAATGACTACGGCATTGAGAACCCTGGTCCCAAGGCAGATGCCGTCCTGAAGCTTGTTAAGAACCTGCGCAAACGTGGAATTCGCATTGATGGTGTCGGCCTTGAGTCTCATTTTATTGTCGGCCAGACACCCTCGCTTGCTGATCAGCTCGCTACTAAGAGGGCGTATATCAAGGCTGATTTGGATGTTGTCGTCACCGAACTTGATATTCGGTTCTCGAAGGAGCCTTACTATACTGCCGAGGTCCAGAAACAACAAGCTTCGGACTACTATGTCACTGTCCAAAGCTGTCTCCAGGCGGGACGTCGCTGTCTTGGTGTTGTTGTTTGGGACTTCTATGATAAATACTCTTGGGTGCCTGAGACTTTTGCTGGGGAGGGAGGTGCAACTCTTTTCAACGATACCCTCGAGGCTAAACCGGCGTATTATGCTGTTGTTGATGCGCTTAAAGGCAGGAAGTGCACTGTCTGCTAGGCTTTTGGTACTCGGTCATACGTGATATTGAATTGAGCCAAGCAAAACCAATCCGCCAGTCTCTTTGATAAATTTGCTTTTTTTGCCTATGTTTATTCAATTGAAAGGTTTGCCCACTGAGCGGATAATTTTGGAAAATCTCACACATCTCAAGAGCAATTTATCTAAGGCTGAAGTTACTCCTGTTCCTGTGCTTTTGCAATTGCCCCCGGAGCAGCTGGCATGAGTGCACCTGGAGGTGGCTGGTTCTTCCCCTTGAATTCGTCACACATCTGCTCAAATGTTACCCACTCCACGCCCTCATGGCTGTTAATATATTCAATGAGTCTGCACATTTTTTGTTAGCCTCAAATCGGCCAATAGTATTTGAATATTTGACTTTGGACCATACCTTTCATGCATGAGCAAAACATGAGGCCGACCAGAGACATCGGGGTGAATTGTCATAGGGAAGACAAATTCATCATACTCTCGATAGAAATAATCAAAGTGATCCTGTACAGAGCAGCGATATTAGTCCCAGCCTCATGTAGTCCCGGACAGAATAAAGTACTAACCCTCCAAATATCCTCAACATCCCGCGGATTTACCCAGCCATGGCTATTAGCTGAACTCTTGATAAACATCATCGGCGGCAAATCATCAATATACCAACTGCCCGGAATCTCCACGAGGCCAGTGGTATTGCCCTTGACGAGCGGCTTCATCCACGTCTCCGCCTTCTGCTTGTAGTCAATCTTCGTCCACGTATCCCCAGTCCGCAGCCAGTACATTTGGCAATCCTCATGGGACATGGAATGATCATATTCGATTCCATAAGCGAGTAAAAGCTCCACCATCTCAGCACTGGCCTCCCACCACGGCGCAACGATTCCGCGCGGCGGCTTTCCGCAGAAGTCCGTCAACATTTTGTATGTCTTGTCTAGAATGTCGCGTTGTTGTTCGGTCGACAAGTCGCAGGGATTCTCGTGCGAGTAGCCGTGCAACCCAATCTCGTGCCCTGCATCCCGGACCATTGCACATTCTTCGGGGAATGTGTCTAGGGTGTGGCCTGGGATAAACCATGTAGCCTTGATGTTGTATTTTTCGAATAGCTTCAGCACCCGAGGTGTGCCAACGTGTCCTGCCCAGAGACCTGTTTGGCGAGGTTTTATTAGTATGATAGCGATGATCTCAAAGACACATATGATTACCTCGACTGATGTCGCTCACGCTATCCTCGCCTCCGTATGAGCCTAGCCACCCAGCTACTGCGTCAATATCAACGCCGTAGCCGACAAGAACGCGCTTTTTGCCCATAATGAGTGATATTGCTGAGATGGGTGGTAAAGAGACTGAGGTCAAGTGTGAGAGAGAAGAGAACAGAATTTCCCTGAGGAATTGTTTGGGATTAGGTCTAGAAGAGGCATCATGAGAATATATACTCGGCTACCCCCAACAATGTATTGCGACAAACAAAGGTGGGGTGACCATAGGCACTTTTAATCGGACGTCCTCAGACTGAAGATATGGATGTTCATGTGTAGTGGATAGTTATTTATCTTTACTGCCACTTGTGATTGACTCCAACTACCCCATTTGAGGCCTTCTTTAGCTTGTCATCTTATCGCCATCCGTTTTGCGATATTGCTACCTAGGTAAGCAGAAATAACAATCATTCTAGGAACAGCATACTGAACTTGCTACTTAGAGGCGCAATTTGAAACGAGGGAAAATATGAGAGAGGAACGTATTTTGTATTCTACCAGTAGGGGTCTTGTCTGGCATAGTGCCTCAGACACTCAACATAGCCTAAGGTCACATATATTCAAGGCTCAAAGTCTCCCTTTGATCACACAAACACATCCGAGCAGTATCTTCGAAGTTCGAGAAGAGTATGCACAGCAGCAGGCGCTGTATCAATATTTCCTTCACCAAAGGTGCATATTGAGCTACCAGAATTACATCCTCATGTATCTGCATTCCCTTGAGGCCAATCGGCTTGGCGGTATGCTGCGATAGCCACTAAAGAGTATCCGCCCAAGTGAGCAATGGATATGTTCTGGCAAAGAGCTGGGTGCTCACACTTGACGCTGTGTTGGCTTGAATATTGGCCCGCTCATCATCTTCCTGCTTACTGGCTACCGGTGCCTCGAGTGTTAACACGATGAATTTGATTCGATCTAGCTGATTAACGCGCGCCAATATATTTTCGCTCAACTTCCTGCTCAGTTGGACGTAAAGCTGTCATTCAAATGTCTGTGTTGGGGGTGCGTTAGCCACAATATCCTCCGGAGGCAGCGAAAAGTTGTTTGCAATGATTTGGAGTCCTCCGAATGGTCGACAACCTTCAGCAAACCCTCTTTCTCCTGCGGAGCGTCCCAAATTTGGCATTGCAGTTGGAATGACAAAGATCGGCAACCCGACTTGGTGGCCCAGAAGGATTGTTTCTAGTTCCCAAGTCCGACAATCAACAAATAACCGTGGTCGAAACAGAATTGAGCGATAGGCCTGCGTGTTGAGATACTTGAATATTTGTCGTCGGCAGCGGAAAGGTAATACCCCCATACATTTTTGCTGATGATCTTTGAAGCTGCAGCTTCGATCTGGTCCAAGTTCAGCAATGTGCTTAATGGTGTCTGAGTGATATCTTTGGCCATCGAATGTGTGCTTGGGGACCTTTGTGTCTCGAGTGGCCCCAAATAAGACTGATTGATCTCTTGAATAGTCTCCGGAGGATGAGTCATGTTCAACTCGTCGATGGCCTCTCGTCCTCCCCAACGGAGGATTGCCTGTGCTCCTCCAGGATGACTGTTTAGAATACCCGTTACCCCCTCGAAATTAGCAAATTTGAAGTTTTCGATGAATGACGGAGCAGAGCTTACATGAGACACCTTTTCATAAAGTATAATCCAGCAACTATCTTGAGTGTTGTGTGCGGCGACTGGGAGTGTTATTGGCCCCTACTCCCGATCTCTCTCTGATAATCATGACCGACCTTCAGAAAGAGTAAACATCGCGACTCAATCAATCAGCTTAGACTCGAGCAATCAATAGCCTCTGTTTCTTGTACCTTACAAGATCATTACCTAAGAATTGACTCCCATTGCGTTCACATCTCATGCCCCCACTCTCCTACGAGCCCCTTTACATCGATACTTTTATTTATCCTAATACTGCTTTGATTGTGACTCGATAGCAGTAGCATCAAGCTATGGCGTCAGTGGTACTAGGGTAAGTAAAGATCGGAGCTCTTATCTCAAAAATACATTGTGAGCGACCCCACTATTGACCAGTTTGTTCCCTGTCTATGGTCCTTCAGTAAGTGATTAATCACTATTCTACTGGATTTTAGCTATGCGCATATTACTTGTGCATATTACTTGAATACTGTAATTGGGTGGTCCTTTGTGGGGGACTTTATGAGAGCTGAAGATTTGACATTAAGGTGTGGCTTTGGACATAATCGAGTAATACATTGATCTAGCGATAACTGACTAAAACTGCAATATAACCATCTATCCAAATTCCAATCTGTGACGTTCTATCCAAAATTTAAAACCACCTTCTCGGCCTGTTCATTATAGCGCATCATGTCCATGTGTCTCGAAAGGCAATCCCAGACACAAGATACCGACAACAATCCACAATGCCGCACTAGCATAGATTGGCGCTGTCGTAAAACCAGTCTGGGATGAGATAAGACTAGCAACGAGCCCTCCCAATCGAAGGAGCGCGGCTGCTGTTCCAGAACCTGTGCCACGATGAGGAGCTGGAAAGGATTCCGGAGTGAACGCGTACATGATAGCGTATTCTGTAAAGTGGTTAGTTATGAAATCAAACGCGATTATCAATGAGTCTCACCGAAGTTGCCTAGAAGACTGGTAATGCAAGAAAATGCCAAGTCGGCGGATGGACTGTTGACGCCAACATATGCGAACAGGAATATGCCTGTGACAGCGGCTGAAATTGCCATCATCCATCTTCTGCCCATGCGCGTGTTTACAGATACTGCGGCAGATAGTGGTCCGACTATTCCGACAGCTGAGGTGATACAGTAGTTTCGATATGTCAGGGAGAGAGAAGATGTCTCTGTAAATTTAGTTGCCAGGTAGGACGGCAAGAAAGCGAAAAAGAGCGGGTATGCAATTCCTGAAGAGCAGTATCAGTAGAGATATTCAAGTCAATAATTGACAGCGTCTCACTTACCGACTGTTAACCATATGGCCCAGATGATGAGTGTCTGTCTTCCAAGCCTTCGGGTAGCGAACAGTGCACGGTAGTGCTCGCCTCGAAAAGCCTGCATATTCTCTTTCACGATTTCCTTCGTTGACATTTTATTCGACTCCCCCTCTTTGTTGGTACCATTTCCGAACCTAGCATCTATTTCTTGAAGCATCTCAAGCGTCAGGGGCTCCGGCTTGCCATTTTGTTTGGCAACATAATTGACGGCATTTACAGCGTCCTGGTCTCTTCCCTTGGAGAGGAGATATCTGGGGGTCTCGGGAAGTTTGAAAATAACAATGCGAATGAAGGTAAATGCGAGGGAGAGACCACCAAGAGTGATGAGTGTGTATCTCCTAATGATTGAGTATTAGCGTGGAGGCATACTGTAGCCCTGATGGCTCTTACCATCCCATATTCTGTCTTCTAGAGCATGTCTCTGGAGTAGCATTGGTTGGACAACTGAAGTTGGCTAAGAATACCCAAGATATCAAAGACACAACCAGCTGGCTCAAATTCCACCATGCCGAGAGAGCAGTGAGGAGATACTGATGACTGTACTTGCGTTAGCAACTGTTCAAAGGAGTGGTATCAACTCAGGGAAATCTACCTTCCTGGGACAAATTCTAAGAATATCATGGAATCAACAGGCACGTTTCCACCAGCAGCGGTTCCAATAACAGCCCAAAGTGCGCTAAAGGCGAGGAAATTCATCGACCCAGCAGCAGCACACAGGAAGACACCAGCGATGAGTAGCGTAGAGTTGAATGCTGGCTTGCGTCCAATCAGATCACTCGACAAACCCCAAAACGAAGCACCAAGAATCAGTCCAACATAATACGCAACCGAGCTGTAGCTCACTTGGATGATACCGGAGAATTCTTGCTTAATAGGAGGCTGGACACTTCCGATGCCTTGGGATGCAAACTATTTGGAACATACGTCAGGAAGAGGAAGTGTGAGGAGAGTAGAGTGATTTCGCATACATTATCGACCATCCATCCAAAACCGGTGACCACGAAAAGTCTCCATTGAAACCTGATAGTGTCAATATTTCAATGCCTAAAGGTTATGCTCAAGGTTTTCGAGGTGTGAATACCCGCCCATCCCAATTTCCTCCATACATTTTCCAACTAACTCGGACTTCAGGCGGTATGCCTTGGTGGTGGAGGATCCGTAGAAATCATCAACCTCGTAATCATCAATAGTAGTCAATTTAGCAACATCATAGTCCGGGGTGTTCGCCCCGGCTAGCTGGATTTGCTTCTTTTCGACTTGAATTTCGTCCATCTAGCTGCTGGTTATCGAGTGAATAACTCCTTGCTCTCATTCTAGGCAGATCGTGGTCAAACATCGGCCTCTTTTAGGGCTGCGATTTGCCTACTAATGATCATCTACTTTGATAGTCCATCCACTTCAGATTGATACGGATTTTCCCTTCTATCAAGAGTGGAGAGAAGACTTTGCCATCCCACTCTTGGGTCGAGCGACGCGTGGAGTTGATAATATCAGGGCAGCTTAGACCAGGCCAAGACTTGGTGACTTTGCTATGCTTGGTGGTGTTGGGCTGGGCGATCAATTCATCCGAGTCGTTCAGCATGGCTCTTGATTACTCTTCGGTGTTACTATGCTAATTTTGCATTGAGTTTGTTCTGTGTTTTTTGTACATTTTGGCTAGCTTCCATATGTGAGGATCATACAGGCGGAAAGATTTCAATGAATTGCGTGAAGAATAGTTGGCTGCGTAGGCGACCTTGTGATGCCTTCACGATGATCCTTTCAATTAATCTGTTTATATTCTTGTTTTGAAATATTTTCTCATTTATCTCGGCCTATACAACATAGGTAGGTAGAGGGCGGACATACAGAAGAAGAGTGTGATTGTGAATACGACTTTGGCTTGTATGACCTAGGATACGAGTAACATTAAGCACCGACCGTCGTAAGTACATGAATGATATCCGCCTTCTTTGAATCCAACCCTTTCTTGAATTCCTCCGCACGGCCGTAACTCTCCTTGTAAGATGCCGTCACCATATCCTGCACAGTAATCGGACCGTACTTGGCAGGTTCACCCTCATCACGACAGTTAGGCAAGCACTCGCAGATATAATCTGGATTTCCACTGAAAAAGAACGGAATCGAGTATCGCTCTCGACCTGATTTGTTGATCACACGATGGGTGTTGGATTTATATTTGTCGTTCGCCATTCGCATGAAAAGATTGCCCAGATTTACCACATATGCCCCGGGAACGGGCTTGACCTGTGGATCTCCGTTAGAGTGAAAACATATATATAACTTTTATGGAAACTCACGTCTAACCATTGTCCCGATGGCGCGTCTAGCACTTGCAAACCATCGACCTCATCCTGCAGCAGGAGAGTAATGCACCCGAAGTCCGTATGCGCTCCAATTCCACGATTCAATTTATCGTCGGTATCTTGTGGCTGAGCTGGGTAATGGAGGTATCTCATTGTCGCGACAGCTCCCTCGGTGAGAGGGTCGAAGAATGTAGAGTCAACTCCCAAAGTTTGAGCTAGAACTCCTAGAACATCCTTTGCGAGATCAAATACTGCGTGGTAATATTCCATGGTTGTTTCTTGAAATTCTTCCTTGTCGGAAACAGTAGGTGGCCATTGGTTAGGGCCACTGTTCAACTTCTTCCCCAAATAGTAGGGGTGATCCTCGGGGATTTCCTCGCCGATGTACAGGCCTTCTTTCAGCTCAGGGCCGGTGCCTACTTCCAGCATTTGCGATCGGAGGAGTTCATAGCCTCTGTTGAAGGTGGTGAGATCTATTTAGTTAGCATGATTTGGGATGAGTGAATAAGAAACTTACTTTTGTCAACTTTCAACTTCTCTTCCAGAGGAAGATCAAAGAAACGCCTGGAGCAATTCATGACGCGGCGCTGCAAGTCCAGTGGGACGCGATGGCCGGTGATTTGAAAAAATCCATTATAATGGCAACATTTGCGAACTTCGTCGATCAAATTAGATTTTGCGTCGCTGTTCTCTCCATAGAATGGAGAAAAGTCCAATATGGGTGGAGCTGAGGGTTGAGACATTGTTGACGAAACTGATGACTTGCGCCTGTGTTTGTTCAGATCTCATTGCCTTCAATATATTTGTTAGTATTCAAACAAAGCTACCCCAAGACTAATCAACCTCGCACAGAAGTCCGAGATCTTTACTCCAGCTACTCCAGCTGTAGCTGGAGCTCTTGCAGCTGCCATCAAAGATGGGGGTGAGAACATGGATGCCCCAAGAATGGGGGCTAACGGTTTCTTGACCTACGATAAGAGCGTGCGGGGAAGACATCAAACAAAAGTACAAAGCGTATCCTATCTGCAAAATAAGGAGACATGGCAATTGGTCAGTATCCTCTTGGACATGGCTTGTAGTACTTGTGTGAATAGGCAAACCCAAGGGGTTGGAATGCTATACAAGGGAGGCGGTCTGATCAGTATAAGAACCCTGGCGGCCAGCCTCCGCGCTAGAGACGTGAAGTTTAGCTGTTTCAAGATTATATTATGATGTCGGAAATGAAGCAAAATGACGGGGGTAAGGTGGTCGACCCAGAGGTAAACATCGGCGAAAGCACTATTTATACAGACACAGCGGCGGAAAGATCCTATGTCAGGAAAATTGATTTCATTGTGCTTCCAACTCTCTGCTTGGTAGGCTTTCTAGCAAAGAGAACGCAGCTATTGGATATAATTACTGATTTGGAGGCTTGTGTCATGGCATAGATGTACTTCTTCGACTGCATGGATCGAGTAGGTGCTAAGACTACGTCATATCTTCTCAAAACATGCTAACAATTATTTCAGAGCAATTTGGCAAATGCAAAGACAGATGGCCTTGATAAGGACTTGAACCTCAAGGGAAATGATTATTCTCTATTGATTCTTCTCTTCTATATTCCCTTTGGGTTGTTTGATCTGCCATGGAACCTTTTGATCAAGAGATTTTCAGGCAGACTAATGCTCTCTATTAGTAAGACTCTTTAATCCATTGAACGATTCTCATAAGACCTAGCTGACATTGCTGGAAAGTGTCTATTGTGTGGGGAGTTCTAGCACTTTGCCAATGCGCTGCTAAGGATTTCGGCTCTCTACTTGCGATCCGCATCATTTTGGGTGTTTTCGAAGCCGGCTTTTTTGCCGGAGCCACGTTTTACCTCACATTATTCTATACACGCGGAGAAATGGGATTCCGTCTGGCTATCGTGCAGTCATTTGCGGTCCTGGCGTCTGCCTTCAGTGGCCTTATCTCATTTGGGGCATTCCAGATAAACCACCCAGCAGTCAAGGGATGGCAATGGCTATTTATCATTGAAGGATCGATGACACTAATTACCGGAGCTGCAGCATATTTCGTACTGCCGGATGGGGCACAGAAAGCCTGGTTTTTGACTGACAGAGAGAAGGCGGCAGCAACAGCACGTCTGCTTCGGGATACTTCGTCGGAGGTGGACACGCCATTCAATCTCAAGGCTTGCTTTGAGTCGTGGAACGACTGGAAATTCCCAATATGGTGTCTTATTACATTCACATACCCTGTCGCCTATGCCACTGCAATGAATTTCTTCCCACTGGTGAGTACCGAGCGCCATATTGTCAGATGTTGACTAACAATGGCAGATTGTTCAACGGTTGGGATATTCCGTCATCAAGACTAATCTCTGGACGGTGGCACCAAATCTCGTCGGAGCTGTAATCCTGCTATGCGTGGCCAAGTCATCCGACTATTTCCGTGAAAGAACACTTCACATTGTCTTTTCCTTGACAGTTTCCTTGGTCGGAATGCTTATATTAATCGCGATTGACGTTCAGAACAACACAGGGGTAGCATATTTTGCCTGTTTCCTAATGGCAGCCGGATCATATATTCCATCATGCCTCGTCCATGCCTGGCACAACAATAACAACGTCCATGAGAATTCGCGAGCTGCCAATACAGGGTTCTTTGTCGGACTGGGCAATTTCGCTGGAGTATTGAGCGCTGGCACATTCCGAACCCAATATGCACCCAAGTATGAGATTCCGTTGATTGGTGAGAAGTCATTGCTGACTGAAAAAGGTATCTACCAACTCTCATAGCGACTTGTTGTTGTAATGCAGTCTGTATCATTCTTGTTCTCGGACTGGGAGGCTGGATGCGCATGGAGAATCATCGCCGGGATAGCAAACAGGGATCTACATTGAGAGAGAATGAGACTGATACCAGTCGGTTTAAGGAAGGCGAAAAAAGTCCGCAGTGGAGGTATTTCCCTTGATATCTTCGGATTCTCTTGAAAAGATGGCAAAGTAGTCCTGGCCAAGAGATGCATTCCCGTTTTCCTGTTGTGTTTAGTACATCTTTTCCTGTTTAGGTAGGACGTCGATCTGATCTAATTTCGCTTTTTATTTCTGGGTGTATTTCCTTGTGTGATAGAATATCCTATGTTGTATACTATGGGGTATTTGGAGAACATCCCCCCAACCTCCGCAATCCCCCGGCAATAGGGGGGTAAATATAACAGATCTAAGTGGCTAAGAGTTGACTTGGCCCTGAAACGTCACGATAAGAGCATTTTAGATGTTTTAACATATACCAATCACCTATATTAGCGTGATCCTGCCCCCGCATCCTTATCAGTAGACACCGGGGTTTACTCCGAGGAAATTATCGACATTCAAGTAGACAGCTGGGCCTCATTTCGCACATGGAAACCCCCAACAATGAAAAGTCAGGAAAAACACCCGTGTCAACACCCAGGTTGTAGCAAGAGCTTCACGCGCGCAGAGCACCTGCGTCGCCATGCGCTCAATCACGAACAGGCCCGCAATGGCTATACCTGTGAGCGTTGCTCTGTTCACTTTCAGCGAGCAGATCTGCTAGGTATGAGGAATTTATTTTGGTGGTGAATCAATTGCTGATGGGTCCAGCGCGACATATGGAGCGACACCAGAAACGGGATCTTGAAGCTGGAGGGCCCGGGCAGGGGACGTTGAAGACGCGAAAGAGGACTCGGAGGGCGGAGGATGGGTCTATTGTTGTGCGTCCTTCGCAACGACAAATCAGGTCTGCAGCTTCGACCAGATCCCCCATCTCGGCGAATAGTTCCAGTCAGGAGCCAGAATTGAGAGAGGAAGAACGCTTTTATAATAATGTCCCATTGTCACCACCTGGCTCGGGCACTGACCCAACCTCAATGTCAATGGATGATACGGATCCTTTCTTGGCTTCACTGGTGCCAGCGGGACCCTTTGAGCCATATGCTGAGCCAGTGCCTGGACAGTTCGATGCAGCGGATGGATCTTTTGGTGTACAGTTGGATGGCATAGGGGATTATTTTGGAATGGACACTGGTATGGACGGCTCCCAGTCTCTCGTAATTTACAATGCTAATCTTAGTAGCAACCGACTTCAATCTCCCATTTGCAGCAACTTGCAACTACAATTGGCTCTTCGACGTTTCCTCCCTCGACGATGCTTTTAATCAGTTCAATCTCCCTCTCGGATTTGACACAGCCCCCATTTTGGAACAATTCAATTCGAATCCAGCGGAAATAAGCGAGAAGTATGATGGCCCGTCGGCCTTGCTCATGGCATCAATCATCGACAGAGGCGAAACATTTGGTGAAACTATATCACCTGCCCTACCTAGTATCCCAGACCTGGATTGGATGTCTGGGGAGGCAGCGTTGGACCCGGATCTTCCAAAAAATCTACCGATAGTATCGGAAGAAGCCCGAAAAAGCATTCTAGCACTAGTGGCACAAGCCCACCCGACAAGTATCGGTGGAGACCCCATGGTGCTTGACTCGCCGCTCCTCACACTCGCTGCGCTCCAGTCGTACTGCGACATGTTCTTCGATCGCTTCAATACAACATACCCTCTAATTCACCAGCATACATTCAATCCAAACACCGCGCCGCCAGTATTTCTCGCCTCAATTCTCTTCATGGGTGCAACATACAGCACACGCGAGGCCCACCAGTTGGCAGTAGAGGTCCACGATGTCCTACGAAGTCAACTACTCTGCCATCCTGACTTCTCACCGCAAGCTGACCTTTGGGTCTTGCAGACAATGCTTCTGATAGACTGCTTTGGCAAGATGCGAGCTGGTCCAAAGCAGCGTGAGCGCGCACAACTGTTTCACTGCGTGCTTATCAAAATGATCAGACGAAGTAACTGTTGTGGTATACGCGATGTGTCGAACTTGAACCAGTCAGGGGATTTGGAACAACTGTGGCGACAGGCTATGGAGGAAGAACAGCGTAAGCGGGTGGCTATACATTGCTTTATGTGGGATACACAACACGCAGTTCTCTTCTCGCAGTCGCTGTGTATGTCTGCCTTCGAGATCAGATCTTCGCTCCCATGTTGCCCTGCAGCTTGGGACGCCTCTTCTGCGCGGGAGTGGTCGCAGCACGCCTTTCGTGAAGAGAACCGGCCGTTCCTTACTGTTCTGAAAGGATATATTACACCGTCGGCTGTTGCGCGGCCCCGAGATCTGAACTTCTTTGCCCGAATCGTGGTGCTGCACGGGTTAATGTCTGTCTCTGCGGACCTGAAACGTCGCGATCAAACAACGTTACGGTCGGAGACCCCCGAGCGTGTCGGGGCTTGGACCCCGCGCATGGGTCGGTCCTATGATCTATGGAAAGTCGACTTCGATGCCGACTGCCTTGCCATCAAGCTCGCTCAGACTGCCAGCCATCGGCAGTTTACGGGACTCAAAATTTCGGGATATGCTCTTTATCATGCAGCGTATCTCGCATTGAACGTCGAAGTCCTCGATTTGCAGATTGTTGCTGGCGCATGTCAGATCCTGGGGCGTACAGTGACTGAGGCTGATCAGGCACGGTCGCTGCGAAATATTACCAGATGGCTACAGGAGGAATCTGGACCCTCCTGTACGACGGCCCGACAAGCGGCGTCATTACTCCAGGATGCGGTGCTGAGTCTTGATGACTGGGACCAGGCTGATTCCTTCCACTTCCCTTGGTGTTTGTATCTCTGCACGCTGGCCTGCTGGGTTTTCCACCGTGGGCCCAATATCTCCTCTGACGAGAACCGGATCAACACTGATCTGTCTTCATTGATAGTGATGCTAACCAATTGTCCCAGCCTACCGGAGCTAGCGGTTCTATCTGGCAAATATTGCCCTCGCCCTCTAGCAGCGGCTATGGCCAAACAACTGGCGACCGTTCGATGGGCCGTTGTTCACGATGCTATGAAAGTTTTGATGAGATTGTCATGATAGTCTTTGTATTTGATAGTCAATATGTAGTTCTCCCAATCCGACATGTTGATCTAAACAAGCCTGCTCTATGCATGTCTATTTAGTATAAAAAGGATAATCAGTATAACCCTTTTCAGCAGAATCAGCACCATAAAATGTCGTGCGATCGTAAGGGGTCAAAGGCAAACCCTCTTTCAACCGACGCGGCAAATCAGGGTTCGAGATGAAATAACGACCGAACACAACAGCATCCGCTCCATCAATCGCAAGTTTCGCACCTGCATTCTCCGCGTCAAAGTTTCCAGCCGCCAGCAATGAGATTCCTCCCTTCTTGAGTGTTGGCCGGAACACATCTAGTGATGGCTTATCCGAAGCCAGGGAGTCAATTTTGGACGCTTCATCCATCACCTCGTCAAACCGAGGCTCGACCATGTGCACGTATGCAGGCCGCAGTTCCGCTGGTAGTTCAGCAATTTGCGAACACAGAGCTAGCCAGTTGGCGTTTGGGTTGGAATCCCGTGTGTCTTGGAAATAATTGTATGGCGACAAGCGAATGCCGACGCGGTCCGCTCCTATTTCGGCAGTCACGGCCTTGAGAACTTCGATGACGAAGCGAGATCGCTTTTCGATGCTGCCACCGTATTCGTCGGTCCGAGTGTTAACATTGTCGTGGAGGAATTGGTCAAGGAGATATCCATTGGCGCCTGGTTTATTAGACATTGCACGTAAAAAAGACTGAAAATTCTCTTACCGTGAACTTCGACGCCATCAAATCCAGCCTCTCGGGCTCGCTTTGCAGCAGCAACATATTCCTGCACGGTATCTTGAATTTCCGCTACAGTCATGGCTCGAGGTGGCGAGGCTGCGTACTCAGATCCATCGAGTGCGTTTCCACTGATTGGGATCTCACTGGCTCCAAGAACTTCTTTTCCTTCAATGAAGGAGGAAACCATGGCGCGGCCAACATGCCACAGCTGACAGTAAATATAACCACCCTTAGCATGCACGGCATCGGTAACCTTCTTCCAGCCAGCGATTTGCGAGGCTGTAAAGATGCCAGGTACTCCTGGGTATCCAGCAGCCTATAAAACATTAGGGTCACAAATCAATTGAACTGCTCAGTCGAAGTAAGGTGCTGTACATATCTGCTAATCGGTGTCGCCTCGGTCAACATAAACCCTCCCTCTGAAGCTCTCTGCGAATAGTACTCAACATTGAGCTCATTTGGGACATATACCCCTTCAGACTCCTTGCTCGCTCTCATCCGCGTGAGCGGTGCTAAAACAACACGATGCTTGAGAGTCAAAGCCCCCAGACGGATGGGTTCGAACAAAGGATTGGTGAATGCGATTGAGCCCATTTTGCAAGGATATATTGATTTTGTGATTAGCCCATTTTGGCCTCGGCTAGACTGATATATATAGCTTGGAGAGGCAATAGTATTCCATATTTGGTTATTCCATTCTTGAATTTTCCATTGAAGGTGGGATCCTTGATCGGTTTGAATAGTGGGATGAGTGGTGAAGGTGTAGTGATCGACAATCAAGGGAGACAAACCCTGGACAACCCCCACTATACAATGAGCTCCCCCACCTTCGAATGTATATTCCTTCTCAGGTTGAGGGTGATCTCTTGGTTTGAAGAGCTAGAACTAAAAAGTGTTTTCTATGGATTTCTAGATTGTGCTGTGTTGGTAGTATCTACCTCCATGGTATGCAAGTGAACCGTGAGAATCTGGGCCGTTTTCCCTTGGAATATATTAATTTTTTTTCCCTAATGTTTTGCTTTAGGGTACTATGAGCGGCGTCTTGTTATGTGATGATTGACAATACGATTAAACTCGTCATAACCATATGAAAAGGAGCAACTGCAAAAAAGAGGACGAAAACTCAGGTTGGAAAGCGAGCTTTAGTCTATTCATTCCACGCCTCGTAATTCAAGAATGAACTTCAGTTGCCCAATATTGCAATATCGTAAAGTGACGCGAGAAACAAACAGGTTAAGAGAGTATAAAAATATCGCGCGTCAAGAATTCTGGTGTCTTATAGTCTGTCAACACAGATCTGACAAAATAATCTAATCATTACACCATGAAAGAGAGATAATCTTGCAACCAATGTCCTATGGCACCAACCTGTTGGGCGTCCCAAGTATCAATGGCTCCAACATATCCATCGGGCCTCACAACAACCATTCCAATCCGCTCCATGTTCAAATCGCCAAACCACTTCGTAGTACAACTCGGCCCTCCGATATCATCAACATACAAAGTCCACCGACTGGCCTGAAGTATCTCCGGTAGGTCGGCAATCTCAAAATCGGACTGAGCAGACTTGGTGACCATCGCAAAAGTAAAAGCATTGGAAGCAGCAGTGTAGCGTTGAGCTTGAACAAATTCATCCGACGGAGAATGGCCTCTTGGATGCTTCTGGTACGACTGATCTGCTCGCACGTCGACATCAGTAAAAAGAGATTGCATTTGTTGGCAGATGTAGTTCAGCGATGTCTTTGAGCGGCTAACATCCGGCACGAAAATATAGATCTTAAATTGACCCAACAGCGGAACATCCAATTGAATATCAACCGGATTGGCATCGATATAACGAGTGACTTTGGCTGGAAGCTGGAGCATTCCAGGCCGAAGACAAGATGTTGTGGCTGGAGCTTGTGTCAACATCCCTGGAGCATATTCGGCTCCAACGCCGGATATGAATCGAATATTATCGTCGAAGTTCTTGGCCAATTCTGCATCGCCTGCTGCAAATGCTTTGCAGTGCTCGACATCAAAGTTGATGAGATCATAAGCAATCTTTTGTCTTTCTGCTTCGTAGGTCTGCAGTAAAGATGGTTTGGCAAGTCCGCGGACGAGGAGGTTGAGCTTCCATGCCAGGTTGAAGCTATCGTGCATACTGGTATTTGCACCTTGTGCTGCAAGAGCAGAGTGACAGTGGCCCGCCTATATCTTGATCAGTTCAGGAGTAAGGTGTGTTCCAACCCGAGTTTTCCGTACATCACCTGCAATAAATATCTTTGCCTCTGAATCCATGAAGCGTTTTGCAACCCGTTGTCCTACGACGTATGTTCCAAACCACTCGACTGTCTTCCACTCTAGGCTGAATGGTTGCATTGCCTCCCTAGCACGGCTCATGACATATTCAGCTGTGGCTTTTGATTTTTCCACTCGCTCCCCGTCGGTCGAACTTAACTCGACATATAATCGCGTCATACCTTTCTCGCGCGGAATCCACAAGATCGATCCGGCGGAATGAGACCGCAAGGCGACTTTGCTCCATAGATCAGGGAAATTTGTATCGATCACGCCTACTTGGTCAGCCAACCTTTCTCTTGATAGACTGGAAATACATACCATCGAGTACTCCCCAGGCTGCATTCGTTAATTCTCCCTTAAGTTCAGCATCCGGGATGAAGGATCTAACTTTAGATCGAGCTCCATCACATCCGACCAGGTATTCCGCGCTGATATTGTGTAGAGTATTTGTAGTAACATCCTCATAAACAATATCCAATTTGGTGGTCCCGTCTACGCGCGAACAAGACAAAAACTTGCTATTTCGCTTGACGAACACGCCCCGTGCCTCCATGTCGTCGATCATGACCTCCTCAACCATCCCTTGGTGTGCTAGCAGAATATATGGGTCGGAAGCACCGACGTGCTCAGGATAATGGGTTTTGCGACCTGTGCGTCTCAGAGACTCGTTGGCTGTTGACTCCTACCAATTCATCAGCCAGACCGAGAAGCAGCAACTGTCTTCAAAAACGTACCCAGAAGGAAATATCATACACCCGAGCTCCATTTTTCAGCAATGGGTCTGCCAATCCAAGTTGTCTGAATGTTTCGATGGTCTTAGGTTGCATTCCATCGGCCTTGCCTGTGGATGTCTTGTCGGGACGATCGTCCAGAATTACCACGGCGATTCCAAAACGAACAAGATTGCATCTTCAAAGTCGTTAGTATATTCTCGATTGAAAACGATAAACTGACATACGCTAACATCAGCCCTGATGGTCCCGCGCCCACCACCACAACCGTAGTGGAAACATCGACAGGACCAATTTTGTAGCCTTCATGGTCTGCACTGGGTGACATTATGCGATTCAACTTGATTGACAAATCCATTCATTCTTTCTATCTTCTTTATTTATTGAAATCACCACGGGAGAAAACCCCCACTCTTCAGGTGTTTATCACCATCGTGTCACCCCACCGTCCACAACAATATCCGACCCGGTCATGTACGAACTGGCGTCACTTGCGAGGAATACACACGCCCCCATGATATCTGCTGGTTCGGCAATTCGTCCGTTCATGGCTTCTGATTTCCAGCCGTCCAGGAGATGGGAAAACTGGCGATTCTTAGCGCATAATCTGAGTCCTCATTCTTTGAAACTTACCGCGGCCGTCATTTCCGTTCTCACATATCCGGGAGAGATGGAATTGACCCGGATACCCTATTATACAAAATCAATGGCCTTTCGGGGTGATTTAATTGGAGTCAACTCACATATTCCGCCAGCTCCTTGGCAATCGCAGGACACATCGACTTGACTGCGCCCTTTGTGCCACAATAAGCCGAACATAGATGGCTTCGTACGGCGATATGGCTCGCCATACTAGCGACGAGAATTATGCTCCCGTGTTTTGTTTTGTTCGCAATCATTTGTTTGGCTGCAAGCTGGGCAGTGAAGTAAAGTCCGAGTACGTTGATAGATAGTAGATCCTGATGATCCTTGTAGGTAAATTCCAGGAATGGGAGATGTCGATTAATACCGGCGCATGGAACGCAGATATCAAGAGCATTATCAAAATCTTTCTGAAAACCGGCGAAGCCTTCTTGCAAAGACTCCTGGGATGAGACATCGACTCTGCTGTCGTTAGCGATGTAACAAATTCTCGAAACATAATCCACCCACTTGTAATACGCAGTTCGGACACCGCAGTCCTTCTGAATTGCATGAAATCCCTCCTCTGGTGGAACAACATCGAATACAGCTACATCGGCGCCAGCTTCGGCGAGTCCCCGCGCGAATGCGAGTCCACAGCCCCGAGCGCCTCCTGTCACCAGTGCCGTGCGCCCTTTCAAAGAAAACTTGCACAGTTAGCGCGGACCTTCAATGAAGAGTTGAAATTCTCACCCTAGACATCTTGCAGTGTAGCCGAATACCGTCTTTCTGTGTAGTATACCCCTTTCCCTCCGAGATTCTCACCATTTAAGCTATCGGATAGCGGCACCACCACACTTAGCTAACCCCCATCTTTGCGCATAGTTGGAGTCGATCTAAGCAAAAATGGAGTAACTATGTTCACTGTGTCTATCTATCATAAGTACTCCTGTATCATTGAAGATCGGACGGTATTCAGCAATCGAAACATCCCTCATCTGGTTCTGTTACACATCCATCACAATGGCCCCTCAGATCCCCATCAAAGAGCAATCCACCCGCTTTGCATCATGCAGGCTGAAAATTGTCATCGTCGGAGCAGGTCTCGCAGGGCTTGGATCTGCCATCAGTTGCGCGCTAGCTGGTCATGAAGTCCAGGTCCTTGAGGCAACACATGAAATCAGGGAGGTCGGCGCAGGAATTCAGATCCTACCCAACAGCTCGCGTGTCCTTCAACATTGGGGCCTGGAAAAGGCTCTCATACCACATATGACATATCCCCGGTTTTGTAACTTCCTTGGGTGGAAGGGCAATGCCATTTCATCGTTGGACTTTCAAGAATCGGAGAGTAAGTATCCGGGAACTTGGTATCGAGATTTTCACCGCGCGGACCTACAACAATGTTTGGTTGAGAGGGCGCTCGAATTAGGAGTTACTCTTACCTGTAGTGCTCGTGTCGTGAATGTCACCGTGAGCGATGATGGAACCACAGCGACTGCTACTGCAGCGGACGGGAGACAATGGATTGGAGATCTTGTCATTGGTGCAGATGGAGTGTTTGGAAAGTTGACAGAGGGACTGCTGGGTAGAGTCGACCCGCCGGTGAAGACTGGAGATCTCGCGTACCGCTTGCTTTTGTCCACAGAGGAGATGCGGAAAGATCCTGATCTTGTGGACTTTGTGACGAATCCCCAGGTCAACTACTGGCTGGGTCCGGATGCTCATGCAGGTATCTTTTGCCTTCAATAATATGGTCTCCCGTGCTAATTGTGTAGTGAACTATGTCCTTCGTAATGGGGAATTATTCAATATGGTACTCCTTGTCCCAGATGATATTCCAGAGGAGTCCCTGGCATCGACAATTGAAGGGAACGTGGAAGAGATGTGTGCTTTGTTTAAAGACTGGGATCCTCGGTAAATTGTACAATTCCCACCTGGTGCAAGATTTTACTGATCTTCATAGTATCCCCAAACTCCTCAAGCTCTGCGAGTCCGTCCAGAAATGGCGTCTCTGTATCCGATTTGGAGATTTCGACTGGACTCACCCCTCTGGGGCCTTTGTGATGCTGGGGGACGCCGTTCACGCTACATTGCCATACTTGGCATCTGGGTATGATTTCCATCTTGACCCAATTTCACTGCATTTCCTAACAATTACAGAGCTGGAATGTCTTTTGAAGATGGAGCCGTTCTCGGCGAATGCCTCTCTCGGCTCCCTAATAGTCCCGGTATCTCTAGGACCTCGGCCGAATTCCTGACTGCCAAACAACACGCGCTTGCCATCTTCCAGGAATGTCGCAAACAACGAACAAAGATGATTGTTGAGCGGGGAAATATCCAGCAATATCTCTACCATCTCCACGACGGCGCTGAACAGGAAGAAAGAGATCGAAAGATGCAGATGGTCCCGACGCCCGAAGGAGAAGCATTGGCTTGGCGGGACCCTGGTTTGGCACCAAAATTGTTGGGATATGACCATATTGCAGACGTGCGTGCTCACATTTCTCACACTGGGCTTCGCTAACCATGATCAGGTTGACCGTCGATGGAGTAAATCATTAGGAACTAATGTTGTTGAGTCAAGACTGTAGGGGTGAGAATTCGGCTGAGAGCGGGTGGTTCTTGCCCTCCGTCGTGCGAAACCGCACTAGCTTTTTGTTGCATAGGCTCAGATACAGCATTATTAGTTCACTTCACTCTGACTCAAACAGTATGCTTTTATTACCTGTGGGTCTCATTGAATCTAATCCAGGATTGGCCAGACCAACGGCGGCCAAGATACGGAATACGGGAGTTGTACTATACTTAGCGGATACCAGGGGATTCCAAGTGTAGATTAAACTTATTTAATCTGACAGTTCTGCCAGGCTTTCTGCCTTGGACCATGTGGTTTGGATTGGTATCCTACATCGGCCGCCGTACCCTCGAGACATTGAGACGTGCTCAGCTAAGGAACTACATGACTACATGAAAATTCTCCTATCACCCGCGTCTCAGCAGGCGGCCTTCGTAGATTCCAATATCAGAAATCACTAATCACTGCCCCCGAGAGGAATCAGCCACTACTATAAAGCAACCGTGAACCAACTACACTGGGGCTTAGATGAGCCAACATGCGCGGATCCACATTTTACATTCGAGTTATAATGTGATGAGCCCTAGAGTTCCTTATATACCACCGTTTGATATTGAACGAGTCGCTCACTACAAAGATACCTGTAGGTGGTTGACTCAGATGTGGGAGCCATGGTTGTTATGAACTAAACTTGTCGAAGTCGAGTATGAATTCCGTCGTCACACAAACTTTGAAACTGTCTAGCGAAACCATTGATCTGTCGCCGAATCCCTTTGATGAACAACCTAGCAGACCTTGCATTAGCTAAATTGGTGGGCAGTTACCTATCTATAGAAATCATGATGCATTTTCGAGACTTGATCCAAGGGTTAATTCGATACCCTAGCCGACTGTTTGGATCTGAATTGGGAGATGATATCTTAGTGATAAGCTTCGGGGACGCAAGCCTTGAGGTCAAAACGAGGAACGACGTTCAGAGAGTAAGCAAAAGGCTCTGGGACTTCAGCAGCACAAGAACCCTCATAGGCGCTTCCGCTCCTCAGAATCCCCGGCGTGAGTGTAGATATAATATTTGCTCATTTGATGAGAGTGTCTTTGCCGAAATATTCAAGAACCTTTCTTTAAATTGTTGCTTGCGTATCTTGTCAGTCTTGGAGTTATTTTAGTGGTTCTTGCAGGATGAATTTGCAGACTATCCGAGTACTTGACTTTCTAAAGAAATCTTTCTGCTGGTTCTGTCACATCTACAATTGATCTTTCTGCTGCCCAACCTCAATAACGCATTTCGTAGTGTTCACAATATGGATCACCCACCAATCAAAGCCCCATACGCGGTAGGCGTGGTGATTCTTTTTGGAGTTTAATTGAGCCTTGATACGGGCGACTAAGTATGCCACCTGGGGCATAAACCTCCCACAGAATATTGCCTGGTAGTATTTCAGTGATCCGAAGGTTTAATGCCTGATTTTGCTGTTTTATGTCTAAATAAGTGTAGACGGCCGCTTCTGCGGCCCTATAATATGTTGTTATAGAGATTTTCAGGTTTTTTTAGTAGTCTTTTTAATAGCTTTTTCAGTGGGCTTCCCGGTTTTTCTAATATAGAGGGGCCCTATAAGTATAGGCGACTAATCTTAGGACAATACCTTGAGCCTCAACCTTACGGCCATGGAAGAGGTTGGCTGTTAAGACATTGACGTACTCAACTTTCATTAGATCGACAACGGCAGTAGAGTATTCCTCATCCGGTTCTCGTCCGTCCGAACGGCTCCTGATAGTATGACTTACGATACCGGACCCTTTAATGTATACGCATACTTTTCTGGAGTAGCGGGAGCGAGCAATATATATACAGTTGTTTTCTTTTCCTTATTCACTCTGATCTTCACGGCTATATCTACCTGACGTATGACCTACAATTCTTTTATTAAGTCTCGATTACTGTAATACGCTGACATGTTTTTATCACCTGTCAGAACTGGACAGTGTCACTGAGTACCCACTACCATTCCCCTCTCCAAACCCCCATTTTTGATATTTTGGAGTCGACCTGGGTGAAAGTCCCTTTCAAATCAAAACTATACATTTATCTTATCATTCAGCATATGCAACCCCCCAATCCCCCATTCTCAATCTCTCACGCAAGAGTACGCTATATAGACACAACGGCCACAGGTCGTCGTATTCCTAACTTCCAACATATCCATTCAAAATGTGGCGGCTTTTTACCTCAGCAAGCACAGCAAAAGAAGACCCTCCACGCGGTCTACCAGCATCATGGTATCGCTCAGAAGCAATGTACCAACTGGAGAGACGGGCAATCTTCTCCAAGCGATGGATGCTGGTCACCCATTCCAGCCGTTTTAAGAAACCGGGAGACTATCTCTCTTTCACAATCGCCAATTTCTCCTTTTTCCTCATTCAAGACCGAGACGGCGATATAAACAGCTTCCATAACGTCTGTCGTCACCGCGCATACCCCGTTGTCCAATCCCCCTCCGGTACAACATCCATCCTAAGCTGCAAGTACCACGGATGGTCCTATGGTCTGAAGGGCAATCTCGCAAAAGCTCCCCGATTCGAGACTGTGCCTGATTTCGATAAAATGCAGCACTCGCTATTCCCAATCCATGTGCACATCGATAAAGCTGGTTTTGTGTGGGTCAATCTGCAGGCCGGTGAAACGGATGTCAAATGGGAAGATGATTACGAAAAAGTCGATGAGGAGCCCCGAATGCAAGACTTTGATTTTACTGCCGAGTTCAAGTTCGACCACTACTGGGAGATGGAATTAGATGCAAACTGGAAGGGTGTTATCGAGAATTATAATGAGTGCTACCATTGCGCTACTTCTCATCCGCTTATCAATGGCGTGTCGGATTTGCCAAGATATCGGGTTGAACCCAAGGCTCGGTATATGGAGCATCATATCTTTAATAAGAAGGATGCTGATAGCCAGTTTCGGCGGGCCATCACGTACTTTTATCCTACGACTTCTGTAACGGTGACGTGAGTATATTAAGCCCGTGCGGGAAGCTTGGGATCAGCTGGGCTAACGGGAATCGAATCAGTGATAAATTCTTCTATATCCAGCGCATGGTTCCTGTATCTGCTACTTCAAGCAAGATTGAAAACGAGGTCTACCGCCACCGGGATGCTACTGATGAGGAATTCGAGAATATCAACGCGTTTTATAGGCAGGTTCTTGACGAGGACAAGGAGCTTTGTGTTGGCACGCAGGAGAACCTTAATGCTGGGGTTTTCACCAATGGTGAACTACACCCTAGCAAAGAGAAGGTAGTGATCCAAGCATCAGTCTCCTTTCACAGTGGCTAACCTAGAGCTTAGGGGCCCATCCACTTCCAAAGTAGCGTCAGAGAAATGGTCATGGAACACCGGAAAAGGGAGGAAAAGCAAGGAGGACCGGAGATTTGGCCGGCTACCCCAAAGGCACAGTTGTCCAAGACTTTGTCCGAAGATCAAGCCTTCTGTTCGCAGTTGGAGACGTCTAGTTGTGTGGCAAAACCGGAACTGGCGTGGTAGTTTGTGCTGATTGACATATACATCTACAATTCGAAGCTTGAGATACAATCTTACGATTTTGACCATGTAGAAGAAATTCCCGAAAAACTGATTGAAAACAAAACAAAAGCACGACGGCCTGGATCATAAATTCGCTAACTAATCATACATGTAGCTCCCACAAGTAACAATAACCTATTGATTCAACCCAAGAGGGTTATCCGCGGTCTGCTGCTTTCCGCCAACACTGGAGATACCACTTTGTACGCCCTGGCCTACACCCTTCGTTGTATTCCCAAGGCCCTCTGTGGCGCCCGAGACGGTATTTCCCAGGCCAGATGTTGCGTCGCCCACGGTTGAGCCGAGACCGCCGACTGTGCCGCCTAGTGTGTTTGTGACGCCGCCGACTGTCTTGCCCAAGGTATCGCCTAGGCCGCCGAGGAGTCCAGCTAATGATCTTGAGTTAGTTTGATTTGGAGTTTGGGGATTCAAGCATAGGGAACGTACGGTTCTGTTCGTTGGACATAGTGATTATGTGGAAAGGTATGTGTGATTTTGTGTTGTATGGATTAATTATGTGTAAACAGGTGGGTATTCTCAAGTGTGTGATAGTGAAGATATTAAGCTAGAGTCGTTGGCGTCGAAGTCTTTATTTATGTCAACCCCACGCCCTCAAACCGGTTACATAGCCATGATATAATGGGTGCAACATCCACTAAGATCATATGCCTGTCAACCACGCGCCATGATCGAAGGTGTCCAATGACAGGTACAGAAATAAAGGCGATCCCTTTTTTAGCAGCCACCATCGGGCTTGGTATCTTCGATGTATCCATCTGACGTATGGCTGTACCCCATATTCCCGTGGATGATGAGGCCCTGATTGGTTGATATTCTCCGGTTGCCTGTGGATAGTAGCATGGGAATTTCCCAAAAGTCTCTTAGATTAAAAACGACCGTAGCCAATGGGCATGGTGGTTGTGAGGGTTCTGGTTCCAAGTTTGGAGTCCAGGGGTATGATGTCATTTACTCTCCAATTCGATTGGACCTGGATATTTTATATTAACTCTGGAGGAGATGATCTCATCTTCAACTGTCTGCAGGGATTGATTGGTATGAATGTTATTGAAATCGGAAACCCCCAAGGTCCTTGTCCGGAATATTATAGGTGTAAAGGACAAATTGCATTAGAATATCTACAGACTCGACTTTCCGCGAGACTCATATGGCATAAACAGCACAAGAATGCCCGCCGCGATAAACAACGCCCCGCTAACGTAAACAGGAGCAGCGGTGGTGAGATCGGCGAACATGGCAATGATAGGAGCCATGATACCAAAGATGCGATTCGCAGACGCGGTGAGTGCGTTCCCTGTACCACGGTCCTTGGTGAGGAATATCTCAGGCGTGTATGCGTATAACACGGCATACATGAGACTGCTCATGAAATTAAAGGCGCAGTTCCAACCTAACAGAGCATTTGATGTGGTGGCAGTTGTTGACGCGAGGAGGAAGGCTCCAGTTATAGCCGTCGAAGTGCTGAGAGCGCCTTTCCGGCCAAAGCTTGGTAATTCGACTAGCACTCCACCGATCAGACAGCCCGGGATGCCCATCACGGCAATAATTAACGAGTTCCTATACGTGATGTAGGTCGACCCATCGCCGAATTCGGCGCCTCGGGACTGTTGGATGTATGGAAGGAACGCATTGTACAGTGGAAAACCCAGACCGATGAATGCCCAGACAAGGATAATCAAGGTCGTGGCCCATGCTTGCTTGGGGGTATTGAACAGGGCGCGGATGTGATCAAACCGCACGGTTTCTAGGCGTTGGCGGACAATATTTGCCGCGCTGAAATGCTGTATCTCGCCCTGGTCCAAGGCATCGAGCTCGAGGCTTGTTAAATCAGACGGTTTTCCATTCCTTCTACCAACTTCATGGACCACTTGCACGGCCTGCTCGTTCCTCCCTTTTCCCATGAGGTACTTGGGCGACTCGAAGATCGTAAAAAACACGAACCGACCGACGAACATCAGCATTGCGATGCCACCCATTGTGATCATGAACCATCGCCATCCCATGTTGTCAGCTTTCGTGCAGCCGTCTGCTGAACCACAAGTCTTATACCCAAGTAGCGGCCAACCGATCAAAGTGGCGAGCAGCTGCGCTAAAGCCCAGTAAATTGACAAGATAGTCAACAGGTACTGATGTGTTCCAGGCAAAAACTCAAGGAAGATGGCCGAGTCAACCGGCAGATTCCCTCCGACGCCGACAGACCACAAGGCGGCAAATGTACATATGGCCGCAAAATTGGGCGACCCCGCCGCAACTAGGCCAAACACCGCTGTAATTCCGATCGTCAAGTTGAACGCCCATCTGCGACCGAACACATCGCATCCGAATCCCCAGAATACAGCACCCACCAGCAGCCCGATATTTTGCGCAAGTGTCAACATCGGGGCTTTCGAAGGATGAAACTCGTTCGACACTGCGGGGAGAATCAGGGAGGTGACAATTGGCCATAGGTTATCGCTCGCCCAACCGAATCCGATCACCACAAACAGCTGCCATTGGTATCGGCCCATTCCGATCGTCTGAATCGCATGGTTGAGAACCTCCGCTTTGGCTTTGTAGTTCGCGTCGGGGCCCTCATCTCGGAGGACAGCAGGGTCCTCGACCGCCGTTGGCTGAAAGCCAGGCGATTTGGGCGCTTCTGACATATCGTGTTGAGAACAGGGACAGGGTAGGAACTTGGCAAAGGGGGAGAACAGCTTATAGCTTCAGAGTCCGTATTCTCGATCTAACCCCAATCAGGTGGGAAACTCCAAGTATCTAATCATATCGCCTGGGGAGCTCCAGATCAAGTTTCTTCGAAGCAGATCTTTCTTTTCCCTTGACTTCGATTGGATGTTTTGATGGCGTGATCGATGGCTGGTTTTGTGTCAGATTCAGGGTTTTTCATCGCGCATTGCCCCAAAGCAGCAAGGGGCAATCCTTCCATTCCTGGCATGCAGGGATCTTGGGTGTCACGTGGCTTTGAAGCATTATTTTAAATAGTCAAGCAGCAAGTATAGAATCATCTGACAGGACTCAGGCAATTTTAAGCCTATATACTGCTCATCATGCCCCGTTTGTATATGGGCTCCAAGCACCATATGGCGAAGCATCAAGATAAGCATTATATATGCAAGATAAAGCCCACCGTGATTCAGCGAGATATAAGATGTATCTGGATAAAACGAAGTGGAAATAGTAGGGACCAAGCAACGCAGCAAGATCTGGGTTCATAGTAGCATAAGAGCACTCTGACAGTGCCGCAGTAACTGTGACCGTGATGTGCAAGGTATAATCATCTCCATCCTTCAGATAAGCACCTGATCAATTTAGACACTCGTGTGTCGCCGGATTCTGCCGTTGGAGAGGATCGTGTCGCTTGTGCTCTAGCCTCGTGGAGAACGCTTCTGGTCTTTCAAGAGGCGAGTCCGCCAAATGAAGCAGCCTATCTCTCATGCAATCCCGCTGTACGGAGCGTTCTTGTGAGGCCATGGACCAGACCGACGTTTGGCGGTCATACAATGACATGGAACAACTGATGGGGAGATATGACAAACTGCTCCAAGTTTCCAGGGGTAAAGCATGAGCTGCCAAGCTTGCACTTCGGTGGATTGATCGGGGCGGCAACGTACGCGCGAAAGGATGAGTGCCCGTAGCCGTTCGTTATTCGTGCTCAACCCTCGAATTCTCATTTTGTTCAGTTAACTCGTTATGCAGGCTTTAAACACGCTCTGTGTATGTCCATAACGAACATGATTAGCATTTTTCTCGCAATGTGATTGTCAATCATGTTGCGATATCACGCCATTGATTGTCTGTGTCGCGCTATCGACGCCAACATGTCCCCCACAAAGCTTGGCAATCTTATTTTATTCTCCGTTTTCCTTTCTTAGCAGTGGAAATTGCGGGCTGTTGAATCTGGCCGGCCTGTCAGGTCTGTTGTCAACTATTGAGTGCTTCAAGTGTCGAATTGACCCTCCCCGCTGTTCTCCGATGATAGTGTCATGGGAAATCAGATGACTTGGTCAATTGTTCGCAGTGTGAACTTGGGCTGTTAACAACAGGATCTGAAAGGGTAGAGCATACTCTCCAAAATTGGATAGCTCAGGTCAGCGGAGCTCAGTGTCCAGAGGTCATCGGTCTGGTGCGGTCTCTAAGGGTTACTAGGCCCTAGTCTACATGCCGCTGCAGTGACAATCGGGGGTTCAGATTGTCCCGAGGTCCCTACGATCGTTTAGCCTAGCGGCAAAATGCTCTTATGTAATCCATCAGGAGCGCCGGCGGCCTGATTTCTACGTGGTCACCCCAGCTTTGGACCAGGTTCAGCTCCTGTGCGGAGTATTAAGTGAGATTTTCGATTCCTTCGTTCCTATATCGGCCCAGATCTTTTCAGACCCGTGGGTTCCCCACATTGTGTTGGCGATTCCACAATAGAAGGGTACGATGCAAATTAAAGCTGCCTTTACATCCGGAGCGTGATCTTGGGGCTGCAAGAATGACCAATACGAGGAGTGCTGAAACAATACCTATTCTACGCTAATTATGGACATCGACTGGAATTTCCCGAGTAATGCGACTCAATCAATCGTCCCAATGAAGGAAAATCATACGTGGTTCCACCTTGGGGGAAAACTGAAGAATGATCTATCCCGACACATAGACCCCCATGGAGACCTAAAGAATAAAACCTTAAGCAGTCCATATGAACTCCATATATTTCGCGTGAGTCAAGCACTCCGAGTGGAAATTGATGTCTCCAATTCTCCAAAAAATCTGGAATTGTCGGCATACGGAGCTTGCAGCTACAACATGACTAGTAGTATGTTAAATTATGCTCAACCAGCAATAGAATAGCCAAGCTGTACGGAATACATAGTCTCAGTCTATCCCTCGTACCCGTTCACCCTACCGGTATATTCCGTACATGTCAGTGCACCACATGCCTATAAGCTAACTTGCCTCGTATTAAGGCCTGTGAAATCAAAGAACTAGTATTCGACAAAGGCAAATTCATCCCAATTTGCATGGTAATGGTCTTTTCCCAAATGCTTAACGAGGAACCTAGTCTAAATGACAGTTTTTTAAACTTTACTGAATCAAAATCAGAGGTCCAACATAAGACGATCGTAACATTGAGAAGATGCTGTAACACATCTACCCATTCATGACCTGATAAGTAACACATTGGTTTGAAATTCGAGCATAGATGAACTGAATCCCAGAACGCCAGCCAGCAAATTGTGGAATGTTGAATCCTTTCAAATTGCCTCCAGTAGTTCCGGCAGGAGATGGGCTAAAATACCACTCCAATCCCATTCAGCTTACGGCTCACCCGCTGTTATCAATCTAGCACTTGGCTCCGCCCTCGGTACCGCCGTGGCACGAGTTCCTGCCACAGTCCTGAACCTCTGTCCACTTTCCACCTTTGCATTCAACCTTTTTCATAGAACATCATATTAGCAAACCTGATTCGTATTTCAAATCTGGATACATCAACATACAATGCCAGTTCTGTCGCAACCACAGAAGTGTCTGTCTCCGTTGGATGACTTGCAAGGGCTGTTTGTGCGTCTTTGGGCGGGATCGTAGCCACTTCCGCAGGTGTCGCGGGTGTCTAGGACTGAAGCACTGACGGCGGTGGCAGCCATGAGACTGAAGAGGATAGCTGTGAACTTCATTGTGAAAGTGGTATTGGATGTTGTTGTTTGAATGAACTTATTGATTGTTCAGGAAGGCTTGATGTCCTAAGTTTCTGAGGATAGTTCGATGTATTTATAATTTTTCAGACAAAAGGCCAAGGCTCCTTGAGCTATTTCCTCAACACCGGTTCTACATTGTCGATTCTTGGAATAAAGCTCCTAGAAGGAACCAACATGTGCTGGCATGATTAATTGGTTCTTTGATTGAGGTTGTATTGCATGAATCTGACCACACGACACTGCTCTCGAGCCGAGGAAGAAATAGGTCAGAAAATACATATGCGTTTACTCGAATAGTAGAATCTCTACGTTGATCAACCTTGGCCTTTAGGAACACGGACGTTCATTCGTGGTGATTATCCCTGAAACCTTGGAGCTATGCATATAAGCATGCGCGGGTTATTGCCCATTGGGGCGGAAATGGGTCGTGAATGGGACATGTAAGTTTCTGCCAGCAAATTATATCTGAAGATTTCAAAGTTAAAGATCTGAAGATCGTTTCTTGATACAGCGGAAATGAAACTCCGACATTTTGGGGCTCTTCAATCGTATACTATTTGGATACTGGTCACTTATTTCCAGATCTTTCATGATAGGAAACCAATTTTGCCATTAACGTTATCATTGATTACGCAGGATTAATGGGATACCCCGGAAACTAGGAGCTAGGGTTGCCTTACTCTGTCCAATATAAGGACTTGGCAAACAATACAACGTTGTCAGCCAAAACGGGTCTCATGTCGGATATTGACCAATTGAGGTAACTTGCTCAGCTTCCAAGGTTCCAAGTTATCCTATGAACACGTGCGTGATGCGGATATGCATTAGGAGATCATAACAGGTATTTTCGTATTCATGTTGATTTCTCAAGTTGTACACCTGGATTTGAATTAATTGAATGTTACATTCCTAGATGGTTGTCACTGGCCAGGTAATAGCCCGCCAGAGCTATGGTATCACGTAGTCTAGACTCGATAGTCTGTAAATATATAATAATACACAAATCAATTTCTCTACTTTCATCTGAATCATTCAGTTGGCCTGTGTATCGGAGTTCTTCAACACCTAGAGCTCGTTCGACCACGTAAAACCCCGAGGTTGCATTTTGGCTTTGTGGCGCGGGAGATCCGCAAGCCTCCGTCTTTGCCAGAAGACCCTTTCGGATGTCTTGACTCTTGTACCTTTTGACTCCAGGTCATAGCCACTTATACTCCGTGGTGTTTCTCATTATAAATGAAAATCGAATTGGGTATGCGAAACTATAGATTGTCTTACACGCAAGGTAATGTTAGGATGTGAATGGTTCATCTACACCTGCAGGGGCTGGGAGTCTCTTGGCAGGACTATGTGCCCCGCCTCATGCATAGCTGATGGCTTCAAAAGGGTTAGAGGCGGAAGTAAGCGATGAGGATTGGGCACGGAGGAAGTAGAATGTACCCCTTGGTCATCTCCATGTTGTATACCAAATCGGGATGATCTAATCGAAGATACATACGGGGAGACCCCGGGATCGACGACCGCCGGGCTGCATGTAAAAAAACAACGTTCCTATAAGCGGCAATAGGGGCCCGAGACGCCCGGGGCTGAGAATTGACTGGTTCCCATTGAAAATTCAGGTCCAGCCCACTGGTACGAGGAAAGCGACTCAACGCAAACATCATGCTAACTGCCCAGTCCGAGGCTTACTCGTGGGAGTCACATGATCTGCAAAAGACACAGGACTACATTCTACAATAGTCTCACAATCTTCACTACGATCTCCGTTCAAAGGTCAAAGTGTCTGAATTGTCCCGGCTATATACGCAAAACCTAGCCTCGAAAGTTGAAGCAAGCTGGTTGCGCAGGTCGACAACAGGAAGTCTTCATATCACAGAAGAAATCTGATGCGAGATATAACAGCTATTTCCAAAACCATTTGCTCGGAGTCCAACCCTCCTCCCGATCATGTCTAAGATGGTACCTTAGATCATGAGACGCTCGACCTGGTTCTTGATAGCCTGGATCTGAGCGGTCAGCTCACTGGCCTCGTTGGTGGTGATGGAGGCAGCGATGACGGGGCGGGAAACACCGGTGGCACGACCGAGAGCCATCTTGCTGGGAACGTAAACGTAGGGAACCTGATTCGGATGATTAGTTTGGATTCTCGAAGTAGGGATCTAGGATATTTGACTCACGTTCTTGTCCTCAGCCAAAAGAGGCAAGTGAAGGACAATAGCGAGGGGGCTGGTATCAGCGGCCATGATGACAAGCTCGGAGGTACCACGGTTAAGGGACTTGGTGCACTCGTTGGCGCCCTTCTTCAGCTGACGGTAGTGAGCGGCCTGCTGGACAAGGTCGAGGAGGCTCTGGGCAAGGGCCTCATCGGCGATGGGCCAAGCGGCGCTGGTATCTTCGGCCATTGTTGTGTAGTAGTTGGGAATTCAAACACCAGATCTTAAGAAATGGCTCACTCGGTGGATCACGGCCGTGTAATTGCAACGGAAAATAAGTGAGATGGAGATGGAAGTTAAGTTCAAGATGGTCGGCGGAAATTTTTTGAGAGCGGACCGTCCAGACACACCGCCTGCCAGACTTGCAAGTATTTTTGCAGGTAGATCTCCACCGCCCATATCTCATTGGTCATTTTTCACAGGGCCGCCACTGATGGATGTCGTTCTATCAGGCTTCTTCGGTCTCTTAGTAACGGAACGACTAACTAATCACCTTACCGTCCATTATGGTACATTCCTGCCTTTCTCCTCTCTTTCATGGTTCATACAAATTCATAAATTTCATTATGTGCTTTTACAATCCTATGAAGCAACGCTGTGCGAGCTTACAATCGGATATCTGACGCCTGGAGGCCTTCCAAGCTCGAACACGGATTCTACCTGCCGAAGGTTGGCCGAAGATCTTACGCGATGTTGGCTGAGCGAGCGCATAATAAAGAATGCGAAGGATGGAGCTGTTCAAGAATCACGGTTAGCAGAGGTACTTCGAAGGAGATTAAGGTAGTAACATAGATGGCGCTAACAAAGTGATCGGGCCCGAGAATCAAGGGCGTCAACAGACAAGTTATTAAATGACAACACGGAGTATACCATCACATACGACCATAGGGTGTGGAAAACAGGGCTTCCCGTCCGCTCAGCCGTACTTAAGCCACACGCCGGTGAGTTAGTAGTTGGGTGGGTGACCACCAGCGAATCCTCACTGTTGTATGTTTTTGCATTTGTATTTTTTTGATTCATTGGGAGATCCCTCTTGTCGCTCTGCTCTCCAGTCCATTCAGCCTGTTCACCTGAATGCCCTGAACATCACTATACTACACCTGAGTATCCTGCACGCCCCTGAACTACTGACTGACGGGTTCTTCCTAGGCCTCCGCAAAGCCCATAAATGGAACGGGACCCCCGGCCCAAAGCCCAACCCATTAGTGGGTTGGGTTGGGCTTTGGACTTTGTAGGCTTTGCAGAGGCCTAGGCATGGTTAAGTGGCCTCGACTCGGTCTGCCTCCAAGTTAGGCGTCCACTTCTGATCATCGGAAGGCGACTTTCCTCCTAGGGAGAAGGATAAATTTCCTCAGTGGGCGTTGGTACATTGTATTAGTTCCGTCCGATGCGCCGTCCATTGTTGAAATCGAAATAGGAAGTGCTCCACGGTCTCTCTCGCTTGTCCACACGCACACTGGTCTATGTCTGCTAAGTTGATTCGATAGAGATATCCATTGAGTCTTGCCATGCCGGTTCAGAGTTAAGTCAGCACGCTCGCTTAATTCCAAGATAATCGGTCATGCAGCTGCTGGGTGTCTTGCCCGACACTCAGCTAGGCGGAAAATTAGTGCTGATAACCTTACGGCGACAGTGGATTAGGAAATGCACGTATCTCAGGCGAGGTTGTGGACCCGAAGCCAATCATATTTAATAAAAATAAACACCGTCCTTTTACTGATGGAGATGGTGTTCAACTAGGAAGCTGCCTGCTATGGAGGGTTTTGGACTTTAATGCATTGGTTTAATTGATTTACTCACACTGTTCCTCTGTTGCTCGCGCGAATGTTCAACGGGTGTAATACCCCTTTGGGGGTACCTTGGGGATTCGATTCATTCGATTCAATTGGATGTCTTCGATCACATTTAAGGCATAATGGTATTACTCTCCGGTCAGAAACAGACCAACTGGCTCTATTAGATGTCATTTAAAAAGACAGCTACATCAACGCTTCAACCGATCATTTGATGGAACCGCCGAACTGGGGTCAACCACGATTTTGAGTGATTCCGCTAGCAAACGCTCGCAGAAATCAGGCGCTTGTCTGTTTTGGTTGAAGAAAAGGATGCCCCGCCAGTTCGCCTGCTGTTCTTCTCGCATCTGGATGCCAGACAAGCATTCCCTTGGCGAGATCCAGAAAAGCTTCCCTCTCCTCTCCCTCAAGGAAGGAAACTGTGTCGTGTAGTTTCCGGTCAGGGATCAGGTCTTCGTAAAGAAAGCGACCTAAGATGTTTCGTGAGTCTGAGAATAATTCGTTGAAGATAGGAAATCTAGTGATACCATTATTGTCAAAGAATGGCCCGCAGAAGTACTCCTCCGCAGTCTCGCATACTCTGTCGTCTTCTCGTCTGACAGGTTCCGGCCACGAGTACTCTCGCATATATTGATACCTTTGTATGACCTCTGGAGGTGGTGGACCGAGTAAATCTATCATTTCGGCGAGGTGTAGTTTAGCATCGTAGCGACCTTTTTGATCATAAATATGCCGAAATAGCTCTTTTCCTTCGATCAAATCCCACAACTGGTCCGGCATTAGTGGATATAACAACTTTAAAGAAAAGCGGGACGTACTAGAACACCAAGATTCCAAATATCCGCAGGCATTTGCCATCCATTGCCCAATATCACCTCTGGCGCCCGATAGTGGTCTGGCTGAATAGGCCAGATACCCCAGTCATCGTCTTCCTCCAGTCTGGTTGCTAAGCCAAAGTCGACAAGCTGTGGTATACTTCTTAGGCTTTTAAGTGGCCCAAAGTCATTACGGGACTGATACACTGATCGTCCCGTCGAATCAATCTTGAAGGCCATCGGTTTTTCGAGCTCAGATTCCATGAAATCAGCAAGCACGGTAGGATCCTCGAATGAAACCATGATGTTTTCAAGCTTTAGATCTAGGCCGTTTAGGCTTAGTATCACCAACCGAACGTAAGGTCGAGGATGGACTTACCTGTATGAACTACCCTGCATTCTTTATGAAGATAATCAAGCCCCGTAAGAAGAGCACAAATATATGTTTTAATAAGGGGTAGTGGTATCTTTCTATCGTCAAAGCGCCGCTGATATATAGACAATGGCTCTCTCATAGGCGGATACACAAGACACGAATAAGAACCTTCTAGACCTTTAACTTGAAAAGAGTCTAATGATGTTCGGATAACTGAGCGGCCGCGGTGTGATAGGTCTACGGTGGAAATATGCTCTTCAACCCCGCGCTCATAACCAGCGGAACTCGCATTGTTATTAGCGATTTTTAGTGTCACGACGCTCTCTGGCTTTTCGATATCCCTATATATTTGTTAGAGACAGAGAGATCTTCGGATTAAACAGAAATTATTAAAGGCTACCCTTGCAAATCACGCGCGAGCCATACTGTTGAAGACACACCCCATCCAACCTTAACTAGGGTTTGGTAACGATTGGCGAGTACCTCTCCAGGCTTCGCTGGGTAGAAGTACTTAGAGTCGTACACTGGTGAGATCTCTTCATCAACGAGTATACCGGGCGGTAAAGGTGGCCCCGAAGATGAAATGGGAAACGATTTCTTGCGAAGTAAGGCGGACAAAGGAGGAATAGACGGCCTTATAGTGTTCATTCCAGAGTTACTCCCCGTAAGCTGACAGAGAATGTGATGTCAATAGTTGTCGAAGAAGGAGATCAAGGAGCCCAAGCATAGCTGGTAAACTTGATCACGTGGAGCGGTACTCCCGGGTGACTACTCCTGATACAGACTAGTGCGAAACAAGCTGCCAGCCAATGAGATCATCAGATGCCTCTGATCAAGTCAGCGAGGTAGATAACGGTCACGATTATGCTGCGTTGAGAAGGCAAGGCCTTTGTGAGAAATGGATGACAATATCACAAAAAGCCAGTCGGAATACCTGTCTCATCCTCGTACTACTTTGACGCCGAACAATAATAGCATGTCGGAATGGCTCCGGTAAGGCTTCACATATTGGCGACACTTAAGGTATATCCTGCTTCTTTGTAGCCAACAGCGCGTAGGTAGCCAATGATTCCTTGTAATGCTACTGGTGGATACCGGTGATCAGTCAGGCACTGACCCAACTTTGTTGCCGTAGTGCAAACTCATCTAGCACCAAGGAGTAAGCGCCCGCTTGCAACGGAAGCTGTTTCGGCCTCTATCTGAGCCTCGACTATAGCCATGTAGAGTGCGAATTACATTCTATCGTTTTCGAGTTTTACCGGACTCCTGAAACCTGAAAACTAAACCTGAAAATTATGGAGATGGATGTGAGGGGAAGACGGCAATGCAACCGATATAGTAGGTCAAAGGGGTATTAGTAGATACGCAAGAACAGCCGTAATCAGAAGCACCTATCCCTTAGTCCTCAATACGTTGTGGGAGCGCGATACGCCCTATGCAGTTTCATGGCTTCTCTACCAATGGATTTGGAAGTGCCCTGTGTAATCCACGACGGAAGACAGCCGGGATGAATTACGCACTAGTTGATTCCGCTCCTGATGAAGGTATACAAGATAGGTGTATAACTACAAACCATCCCCGGCCTGAACGTGCTTGAAGCCGTATCAATATCAAACGGCAAATAGGCATAGAGCCTTCTCATAATTTAATCCGCGTGGTCATCCATGGCTGGGCCCCAGAGTGTGCATGTTAGCGACCCCGCCATCAACTATTCCCATGAAGCTGTGTTTTCCAACATTCTATACACGAGGGTCTCTAATGATAAACGGCTGTGCGACTGTAGCAGTAACAACTGGCGATTTCGTAGTATTTGTCGATCCGTCATGGGAGTAAGTTGCTTCGTACGTGGTAGCGGTTAACTGCTTGATCCTTTTCAAATCGAGACAGTCAACCAACATAAGATGCCAAAGGTCGGCTATGCCGATGAAGCTTTTGTGCTGTAGATCCATTGCGATCTCACCGCTCGACGGATCTCGACTGATGTACGCCATATTCCAGCCTATATGGCTCTGATTCGTCGTCATGTACAGATCAGCGGTATCATCAATGCAAGCCAATACAAAAGAATCAAGGGAAAAGGATACAAGCTGACTAAAAATTTCGATCCAGAAAAAAGAGGCGCAAGTGGAGTGTGTAGGTTGAAATTAGGAAGCATGGAAGAGCCATGAAATGTCGTGGAAATGAAATTGTCTTCATATTATGGGTGGCGTACCCTCTGTGGGGAGTGTCTGTAGTTTTCGTAAAAAACGTAAGAGCCGGTTAGAGGCCAAGTTTTACTTAGTTGCCCGTATGGCACTCGTTTTATGCTATACAGTTTTTCGGGATGATTCTGGCGAGTTCACCTCAGTCAATTTTTGCGTAAGTTCTTGCCTGGACATCTATTGGTTGAACCCGAAATTGATCTTAGTAAGTGATTACAGATGTAGTAAACAGAAGGATTGACGCAGTATTCTTGCAATTAAAGGACAAAATACCAAGGATTTCTGAACTAAATGAAAGCACCTTTTGCTTTTTTTGGCACGTTTCTTAGGCAACGGCGAGCATACCCCTCATCTCTATCTTCGTATTAAAGCATCAAGCCGAGATCAAGGGATGAAACAGTACTCCGTATAGGTTGCGCAATTAACCCAATACAAACATCCCTCTCTTAATCCCGCAATCAAATTGTTAAACGCTACCTTACGACAATCATGGCCCGTACCGCAATTGTTACAGGTGCCGCGCGTGGAATGTATGTTCCTCCTACTCCCCTTCATGCACAGAGTATGCCCGTCCACATCTGACCAGATTCGAAAAAGTGGTCGATCTATAGCACTCCGGTTAGCTCGGGAGGGTTATTCTGTTGGCGTCAACGATGTTCACCGGGCCACTTCCGAGATCAATGCACTAGTTAACGAAATAAACAATATGGCGCGAAGCAGCGACACGTCGGCAAAAGCTCCCCGTGCACTAGCCATTCCTGCCGATGTGTCTTCAACCAATGCTGTCGCATCAATGGTATCAAAGACTGTCGCTGAATTAGGGCCGTTGACCCTTATGATCGCAAATGCAGGGATTGCTCCTGTCAGCCCCGTGCTGCACACAACAAAGGAAGATATCGATAGGATCTTTTCTGTCAATTTTGGCGGAGTGTTCAACTGCTATTCCGAGGCTGCTCGACAAATGATTGCCCAGGGTGATCCTGAGACTGCGGCCGGAGTCAAGAGGTACAAGATTGTCGGGGCTGCCTCCATAGCAGCATTTCGAGCTTTTCCTGGGTGTGGCATATACTCTGCGAGTAAGTTTGCAGTACGAGGACTTACACAAGCAATGGCCGCCGAGATGGCCCCCCATAGCATTACCGTCAATGCCTACGCCCCCGGTATTGTTGGTACACCCATGTGGAGTGAGATCGACGAAGCCCTGGGTAGGATTGAGGGGCGTGGCAAAGGAGAGAGCCTAGAACTTTACAGCAAAAGCATTGCCTTGGGACGGACAAGTGTTCCAGAGGATGTTGCCGGTCTGGTTGGCGGGTTTCTTGCTAGCCAAGATTCAGATTATGTGACCGGCCAAACGATCGTGGTGGATGGAGGTATTGTATTTACTTGAAACAAGATGTCCAGTTTTCGTGATCATGACTCCGCTACTTCACTCGCACCTCAAGGTCATTCTCTGGCGCTTATCCTTTTTGTTCTTCAGTCTAGCATATAATTAACTGAAGTAAAGTTTTTCAGTGCGATATTTGCTTTCACAAAGCTATAAGCTGCGTGTAATACATTTGTCTACTTATAAGTCCATCCATTAGCGTTGGATCGTCTCCGGTCTCAACATGAGCTCATTGACTCGTTCAATCCTCAGAAGTTGTAAATGGATGAAAATCTCTTTCCACTACAGATATATATTTGTCACAACCAGGGACTACATCTTTGCGATAGGGAGGGGCTAAAAGTGGAAATATGCAGACTCGTACAAACAGCTAAATTGGACGGAGGACAAGTTCATCAAGGAAGCGAGTACACTTTACTACAATTTAACTCTGAGTCCATACCTGATGGTATGTTCCTAACGAAACCCCATTTGAAGACCTATCAATACTGTTGAGATCCTAGGGTCGAATGACCGTGCTTTATAAAACACTATAAGATAGATCGGTCGATGGACACTGATTAGGTTTTTCATAATGATTCTTCTTCATTTTCATTTCAGGTAGTTGGGGCTAATATTATCATGCCAATGCAGCCTTGTGACGCTTTTCCGGTAGTCCCTTCGGTGGCCTCAGAGCTGCTATTTACACATATATGTCTTTGAGATATCTCCCTCTATCTTCTCGATTTTCGAGGGAGGCAGTGGAAGAAGGCGGGAACAGGAGCACACTTTGGGCAAGAGACTTTTCTATGTGCAAAGGTTGAAACACCATCTTATTATTCCTCTCATCTATGAATCTCAACGCAAATTGTGTGTACTCTATAAATCTTTCAGCTCCTATTCCAAGCACATACGACCATAGGGTGTGGAAAACAGGGCTTCCCGTCCGCTCAGCCGTACTTAAGCCACACGCCGGTGAGTTAGTAGTTGGGTGGGTGACCACCAGCGAATCCTCGCTGTTGTATGTTTTTGTCTCTCTATTCTTTTTTTTTGATATCATTTCTGTCTCCCAGGCACCCAAAAACTGACGGGTTGGCTATGCGGTAACTGACTTTTCCTAGGAATGGAAACACGTATGTAGATCCCTATCTCAGGGCTCTGCAATTGGTTGTTTGATGCCTGTCTGAGACTGTATTCCGTAACATTCAGGACCTAGTCAGATGTCTATCGCTGATTTAACATGTAGGTTGCTCGAAAATACTCGAGGAAAATAATGCCCTCGGCATTGTTTTACCAGGCTAGATCCAGAACAAATGTACGTGATACATAAGGAAAGTAGATACTACCCGAGAAGAAACTGACTGAATAAAGGAACAAATTCAGTGTACCGATATAAGAGGCGAGGAAATTATCGCCATATTCCTGGTTAACCTATAGCGTTCTTACTATTTAATTTGCATAGAACATTCATTTCTTCATTTTCGCTCCCTCATATGACCTTATATGTCCACTAAAACACGAGAATGGCTAAAAGATTTTGCGGTCTTCTCGTGCTGTGTTCTTATACTCATCACACCTACACACCACTCGAAAGTGTCTATAGCGATCCAGGTCCGCTTCAAAACATGGCCTATATCTCATGATGAAAGGCTTCATTTTCCCCGAAAATTGATGCAGGCTAAATATTTATATTCTATTCACATCTATATTCTTCCGATCAAGGCTGGCTTCATAAAATAATTCACAAAAAGACCCAAAATATTTAGTCCGTGCCGTTCACAGTGGCAGAGGCAAGCTTAGAGCGTGCACGCAGTGCAGGACCAAACTTGAACAGAATGAACGGAATAAATGTCAAGATGGTTGCCACTAATGCCAATAGCAATCCAGCATATTGACTCCCCATGTTGTGGAAGAACTGGGAAGCAAATAGTGGCGACACAGCACCGAGTGTGTTTCGCATGAAACCCTGACCGGCAATCGCAGAGGAAGAGTGTTCTCCGTAGCAATCGGCAGTGTAACTGTAGCAGGACTCGAAGATGAAGAAGATACCGATGGTGATGAGGGCCAGTCCGATGACTGGGCCGATCCAAGGGAGACCCTCGTATTGGGTGAAGCTGTAGATGAACAATCCGACCGGAAGCCAGACGGCTCCGCATAGAGCACCGTACAACCGAGCTTCAGGTGCGATCTCAGTGTTTGGGTCGGAGGTAAGGGATTTGTATTTCCGGATTTGCAGGAAGTTGAGACCGAAGCCAAGGGTGGTTCCGAGGCAGAGGGATATGTAAGGAAGCCCTGAGACTCCTTCATTCCAGCCACGCTTCTCCTGGAAGGTAATTGGGATTACGGATAGGAAAAGGAAGGTCAGGAACCAGGCAAAGCTGATCCAGAGACCGAAGGCGAAGACCACGGGCTCGGTGAAGAGCATTTTCACGGCCTTGACAGAGGAGTTGTGCAACATGTGTTTGAGGCCGGGGGCTTCGATATCGTTGTGGGTCACGAAGCGGTCGTCGCCGGTGGACTGGCGGATTTTCTTCGCGCGCTTGCTAAGACACACACTGCCGCGCGTTTCGGGTAGGCAAATTGCAATAACAATACCAAGGGGAATATTTGCTAGACCCTGGATACCCTCGAGCCAGCGCCAGCCGAGAGCCTGGTCAATGAAGCCGGCGTAGATTGGGGCACCAACTGTACCGAGGATGGCGATAAAGGCGAAGCAGGCCATAGGGATAGCACGATGCTCTGGTGTATACATATCTCCAAAGGTACCACCGACAAGAATTGTGCCAACACAACCAAAAAGACCAAGCAGGGCACGACAGACGAGAATTGTGGCAATGTTCTTGCCTAACGCGAGGCCAATAAACATAAGACAGAAGCAGACGTAGGCACCGACATAAATTACTCGCCGACCGGCCAGCTCGCAGAATGGAGCAAGGAACAGGGGAGCAAGTGCACACGTAAAGTTGAAGGTGAAGAGACCAAGTTTTCCGATTTCCTCTGATGTTCCAAGATCTGCTGCCATGCGTGAAATTCCGGAACTATACGCTGTTGTAGCGAGACCAATGAAAAGTGTCATGAGGCAAAGAAGAGCACTGATGAAGGCCTTTCGACTTGAACTCCAATTGAATGGGTTCTCCTTATCACCATCCACGAAGTCAAGCACGATGAATTCTTGCCCATCGTGCTGCTTGGGCTTTGTAGCTGTAAGGGGAAGATCGACGTCGACCTCTTGTAATAAGCTGCTGTCGTAGTGCTGGGTCTGCTCTTCTGAAAGTTCGTCCCGGTATTTTCCTCCGACGATTAGACCCTTCGTCGTGCGTGCCTCGTGGGCTTGGGTAGTGTGAAATGAGGGAACATTTTCATTATGGGAAGCCGATACGGGCTGAGGGTTTTTATTTGCCTTCATTGTGAATACTAGGGAAGGTGAAGGGTTGAAAGTCAGTCCTGGAGAGAATGAAGTGAATGGGCGTCACGCCTTCGCTATAATATTTAAGCGTTCCTGCTCGCCAAGTCCAACCATTGTACGTCACGCTCCGGACTCCAGAACTTCACAAGAACTGGCGGCTGCGGGATTATACGGAGAGTGGGGGAGGGGAATTCCTGTTAATGATTGATCATGCTGCTGGCATGGAGCCCAAGGAAGATTCTGTTGATCAATGATTGAGTCGGAATACCAAGTAAGTGGATATGGCAAAAATTAGAGCAAACCTCCTAGTGGCCGAAGCGTTTTTCTTTCTTTATGTTGGATGTAGCCATCGTCAATATCACTGGACAAGTACTGTAGCAATGACTTTATGCAAGTCCCGCTCCTTATACCCTATACTCTTTTGTCCACCCTCGTCTGTCAACATCTGAATCACGCCTAGGCCGCATATATAATTATACAGTTAACCACGGGATTCACGTTTGAGACATTTAAACTTTGAATGTATCGCCGACGATGGCCCGAATAACCTCCCGAGCCGGGTTGATCTCATTGGCGAGTGGTTCCACATTTCATCGGCATGCCGTTTTCCACTCGGAGTATCCGCGCCGAGATATAGGGCGATAGATTTCAGGAAATACTAACTGTTGAGTGACAGATTACTCTGTAATATACTCACTAGTAACTCGCCTTATCCATGAAGTTAAAAGTGTTCATATTGTTATGCTGTATATGCACTAAGCATCCACTCAGGAACTATCACTTCCCAGTGGACTTTTCGGTGAGTCCGATTGCAATAGAACCGATATTCGCCCCGTTGATCCCGATGATGTGATTAGCTGGCTAATCCTCGGAGCTCCATATAAATCTGTAGAATCAATCCCAATAACATCCTGTGTCTGGACCTCTATTCTGCGACCTTCCTCGACGGTCTCATATCACCCCAACCCTATCAAAGGTTCTGCAATCCGCGAGTCAGTTCACTCCGCCGTTTGATTCCGATTTGCGTACTATGTCCCATGGGGGTATGAAGTTTCGATTGTACGGAGTAAGATTAATCTTGGTTTCCAGCGGCTTGTGTTGTAGTCGACTGCCGGCTGACCCGGCCACATTGTCCAGACTCGTTCCATTCACCACTTCATGCTACGTGTATTATCTAATACCATTAATATTTATGCAATAAGTCTTGATATAATTGCACGTTACTTGTCCCATCCTTGTATAAATCATACGCTCAAACCGTCTCTCACTGAACCCATTACAATGCTCGCGCATCTAATTTTCACTCAAGCCTGATCTCAAATAGTTTTCTATAAAACTCTTTGTTGATAGCAATCGTAGTACTAGTGTCCCTTCTGTTTTCACCCAGTCCCCATTGATAAACTTCACTTCCGTTTCCTGGTCAGTTCGCAGATTACACTCCGTAGAGTAAGTCATGTGGAACGGCTTCTTAATGCTTGCATTATACCGCGCGACATGGTGCCGACCATAATATTTGGGTGCATGATGGGGTCGCAAAGGCGTTCCGGCTTATTTCCTCCGTTCCCGTACCGACTCCGATCCGATCGGGCTCCGAGTGAGGTGTTATCTCCATTAGCTCCTTTCTCGCGGTATGCATCGCGACGGGACGGTTAGTGAGAAAGCATGGCGATAGAGTCAAAGGGTCAGATTTTCCGGACAATGAGCGTAATGTGCCTGAGTCGATATTACCGAGACTCAGCACATGCACTTTTAACCCTTTCTGTTGAGTTGTCGGTGGACTAGCTGCTGGACAGAGGCCGGTTTCCTGCTACCTTGTAAGATAGCTCGAGGTGGTATCAGCCAAGACAGACATTTTGGGATTCTCTTGAGGAAAAATACTCATATTCGTGCTTCTGTAAAATAGCAAGGCGGAATTTGGGACGAGTGCTTTCTTGGGGTATGTGGAATTATGTCGACAAACAAAGGCGCTCTTCTCGAGATACGTCTTAGGGCATCTTTCACATCTTGTTGATCAGACGCCACTTTAGAATCTTATTTGGAATGCAGCATCTACAGAATCAAATGTTCAATGGAGCGACGGTCATTATACTCCGTGGAGAGTATTCAGTAGAACTAACGGGCCAATGAGCTTTTAATCCTTGATCTAGGTGGACAACGGATATTCAATGCCAAATTGCAAATTTATCCGATTTTTTCTTGTTTGCGCTGAGAGTACATAAGTCGAATGAGACTCGATCGTAACCACTTTGGCATCCATTTTACTGAATTGGCTTGTCTTTATCGACAATATATATTTCGACATGGCGCAAGATTACGGTTCCGAATACACGAGCTCCAAGCTCACTGCCCACGGTGTGAGTTTCTACAACTGGCCAGGAGCTGGAGAGAAAGCCGCGGAACATTTCGGTCTCTCCCACGCTGTGATAATTCCTGCAAATGCTCGTCGCATATTGGTCGGAGGACAACTCGGAATTCGAGATGACGGTTCTATTCCCACAGACCCAGCAGAGGAAGCAGATATTGCGTTTGACCATGTTGAGCGTGCTCTGAAGGCTGCTGGGCTTGGAGATGATGCTTGGGAATACGTCTATAAGGTTTGATATACCAAATGGCCCCGTGGAACATAGCTGATGCATACATTCAATAGATCAATACTTACGAGGTTGCAGCAGAGGGACTTCGAGACGGTATTGGGAAAGCAGCTCAAAGATACTTGAAGAAGACTCGCCCGGCATGGACGGGTGTGAATGTGGCCTCTCTCGTGATGCCAGGCCTTCATTTGGAGATTGAAGTTGAGGCTTATCTCCCAAACTGATTTATACATATTATTCTTATTAGCTCGCAATAAGACCCTTGAGACCGTCCAAACTGTGTCTCTTCCGAAGCTTCTTTCAGATGAGTTTGACGATAGGTTGTGTTGTGATCTCGGGCCAAGCGTATATAACGGATTTAGACCAATTCACTGAAATAATGATGGACGCTATATTTTACTAAAACGAGGTCTCTTCCACCAATCAGCATGTTAGCTCAGGGGAAGAGCGCCGGGCTCATAACCCGGAGGACCCTGGATCGAAACCAGGACATGCTATGTCTATCTTTTTTTCTTCTTTTTTTTCTTGTCATATCCAAATCCACTCTAATCGTATTATTGTCTTGAGAAATATCTCATAGTATTCGGGGTTCTATTTTGCTGATCATAAAAGCTACAATCTGTGCATGGGTTGGGCAGCATGATGACCTCATTGACTTTCGGATATCCTCACGGTGCAACGTTCTCAGGTTTACTTTTTCCCCAGATCATCATACTGATGTAACTTATGCATGTCTATGAAGCCTTCTAATTGATATTCTAGAAATGTATAAATAACTGACCACGGGCAAAAGTAGCGTCACAGTCCCATTATATTTTTCAGACCAAAAACAAGATGACGGACGCCAATGGTCAACACCACCTTCACAAGTAAGACATCCATCCTATCATAAATACCTGCACAGTACTCACATTCCAAAGGACTGGCAATTGGATGCCAGCAGACCACCAAACTCACAAAGAATGGTTGGGAGGAATAATTCGAAAAGTCGACGAGACCGCGGACAAAACCCTCCACCCAGTGCTGGAGGAATTCAAGCGCCTCATTGAATCAAACACACGCATTTACATGCTTCTGACTGCGATGTTCAAGGAAGTCCCACGGAAGAAGCCATATGTCCACGACCCAACAGGCAACCCCGAAATCCGCGACTATTGCCATTTCCTGCATGTTCTCAACCACCTTCTCACCACTGCGCCTACCTGGACCGACAAGGCACACCGCGTGGGTCTGGTCGGTCTGCCGATCAATGCTGTCCTCGACTGGCCCATGGGTACGCCCAGTGGGTATGCAGCCTTCCTAGATCCCGAGATCAACGCCATGCTCAAGAAGGTCTTGAACGTGTGGGGCGAGTTCCTGCGCTCTCCCGCTTCTGCCGACGTCCTAAATAATACCTCTCATGGATGGTTCGGGAAGACGGGAACTCAGGATCTCACAGCTGCTGCCAAGGTTGGCCCGATGGCTGCGAGCGATTTGCAATTTCATGATATCTTCGAATGTGACCCCTCTGCACCAAATTACGGCTACAAGTCATGGGATGACTTCTTCACCCGCCGCGTCAAAGAGGGCATTCGCCCCGTCGAAGATCCCGAGGATGGGAAGGTTATTGCCAACGCCTGCGAGTCGAGACCGTTCAGGGTTGCACACCATGCTCACGCCCGTGACAAGTTCTGGGTCAAGGGTCAACCCTACTCTGTGCTTGATATGCTAGACCATCATGATCTTGCGCCGCAGTTTGTTGGAGGCACTGTGTACCAGGCATTCCTTAGTGCGCTGAGCTACCACCGTTGGCATGCGCCTGTTACTGGCCAGATTGTCAAGGCTTATGTTGTTGACGGGACTTACTACTCTGAACCGCTGTTTGAAGGTGTTGGGTACCCGGGTATGTCTCAGAAGGAGATTGATATGGCGGGTCAGGTTACATCGCAGGGATATATTACTTCAGTTGCGACCCGGGCACTTATCTTCATTGAGGCAGATGAGCCAGCCATTGGGCTGGTGGCGTTTATTGGAGTCGGTATGGCCGAAGTCTCGACTTGTGATATCACTGTCAAGGAGGGCGATCGGGTGAAGAAGGGCGATGAACTTGGGATGTTCCACTTTGGTGGTTCGACCCATTGTCTTCTTTTCCGGAAGGGTGTCAATGTGTCTGGTCTCCCAGAACCTGGCATGGCTGAGAACAAGCCTGTCCGAAGCAAACTGGCAGTTGTCTCGTGAGATATCCTATGTGCATGCTCAAGTTGCCCATTATGATCTCTCTGTTGAGGTTTTAAGCATTCTGCTGTATTTTCTGTCTATGGTATCCAGTACATACAATTAATAAGATATCATTTATATGACAGCTCCAGTGGTATCACGTTTCACCTGCTCATGCCTCAAGAAAACCAGTTATATGAGCCCTATTGTGCAGGTAGTGTAGCTAGCGGAGAGAGTTCTACGGAGTAAGTCTCGATGAACTTGGAAAGCACCTGTAGGTGTGATCAATCACATCAGTACCCCAACAACAATCAGTCCGTTTGTGCAAATCCATAGGTATTCCTCATAACTTGTCTTGTCACCTATCGCGAGATATTTAATTTATGACATCCCATGCTGTCTGATTTACTCTGATGTCTGCTGGGTCAAACCCCGAAATCTTGTCATGGACCGAAGAAGTTGCGAAAAGCGTCTGTTTACCTGACGATACCATCTCCCTGGTCCCATCAAGCTCCACAGATAGCCAGGCTGGGCGATCATGTTCATTGAATCCGTCACGCGTGATAGCTGAATTTTCTGCCGCTAATCCTCGAGTCAATATACACGAACCTGCCGATCCGCAAAGCCTCGCTGCAAGTCAGCCACTAGCATCTCTAACACAAGATTCTCAGTTCGGTGAGAATGAAGACATCGCTCAAAAAATACCGAATGCTTCACGCCAATATGTTGCTGGACTACGCAGTGAAATTTCTTGGGTGAACAAAGTAGCAATGCCGTTATTGGAAGGGGCTATTGCAGAATTGCCGTTAGAGTGTTAGGGCATGTATGTTTTGGACACGAAGATCCCGAGTTCCTCTACTCCTCGCTTATTTATAGCAGCCAAACAGAGTCTATTGACCCCCAATACCAACCTCGCTACACAGCCCGAGATGTATATAACCGCAAAGTTGACTTGGTTGTCGGTCTTCCCGTGTACGACTGGGAAGCACAATATGCAACGGCGGGACTTCATACACCGGGCAAATATTTTAACCATATGACCCATCCGCATACTGGGAACCGTGTTCTGGGCCCTGGTGTTGAGATCAAAGCCGCCGATGGAAATCTGGTAGAAGCGCAAGTCCAGATTGGGGTATGGATGACAGGGCTCTTGATGTGAGCTTTCGCACAACGGAAGAACTTGGAAGACCTGCCTCCGCTTGTTGGATGTACTGCTGTTGGGGAAGAGAGGGTTCTATATTGGAGTCGGACTTGAAGGGCCGGGTGTCTTAGAAGAAGTAGTCGCTAATACGTTGTAGTGATTTGGTTACAATGCCTAACTACTTTTTCTAGAGCGTATCTGGGGTCCTTTAGCTGAGCTAGATGCCCGCATCGCAAGTGTGAAACATACGATGTCTCTTTTGAGAACTCTCCGTCGAGTCATGGAGTATACATTCGGGAAGTACAAGGATGGGATTCTGCGGGTCATTAGTCCTGGTGTTTAAAGGTTCCAACTCACTGCACGATCTACTTACTTTCTCGAATGTAGTCACCAGGTTGGATGGCTGCATGCGTGCAGATTAGCAGCCGTCTCAGTGGTATCATATTCTGATATAAATGTCCTTTTGCTCCATAGAGGGCAGAAAGAAGGTGACTTTCCTATGTATGACATGGGACGAAACTTCATTTGGAGCATACCTAAATAAAATACTGTCTACAATGTATGATGCACAAAGTCACTGGAATTCCCTTCAGCTTATCGCGCTTCTCGCTGACTTGAGTGTGACCAAACCCGGAGATTCCAATGTGTGAACGCATGCGGTTTAGGATATTGTAGCAGTGCTCTATCACAATATTATACGAAAGTGTTACTCAAGAACTCCCCATCTTAGCTGATCAAGACTCCAGTGCAAAATGAAGTCCAGTTTGGTGATATCAACATGTTTGCTGTTCAGCCAGGGCTTGGCCGAGGAACGCCACCCCCTTGTTGCATCCCTTGGTGCCCTCCGCGTATTGCACTACAACAACCTTGGCCCCCAAAACAATGGCACCTCTGCCGTTTTAGCACACGGTCCCTCAAACTACGTTGATGCTGCTGCAAAATGCACTGCTATTGGCGAGAAGCTGCTCCCGTGGTCGTCGAGGCGAAACAACCACACCGAACTCGATTATGAACTGAACTATCTTGTCTTTGCGAAAGAGCTAGGAGCCGATGATCACCTGTGGATATCAACCGAACAAGAAAATGACAAGTGTTGTTTTGCCCTCTCGATCTCCCATCGTAAGATCGTGCAGAAACAATGCGATGATGAGCTACCGGCCCTCTGTACCTCAACTCCGCCGGCGACAAGTGATCTCGACCGTGCCGCAAGGGAAACCACAAAGCTGACCGTGACATCCGACTATTATACCTTGACAGGATATCGAGATGCGCGCTCCTTCCGCTTCCTCGGCGTCCCTTTCGCAAGTCCCCCGATCGATGACCTGCGCTTTGCTCCACCGCAACCCTACACAGGATCGAAGGACATCGATGCGACTAGCATGGGAGACTCATGTATCCAGACTCCTTCAAGTTTGAGCACTGTGCCTATCGGTGGAATGTCTGAGAACTGCCTTTACTTGAACATCTTCACTCCGTTCCTGCCTCACAGTGCCACAACGAGCACCATGCTGCGCCCCGTGGCTGTTTATCTATACGGGGGCTCATTCACGCGAGGTACCGCAGCCATGGTGGATTATGATGGTGGAAACTTCGCCAGCCGCAGCGATGTGGTCATCGTCACCCTTAATTACCGGGTCGGAGCATTAGGCTTTTTGTCCACGGGGAACCTGACAACTGGAAGCTATGGGACCCAGGACCAGATCATGGCCTTGAAATGGGTACAAAAGCATATTTCTGCATTCGGAGGTGATCCCTCTCATGTAACTGTCTTCGGGCAGTCCTCTGGTGGTCAAGGTGTGGTAGCTCTGCTCTCTTCTACCGCAGCGAAGGGTCTCTTCTCCGGGGCGCTGGTGCAATCGGCAAACCTCGACCTCCCTTGGTTCCCTCGTGCTCTTTACTCGAAATACATTGCCCCTGAAGTTGGGAGGGCAGTTGGCTGTGACGGAAATGCTTCAGAGGCCAATCTCCTCAAATGCCTTCGTTCCGTCCCGGCTTCAATGTATCTCGACAATTCAACCGCTTTCCAGGCCGCTACCAAGATGTTCTCATCCAGCATCGCAAAACATTTCCACCACAATACAGCGCTGATATCCGCGGCTGAGCCATTCAGGCCGATGGTAGACGACACCGGATCTGGCGTAATCGATGATCAATTCTACAAACTGCTAAAACAAAGCAATCTCCCTGTGCACGTCCCGACCATGTTCACCACTGTCCGCGACGAGGCAAGTCTCTATATGGGAGCCTTCGGCTCGATTCAGGCCCCGTTTAGTACCTTACTTAATTACACCCTCGGTGACACCCTAGCCCAGAAGATAATCTCATCTGGTGCGTACAATGTGGATGATTCAGACCGCAATGCCGTCCTGAACGCAGTTTCCGATGCCGTAACGCATAGCCAGTGGAATTGTCCGCAGGGTTATCTTCTTCACAACTCAGGATCCGCATTCCCATCTCTATACGAAGTCCAAATAGCGGACGGCCATGCGCTGACATCACATATGCCGGATGTCTGTTATCCAAATAATGAATATAACGCTTCCTGTCATACCTCGGACGTCTTGCTCGCGTGGGGTACACTAAATACCAAGACGGAAGATGTACATCCGTACTACGATGATCGAGATATTCTTCACTCGCAGCTCATCCATGATGTATTTGGTGCGTTCTTTCGGGAGAGAAACCCAAATCCAGATTGGGAGTTCTTGAAAGTCCGTGGTCCTGCGTATGCAAGTACTCTTTCGATATTCGGCGAGGATATTCGCTCAAATTTCTTATTTGGGCGAGCTGAGAAGGGGTTTGTTATTGAGCAGTATGCACCGGAGCGCAATATGACACTTCTGGGAATGCCGCCGTCCACTACGGTTAATTTTGAAGAGAAGACTATCTGTGCTGTGATGCGCGAGTATGGGTTTACTTTCCAGAGAGCAGCGCTGTCGGATTGAATATATGTCTAGTTCTGCTGTTGTCATTAACAGAGTCGTTACAATGAACACTTCCTGAGCCGGTATAGCTCATCTGACTTTAGAACTATATTATCCCCGGTATATTGGACGTAATGTGATGTACGGACTTTAGATGATAATAGGGCCTACGCGATGCACGTTTGTTTGTCTTTGTGTGTTCCAATCCATCTGAGCCCCCCCCATCCGAGATCTGTTCGAATGATGAATCTGATTTGTGTAAAGAAACATAGAAACCCAGATGAAACAAAACGCCAGATAGAGAAGACCGCCAGAACGAAAGAGTGGAATGCTACTCCCCGTGATAGAAATGAGATGCAGAATGAAAGTGCTGGAGACATGATTCAGTAGCTAGACAGAGCCAATGGAAAAAAAATGCTGAAATGCTCAAAATGATGGGAAGATATGGAAGAAAGAAATTCGTTAGATCGGCATGTGGCACGTGAACATCATTCGTAAATGGGGACCCTTCGCGAGGGAACGTATCCGTCATACTCGGGCACAGTCGCCGGGGTATATCGCTTTGCAGCGGAGCTCCTGGGGCTCGCCCATCCAGTTGAACGGGGATGAAATCCAGCACTGCTGTATGAGCGCTGTCGCTCAGACCCACTACCGCCGCTACTGGGTCGACTATTACCCGTACTGCCGCCACTGTAGCTTCCCCTTCTCATGTCATCTGCGGCATAAGCTCCCAGATGTCTCGGTACCGCTCTTGGTGGAGGGGGAGTTGATGACCTGTAGAACGGTGGCTCTGGGGCAGCTGGAGCAGGGGCCGGGTCGCCAAACATGAACTCGTGGAATTGAACACCCCCTGTGCGTGTTCGAGAACGGTCTTTTGGATTTTCCTTTGGGTAATCTCTGGGATGATCCCTCTCTCTCAGATGGTCCCTTGGATATTCTCTCGAATAAACCTTGGGCGAAGGCTCAGACCTGTTAAATCGTGAAGGATAGCTTTCTTGCCCGTGGCGCTGTCGACTAGGACTTGTGGGCGAGAGATCTCGAAATGGTCTACGGGTGTAGGCTTCGTGGGAATGGCGCCTGGCATTACTGGTAGAGGGAGGTGACAGATGACGTCGCTCTGGCCTATTTGGTTTCGCGCGGTCCCTGCGGTGGCGTCCAAGTTCATCTGAAGACACATCGGAGACGTCTGGGACCTCACCTGTCCCTGGGCTTAGTGGATGGCTATGGCGACCAGGTTGGTCTCGTCCATTCGAACGGGAGGTATGCTCTCGCTCCCCCCATGGGGGAGGGGATGAAACTCTAGGGGTGGAAAAGCCCGGTCGATTTGTTCCAGGCCTACGTGCAGCAAAGGCGGGATATTCCCCACTGTGGTGTCGGCGATGATGGCGATGCTCGCTGGGTCGATCGGGCTCTGCATGATTATGACGCTTTGATGCTGCCCGGCGTGGACGGGAGAAATAATCATCTTCATCAGGTAGAGGATCCTTGCCACTAAAATGGTAATGATATGTCCCAAAGTCTGGCGACGAAGCACGCTTCGTGTGTCTTTTTAAATAGTCCCGCTCCAATCGACGACTCACCCCTTCATGCCATTCCAACATCTCTGGGTCGGGTTCCGACGGAAACGCGTCTCGGGGGATTGTCTTTGGAAGAATCTCGCCATTTGCATCTGCAATATCCCATAGGCTGACCGCATTTTGTAAATACACCGAATGTTCATCTGGGTCCATCAACAGTTGTATAGTCTGCCACCGCACGAAGCCATTTGGAAGTAACGAGGGAATTGATGGGGGTTCGTAAGGGTTGGCGGAGGGTTGGAGGCAGTGGAAACATCCTAGTGACTGGTAGATGAATGATAGGGCTTGTGCTTTGGTCTCCAGAAATAACGGATCATAGTTTCCACCGACTTTGCGGTAAAAGGTAGCGAGTCTCTCTGGGGTGATATCAGTGGTGCCGTTGGAATCAAAGGAGGACTGAAGAGTCAGTATCTCTCTCACGTGTTAAGACGGTCTAGAACCCTTACCATCAACTGGGCGATCCCTAGACATAGCTGTTCCAGCAGTGGGGCTGGGCTCTTGTCTGAATTAATCAATTTGCCCCAGTGAATATCCGAAGCCATGAATGCGGGTATGTTAGAAGTGCATGTAAATGCATTCAAAGAGGAGCATTCGAGGTTGGGCGTGGAGAGAGCGGTCAGGCACACAGACCCACTGACTCTATGAAATTGATAGACTGTACTATATTGTATATTACTAGCAGTAAATCAAGTAAATCAAGTAAAACTACATACTAATTGATACTAAGTAACTAACAGTATGTTGTCGTTCTTTTTCTTAAAATATACATGTGACTAGTATGTCATGCCCATGACTCACGGATGTTGCGTGACTCTGAAGCCTGATGTAGCGCCATACACAGCCAAGATAAAAGAAAAGAAAAAGAACAAAAAAAGCTGTGAATTCATTGGAACATCGCTTGGTGTGATCATGATGTCGATATTGGATTGTCTAGGAAATGTCTTATGGGTGCCTTGATTCTCCTAAATCCATTTGGGCCTCGGCTTTAGGCAGAAGAGCCCAATGATACTGATATAATGCAAATGATTATGTTTCGGGCACTTCCAATGCTCAGGATCAAATTATTGTCCTTCACATATAGCCAGTTTGTGTTTATGCCTGTATATCCTTATTCACTCCAGAGTGTTCTCTTAGCATGGGGATATATCTCCCGGGGTGTGCCGGAAAACATTTAACCGGGAAAGATTCCCAGATCAGTAATATGGCATGCATCCTGGGACAATAAAACTGGCAAGTATCATTAGGTACATCACTGAATCAAGGAATCCACTCTGTATGGACTGACTGACTCATGTAACTCAAGCCTCAAGGCCTCGACCTTTCTTTTAACTTTGATTGCAATCATCAAGAAGATGCTACCTGTAAGAATACGTTCATTTGGAGTAGAACCTGGCAAGGATTACCGTCTCTGAATCTCTAAGATACCATCACCCTGACTAGGTCCTGTAGTGAGCCTCAAGTCCATACATTCTACGTGGTATCGGTTGGAACCACTGTATACCATGAATCTTGAGGTGGGACAAAGAGAATGCAAGCAGACCGAATCTTGGACTGAAGACTGACTGCATATGCAGTACATCTGCAAGCGTGCCGATGCTTCTGCAAACGATCTAGAGCACCCCGGACCTATCTTCTCGCATACCGAATTGTCTCTGATTCCATAGATTTGATCTCCAAGATGGACATTTCCTTATTTCTGTCTACCATGGTTGAGTTATATTATGAAGTCTGATTTGCTTTCAAGTGGTCCATAGAGAAAGGTTTGGCCATGAATATACACCGTCGGCAAGAGAGGGGTCCAGCAAGTCGAAATCAAGACCTGGCTGGGCTAAGAACTCTTCCATGCTCTCTCCTAGAAATGCCATGTCATTTGAGAGATTTGCAGGGACGGTAGCTTCCGGAATACCAAAGGTGGTGGGGTTCCCCAAGAGTCCCAGCTGATTAGGGGCGATCACAGCAAGTGGGTCATGCGAGGTCTCTAAGACACGAGATATATCACTCTGGAGATGGCCGCCGTCTGCTCCTTTCATCCCATCCAAGCACTGCTTCACGCATTCCAAGTTGTCGTAAAATTCGGTCGCAGCAAGATTCCCGTGGCTACTCATTCCTCGGAGAATTTCGAAAGCTGCCTCGAATAAGGCAAAGTCATTAGTATTCTCGGGATACACTAGACTGGAAATGACCATGATCAGGGCCGAGGAAAAAAGATAGTGAGCATAGAAATATCCGAAGATTGGGAGCGACCCGTTGGTCCACTCTTCCAGGATCATGGAGTGCGTATGTCTTGCTGCGTGAATACACGCATCGCTAAGGGTTCTCAGGGTCTGGCGGATGTTTGGCTGGGAACTGCCCTCTTCAATAGTATTTGGGGATGTGGCTTGGATCAGTGTGTGCAGAAGGATCGGCCGACTGGCTAGCATTATGCACTACATTTGATTAGCTGAGACTCGATTCTTGAGTAGACGCTTAACTTGCCTGGTTAAATTGAAGGCGGAGTGATATCACATTCTTCGGGACGGGGCCCTCGCGGTTGAGCCGAATCTGCGGAGGAAGAGCACCACACCACTCCTTGAGAGAAATGAGCAACTTTTGCTCGCGCTGCAAGAAAGACTCTGGAAACTTCTTTCGGCTATACACATGGTCAATGACTTGACCTGTAATCTTGGCCAACCCAATACTAGCGACAAGGTATTCGGTGTCCGAGCCATGATCGTCGTGGATATCCCCAGGAACCTTCGATGGCATCTCAACGTAGATGTCGGCGTCGGAAATTTGAATCGGCCAGCCGACTTTAGAGCCGTACATTCGGTCAAATACATAAATTGCCCACCATAGTCTGGTCCGATGCTCACGCTCTACGGGGTCTGGACACTTGCTTTCTGGAATATTGTGATTTAGACCCACAGTCAAGCCCAAACGCATAGCACTGCCAACCAACAAGAATGCCGAATGGCGTCGGTTCAAGAAAAATGAATATAGTGACTGCAGTCATGAGTACACAAGTCACCTCCGATTAATGTGGTCAGTATCTTACCAAAAGTAAAAGGGTTTCAATATGTGCCAGGCTTGGTCGTTCCGGTAGGATAGGTATCATGGTGATTGCACTAACATAATATGCCGCGCCAGGGACGTTGCAATCAAGGCTTGGGGTTGATCGTGCCGAATATACTTCTCCGAGAGCGAATAGAGCAAAGAACTTACACGTCATTACGGGATCGTCAAAGGTGCCCTTGCGATAGGCATCCTCGAGTTGATCAACGGTCGATTTGCGAAGAACCAAATGGTAGACCCGCGTCACTTGACTGAACACGATCTGAATCAAAAGGCGAGCCTGTGGCAGGCTCGGCCATTCAATCGCCGGTTTACGCATTTTCATTAACGTAGCCTCGGTCGTATATTGTGTCCGCGGCATGTGAGATGTGGTCTCACTTTTGCTGAGAACCTTTCGGAGCCGGGTGGCGAATGCTGTGCATGCCGCTTCACAGACATGGATTGGTGGTAATGAAGGGTCATATGGTAGGAACCATGCCCGTTCACCAAGCATTGGATTCCGAACATGTGTATCTGCATCTGGTTCGGGTACATCTAAAAAACGCCGTAAGTTAGAGTCACCGGAAAGAGCAAACAATACTTCAACACCTTCATCGTGAACTTGATGTTCCCTCGGCGTAAGAAATCTAGGTGACTGGGATAGTTGATCACGCAAGCGCTGGTTCTCTGCAGCCAAATCCTCAAGATAACTGGTCGAATATTTAGCCTTGCAACGGGAACAAGCCAAGCATGGTGGAGCATACCTCTCATGCACCTTCACCTGACGATCTCGACTGACATAGTGGCATTCTGTGGGACAACCAGCCTGTCGGCATTTGAGACATGGCTGGCCACCAGTGCATTTTATTTTATGTGAGTGGCACCTCCGGCATCTTGATATGTTAGCGAATAGACCCGGGGATGGGTTCTCTGGGACTTACGCGATAGACTTCTTTTTTTGTTTTCTGACTCCGTCACTGTTCAGGATCTTTGAGGATTTCATATTGATTTGAAGCAGATGAGGTATCTAGTAGATGAACGGAGTAAAGAATTATTGGCACAACGATGCACTACGGGCACAGCGCTAATTCCCGATTAGGATTAGTACTTTCTTGGCATCCATTTTTCAATACAAGTGCGATGTATTGTGGTATCACCGTGGTGAAAAAAACACAGCCCCTAAACCACCTCAGCCACATGATACATACTTTGATGATCTACGCACTCTATATGAAGTAATCAGCCCTATATCAGTTGATTGATCAGACCCTCAAGTCTATACCCTCACTGAGCTACACGACCTATATCAGGCTAATTCGCCAGTGTCATCCAAGCACCTCGTGGTGAAAACTCTGCAGGTAAATTACCTAAGATACAGTAAATCGAGTCCTCTATGATGGATAGCTTCATTTCCAACTACATTTTTCGACTTCTCTCGCCAATTTTTACCATAGTCAGATCTTGAATTGAGTATACATATATCCACTAAGCGAGGATACCTAGTGCCAAGTCGAAGGGGCGTTATCATACGGCGTGGAAGGGAAAGGGGAGCTTATTACTTTCTTCTATACTCCGTAGTTCAAGTGGCACTAAGAATGTAGTATGAAATGTAGTACAATATGTACTCAAATATGCAGTCAAAATTGTAGTCAAAAATAGAGCCACAATACCTGGCGACCAGAACTATCTGAGATAATTTACCTATGGAGTTTCCACTGCAGGCTAGTGAATTAGCCCTGTATAGGTCTTCTGATTTGATATAGGTATGAACTCAGGAAGTGGATCATTTAATTGATATAGAGCTGAGTATTCCGTATAAAGTATGTACATCATATAATTAATATACATACTATATGGCTAAGGTAGTATAAGGGTGGTCTTTTATACTACGGTGATACCTTGATAAATCGCACTTGTATTGAGAAATGGATTCCAACAAGGACTGAGCCTCGGAACTAGCGCTGTGCTAATAGTTCTCTACATGAGTAAAATTGGAATTTCGCCGTATCGGCGAAATTTCCTTTTGCCGAGCCAATCATCGTCTACCATTCGGGCCTACACACATTCGCTCACCAGATCTACACAGAGCAATGAAGACTATCTGATTACATATTACACAGAAGAGTGGAAACTATCTGATTCCAACAAAAAGATGGTTTAGTATATGCGCCAGTTAACCGATTCAGCAATTCACTGAGTATGCCCTCATGTCGTGCTTATTTGTGGTCACACAATATGTTGCTATTGGTTGATCTGAAGAATTCAACATTTCTATAGCGCCAGGCACTCGAAGACTTGTAGAGATATAGGCACTACAAATAATGCAAGGGGACGGTTGGGCATGTGGTACACCCTGAATCCTCACCATTTGATATAGTATGACGTATAGTAGGAGGATCAAAAAGCTGAATTTAAATGGATTACTGGCCGTCTTCTGTGAGACAGCTCCCAGGTCTTCCAGATAGATCAACCCAGAGAAAGCTATGGATTTAGTCCGCGAGTCACCCTTGGGTCAGCTCTTAAGAGCGATTACGAAGAATAGGATTCTACTTTATCCAGAAGAAAAGCCAGGCTTTGTTGCATCGAACCTCGAAGAGGTAGGACATCAGGTTGAATCTAAGCAAAGTCTTGGAGGCGACTCTGCAATAACCACATCGGCCCCATACGACGGGGCGCACACGGACAACCATGCAGGTTATATGGTTGATTGGTACGGACCAGACGACCCATCAAACCCGAGAAATTGGTCAACATGGAAGAAGAGATTTGTGACTCTTCAGATAGGGTACATATCACCTCATATTTTGTCGTCATTTTGATGCAGAACATGTGCCTAATTCTTGATAGTCTTTACACGTTCGCCGTATATGCTGGCTCGTCAATCTATGTGCCAGCTGAACCGTATGGTTGATGAAGACTCAATACTTTCGTCATAGCAACTAATCAGCTAACAGCCAGATAATGGAATATTTCCAAGTCAATCAAACAAAAGCCTCATTGGGCTTGGCATTATATGTATTGGGCTGCATGTTCTTCCTCCGCCGTACACGCGATACATTCTAACGCCTCGGGTTTTGCAGATGGCCTCGGTCCGTTGCTGTTCTCGCCCATGAGTGAGGTTCCGTTATATGGCCGCAACATTCCATATATTGCCTCCCTCGTCATCTTTGTCGTTTTGTGTGTTCCTACCGCTTTGGTTGACAACTTCGCCGGACTTATGGTTCTTCGACTGCTCCAGGGCTTTTTCGGGAGCCCCTGTCTGGCAAGTGGTGGTGCCTCGATGACAGATATAGTTCGTGCAAAAACTTCTCATCCTGGAAGACGCTGGCATTATAACTAACTGGATGTCGGACGATAGTACTCGGACCTTTATCTACCGCTGGGATTGACTGGTTGGGTTGCTGCGGCGTATGGCGGACCGGCCCTTGGGCCGCTTTTGTCAGTCTTTTCAATCGCTAAAAAGGGGTGAGGCTGCCAATCAATATTGCGTGCGTCATGGTAGTAATTGAGTCGATGTTAGGTGGCGGTGGGCAATGTGGGAAATGCTCTGGATGAGTGCACCCATCCTTGTCCTGATGATCGTCTGTCTTCCAGAGACATCGGCCGACAATATCCTGCTTCGTCGTGCACAACGACTACGCAGAGTGACCGGAAACTCCAAGTTTTTGTCACGGTCCGAGGTTGCGCATGAGAGTCAACCATTTCACAAAATGGTCCTTCATTACATGACCAAACCGGTCGAGATAATGATGAAAGATCCAGCCGTCCTGTTCGCCAACGTCTACACCTCCCTGGTTTATGGAATCTATTACTCCTTCTTCGAGGCATTTCCATTAGTGTATCCGATCAAGTACAGGATGCATCCTGCGAGTGCTACCCTGATCTTCGTATCAATTATTATTGGCTGTGCGCTGGCAATGACTGTGTATATTATCTATATATATACCCGTCTGATGCCTGATCTAAGAGCAAAGGGCCAGCTTGAACACGAATATCGTTTGGCGCCTGCTCTGTTCGCTTCTTTGGGGCCACCAATTGGACTTTTTATTTTTGGTAAGCAGTTTTCAGGATGCTATCTTCATTTACGAAGCCGAGACTAACTTCTATCTCATTTAGCCTGGACTGCCGACGGAAAGATCAATTGGGCAGTAAGCGCTCTCGGTGTCGTCATTTACGCCGGATCGGTCTTCATTGTGTTGCAATGCATAATTATCTACCTGCCCCTTGCATATCCGAAGTATTCAGCATCGCTGTTTGCTGGAAATGATACAACACGATCTTCTGTCGCGTTTGCGTTCATCCTTTTCTCCCGATCCATGTTCATCAACCTCGGTATTGGCAGAGGCGTGACTCTATTAGGCGGGTTGAGCATCCTAGGGATTGTGAGTCTCTTCTTGATCCAACGTATCTCACAATCCGGATGTGATCGTGTATTTTGCCTACTAACTTTTACCCAAGATAGGCATGTTTGCTCTTTACCACTATGGTGCAACCCTCCGTGCTAGGTCTAGATTTGCAGAGCATAGCTGAACAGATTGTAGCGATGATTTTCGGCTTTACTTTCAAGATTTCTCGGGGTGGGTAATGGGATAATGTACTGCTATATAGACAGATAATAACTTCTTCAAGTTTTGAGCAAGCTCGCATAATAGCGACACGCGAGAAAAAGACGTATTCCCGCATCGCGGCCTGCAGGGGAGCTGCTAGTGCCCCTGTGTCCTCCATCGCTGTCATGTAGTAGTTTGTCTGGCCAGACGCGTACAGATAAAATTTTTACAAAATCCTTCACATAGGTAGTCACTATGGACAAACGTGCTTATGCAGTGAGATCGCCATCAATGATCACAGGTTCCAAGGGCGCCACATCCTGTATTCCTGGAAAATGCATGTATCCAAATTCTCTAAGATTGCTTTTGCGCTCAAAAGATTCTGACCCCGTGATTTAGTGAGATAAGGAACTGTGGACTCTCATTAGGTTGTAGCCTGTCAGCCAGGTCGAGGGCATTTCTCTTGCGTCGAATTGAAGTTGCAGATCAACCTGCACGACAAACTTGGCCGATGCCAAAGACTTGATGGTCGCAACATTTAGGCTGACGCCGATGATACCTGTGAGCAGGAAGCAGGTTTAGGAAAGATCGACCAGACTGGTTGAGGTGAGTGCCGAGATCGTAGGCGTAGCATTCCCCACTATTGAGGATGATCAGCTCCTGTGGTTCTCCCAGAATGAGTGACTCAGTAGATGCCATCCCCATAATTACGAAACATGCTGTTTTATCCGCTGTACAGTGTACCTCGTCATATTCATGCACACATATGATACGGATGTGTTTGAAGTTGATCTACTCTCATCTGGAAGCCAGTTTCCTGCTTGGTGTTTAATCTGCAGACTCGATCAAGTTGTCCACCTAAGCTACGAGTTGAAAATTTTGCTAATAGATATTTACAAATTACAAGGTCAATTGATCAGTGGAGAATATTATTGGAACCCAGTCAGATATATAGATCACTGTGCTGAATGCAACTGTAATTGCCCTGTATCGGCCTCCACTCTTCACTCAAAGGGACTTTCCCGTATATATTCTTATGCCATCTCAAGGCAAATCAAAAGACATGGGCTGTTGGGGATAGGTATTGTCCAAGTCTGCTACCATATCATCCAGAGAAGGATTGTTCCAAGTAGGTGAAGTTGACATTAACGGATTGATGAAGGACTCCGGGGTCTCAAGATAATCATTTTGATCTTGAAAAGATTCTGATGCATCGCTTCGTTCCTTCCATGTGTGCATTCCGCAATCTTGAATAGAAAGTCAGTAATGATTCGTACTGTAAACTGGGAAGACTTCATACCAAATTCCATATTTGTATCTCGCTCCATGGAATCACAGAGCTTGTGAAACTGCTTTGCCAACTGCGCTCGCGACTTGGTGACAAGTTCCACTGCTGTTGCTCCATGGGAACCGAGAACACTGTTCTTTTCTTCGCTCGCTCTATCGCTAGCCCAATCAAGACGACCTGTAAATGCCTGACCTATGGCACCGGAGGCACTACACCAACTGTCCTCAAGAAGGACCACTTTTGCCGTATGATGTTCATCCCCTATACTTTCAGCATCGTGAAAGTGCGGTTCTGGCTGCTGCCAGGCCTCATTGGAACCATTTGGATCGCACCTCAAACTGAGCTTCTTGGTAATTGTGGAAAATTTGTCGTCCAGTTTAATCTGTGAAAGGTTGAGAAAATTCGAGGAGGCAAAGGTCTTTGGCCATCGGAGGATTTGTGGAAGACAGATGAGCAAATCACCTGGCTGTACCAGAATGTCCCGAGCTTCACCAAATACCTTGTATGCTTTTCCATACTTCAATTCCAATGAGCTCTGCAGCCATGAGTTTAATTGGCGATGAAACCCTGGGATCAGTCGGACTTTTTGAGCTGTCTCACAGGTCGGGAAGATGACAGTGCTCTGGATATCGCTTGTCCCCTCTCCTTGAACCAGTGATTTAATACAATCAATTGGGACACCGAAGCCAATATCGTCGTTTTCAAATATTGGGTTGTTTTTATGCTGGGCTGGGCGATGAAGAAGTTTCCAATGTTGGTCCGGTCTGCATGCGACCAGAACAGCATAATAAGCTGGATCCCGTTGGACCATTTGAGATATCATGCTATAGACCGCATTTCGACTGAGTATCAAATTGGTATCTCTGGTACCGGTTTTGTTAAGGTACCTTCGGGCCCGTTTGAACACACCGAGCTCTTCCATATAGGAGAAGAAGCCGGGGATATGCAAAAATCCATCTCTTTGCCAACGCCACCACGCATCGGCAGACCCAGTATAACGACATAGCAGCTCCGTGTTTGAACAAAGGTTGGGAGTCGAGATATAAGAATCATTGCCTATTCGTGACGGCACGTTAGCAGAGATTCCACACTGAAGATCTCATGTATCAGTCACAATGGGGGAATTGCCGTACTCATGAAACTGTGGCATTCACGCGAGGAGAATTTCTCCAAATTCCGAATTACATCGACTCTGTTTTGATCTCGCGGATCATTTTCAGGAATAAATCGTGCAAGGCGCACCAGGTGCTCGGAGCAAAAACTACCCCATGATATTGTGTATGCCCAGTCCACCAATGCCTTCAGAAGCCTCTTTTCGAACTTCGCCTGAGGGGTGGATATCAGGGCGATCAGTGGCAAACATATAGGAATACACCCACAGCACTGCCACTCACTTCGGCCCGTGTTGGTTTGTAGCCCTTGTGTAGATAAGATATCTGACGACAAGACCTCTTGAGACGGTGTTTTTGAGAGAGACAATGCTTCTGAATGAGTGGTGGAAGGTGAAGAGTCACCCTCAGTCGAGTCATGGGTGGCCCTGCTTTGAACTGAGCGAGAGGAGATCTGAGATTTTCTTGCTTGAAACGCCGTCAGTATTATGAATCCAACTCGGAAACATCATGACTTACATGCCCGTATTGCCAAGCGTGTCTGTGGTATTCCTAAAGTCTCTAATGCGCGTTGAACATCACTTGCCATGAGTCGATTCTTATTCCGTCCACGTTCTGGTCTGTTCTTCATGCTTTCTTCCAGAAGCAAGAGTGAGTCTGAATGACTTCGGTGTTTGCTCAAACAGGCTACCAAGGAAAGCAAATGTTTGCTCCAAGTTAGTGGGCGGGTATTTATTGGAAGAGCCTCATCGTAGGGAACTTTCCAGTACCGAAAGATTGTTTGAGTGCTTGATCGTTTCGCTAGCTCTGATTTCTTATGTCGCTGTACGATTGGTCGTACAGTCTCCGCATATCCGATGGCTCTCCGGTAGTCGTTGAGGCTCTCATATCTTATAGACCAAAGATTATTCTGGCATATCCATTGCCAGGCGGCGCTGATAGATGAAGCAACACGCTCATCAATCTCGCAAACTCTTGTCAGAAGGTCGGTCAGCACATCCAAGTGTTGATGCTCTGGTTTATCGTGTAATAGAGCCGCGATAAACGCTTCAGAAGAATAGTCTACATCATTCGAGAGATTTCGTGCCACATGATCCATGGTCAGATACTGGAGCTCTCGAGCGTCAAAGGGTCTGATGTTGGTGGCTTCTGTAGTTTCCTTCGACTACTTTACTCTTAGGCAGAGACAGTCCGTCCGTATATATACCTAGAGCTTCCACTTGATTTGGGGTATTGCGTCTCTCGACCAATAAACTCGAGCGAGCTAGCTGCAGGGCACTTCTTTGAGCTGCCACACACGCCTCTAGTGGTGGCCACCATATACAGCATAGTGCCATTGGTCCCTGTTAAGATATTCTAGACTGTGACATTACATCACTCATAAAGATGGTGAGTTATGCTGATCGAAAAAACTTGAAGTAAGGTTTAACAAGATACCATTACTTAATTGACACTTCATATTCCACACCTAGCACATTCTTATAGCACTTAGAGCTCAATATCCCAGCCAGTCAAACTAACATTATATTCTCTAAAGGGAGGCTACCATGAGATAACGATTCAATTAAACAGAAAGATGATAGAATAGTCACATGCAATCTAGCTCTACCCAGAATCATGCACATAGTCGCCTCTTGAGTGGATAGACCTACGCTTGGGGAACAAGTTCGTGTGACCCACTATATTAGAATTGCCGCGCCATAATGGCTCTATTTGTGTGAGACAATAGGCTCCGGCTGGAACGTGTCAAGAGAATATTGCTAAGACCTTCCCTTCTTGCTCTTGGACATAGAGGCTGCCATACTACTGGTAGCTATTATATCCTTATCTTCCATCTCCCGTTTATCTTTGTTGGGAGGATGCGTGTATAAATGATTACAACTTAGATACGTAAGGATACCTAAGTGGTAAGACGGTTAAAACCCTTTGGCCGCTTTCACCGGTGCTTTCCGTGATTATTTCTAAGAAAGTAACAGACATGATATATGGTGTGCTACATGAATGCACCAATGGGATGCATAGGCAAGCACCTTGAAGAATTACATAAAAACGTTGCTTGAGTTGCTCCAATGAGATCCTCTCATGAGTCTTATGTATCTTACTAAATTCTCACCAGCTTATCCTGAAAGGTTAATATCTTCTAGGGACAATTTCACATGGCGACTCTAAACTTTACTGCCCTCAGTATCGTATTAAGGAAGAAAGATAGCACATGGATCGACATAGACAGAAGCACCTGGAACGTGGCATTCTGTAGTTCTCATTCCTTCTGGTATCAGCAGAGATATCAATAACCCTCTTTGGCCTCCTGCTTTGTTTGATCATATCATAATCCAATGCAGCCTAGTATGCTTATGCAAGGAGTGACGCAATGGCCATCGATCAATCTACCTTGGCATCCAAAAGAGAAGACTACTCCGTAGAAGGCACTGATGTCCAAGGTAACACAACTGGTATCATTCGGCTTGGCCCTTTCCAATGGCATATATTTCCCTCAAATAGAAGTGTACTACCTGCATGATGCTGATGGATGAAGAATCAAGGGCTGGAGCTCGTCATGCTCTATATGTTGCCCTTCATTGGCTCGCTGCTTGTCGATATTGCAAGCCCCAACATCATGATTCATGTTTCGTTCTTTCAAAGGTATGATTCGTATGGCTTTGTGTTATAACCCTATATTTTGCTCATATCCACACACGACTCTCAGCAGCTTCTAACTCAATTTGATGCCGGGCGTGGTGGGGCTGGTGGACTGCTGCGGCATACATATATTCATATACACCTCACCGAAATTGAATCAACATAGTTGATATGTATGTACCCTGGCCAAAAAAGCTTAGGAATCTGCTTTAGAAAAATAGATAATCTCCAATCTCACGCATTAAGTGGCCGATCGCTTGATCGACCTGAAGCCAGCAGGGACAAGTCTTCCCCTATGAACGTGATAGAAAACATGCGGAAATGGCCGAGGGATTACATAATCATGAAAAATACCCAATCCGGCAAAAGGTCGTTTGGCCGCATTGAATTACAGAATCGATTACTATCTTGCTAGCTCGGTCCGGGAAAACACGAGTTTACCTACGATTTATAGACCGTACTTGCTTTTATTTTGTCATAGGGCTAAGTAATCAAGATGGTATATACATGGAAGATTGATTGTATCCGGTGTGGGAAGCAGTTCACATTCGGCTCGGGGTAATGATGTTTGACCGTGGCCGCCGAATTGAACACAACTAATACTTCAAGAATCCATGCCGTTAGTGAGCTGGCTGGGCATATACATGGGCACCATGAAGTCCTCAAATGTGGAATTCATCGTGAAGAGCTTCACCAACTCGCTAGCCTTTAAAACTCACGACGTAATTGATGGCGAGATCCTGTTTACACCTGTTCAAGAAACTCACGTCGAAGACATAAGCATCACATTCAAAGGTACGCAAGCAATAGACAAAGCATGATCATCGGGATATTGACCCGGCCAACAGGCATGACACGAATCGAACCCGAGGACATGAGCATACATCTTCCCCTGCCCCCTAGGCAAATTCACAAACCCTTCCTAAACATGGAGTTACCGATTTTCGACTGTATTGAGGATACAAAAACTTTTAAACCTGGGCAGAGCTACCGAATTCCCTTCATGTTCATCGTGCCCGAGGTGATTCCTATACATGCCTGTCATCACCAATGTGCCAATCAGCAAATCCAACAAGAACATCTGCGCCTGCCTGCAAGTCTCTGCTACCGCGCCACTAAAGCCTATGAACCCCACGACATGTCACCAGAAATGGTGCAAATGGTTTATGGAATCAACTTTGCGCCCTGGCAGCGAGGCGGCAAGGCGGGAAGGCTGAGGAAAATCCAGGTATCAACGCATCCCGTGCAAATCCTCCCAACACGAGATGAGCATCCTCCAATCCTCATTCCAAGCAAGAACAGGTATTACAGGCTACGGGCAGAGAGGTCTTTGTTTACAGGGATGCTGCGGCATGCATGCGGCAAACTCGCTGCTTGTTCTGCCCAACCAGCGGCGATTCAACTGCAAAGTCTCTATCCAACGAGAATTGATGCGTCAACATCTGTGAATATTGATCTTCGGTTTGACCCTTCTCATTCAGGTCAGTTGCCACCAAGTCTGCTTGCCACCGAATTTCAGTTGAGGGCGATGACCTTCTTTGGGCAGGAGCCATGGCAAGATTATCCAGATCGAAGTCAAGTTTCAACATGGGGTACACGACAAGGCTTTTGGTCTGATCGTGTGACACTGATGGTAAAGAATGAGATCAAAACGGACTGGAAGGCTCAAAAAGAAAGGGAGGGTATGATCTTCACTGCATCGGTTGAGACTTCGGTTTCACTGCCTCCCCATCGACACTATCCACCCACTTTCGATTCATGTTTCGTCTCTCGAGCCTATTCCCTGAAGGCCAAAATATTCTATCAAGTACCTGGAAAGGCTCGGAGTAGATCATCCATCTCGGTTTCTGTCCCGGTGGAGATTTGTGCAACATGAGGCATACTAGCGATGTGATCTAGTCCAACGGAGTATGATCGAATCGAAACGGCGTTGAACTTCCGTGGGCTGCAAAGGTTATAGATCAATACTTCTCCACGTGATGTGTCCCCGGAAAGTGATATCACATACGAGCCGTTCATCCGCTTCCACCACAGCGTTCTATTCGATCAACACTTGAAATAAATGGCGTAAAAGCAAATAAAGGTCCACATTCTTAAACCTCTATCTACCAATCCCGTCACTTGAATTCCATTCATTGACAATTCCATGACGAATTTTCTATTTAGGCAACATTCCATGATCGACATGCCCATCCACGGACTAGCATTTGATCACAACAATAACCAATCCCAGCACCCATTACCACCTACTAGTATCTCCCTGCCTTGATATTCTTGCCTATGGCCTAGACTCAAGGGATTCTTGAGACATAATCAGCACTTGGATGGGCTGCTGATCGTGGGCTTGGTATTCTAGCGGGGGTCAGAATTCCACAGGCGACATTTCACCAGGCCCTTCTGATTAGAGAGGATAAGTGCAGCCGATATCCCTAGCCCATCTTTTCACAGATTGATTCTTGCCACTGTTCGTCGGCGAATTGTTGTCCATCTTCCACCTACCATTTTTGATTCAACCGATCGACCTCGTCTCTTGTAGTCACCCATATCTTGATTGGGTGCCTTCCTTCCACTTCCAATTTCAATGCTCGGTCTACCACTGCATCTTCTTACACCGGTAGTTGCTGCCTTCTCAGTCGCTCACTCAACCATCCCTTGATTCATCCAATCGCCCACAACGCAACAAACAACGCGTCCGCCTTGGATCAATCACACGTCACATCATCATGGCCCTCGTTCGAGATCCATATTTTTGGAAACGGTTCTCAACCGCAGTGCACATGGACGAAGAGTCTAAAGCAGCTAATCAAGGAACAAAAACAAAACACGACGCGTAAGAGACATCATCCCCGCTATCTTTGACCTTCCGCTTACCCATTCAGGGCATCATGGCTTTCCAGTGAGCAACGAAAGAGCAAGCGTTCAATTATATGGGGCTGTGTCATTTTCCTTGTCGTGGTCTTGATCATTATTGTCAGTGTGGTTCTCTCGTGGCTTGCTAAGAACAATTGGCTCCAGCCTCGGTCAAATATTACGCAATGACTGGTTTTGTCTGGTCAGAGTTTGCTTGAGTTTTGGACATTGGGCGTTCATCTGGAGTTTCTCGTGGGCGCATGCATTTATTGGAGATATACCCGGTGCCCCTCCACACGGCGTTTAGCATTTTGCTTATATAACTTTCGAGAATTGTATATTAAAAAGAAACAAGAACCAATTCATCTATCTCTATCTCGTCTATCTCGTTTATCTAATGACTACGGGAGACCGGTATGATATCTCCCTAATCTAACAGCCGCATAAACCTGCCCTAATAGGCATAGTGTTTGTTTCTTATCTTCAAGTGAAATTGCTGCGTTTGGTCGCCAGCGCTTAGAGATTTTGTTGAATGTGTTCATAAAATAGAAGGCTCCAATTCAATCGCACTGAGTATGACTGAATCTAACTAAAGATCATCCCTTGTAGATACAAAGAGAAAAAGGACCCCAAGGGTCAGGTGTTCCACACGGCTAACCTCGGTGCTACCCGATCTCCACTTCTCCAACTTCCCCCGCATATAAGACCCGGACTTTCCCCCGATCCTCTTTGCTACCTCACCGCCATTATGTTTCCCCCATTCGACTACTTTGCCTACCGTCGCATACGGTGTGTTGACCTTGACTTTCGTTGAATCGGGAGCTAATATCTACAGGAACCAGAAACAAAGTGAACGAGAACTCCGGTTTGGAGGTCTTCCGCACCACTATCACCTCCGAATTGCCGCCGAGGACAAGAAGATCATCGACCAGCCCATCGAGGAACTGGTTCATGATGTCCAAGATTCGGCGGTCTCCCCAGTGGATATTCTCCGCACCTATGGGAAGGTAGCCAAAAGGGCCCAGGAGCGGACCAACTGCGTGACCGAGGTGATGCTGCCCGAGGCCGAGTCATGGCTGGAGTCAGAAATTAACCTGAAGGGTCCACTGGCCGGGATTCCGGTCTCTTTGAAGGATTCCATTCACGTCAAGGGATTTGATGCAAGTGTTGGGTATGCTGCTATGGCTGGAAACCCCATCTTGGAAGATGGGCCGATGGTACAGCTCTTGAAAGATGCCGGTAAGATCAGATTCTCGAGACACATCCTTTCATAGCTAGATTGTATTCTGATTTTTACAGGCGCTGTTCCATATGTGAAGACTGCCCTACCAATTACCCTGCTCTCCTTCGAGTCAGCTAACGGGCTTTGGGGCCAATGCCGCAACCCGCATGTCCCAGCGTACTCGCCCGGTGGCTCAACCGGCGGAGAGGCAGCATTACTGGCCCAAGGTGGTCGTATCGGTATTGGATCCGATGTTGCCGGCTCAGTTCGCGTGCCCGCTGCCTGGAGCGGCATCTATTCGCTCCGCTGCAGCACTGGCCGCTGGCCCAAGGGCGGCGTGAGCACTAGCATGCCCGGTCAGGAGGGCATTCCTAGTGTGTTTAGTCCTATGGCCCGCACTTTGGATGATTTAACCTATTTCACTCGTGCCATCATTCGGATGGAACCCTGGAAATATGAGCACACTGTACACCCCATTGCCTGGCGCAGCGAGGTCGAATCCGAGTCTCAAAATAAGCCTCTTCGCGTGGGCCTGATGAGCTCCGATGGTGTGTACCAATTTCCTCACCTAGCAATGAGCTTCAGCCACTTACAGATCTCTAGGCGTTGTCCCTCCAACCCCGGCAATTGAACGGGCCATCGCAACGACTGTAGCCGCCCTCACCGAAGCCGGCCACGCCGTCTCTGAAATCACCACCCCACCCAACGCAGACCCCTTCACAGGCCTGAACCTTGCCTCGCAACTCCTCAACTCAGATGGCTGCCACCACTTCAACGCCAAGCTGAAGAGCTTCGAACCCTCTGACCCAGGTGCCATCCAACTCTCCCGCATCGCTCACCTTCCCCGCCCGGTCCGCTACCTCTACTACCTCTACGTGCGTTACATCCGCCGCGACAAAGTCACTGCTACTCTCCTCCGCGACTTCGGCCCCAAGTCCTCCGCCCAGCTGTGGACCCTGACCGCCCAGCGTGAAGCCTTCCGCGCCGCCTGGCACAAGTGGTGGGATGCCGAGTCTCAGCAATTTGATTTCATTCTTTGCCCTGTCAACGCTACCCCGGCTCTCCCGCACAAGGCCATGCATGATGCCGTCTCCTCGTGTGGCTATACCTTCCTGTGGAACTTGCTCGATTACTCTGCCGGCGTCATCCCCGTGGGCCATGTAGACCCTATCCGCGACGCCCTCGCTACACCATACAAGACTGCGCTCAAGCGCCTGGGTTGTGACCACGGCATTGCTCGCGGTGCGTGGAAACACTACGACTCGGCCAAGATGGCTGGTCTCCCCACCGCTGTGCAGATTGTTGGTCGTCGCTGGCAGGAAGAACATGTCCTCGGCTACATGGCTGCGGTAGAGAAGGCACTGGAGCAATACCATGATCCGCAGACCGGTGAGAGCTGTCGGTATACACTACTGGAAATTGATTAAGTCGGACTAGCGTGCGGTGCATTGATTTGATGGGATGTTTCTCTAGATTATGTAGCACCCATAGTGTCCCTCTAGATTGTCTGTCCGTACATACAGCTAGATCGTATCTGGTATAGTTGCATATGTCATAGGATGATTCCTGCTTGCGTCAGCAAGACAATGAAATGGTTCGAGTTCTCCCCGAACATCTTCCTCTCGTTTTCCTGCAGGTCTAACTAGCCCACGATATCCATGCAGTGTAACGGTGAGCATATCATGCCGGGGGAGCCTTGTTGAGGGATTCGGTAGGGATTATTCTAGGGATTATTCCCCTGCACAGGAGAGTTTGTCTTTCGCGCCGGCGAATTTCCCACTTCAATCCTCTTATATCCCTATCTGTTCATTCTTTCCTAATTAATCATGCCAATACATCTATCTAAATACCAAATCCCACAAATTAATATACAAGAGAAAAAAAAAAACAACTGGGGTGAAATGCCAGCTGTCACCTAGTCTGAATCAATGCACACCCTGTCCTGTCAGAACCCACACTAACCCTAACTAGTCCCTGTCCCTCTTACATATCATATGTACCTAACATGTCAGACTTGACAAGGCAACGCTAATTTAGTTGCGCATTGTCTAGGCTCGCCCATTAGCCTTTTGTCAAAGGATCCGCTCACGGCTGTTCGTTATTTTTTTAATTTCTCCCTGATCTTCGGAGGCGTCGGGTCAAAAGTGAGAGATAGTCGACGCCATCTATGCATTTCTGGGCTGCGCCGTTCATCGGGATTTGCTTCCTGGCGTGATCTGGAGGTTTGCAGGCACCGAGTGGAGTTCTACTCTGTGGTTTGGATGTCGAGTGGTGGGAAACTATAGCCGAAAAAGCAATGTTATGCATTAACGGCGAGGTGCTCCGTATACATGAAATAATGAGCGGCATCGGCCGACGGGGGAAACATAATGTCCGTGTTAGACAATGTGCAGGGTCACTTATGTACCCAAGTGAGAGAGGTACATATTGTCTCATCTTTCGGTCAGCTTGGGGGACAACTTAGAATCAGCTCTATAACTCTATAATAATGCTCCGAAGGGAAAGAAAGGGGGTGAAGCAGGTTAACTACAGAGGCTCATGCAAATGTAGTTGATCGCCAAGTACTCGTACACCGTATATCAGACAAAATCGGTTTCTTTTTCATTGTCTCCAAGTATCTCGACTCGATGTACGGAGTATGCAGAGACCTTCAGGCCGTCACTCCGAGACACTTAACCCCAGGATCGACGGGGTCCACCTACCAGAGCCACTTTTAAATTAATTTTTGTTACCGAATTGATCCTGTCACAATAGGTTAAATCTGTTATATTTCCATCAAGCAGTTGAGATTTTGAATAGTGTCCATGTACGGAGTAGTGTGTCTACGGAGTCTCCTTATACTACCATGATCAGGTTCACCTCTGTAAGAGAATTCTAGTCTGACGATCATAATCATCATGCAAAAGAGATGTGTATTAGTTCGGCATTCTGAAATTCTTGCTCTAGGTGTCCACGATACTGGGATACCCGGGGAACGAGGGATATTAGTCTAGCCCATACCGAAATATGAAAAGAGAAAAATCCCCTGGCAATATGCCATATCAGGGTCGTCTTGGTATTCCAACGGACTTCTTTTCCCAGAGCGTTCAGGGTTGAAGATTGACAGCCATATACGGAGTACGGAGTACGGAGTCCAGGAAAACAAACGAGGCTATTGGCAGTCTAATGCAGAGAACTAGCAATGCAAATCAATCGAATCAATTGAATCAATCGAGAGGAAAATGATAAAAAGTACAAGCGAACGGATCTGCGGTCACGGGGCCAAGCTTCTGTGATTTCTTTTATCCTCTCGCACTCCCCTTCAGCTTCAAAAGCATTGCCATTATTACAGATCCACATGCTGATCTGTCATCACTACCCCATACCTCGTTAAAACCCTATCCGACGCTCTTTGACCTTGAAGATCATGCATCTAGCTATCACATACATCTCTCACCGCTTACCGGGTGATATGATCTGAAATGGCGTCAAGAAGAAAACAACCCACCTGGAGGAAGAAGGATGACATTCATTTTGTCAATGCCAGACCTGCCTCCGAAACTGAACGATTGAAAGCTCAGCGTCTGGTGCGTGCGCATGTCGGGCGTTGGATTTCAGATCAAACAAAGGACCGATCCGCCGGCGAATCCTCCAATACACGCACTCGACCGGTCCGCAATCCAGTTCCCACCGTACCCGTCAATGACCGCGCCGGTTCTGGTCCCTCTTATACTATCGTCTCACGCCCCTCAAGCTCCCATCGGAACATCCCCCGCGACTCTCGCAACCAGGTCACATTCCGCGATTCGCCCTTCCCGCCCTCCCATGCTAGCGATAGCAGCGATAGCAGCAGCGATGATGCGAGTACCGTAACGGCCTTCTCTGCAGAAGCGCTCGCTGTTGCCCGGTTCAACAAACGGAACTCTCCTGAGCGACTCGAACGCAATCTCTCTGGGATATTCGATCCATTCGCCACATACCCCGCGCCTCAGAACTTCGAACCAGAGATGATCAATTTGTCAGAGCGCTATCTCACGGCTGTTGTGTGGCCGGGACTTGCCCCGCAACCACATAATGTGAAAGCTACGGCCAATAAGTGGTTCGATCTGTCCATGGCGGACCCGGCTTTGTTTACAGCGTTCATGTTTGGTTCCCTTTGTCATCTCCGTGTACAGTGGCAGAATAATTGGGTGCCCGGTACGGTATTCGGTCAAAGGGAACACCGGGCGCTACAGCTATGTGAAATGGAATCGATCAAGCTGATCAACCAGGCCGTTCGTGATCCAGATCGTGCGGTCAGCGATGCGGTTCTCCTTAGCGTTATTTGCATGGCTCATCATCAGGCAGAGGAGAAATTGGTACAGCGGCACCGGAAAACACCATTTAATCCGCCTTTCCCACGACTACAATGGATCGATGTCTACGGGTGTCTGCCACCGAATATGATCCATATCAAAGGATTGTTACAATTGGTCAAACTGCGAGGCGGCTTAGCGAACATTTCCACAGAGGGTCTCGCCGCGACAATTTCCTTTTCGGATATCATGAGCTGTAGCGTCCTCTGTGTCCGCCCATGCTTTGATTTCTGGCCTCTCGCCGATTTCCGATTGGGCTTATCCATCCAAGAGCTGCTTGGCTTCGGCCCATCAGCCATTGAGCAGGGATTCGGCCGTTTGCAGGAAATTGGCGCCACTCCCCAAATGGCAGAAGCTTTCCAAGCGGTGCACACTTATATCGAGATCATCAAAGCGGGTCCCCAACATGATATCTCTTTGCTCGCCGACCGGCGCAACCTAACCCAACATACGCTCCTCTGTCTCACCCCGGGCTCAGACCTCTACTTCTCCCACCCCGTCCATGCCGCCACCTATGAAGCCTGCCGCCTAGCGGCACTCATCTTCGGGGTCGGCGTCCTCTTCCCAATCCCCGCACAGAATACCCCTCTCAACAAACTAGCGCGTCTTATCCAGTCGCTCCTACTCCAACCCTCCTCCTCCGAAATATGGTCTTCGCCATCCACGCGGCTCGCTCTGATCTGGGTCTTGGTCCTCGGCGGTATTGCAGCGAACGATGCCCCCGAGCGCGTTTGGTTCGTCTCTGCTCTCGGAGATGTAGCCCGCAAGACTGGTTTGAATTCATGGGCCAGCATCAAATCTATTATTGGATCCATGTTGTGGTACGATGCTGCCTGTGATCTCGCTGCAGAGACTCTCTGGCAGGAGAACGCTAGCCTGTATGGCTATCTCATTGAGTGAATTGCCACAATTTCTCCATTGGGAAATTCTCCGAACCTCGAGAAGCGCGAATGACTCGCTTCCACTTTGGATCTGCCGTCAGCTGCAATGACGCAGCCCTCCTTCCCTAGATCTTCCTCTCCAGCTGTCCATACCACCGTCCATACCACCGTCCGTCCGAATCTCATTTTAGTCGGGTTTTTCTTAAAATGTAAATACGGAAAAAGGTATTGGGCTTTTTTTCTCCGGGACACCAAGGACATCCTCCAATTTGGACATAGGGCGTACATGGATATACCCAACGGTGCGTCTGACCACACTCGATATCAGTTTCGCATAATTTGCCGTGCTGTGAAACCTGAACACTGTGACTGTGACCCTCAGGGCCCGGGGCATTACTCTTTCTTCCTTTTGTTTTGGATTGCACATGATATAATATGGATCTCCCTTTGGCTCTTGGATTGGATTATAATATTTCCCGACATAGACTGGCTTTCTCACGTCCCGTTGTCGCTTTTGGATGTTTGGGATACATCCGTATACAACATATTTCTGTTTGGATTAGAATTAGAGACACAATACATAACATTACAATGTTCAGGTCTTGCTGTGTTTCCCTCGTATTGGTGTCTGAAGGGCTTTCAGCATTTATTCTCCTTTCGCACACTAGACACATATTCAGCCATATTCACATTCATGTCCGCATTGATGCTTATATACTCGCTATATCTGGAAACAAATCACATGTTAAAAATACTTGCTGCGTCATAGAAAACGAATGTCCTCATGCCCCATATCCTCTCCCGTGTTCCTCGTTCCTCAACAGCGGCTCTCTCTCCCCACCCCGATGCTGTCCACCATCGCCCTTCCTCCCATTCGCCAAAACACGAGTTTGATAAGCAACGAACCCAACAAGCCCACCTCCAACCCCAGCAACCAACAGCGTAAGCCCAACGTTAACAGGCACAGGATCACCCCTCCACACCCTCAACGTAAGTGCATCAAGACCCGCCTGCGTGAAATTCCCAACACCGGCAAGACAGATAATAAGCCCATACACCTTCCCGAACGTCGCGAATCCAAACACCTTCGCTGCGTAGTCCGATACGGCGGTGTAATAGAATGGTCGGTATAACACGAAAAGAATGATGTTCGCATATGCCGCCGTTGGATGCGGTATACACCCCAGTACGCCGATAGTGGTCGCCGACACGACAAGAATAAATAAGACAGTGCGCGTCTGGAATATGTCCAGGAATGTGCCGATAAATGGGACGGAAATGAGTCCACCGACAGGTAAGAGAATGTCGAAGGTTGTGTTTATTTGTGCGGCTGTCTCTGCCGAGAGGAGGTAGGTGTATTGTGAGCGTAGCGTTGCTACGAAGTAGTTTATTCGTAGCATCATCAGAACAGTGAAGGCGGTGATTAGTCCAAACCATAGTGTGCGTAGTTGGTACAGGGCACTGTGGCCGTGGAGAACGCCCCAGATTCCACCTGGTGGTGGGTTCAGGATGGTTGGTTGGTGGTGCGTGTGGGAGTGCGGTGTTGTAGTACCGTGGCTTCCTCTGGTGGTGGGATCTATGTCTAGTGAGGCGTCGATATCGGTCTGGAAGACGGAGTTGTCAATGGTATGGCCTGATATCACGGATGCTGTGCCGTCGTCTAGGAGATCTTGGATGTGGCCAACGATACTTTGACGACGAAGTCGTCTGTCTATACGCTGGCGCGCGCCCTCACTGCGATCGTTGACGGTGTCGTCTATGCGATCATGGATCTCGTCTTCGACCTGCGCTTCGGCTTGTTGCACGAGCTCGCCGGCAGTTTTGTAGGATGTTGATGGCATTATAAAGATTTGTGCTGCGATGATAAATACCGGCACGATGAGATACGCCACGAAGAAATTGTTGATTGATACGAGATCCTCGGTTTGTTCACTTAACAGCCTGAAAAGTAGGAATAGGGCACTCGAGGCATCGAAAGCGCCTGTCAGCATTGAGAGGATCAGACCTGATCGTTTGGGGAACGTATTTGATAGTTGAAAAGATGGGATGAATACGAATGGTCCGCCCAATGCTAGGAATAAGTACCCCGGGATGTACCCATCGAATGGAAGCTTGTTGGCTGTGCCGAATAGTGCCGCTCCTATGGCAAGACAGATACTGCCGATGATGCCACTAACTCGTGGTCCATACGCATCTAGGATTGTTCCTACGGGTAGGGCTGAGATATTGGTTACTACAGCGGCGATAGTAAACATCAGGTTTAGCCTATGAAGTATAAGTATAAGAGATCTTGCACCGGGGTGAAAAGCATACCTGATCTCCTGCCCATAGCAAACATCGATATCTTCCTCAAGCTCCGCCTGGGAGCAGAGGTTGCGATATACTTTCTCGCGGATAAGAACAGGCTTGAGAGCTGCAAAGCCGAAAACAACCCCGGCAGCTAGAAAGCAGTATACAACTGCCGTGCAAACCTGGGCTTTTTGAAGTCAGTATATCCCTATATATCACGAATACAATAGGAGTTGCATTAACCTACCAATCCTCCTAGCCGCGCTGACTTCATAAGCACCAGTAGTATCTGCCCAAGGCGGCGTCTGAGCAACGGTCGTCCCTGAATCCTCGTGGACACTTCGTTCAACAGATCCGAGCCCCTTTACTGAACCCGAACTCGCACCTGCTTCACGGGTGGTCGTCGGAGATAGCCCGAGAGATGAGGGCCCGACAAACGAGGATCGATCGTCGTGTGGATCCTCTGGACTCTCATTCCAGCCTGGCCCCGCATACGGGTTGAAATTTAGTCTGCTGTATGTGGAGGGAAATGAAGACGACATGGATCCCTCGGGCAAATCCTGGTAGGAGTCCGGATCCGAATCCTCCGACTCGGGGTGAGTGAGAAAGGCTGCGGGGTTGCGCTCCCATCCTTCGAGGAAGGAGATGCGGTTGAGTGACATAGTTATGGCATTACAGGGTTGGATGTTAGATCAGTTTCATAATATTCAGTACAGCTGTGTACAGTGTATGGAGTACGGAGTACTTTGAAGCTCTCCAGGAGCTTAGCCAGGAGCTCCCAAGATAAGAAACTGGGAAGTTGGCATAGCTTGGCTCGCGATATGCATGGGTGCCTTACTTTCAAGGCTGCAAGTATCTCAATTTTCAGGCATCACACTCTCATCACCGCTTCTCTCTTCTTTCTCTCTTCTTTCTTCCTTCTCTCTTCTCTTCCCCTTTCTCTCTCTCCTTCTCCCTCTCGATTGATGACTTCTTTCCCTTCAACCATGGATTGCACCTTTGCCGATGTAATAATTACTAATGCAAGTGGCTTTTCATACCGGAGCATATGGCCAAAACAGGCAGCTCATAACCAAACTCCCCCACATGTCCAGATGCAAAATGCACATCGCCATTTGTTGTGCAGGTTTGAATGTGCCGGATTTAACTTTATACCATCGGGACTGCTCTCGGATCGCCTATTCGGCTTCATAGGTACTCTCGGGGAACTTCCATGATCGACAGGGTTTGATCGGGTCCGGAGTACTTTTTTCCATGGGGGTTGAAATTAGGACCAAATCTCACACATCGCGCTGATCCACAGGCCGGATTCACGTTGATAGTATTTCCAGTCCAATGATCAAACATCAAATCCCCAAGAGATCTAGGGTTTCAGGTCGCCATGTGGCTTCGTGGGGGACCGAGCAACCTCTTTGATTTTCGGGTTCCTGAACCAGGTCCGGTGAGACCAATCGGCAAATGAACAGAAAAGTTTGACTGACTTCCAACGCTAATGTTCCGCTGAAGCTTGTCAAACGCCTTTTACATTCTTTTTTTCTCCAGTTACGCTGACAAACCGGAAAAGGATTACCAATTGAATGCCAATCCTCCGGGTTTAGATGGAGACCATCCCGTTCTCAGTTTCATGCTATTGGTTGATATTTGAACGAGTCAGAATGAATCCACTTGAGATTTTGAAGACCATAAACGGGAAAAGGGGGTCTGGGCCATGAGATACTACGGAGTACTCCGTAGTCCGTATAATAAACTCAGGCATATCTCGAGGATTTTGCCGAGAATCCGATGCACACCGGAACATGACATGTCCCAACGTATTTCTGGTTAGGTAAGGATCAGAGCCTTTCGATTGGGGGAGACACAAGACTTTGAGTCGACGTGGGGGAGCCGATCGTCCAACCACGACCAGCAGATGTTTTGCCCAGACTCTGCAGTGGGGATTGTTGAACCTGGCGTGATGAGGGTACTGAACGTTTTACCCAGAGAGTTATCCCCAAGTTCTGAGCCAATTCGAGTGAATTTCCAAAACCCGCCATACAGTCCACAATTAGCCCTACTCTTCTCGAACTAATCTCCAACTAAAACCCACGTACGGAAGTAATTGGATATACCCGGATATACCCCAAAAAAATTAATACGCAATCCGTTAGTTATCCGCCAATTATTCTCTCCCTCATTTCCGCTTGTATATGGGCATCTCCAATGGACACTGTGGATGAGTTTGATAGGTTTGATAGGAAGACTTGCCCTATTTACATCTCTAAATACCCTCGGGCCTGGCATTCCAAATATGCTTTCTGGAAGCCTTCCTTGTTGACGATTGGACTTTTGACTGCGTAATGAGGGGATGGTCAGTTTTTCTTGATTCGCATAGAATTCTCCATTAACGCCTTTTCAGCCTCACATGTCGTCTGCGCCATCTGAAATGTACGTTCAGGGATTCCCCAGGTCTCTTGCCCCGGGCTAACAGAAGTAGGTGACAAATCCGGTTCGAAATGTATCCGTTGTCAACGCTCTGGTCGCGAATGTGTGCCGGCCCCCGGCAAATCCGAAGAGGTCTCGTTCCGACACGGCCAGAACCCATCCTTGCGAGGAAAGGGGCCCCCGAGATATGGCGAGAGTGATCTCGCTTTTCCGGACGACCAGATTTGGGTTGAGACCGCTTCCGACTGTATGTGGAATTGTGTTTGTGTTGACCGGTAGACTGATTTCTTGTAGTCGACTTCAAGGATGAAACAGACCAGACAGCAGCGGAATACTATGTGGTACCTGTGACCAGGCAGGCGTCAGCTTCAAGATCGTCGTCTGAACGGTCGACGCCTTCATCTGCGATGGATTCTTCTTTGCCAACACCCAACCTCGTCACTCCTGCTTGCACCGTGGCATCTCAATTGGGTTCTGGGTCGAATTCAGTGAATTCTCCGCGTGCACCTACCACGCCCATTGCCCAGCCGAGGCTATCCAACCTCACCGAAGCCTTTCTGCTGCGGCATTTTCAAAAGTACCTTGCCCCCTGGGTAAGTTGAATCTTTGTCCCATTCCCCGCTATTGGATCTGACAGCTCAGCTCGACGCATTTAACCCTGAACGACATTTCTCAACGGATGTCATTCAGCGCGCGACTCAATCTCCATTACTATTGTATGCATGTCTCGCAGTGTCGGCATGTCACCTGTCCCGAACAACGAACTCTATCGCCGTCGACGTCGCTCACGGATACCATGAGCGCTGTATCTCAATCATGCTCCCGGTCCTCGACAAGCCTGAGTTCGAGATCGGGATCGAAATACTTCTCTCATCCACAGTCATTCTACGATTTTTTGAATCAATCTCCTGTGCGTGCACCGCCGATTCAGCATCTTCAACGCAAGATAATTAACCCTAGCTAATGAACCCGACAGCCCATAGTCCCCCAAACGACCAACAGCACCATCTCCTAGCAGGTTCAGTTTATGTCAGTTCCCATGTGGACTCCGCTATCACGGGCGGACTGGCGTCGGCTTCCTTCTGGGCCTATGTCATTCAAGATATTCAATTCGCGCTTACCTACCAGAAATGCCTTCGGCTATCATTTGCACCATTCGATGACCGCCTGCGAAGCTGGTGGGTCTCCAAGCCGGCCTTGAGCGACGGCGACTGGACAAACCGAGCTATATGGTTATTGGCTGAGACTATCGATTTTTGTTATAATATCTCAGGCCGAAGTCATGATGGTAGACTCGGGAGTCCCGGTGAGACTGCGCTCAAGCGTCGCGTTCTCGAGTGGGAGCTTGGTCGACCTGACACATTTGTGCCATTGCATATTTCACCGCCGGATCCTGGGAATGGGAAGCCTTTTCCTGTTGCTTGGTATACGAGCTTGTGGCATGGTATGTGACTTGTTTCCTGCGGAGGGGTGATGTTCTAATCTTGGGGTCTAGCTACCGCGATTCAGCATATCTGTCTCACTAAATCGCTGATGCTCATTCGCGAACTCGAATTTTACGATCGGAACATGTTGCATTTAGAGCAACCTGTTAAACTAAGGGTCCGTTTCCCTTCTCCGAGACACTTGGGTCCATGCTGACCCCGACAGAATGACCTCGCCAGAACGCTTAATTTTATGTTCGGCATCGCCACATCTGCCGACGACGATCCCTCACTACGTATCACGGCTTGCCACGCACTTTTTGCTTGTAGGTTTTGTTCGAATATTGTTTGGGAGTTTGCACTAATATCACTGCAGGTGGCTCATGGGTGGAAGACCCTGTTGTCCAGAACTTGCTGATCGATCTTCTTCGTCGATCGGAAAGGGAGGATGGCTGGCCATGGGGATATATGCACAACCAAGTCGTGCAAGCGTGGAGGCCGATGTAGTTATAAAATTGATACCCAAAATCTTTGCATATACCGAGCACTAAGTTTGTCATCTACAATATATCCCGTCCAGCTCTGTCTTGGCGAGAGCGAGGAGCTCAATCTAAGACCTTCTCTTGCTGTGATCGATGCATTGTGTATTCGATTAAATTAGAATTATCCGCTTATGTCGGGAAAGAGGTGGTGTAGGGATTATGTGACAGGTATGGGTGATGGAACACCCTTCAGTAGCTCTCTTGACCACTAAAAAATGACATCTTCAACAGACATACTCCGTACATGATCAGAAATTATACTCTGGGAGCGCGACCATTAGCGGCGGCCACGAAGTGGCCCCAGCTGATCAGCTCCTTGGTGCAGTCATCACGGTCAATGACACACTCAATCAGACTGGGTCCGTTTCGGTTCTTCTTCGCGGATTCAATCGCCGAATGTAGCTCTCCTGCAGTGGTGGCGCGGAATCCGCGACCCTGACCATCTTTGGCATTAAATGACTCGACAAAGGCAGCATAGTCCCAGTTCTTGATGTTGTTGTAAATACCATCATGAATCTCGACTTCAATGGTGTATCCAATGTTGTTGATCAGGAAGATGATCATAGGAATGCGCAGTCGGGTCAATTGAGATACTTCCTGCGCTGTCATCTGGAACGACCCATCTCCTACCATCGTGATGACTTGTCTATCAGGTTGCGCCACCGCATAACCGAACGACGCGGGGACGGACCATCCAATGTGACCCCATTGCATTTCAATCTCGAATCGGGCTCCTTCTGGGAGCCGCATTTGAATACCGTTGAACCATGAGTCGCCTGTATCGGCAAAGATGGTAGTCTTTGCCGTAACAAGACCACTGATCTGCCGAGCCATCTCCTTCCGTGAGAGCTGCTCCTTTGCGGGACTGGCAGTGACGATTGGCTCGGGTGGGCTCAGACGCTTATATTCCACCATCGTTGTCGGGTTTCTCTTTGCCTGGAGGGACAGTGCAGACAGGAACTCGGCCAAGTAAACGCGAGAGCTGTCTGTGCCTGGGAATTGGACCTGGTCGACATCGGCTGTCAGGCGTACGCCTGGGGCCGGCTGAGCCGTCCAACCGACAGTGCTATAGTCCGTGAAGACTGTGCCAACGCAGATGACTAGGTCTGACCAGTCCACGATGGCCTGAGCACCCAAGGTGCTGGCCAGACCCCAGTAAATCCCAGCATACTGAGGATGCGTCTCCGGGAAGAATGACTTGGCACTAGGCATCACTGCCACTGCGCAGCCCAATGCCTCTGCCAGTTGTAGGACAGCGAGCTCGGCTTGGGCAGATCTGACTTTCGGGCCGACCAAGATAGTGGGCTTACCCTTTTGTGACAAAAGGCGCGCCGCTTGGTGAACCGCGTCCTTGAGGACGATAGGATCGCTTTTGACGGATTCCAGAATCACCGACTCTGGTCCGGGGAGCACACATGGCTGGGTTGCCAAATTGGTAGCAAGCTCGATGTATACGGGCTTTTGCGTGAGGAGTGCTTGGCGGATGGTAGAGTCGATCATATGCGGCGCATCCGAGGCGCGACGGATGGAAACGGCAGCAGTGGTGATTTTCTTGGCCATTTCCAGCTGATAATCAAAGTCGTGGGTTCCAATTGTGTGGTGAAGAAGATTGAAATCACCTGCATCATTGGTGTTGGGGCAACCGCTGATGAGAATGACAGGAAGGTTTTCACCATATGCACTTCCAATGCCGTTGAAAGCCGAGAAAGCACCAACACTGTAAGTGACCACACATGCCGCCACTCCCTGAGCTCGTGCATAGCCTTCAGCGGCCATGGAGCAGTTCAATTCATTCGTACAGTTGATCTCGTTCAGATCGGGATGCTCCTGCAATTTGTCCAACAAGAGGAGGTTGTAGTCTCCCGGCACAACAAAGTGCCTCTTGATACCAATCTGAGCCAGCCGGGTGGCCAGATAACTTCCAACCGTCGTCATGATGGTGTTAATTTCAATGCCTCAAAAAGCACTGGAGTAGGATATCAAGTGTGGTGAGAACAGGATTGGAATGGTTCTGAAGATAGTATTCCAAGCCCCTGCATGGTATATATAATATTGCTATCGTAACCCGGAGAGCCCCGAAAGATCTCAACTTACCACAAATCATGAATCATCTACTAATAAGTGTAAGCGGTTATCTGCTCAGGTTGTAAACAGTCTTCCGTTTGCGGTTTGTCTATGATGTAAGGTCCAGAGAATAATCCAAATCTCTTGACAAAAGCTGTACACAATACACTTATATCAGCTTGTTGGGGTAACTCTGATCACAGACTTAACGATCGCAAGCATCCTTAGGGTATGAACATCGTCAGGGTACTGTACATCGTATGCGAGAAATTGTTGTTGATACCTAATGCCTCAGGCACTAATTGCCCAAGATAGATCGGAGCCTCCTTTCAGTACAACTCTCTCACCTATTGCTGAATTATATACTCATAGCTCCAACGGAGCATCATGGTCCAAATTGACAATGTGATAAGAGCCTGCTCAGTGATGCGCGGAATTCGTCAACTAAATCCACGTTAAATATGCGCGGAGTTTTATCAGCCGAGTACTATTCCATATTCCATACCGGGATATGGATTACAATGGGCATTTATTCTCTTTTGTCTATTTATATCCGCCAAATAGATCTCATAACCATGGGGTCCTAGTCACGGACCAAGACATACATGATCTCCGTCTATTTAAAATATGACAAGATATGGTATGGCAAAGACAATTTCGTCATGAGTCTGTATGACAGCATTGGAAGGCCCCGTGTGAGTCCCGACCTTCAACTCTATGACGACCTTGATCCACTTTGATTGAATAGTGAGTTCGTGCCAGCATGCGACACCAAGCATCGATGTATAAATAATCCATGATCGATGCCATGCCTCATAGGCAAAAGGAATCAGCTGAAGAAAAAACAAATCTTCTCCACACAATATGCCAGCTAATTCGAAAGGTTCAAAGAAGCCTTTGATTGCCACCGATCTCCAGGTGAGTCTCAAACCCTCGATTGGATAGAAGCCGTGAGCAAACATACTCATTGGAAAAGCCGGTCAAAATCGCCATCATCGGAGCAGGCAATGTCGGGGCTTCTACTGCGTACGCTCTTCTGCTGAGTGGGCTCGCAGCCGAAATCGTCTTGATCGACCTCAATCGAAGCAAGGCGGAAGGCGAGGTAATGGATCTGAATCACGCAGCTCCCTTCACGCATCAAACCAAGGTGACGTGCGGCGATTTCGAAGACTGTGCGGGTGCTGCGGTTGTCATCATCACTGCTGGGGCAAACCAAAAGCCCGGCCAAACGCGATTGGAACTCTTACAGGTCAATGCCAAAATCATTGAGGACATTGTTCCTAAAGTCACGCAGAGCGCCCCATCCACTATCCTTCTGGTAGCGAGCAACCCAGTGGATGTTTTGACCTTCCACAGTTGGAAATTGTCCGGATTCCCGCAGAGCCGTGTCCTCGGCTCAGGTACCGTCCTGGACACGGCACGCTTGCGTTACAGCATTGGCCAACGATTGGATGTTGACCCGAGTAATATTCATGCCGATATTGTGGGGGAGCATGGTGATAGTGAACTGCCTGTGTGGTCGCGGGCCAATATCTCGGGAATTGCTTTGGATGAGTTTTACCAAACTACAGGCCAAGACGTTCAAAAGATTATGCAAGAGTCATTCCACGAGACCAAAAATGCCGCTTATGAGATTATCAACCGGAAGGGCATGACGGACTTTGGAATTTCTGCTGGCTTAGTGAGAATTGTGGAGGCCATACTCAGGGATGAGAACACGCTCATGACGGTTTCAACAGCCGGGACTTTTGCAGGTGTGCAGGACATTGCGTTGAGCATGCCCAAGAAGGTCAATCGAACCGGAGCCCACCATGTCATCGACATCAAATTGGCGTCAGGAGAAAGCGAAGCTCTAGGGAAGTCGGCGCACACTATTAAATCTAGTTTAGAATCTTTGAAGCAGTAGTGTCAAGAATGTTCACCTTTCTTTCGCACACCAACGCAGGGGATCGATTCTCACTTCTTGGAATACTCGATAGTACCAAGTACCGAGTGTGATGGTAGTCTAGTCCGCCGAAGGATTCTCCATGATTTGTCTCGGTATGAATTTATAGTAGCGTTATTCTGGCCGATTACTGAACCGCAATGAAATGAATCAAGGTGAAATCAATCTACTTGCCACAGAACTAGAAGTACCCAAGCTTCCAATCGTCCAGTCGACTCGTCAACTCAAGTCTATCTTCTAGTCTGATTTCCCGATTCCCTGAATGAGACAGTTCTTCCCACCCGAAATGGTGATATACTGTCGGGACATCTATTGGCCTTTTCAATTTCGAGTTGAAGTGAAGATGAAGTATCAGCTTTGTTGGGGTCAGGCATTATTCGAATGATTCAGTTGAAGATCTCGTAACTGTCTATTTTATTCGTCCAATCCATAACTGTGTATCCTATAACCGGCCGCGAATGCTCTGACACAACCAGTCTCTCCACTCCTGGTCATTCAAAATTGATCTCACACGGGCCTCGAGCCACTCTGTATTTCCCCAGAAGCCCCACGAAGCCTGGAATCTACACCAGTCGACCAATGCCGTCTCCCAGTGTCGTTTGAACGTTTCCCAGTCGTATATATGGGAGCCCTCGGCCTGGGTGGTTGTGCGGTACCGCTCTAAGAGTCCCCTCTCACCCTCACACATTGACAGTTGTTCGGGCAAACTCCCATTGTCATCAACTAGCATATGCAAAGGGACCGAGCAGGTAAACAATTTGGCAAGGTCACAAACTCCCAGACCGAGCCCAACATACTGGAAATCAAAAAATGCCACTTTGTCCCCATTGGTCGTCGTGAAGAGATTCTCCGACTTGACATCACCATGGATATACGACTCAGCTGTCCTTCCAGAGGGCGTTAAGAATAAAGCAACCATCTCCGCAATGGATAGTGAACACTCATCCGAAGCCCTGCACAAAAGATCCGACCACTCCGAGTCCGTGTCCTGCGCAAGAGATGCGTACTCTTGACGTCGTGTCGCGAGATACGTATATCCCCCATTCAGCCACAGTCCATTTACAACGTTCTTGCTTGAACTCTGTCTTCTACTGCTTTCCTCCAGCGGCGGCAGAACGTATCCATCAAGAGTGGCTGGTAGCAGCTCCCGTGAGCGGTTGTGGAAGCCGGCTAACCAATCCAGCGCCGCATGTACTTGTGTGCGATTCAATGCACCTCTCTTCTCCCCCGCGACAGGGAATGCAGGGCGCAGATCGACCATGATTGTAGCCATGAGACCTCTGAGTTCCGAGGAGCCTTCCGCGTCGCTCATGTCACGCGTCGAGGCAAGACATTTCGCTATGGATATGTCAGAGCCTAGCTGTGGAACAACTTCACTATAGAAGTACTGCTCTACCTCGTAGCTCAACATCTTTCGTAAGTGACCCTCATCTTTAGTACCGCTTTTTCGGGGCGGTGAGATGAGCTTCAGGATGAGCGGATATGTCGACCCTGCGCTGCCTGGGTCTACCCCACATAGCTTGCTGAGATGCTTGGCTGCTTGGTCGGTGGTGGCTCGTGCCGTGATAGCACATATTTGTCCATAACCAGCCCATAAGGTCTGTAGATTGGTACATGAGACAAGGTCCAGGGAGTGCCATGAGAGCATGATGCTCGCGACGCGGTTGGGATCGGAGGGCATCTTGACTCGTGAATCTAACGACAGGTCACAAACATATGTCCTTGGCGATTACTGCAATTGGAAATCAGATATCTTTGGATTGTTTTCTGGAGGTACGGAGCGGATAATGGGATTCTCCGATTTGTTTCAGATGTCACTCGATTTCCCAGGTGCTGTCCTGATCATGGCTCGGTCTACGGAGTATAGTCAAGATTGAGGGTTGGTCTTTGGGACAGTCTGGGTATGGAGTTAACGGAGATGACAGAGATGCTTGGCAATGGGTCTGGTCAATAAACTGGGAAGAAACAATGTTGCATGTCGGTCTAAACACGATAACTACTCTTTTTCTCCAATTTCGATTTGTCCAAATTCCAGACGAGTCTGCCAACTGGGTCTGAGACCCGCAGATCGACATCTTCAAGGTTCATCGTGGACCTTTTCTAGAACTTGGACATCGCGATCGTGGCTGAGGAAGGCAACAACATTTCATTGAAGCCTTCATGCAAGTCGCTGACAGGCGAAGGACTCCACTGTCTACTTATACCATACATTCTCATTCTAGCCACGCGTCCAACACTCATCGATTCGCTTTCTCTACCCTTGGCAAAAGGCTTTGGCCCTAAGTTCCGGGGGGCTTAGACAGGCTCACCTAAAACACTACACATACTCAGGTATGGATCTTGGCGTACATCTTGGCCATGGAAGAGAGTATGAGATGAGATACCTGAAGTCTGGAGTGGGGAGAGAGTCATGGACCGGCATGTTAAGTCTATATAATACTGCACATTATTACTTCATAGACCAGTCGAGATTACTTTGAAAGAAAACCACATCTGGGATGAAGAAGCCAACCTTGTCCTCTGCTGTTTTAGCCTTGTTTGCTTTGGTGACATCGACCGTCGGATGTAAGTACACCATATGCCTCTGTACCAGCTAAACATAAGCCTGACAGTGTATCATCTAGTTAATCCAGTATCATTTCGTTTCATTGATCCCATACTCTCTCCAACTGCGACCAAGCAGTTCACTATCACCGCAGGGATTGAAACATCCAATCAAACCATCAACTTCGTTCTAGAAATCAACGATGATCTCATTTCACCAGACGTGCAAATCCGATATCCCGATGTCCACCGATACGCCGATGATACAAGCATTGTCCCAAATATTCAAACTTGGTTCACAAGAGGGTCAGTTTGGATGCAAGAAACTCTTAAAGGAAGTCCGGAAAATGTCGGATGGGCAAGGCTTGCCGTGATCCAGGACGGAGAGAGCCTGCTCTTCGATGGAACATTCACTGTGATGGGCTCGCAATATGCCATCGTGCTCGAGGACCACGATGATGGGTCTACTGGAATCATAGCCCATGAACATGAATCCACATTCTCGACAGGGACATCGTCACTCTCCTCGCGTTGCGCAGCTACCCCCGAAACGCACTTGGATAAGCGACAGATTTGGAATCCTTGGCGGAACGATAATCTCACATCAACGATCGGCAGTACGTCTGGTTGTCCAAGCACCAGAGAGATTGCGTACATTGGCATAATGACGGATTGCACCTATACTGCGGGCTTCAACTCCTCCGACTCTGCCCATCGATACATCCTGAATATGGTCAACACTGCATCTGTGGTGTTTGAGAATAGTTTCAATATCTCTCTTGCGGTACAGAATCTAACAATTAGTGACGCTGAATGCCCGAGCAGCACCTCAGACGCGACTGCGTGGAACGTTCCATGCTCGCAGGGAGATCTCAACACCCGCCTTCAGACCTTTTCAACGTGGCGAAGCTCATTAAATGACGCAAATGCATACTGGACCCTGTTGACTGGGTGTTCAGTTTCTGCTGGGGAGATTGGTGTGTCATGGATTGGGGCACTATGCAACACGGGCTCTGGTTCTAGCAATGGTGGAGCCAGTGCCAATGTTGTCGCACGAACACAGGATGAGTGGCAGGTCTTTGCGTAAGTGGTTTCAAGCTGTAAGCAACAAATCGATGGTACCTTTCGCTAACACAGAAAGTCACGAGTCAGCCCATACATTCGGAGCAGTCCATGACTGCACTTCTAATACATGTGGAAGCGACTCGACACAATGCTGCCCACTCTCGTCGAATACTTGTGATGCCGGTGAACAGTATCTTATGAATCCCGTATCTAGATCTGGTATGACACGCTTTTCGCCCTGTACGATTGGAAATGTCTGCTCGCGGCTTGGCTCTGGGCGAGTTGACGGAAGCTGCTTGGTGGACTCTCGGACCGGCAATACCACTGGTAATAACGAGCAGTGTGGCAATGGCATTATTGAAGCTGGCGAAGCATGTGACTGTGGAAATGGTGCCTGTGATGAGAGAGAGACTCAGTGCTGCGACTCTGTGACATGCCAGTGGCGAGGAGGGAATGGGTGTGATCAGAGAAACGGTGATTCTGGAACTGGCAACACTGGCAACACCGGCAACACCGACAGTACTGGCGACAATGGACAGGAAACATGGGGCAATGATTCAGATGATATATCCTCTTGGGTGCAAAATCATCTTTCGTTGGTCATTGGACTGGCTGCTGGTATTGGAGGAGCTTTGTTACTGCTCATCTTTGGATGCTTCGTTTGTTCCTGCAGGCGCCGTAGAGCGCAAGTGTTGCACGTAAAGCCCGCAATTCCAACACCTCAATATCAATAAAAATCGGTTTCTCTGATTCACCGAGGTACATACTCACTGTCTAATGTCGATTCTTTGCCGCGACTACCCAGGCCCCATGTGTGACGGCCTTGATGCAAACAGCACGGTAGCTTCCTTTCAAGTCCTCTATTTTCCGAAGATAACACGTCTTGCGAGACAGTGAGTGAACTTGGTATCATACATCTAAAACAGCAACGGGTATAATATAGCAATAGATATACAGAACACCACCTTGGCAGAACCAATAGCCAGTCTAGAACAACCCAAAATTCCCATCGAAAGGGAATGTAAATAGGCCCTCGTCCATCATGTTCCCTAAATTAATCCAAGATTCACCAGAATTGGGATCCATACCTATTCCGGCTGCCAGTCCCATCGGGGGAGCAAGCTGCATTCCAGCAACGGTAGACATGTCCGGATATCCCTGAGTCTGAGTCGTACTCGACGGTATATCTGGGTAGTTATGTGTGAGTTCCGTAGAGGAGTAGGGTTGGTAGTAACCTCTCGTATCGACCTGGTTCGAGTCCGAGCTAGGGAGAGTGGTTGGGTAAGATGCGCCGGATGACCAGCTGGTTTGGGGCGGGTCTGGCACAAAACTGGGTGGGCCTGGCGTTGTCATTGGGTTGATTGTTGAATTTGGACTGTGGTTTGCGGAATAAGATTGTCCACTTATTGGATGTTGAGGGTTGGGATTGTTCGCACGGTGTGCTGGGTCGCCCATGGCTACTTCGCTTAGGAAATGAAGAGGCGTCATGCCCGGTGCCATTTGCGTTCTTGGATTAGCAGACGCCGTGTTCGAAATATCATGATTTCCATGTGTCTGCTGGTTATCAGAGGGCACCTGATCATTTGCAAACATCTCCTTCAATTCCCGGCCATGATCTCCCTGGTTACGTTTTTTGATAAACCAGTTGCGCAAAAGGACCATTATGTTTCCGAATTTCGCCGCTGCACGACCACCGTCACGCGCCGCGGCGGTCCGGTAGTGAGCGACGACTTTGTCCAGATAATAATCGATCTTGAGACTCTGCACATCGAGAATCTGGCCGATTTGACTGTCCGGCGAGCTGAACAGTGAGTATATTTTTATCAAAGTGACCACGGGGAACGTTGTCCGTGCTAATGTCGTCGTAGGCAAAAATATAAGTCGTTCACTCTCAACAGCGCAAATGACATCCAGACTTTCGTGGATGCAGCGGATGGCCGTGGTCAACCCATCGATCGCCGCTGCAATGGAAGATCTGTGCAAATCATCCTGTGGTGCAGAGTTGTTGCCAGCGTTGAAGTTTACACACACCGCGCATCCATGCACAAAGAGATTCAAGACATGTTCTGTGTGAACCATCGGCCCTAGACAAGTATTAGTGGAAGATTGAAACATGTTTCCGAGACCATGACGTACCAGTGTAGATATCCCTCGGTATCTCCTCTCTCCACTGTGCCAATCGATCCTCAAACACCTTCACATTATACCACGCCTTACTATTCGCGAAGGTAGTAATGGGTTCGGAATCATCCGCAGAGAACTGATTCCCAGAATCCTCCATTATCAACCCCAATTTTGCCCACCATTTTAATTTCCGGTCGGAGGGTAGGGCATCCGGGTGGTTTGCTAGGATATCAAGGCACTCGTCCATATACGGCTGCCATGTGATCAAGTGTACTCTCCTCATAGCCGCCGACATCCTATCAAAAGTTAGCCGTCGACCTCCCCCATATCAGAACAATCCGGATTAAGGACTCACTGTACACATAAGTAATAACAGCCAACCCAAGTCCGCCTTGCCTCAGGTCCGTCGAGATCAAATGCCGGGCCCGTTGGCTTCTTAGCGATCAGCTCGCGGATCATGTTGAAGGTCCGTCTATTCTCGGAAATACGACGGTTCAATCCAAGGTCGATTGCCATGAGCGCAGCCATGTGGGTCAAAGAATAGAACTTGAGCTCCTCGAAGTTGTCTGGTGGCAAGTACCAGATAGAACAGACCATGATAGTCTGAACCAGCTCAAGCGACTTTTGGCCCTTGACAACAACATGCTCCGCGATCAGGCGATATGTCTCATTCACGAGGATAGTCTGAACGTCCGGGTTAAAAACACCAATGGCAGCGCCAATTATGGCAAGAAACAAATAGGGCTTGTTGCGCCGAACCTCGCCCATCGTAGTCCCCGGCGGAAAAACAACAAAAGGCAGCTCTGGCGCCATCTGATGGATATACCTGTCAAACGCCGCGCTAGTAGTCTTGTAATCTACAATTCCCCGGTCAATCATATCAGCAAACTCATTCCCGGCGTCGTGTTTCGGCGGCGGCGCAGAGTCCCCGGCAACAGGTCTGCGCCAATGCTTCGATGGTTGGGTCAGAATCTGTTCCGCAGAGGGACTGCCCGGCCGCGAATACCGTGGTGCCAGCAACTCCCCAGCCGAATCCTTGATCTCGCCGGTATGCTGTCGCTTGCTCCCGGCGATTTTTGATTCCCCACCTGACCACCTCCGACCAGCAAGCTGCTCATCCCGCTGCCCAGGCGGCGACGTTTGCTGTCCCGCTCCACTAGAGAACAGCGAACCAGTCGAATGCGATGCCTGCAGCGTCGCGGTCAAAGCATCGATCTTCCGCTCTAACTCCGCTACCCGGCTGTCGGTCTTCTTTTGCCGCTTGCGCGTCGGTGCAGTCACAATGCACGTCCGTCGGGCTTTCGCGCACCGCTTGCATGACCCTTCTGGGTGCGCCGGGTCTGGGTCGCAGCGCACTTTGAGCTGTCGACATGGCTCACATGCGCGCGACCGCTTGGCATCGCCGGATGTCTCCCGCGGCTCTGGGGATTGGTTGCTGTCTGGACCCATCACAAATGACGGGTGCGTATCCCCGTGCCCATGTCCGTGGCCGTGCTCGTCACCATGTATATCTCGGCTTTGATAGGGGTTCAGGGATGTGTGGGACGGAGGCTCCGGGTATTCCGGACCTGTGCTCATTGTCGGTCGGGTCGGGGTGTAAAAACGCCGTTGAGGGTCCCCGTCTCGATGTTGCAGCTGAGGATCAATTTCCATGCAGTGCGGGGTTGTGTATTACTGGATGAAAAACAGATCACTGTTACATATTAGCGTCAAATTCTCGGTCATAGATATCTAGCTATTGTTCTGGTCATTGTTTCGGTATCGTTGTCGCTGACAGCTCGTGTGGCTGTATGCAACGGGGTAAATACACGGAGAACGGTGGTCACAAACACCGACCCCCGATGTGGAGGATCAACATGCCTCAGTGGGGGTTCTGTCAAGGGGAATGCAAGAAATATTTCTTACCTCTCTTTCTCTTATAATACCCCTTAGTCCTGTTTGACTTGATCGTCACTTTGGGGCCAAAAGTGAGGTTCTTTGAATTTTTGAGTTCTCACTAACATCTTAGGGGGCCACGTGACTGTCATTATCCAACCAGGCTGTAACATTGAACTATACCTACACGACATCCTTATTGATGCATTGATTTTCAGATTCAAATTATATTAGATTCGTTTATCATTAGATCTCAGTGGAGACCCCTGTGTCGAAAGGGATATTGGAAACACAGATCTCAGACGCCGTGAACCAAAACATAAGAAAAGGCAAAAAGCTAAGCTAACAAGCAAAACGATCTTGAATTTCAAGGTAGAAAGACGTGCATTTTATCAAGAAAGCTTGTGGACAGGACACTCCATCTTCCTCTCGAACCAGTCGACAATGCAGTGCTTATGAAACTTGCACAAACACTCAAGGCGGGCCAGGGTCTGCCCAACCTCGTAGTCCTCCATACATATCGTGCACTCCGCTGCCTGGCCATCCTCACCGAGGCAGTCCTTTTCTGTGGCCACAAATGGAAGCATGCGGGCTGATGGTGGAGGTTGAGGCGGTGGAGGACCCTGTCGCACGGATGATGTGCGCGGCGGAACAGCAGGTCTCAGATAGCCCTCGATGCACGCCCTGGTGTGGGCTTGGCGCGCCTCAAGAGGCTGCTCGGAACTCAGTGGAGGAAATTGACGTCTGCATACGGGGCAGAAATCACCCTCGTCCAGCGTAGATCCGCGGGGCGGGTTACCCTCCCGGCTAGAAAATGAACGACGCGGCCGGGTTATACTGGTGGCTGGAGGGACTTGACGGGGTCGCGAGTTCAGTTCGTTCAAGAATTGTGGTCGGTCGTTTGCGCCAACGGTTCGTCGTTCCTGGCGAGCTTCGGAATTCTGGTTTGGACCCTGTGCGTGTTCCTGTCAGTCCATGTTTCATTTGGCAAAGTAATATACGTAGGTGATAACTAACTGATGAGGCATGATATGCGTTGGCCATAGTGGATGAAAGAGAATGAGAATGTGTGGATCGGTGGCCGTGTGCCCGCATGGTATTGTAGCCAAGAGGGTTCGGGTTCGGATCTGGCACGCATGGATTGCAAAGTCGTACTTCTTCGCCTCCGCCCAGAGCAGGATTAGTTGTTGCTGTTGATCTTGGCGATGATAAGACATGGTCGTCTCCAGTGAGATCGACGACCGGTGGAGAATGGGAGGAAGGCATTGGTGGAGAATCGGGGAGGATGTCGACAAACTCAGGAGGGCGGACAATATATTGTTTAGGAATTGTGATCCGATGCGGGGAACATGATGCACACACAACTCTCCCACACTTTCGACAATGATGCTTTCTGTGCCAGAAGTTGAAGACTATCCCACAGATCGGACATTCTGACACTTCCGAATCTGCCTGCCATTTGGGGAGGGTTATATCCATCACCGCTGAGGGTATATTATTGTGAAGAGACGTATCAGGGGGAGGTTGATTAATCCAGGGTGTTGGGTTCTCCTGTCGAGGAAAACCCACCAATTGTTCGCCAGTTGTAGAAGAACGAGGCGTGCCTGGGGGCGAGGAAGAAATATCAATTGCTGTTGCAAATGACGAGCCAGGTGCTGCAGAAATAGAAGACCTGGTTCGAGATGAAGGCAGGACCATCGAAACAGACCTATGCGGCAATATACTCCTGGAGGATTCCCCATTTTCTGGGACCGGTCCAGCCGTGCCCCCAGGTTGTCCCCTTTGCAACCTCGCATCCTCGCCGGTACTGGTCAATCGTCTTTTACGCTCTGATCCGAGGTAAACGGGGAAGGCTCTCGCCCTGAAGTTGCCTTCTTCATGGCTGCTGTAGTCTGCAGCTTGGATTGTGGTATGTCCCTCTGGTCTTTCGGCCGGCCTTGTGCCGGCCCGCGCCCTCGGCTGGGGGCTGGACTGAATCGGGCTGGACGATGCCGTACTTGATCCAGGCATTGTTATTGCTAGGCCAAATGGTATGGATCCTCTATGAGATTCTGTTCAACCAGGCAACGAGATCGATCTCGGCCGTTGGGGTGGCAGTCTTCATGAACTAGGTGGCGATGACAAGTAAAACGGATGGTGAGGAGGCGAGCGATTGTATAGATGTAGATGCTTTGACAGTCCTTTCATGCAATCTTAGGCTCAGCCTCAATGGCGTCGACGCTTTTTGCCAAAGATCGCATCAAGGAGTGATAGGATGATGCTTATCATGAAGCCAAGGCTGGACTGAATGTGGGGGATGAGGCTGATGATCTCGTGACTGTTCTTCGAGATTTCATCAACGCAATACCGATGACAGCAGTAGTAGAAAGGAGAAGAATAAAGCCAGGGTAACTCTGGAATTAGAGAGAAAGAAGTGATGTAGAGCATTGCATGTTTGGCCCAGATACGTTATCGTGTGGGGCGGTGAGGGCGGTGGCGATTGACAGTATCGGCCCGATCTGCCGCATCATCGGCCTCGGTCTGTCGGTTTTTGCTCTGAAGCCTCAGTGTTTCGGATTTAGTGATAGGTTAAATGATAAAATGAACTACCCATTGTCCTTCATCTTTAGGGAAGTTGTAACGCTAGTATGCAGCTATGATGGATCAAGGAGATCTTCTTGCACATAGGTATGACCATAAGATCCTTCAAGGAAAATGTGGATAATGTCGCTAGGCAGGGCACCATGCACGATAATGCATCAAGAGACATAGCTTATTTGTCTATATGTGAACGCCGGGCTATAGCCATCTTTCAGGGCATAACGAAACCTTAACACGACCCCCAAAAAAGAGCACTAATGAACAGGCCCCATTAATTATGATCTCAGTACTACTGTGTCCTAAGATTAATACAAGAAGAGCGAAAGACGATAGGTACAGAAAGAAGCAAGGTTTCCAAAAAAGAAAATAGTATGTGGCAGAGGCTCAGCAACAGCCAGAAAGGTGCTAAAATGCCAATGGGATCACTCGCCATTAGGTGTATGTCAGAATAGGAGATAGAACGCTGTCGCAGCAATTTTAGGGTGGGACACAAAGCAAGAGGTAGACAGAGAAAAGCCAAGGAAATTCGTGATAGTGGCATCAATTCGCCAGATATTTCAGGGAGATGTAGTGACGATATCGATAGAGGCAATTAGGAGATAAGTGGGGGAGATCCATGGATAGGAATCAGGAGAGAGGTAGAGAGAGGTAGATATCGAAGAGGAAGAGGAATATACTGGTTCAAAATACATGCGGTTGCCTTTTTGTCTTCTGTCTAGCGTTCATGCCGTCCCAGGGCAGCTTCGTCGACAAGTTCTGCTGAGCTACCTGCAAATGACGGTTCGTCGGGGCTCGCCTCGTGGAGTTGGTCGTGTGCGCGATGTTGAGGCACATAACCCATGCTCGAGGGGCGTTCTGCCCGGGACCCTGTCTGCTGGCTCGAAGCGTTTGACCTTGATCTTGAGGTAGAGGTCATAGACAGGCCTCGTTCACGAGGTGGTGAGCTACTCCCACTGAAAGGTAGGCGCGCGGTGGTGGGACCTTCGGGCTGGAGATGGTGCTCAGAATGCTCAGGGTGCTGGCCAACCGCAGGATCGTGCGAGAGGGTCTCGGTGACAACTGGAAGGCCAAGCGCGGCCCCATCTGCATTTTGTTCACCGGCCGCCTGTGTGTGGCGAGAGCTCGTTCGACTGGGCAACTCGATGGCACCTCCAACTGACGTATTAAGTTGTGGCAGTACTGGTGGACGTGTCTCACCTGACTGCTCGGGATCGTGGTCGTGGTCGTGGTCGTTATCTGAATCCTCATATGGAATATTGCCAGTGGACACATTCCGAGAGTGGCTGGCGGATGGTGTACCTGGATCATCCTGATATTGCTCGTTATAGTCGCCGCCTCGCGGGAATAGACCTGGAGGAGGCGCACGAGCACTTCGGACCACCTCAAATCCTTTGGCGTTGTCCTTGGTCTTCCCTCGAAGTAGGCCTCGAAACCAGCCCGTCGCAGACGAGACTGGACCTGTGGGATCGGCCGGCCCGGTTTTCAACTTTCGGGTGCCGCTGTGTGAAAGCGGTGGGCCCCGGACACCGTAGTAGAAATCAACCTCGCGAACAGCATAATCCTTTGTCTTGCGTGGTGTGTCGAGCTCCATATCATCCTTCGGCGCTGCTAGGTATGCTGGAACAGGCGTGGCCCGGCCAGACATGGTGCCATCCGCTAGGTCATCTTCGGTATTGACTGCTCGCCGGCTTGATTTTGATTTCAGGAAGCCCCTTGATGGGCTCTTCCCTTTCTCGAGAGAACCAGTTGCCTGAGGGCTTTTTCGCCCTGGGCGGGGCGGTCGATAATAGGGATCACGAGGGTTCATCCCCATCATCGTACCACTGCTAGGCGAGCTAGGGAAGCCAGCTCCTTGATAGGCGGTTGAGGTAGGTGTGGGGAATCCTCCACTTGGCGCACGACTGTGCGTGCCCCCTTGGGAACTGGCATAATCATAGGCAGCGCTAGCTCTGCCATCACTGGCTGTGGCACGGTTCAGAAGCAGACCAGAGCTCCCAGAGAGGCTGCGCGGGCGCGAACCATCGAACTGAGAAGACATACGGTCATCACCATGACTAAGCATAGCAGCCTCCGAACCCATACTCTGGCGAGTGAGATCACGCCGCGGAGTGCGCCTAGAGAGCTGGCGCATACCAAGAACCTTAGTCAAGCCACCACGAGTGGCTCCGCCCGCACCAGCTAGTCTTGCCAAAACCTCGATCAATGTTTGTATCGCGTTGAGGAAGAAACCGAAGACAAGAACCACGGCGTGTAACACAAGTATCAGATATCCGATCCAACCTCGTGCCGCATCCCCGACTGTCAATGACGGCACAAAGATGACGCTCAAAATGACTGTTAAAAAACGTACAATAGAGAAGAGACAGTGGTACAGGTTCATGTGAGTCGGTCCAGAAAAAGGTCGGAAAGCTAGCAAAGTTAGTACGGAGACAACTTCACAAATGGCTAGCATTACCACCTGGGCGATACCAGATGGTTGCAAAGCACCGATTGCTATTCCGCGGGCGATGTTCAAGATAATCGGGACGATACCGAAGGCCGCTGCGTCGTCGCAGTATGTATTATAGAGCGGCCCATACAACAGAACCGTGGGAAGATCATCGAAAAGGTGAGACTTGGGTCGGGTGGAAAGGATCACTCGAATAACCCAAATGGAGAAGCAAGCGAGAAGAACAAGCACCACGGCCGCTAGAGCAACAAAATAAGCAGCCGATTGACGAGCAAGAACCAGCTGGAAGAAGCAAAGGGAAACGATTGGCAAGAGAAGGAAATTGAAGACAATTCGGATGAGGTTGCCTAGGGTAAATGGCATGTTTCTAGCACGCAGATCCTGGTCAGTGTTGTTTGCCAGCTCACGATACAGCCATCGAAGCGCGAATGCGATCTGAAATATCACTGTCACAGAGGCCAGGATCACCAATACCCATATCATCATACCGGGCCAGATATCCTGGGACGAAGCCATACCAACCAGCTGGGTCAACCGGTCGAGGCCATAAGTTCCATTGATGACATACACGCCATCAACCACAGGGTCGTAGGGCATTTCAGTACTTATGAAACTTTGGTTAAACATGAGGGTCGACCATGCTCCCTGGCTCACTGCAGGCTGAAAGAAGCCTGGATAGTCCAACGAAAGCGACCCAGTCAAGACCACGAATTGAAGGTACTGTAGGCAATCTGCAAACCCGGGAGTCACAAGCCGGAGGACGTCCTCATCACGGCCGTAGTTGCTTGTCCACCGGAATAGATCAGTTGTGCCCCAGGGACTATACATAGCGGCAGCGATGGTCGCGATCCCCACGAGTATCAAAATAACAAGAGGCACATATGCGAGGGCATTTTTGAGGGGCTTTCCGAGGTCCGGCGTGGCTTTCACTGAAACACAGGCGAGCTGAGCCGCGGATGCATCTCCAGAGCGAATCGTCAATAACGGTGTGATGGTTCCAAAACGGTAGCTTGAAAGCATATCATGTTCAACGGAGAACGCTCGTAATTGCGTCAAATCACTCCTGCGTAAGAGAAAGGGATCAGTAAAAAGATAGTACAGACAGCTTTCCGTACCGGGAATAGCTTACAGGTTGTGATAGAAGACCGGACCCAACGGGAGGGTGCCTTGCGTGAGCGAGTCACGGAAACGAGAAGCATTGTGAAATGCCGTGAAGCTGAGCACATTAAGATCCGTCATCAGTGTGCTGTACCTGTTGTTGGTACTGCTCACATCCTCGATCTTCCCATCGGTCCAATTTGCATTTAACCAGTCGTCGGAGCCTGGTGGCGGGTATTTAGCAGTTCGAGACACGGTTCCCGACACATTGCCATATACCGTGACGGCGAGTGGATGTAAAGGGTTGGTAAGGTTGAATTTGACGGACACGTTGGTAGGAACGAATTGAAGTTGTAGAGGGTCAGACTCGAGGATGGTTTTCGATAGACAATTTTCAAAGTCCAATAGAACAGCGGCGGCTGGCGATGCAAAGCTCATTAAGCAAAGCAGTGCAATCCACCAGACGGGGCTCCATGGTTGTGCTCGACGTTTCCAAGTGTCGCGCCACGGCCGACGTTGCGGAAAATACAACCCACTGTGTCGCGGCCACCTAGTTCCTTGCTGTCGAGGGGAGAATGTGGATTCGTCCAGCTCGATCTCCGCCGAGTCGTACATTTTCGCTTCGGGCATCCGGGATGACCTCCTCGGGGAGGTCAACCCCCGGCGTAGATGATCGAATCCACGTTGTGTTGACAGTGGGTCGGTGTCGGGGTCTCGTCCACCGCACACACCCCTTCGCAGAGTCGATAATCACTTGAGATTGAGAGGAATCTTATCGCAGGCAATGGGCCAAGGATGGAGTCTCGCGTAATGTTGAACGGTTGAAAGTTAGGCAGGTGCCTGGAGATAAGTCTGCGTAGGTCGTAACTTGACCGTTAAATCGTCATACGCGGCAGATCCCGGAGAGATCGGAAGCCCAAGAGCAAAACAAAAGGAAAGTGAAAAAAGCGACTTAATTTTCGCAGGTGGGTTGGTCTGTTGTTGTTGCTGCGCCTTGTTTGGTCTGGCCCTGGTGGAGTTTGACGGCTGACTACTCGACTATGCTAATAATAGGCGGCTATATACAACATACTCTTTTTTTTCTCTTTCCAGCAGAGTAAGATTCATGGACTCAATACGATAAAACAGGGGAAATCCTTCTTTTCTTTTTTAGGACTATTTCCAATTCCATCGTAATTGTGCCCACACTGTGTCGGCTCGAGCTGAACCCCTGGAAAGATATAACCGAGACCCTGCGTCTCTGCATAAATTGACCATTATAACATAATATCCATAAATATCCATATACAGACAAATTGGGATCAGGAGGACATGCCTTCCTACCTTTATGTTGTTGTCGTTGTATGTTTCAGCACTGTTCACCCTCATATGTCTCAGCCGACCCTAAATAGTCGCTCCAGGTGTCTCACTTGTTGATCGGTGATCATGCCGAAGATTAAGGCGTTGTTCGTGCCGATTAGTGTCCGGCAAGACCTGGCGTCGGCTATGCCGTGAAACTAAGGTGTTTGGAAGGTGGCTATGTGGTGATATTGTCTCGGTGGATTGGCTATGTGCCACATTGGTGCAAAACGGGGGTGAGGCTGGTCGATATTTCATCCTGTAGCCAATTGGGCATTATTAGGCAATAACGAAGGTGCCAATAATATGGCGAAATTCTCAGGGTCTAATGCCCTACGTTGGCTGTCTAACTCCACTAGGGGTTTGGAGATTTATAGTGAGACATGCAGGGCCCTGCTCGTATATAGGTGCCGATATAGAACCCATGGTCAGATCCCGGTTGCCTCTATCGCGTTTCTTCAATCTTTCTCATTGAGGCAGTTTTAGAAGTTAGAGTTATACTGAGTAGTGAAATATCCGATGGGGTAGGGCTATACGGAGTACGAAGTACAACATCGCGCCCAATATTCCGAATAGTTCACTGTCTAGTAATGTGAAATAACTAATAAAAACTCTAACGCCACAATGAGAAATCCTTTCACCCTGACCTAGCTCGGTCACAGTCACAAAATCCTCTCCCCCAACATACCGTCTCCCTAGCCCGTCAATTATACGGAGTATTCATTCCTTTGTTCTGTGAATCTTTGACATTTCCATGACTGGAGTCTCTATTAGTAATCATTGCCCCTAGCTAGCGCTAGTTGTTTGGATATCTGGCTAAGCTGGTACGTCCTTGTCCTGAAGGAACTTTGGCTATGTGTATGTGTCGGTGATAGCTCAGTAATTATGACCCTACGAGATGACGGCGATGAACACTTATGTTAGAGCTCACAGTATATATGACTCATAATTTTGCGCTAGCCTCAATGCCGACGGGTTTATAGCGAGCCTAGGATGTGGTCCATAAGGCAATTCAGAACCTATTCTATATACTGCAGTGACAATCGGAAGGATTGTCCCTGGGATCTTTTGGCCTAGCGGCGCTCTTATGTAATCCATCAGAGGCCCCGGAGCCCACGGGTACCTCGGTAGCGGCCTAATTCCCTACCAGGATCATATAGAGGATACCCAGGTGGTATCCTTTCCGCCCTTTTTCCATATCTCTCGGTATTTCTACAAGGCAAAAGTATCTCATGCTGATTTTATCTACTACCTAATGGCCCTAACATGTCTAGGGGGTGGAAAGGGTTGGGCACTATTTCTTCAGTTCTGATGTAATCGCAACGAGATATCGCTGTCTTCTCAGGTTGTTCAGGGGGATGTTGACTATTCCGCCGATATATATAGGGATCATGCGCACAAGGTGTAGAAACAAATCATTCTACGCACAATGTTTCTATATCTGGGATTTTATAAATACATTCACATATATGAGTACGTACTCCGTACTTGAGGTGCCTGTTGAAGGGGACTGAACAGTTTGTATCCCCGCTTCTCGATGATGGACCCCGGATTTGAGTATGCCAAGCCACTATCATTCGTTCATTAAATTGTGATGCATTGGGATTAATTGTGATACATTTGTCTAGGATGAGATTGGCTGTATATTGAAGGTCCACCTAAAGTACAACATAGGCACTGCGTACTGGCAAGTAAACAGGTTCTGGAGGTACCGAGGCCCGGACGATCTACTCCAGGGTGTTTCTAGACATGAACGATGGGTCTCACAAGAGATTAGTTGTCTACTTGTGGAGGTGGGGGTGTCCAAGCCTACTGGTGGTCTTGATCTACTGGTAGTCTTGGGGTTCTTTATCCTTTGATTGCATGTGTTCAAGTCGAATAGTCTGTGTATTCAAGACAGACTATCGAACATCCTTGATAAGAGAACGTATAGCGGTGACAAAGGAACATTACACTCGCAGGTTCCTAGCAGATACCTGCAGCCATTGATATCATACATATGGATATATATGTAATACATTTCTGTGTGTTGTAGAACCTCGATCAAGTGTAGATATAGGGATACCTTATGGCGGGAGGACCAAAAGGGGAAGCCGACAAACGGGCATCTGGTCAAATGCCAAATTGAGGAAGACCAGGGTCCAGTCTCCAAAGGGCAGATTAACAAATGAGCCAATTTATCTATTAATTAAAGCCCAATGAACTCTCGGTCTCCAATTTTGGGCGCTAAGAGGCCCCTGAGATTAGGTGAGATAGTTAATATTTTCTTTATAATAAGGTACTAATAATATACTTATATACGGAGTAAATGTACAATATATGTACAATATATGTACCAAAAGGTCATCGCGAATACTCTCCAAATCAAACAGAATTTCATTGAGAATCTCCGAAAACTTGTCGGGTCCGATTTGGCCTAGTTCCGTTTCAGTATGAGACGGGATATGTTGGAGACTTGGTGGCTTTCGAAGTGTTTGAGATAAGTACCTGTTGGAAATGCTATAGTACAAAGTCCAAATTCCTAATCGTTCAATTCTATTCGATTTTGAATATCTATTTAATCATTGAATCATTCAATCCCTATTAATAACCTATTACTGTCCTAATGTCTCGCTCGTAGGTATCTTCCCTATATACTCGGATCCACAGACCCCTCCGACTCCACCTGCGGAGTATCTCCAGGCCCTTTCCCCCTTGTCTTTCCACCCAGCTGCTGGTTCAGCTTCATTTGAACTCAGGCCGAAGTAGGTAAGTGCTTTTTATCTCAGAATTGGCGCTAACCTTATGATAGTTGAATTGACACCTTCCTCTTGACAACACTGGGACGATTTTGAGACATTGAACATTTGGCACTTCCGCACTTGACACACTTCACACTTCACACTTCACTTCGACCCTTCTCCCTTCTTCCTCTTACTCCCTCCTTCCCCCGCTATCCGCGATCTACTCAGTCCATTCGATCCTTCTTATCAGACATCCCCTGTCGATCCATCAAACGCACAGGGAAGAGGGGAATATTCGAGGACTGGTATCCGTTGTGTGATTGAGTGCGATGTGGACTGCGTCTACGGATCTTTCCTGTCATGTCTGCCGATGACCCGTTCTCCTTTCTGCCCGCGGAGCAGGCCAAACCCGCGAAAAAACACTGGAAAACAAAGCTGTTCTCCAAGGATAAGAACAAAGCTGCGGCGCATCAACACCAAGAAATCGCAGACTTCCTGAGCTCTCGCACCCCAGAATCAGCTGCTCCCCCGCCTATCGACCCGAGATACATCTCGCAAACCGTTGCCGCCCACCGTTTTCCTTCCTCGCAAGATGTCTCTGGATTACCCCCCTCCAAGCCAGTCCCCGCCCCGGCGCTAGCGTCGGCGCCAGTCTTCCCTCGCGAGAACTATGCCTCTTTCAATTTCTCAGACCAATCTGCTCCTGTGCCCGCCCCCACTCCTGCCGCTGCTAAGCCCGCTCGGAAAGGCAAAGGGTTGCGGGTGGGGTTCAGCCCTCAAACCCCAGAAGTGATTGGTGAAGGAGGCGATGAGACGGAATCGCCAACAATTGAGATTTCGCGGGCTCGTGAAAGATCGAACAGCAAAGGAACGCAGTCTGGCAATATCCCTGCGTCCCTTCCGGAGTCTTCGCGATCATATCCGCCAAATCTCCGACTCGACACATCGCTGGACGATGTTATGCGACCCAGACAGGCGGCTAGTTCGCCTCGGCATGATGGATCAGACTGGAAACCCGCGCTGATGCAAAATCCTCAGGATGCAGAGTTCCTGATGTCGTTGCCTTTGAGCGACAGCGGCTCTCGATTGTCATTCCGCGGCGATACCGAGGCAAGTTCGTTCGCACAACGTGTCCGCGACAAAATGCAAGCGGAGGAAGGCCGTGCATTGCATCACCGCTATGATGAAGACACATCATCTCCTGGAGCTGAAGACGACGATATCTCAACTCCGCCCAGCCCACAAAGCCCAGAACCGCCCATAAAAGCTTACAATCCCAAATTGGCCCACGAAACAGCCCCAACGTCGGGGCTTTCGCACGCGCCGTCGGCTTCTCTGTCGATGAGGTCTATTGTCGATTCGATTCGGAACCCCCCAAACCCCTCTACACAACACGCACCAGCGAATCTCAGTCCCGTTGACCCACGAATGCCCACGAATCTCATACCAGGTAGCCCCGGCAAGGCTTCACCAACATCTGCCAAACCTCCGCCCCAAGACCTGCCTGTACCAAACCGGGCGTCGCCTCCCAGACGTGAAGGCCAAGAGCCGCCACATAGCGCTCAACCACCCAAGTTCTCTCTTCGAACTGTTGCCAATCAAGTTGGCGATACCGCATTTGCTGAATTCAAAGAATACAATGCGCAATATGCAAATTCTATTGAACTTGCAGCAGAGGACGTGAAACCATTGAAAGAAACATCGCTAGCAGAATGGGTTCGGGCTGCGGTCTGGTGGTTTTTGCGAGGAAAGACACGATTGGAAACATATGCCCGTTCTCGTTCGACACTACCACCTACATACGCCAGGCAAGCTGTGATTGACCTTGGAAAAGCATTATGGATAAATGAACATATTGTGCCCAGTCATCATGAGCTCTCTCGATATGGTGCCATGAGCGTTGATGCTCTACTAGCCGTCACGAGTACCACCGGCGACAAGGAGTTAGCTGATCTTCTGAGTATACACCACACTCTTATCAATCACCTCCGGTCGCTGTCCATGTCCATCAAACGAAACAACATCCTCGCCGTGGTCATCTCCGATGAAGGCTCTCTCAGCCAGCTGGATACAAGTATATGGCTACGTTACCCTTTCTATGCGCCTGACGTCTCTGCAGTCTTATCCGGTGCAGCAACGAGGTCAATGCTGGCAGATAACGCGGGAAGGACCCCAAGTTTGGTGCACATGATGCCTTTGGGTGACACAAGTCGATACTTCAGCTATGGTAGTATGTTCGTGCAGGTCTGCGTCAGCTCCAGTGATGATGATGGACAACAGCAATATGCTATGCCATGCGCATTGACCATCGTCCGCGAAAGAGCGGACTGGTATGTATTTGCGGCCATCACTAGCCAAAGTCAACTTGTCAACATTTTGATTCAGTCCGATCGCAAGCAGGGACCGACTTGGGAAGATGTGGATTGGCAAGTGCGGTCCCATTCTATGCGAGTCAAGCTTCCCCGAGGGTTTGAGTTGGACGTTATGTTCAAGGAAGAGGATTTCAAGACCCTCTGGAATATCGTCAAATACACCCAGAAGTCAGAGAACAGTCTCCATCCAGAGGCAGGCGAGACCGTGGTATTTGAGAATACTCTCAAAGTTTTCCAATATATGGATCCAGGCACACCAAAGGCGTTCCCTCCAGACCCTACGGAGAGATGTCGAATCCGTTTGTTCGAGCGATCTGTCACCGTGACAGAAGGCACTGGTACTCGCAATGCGCATCGGGGATTCCGGCTAGCCATTTTGACCAGCCCTAAGGTCAAGACTTTGAGCAGCATTCGCCATACTTTGGGCAACGGCTCACCAATATTGTTCGGCCTCTTGCGAGGAGAGGATGGTGCTCCCGCTCTTCTTCTCAAAGTAACCGAGGACGGCCGTACGAGATCTATGCTGATGACTTTCCACGAGGTGGCTGAGCGCACGAAAATCCACTCCGTGCTGCTTGGCATGATTCCACGGGAAGGAGAGATCAAGTCGCCCGAATTCGCTATCCAGTCTTACTCCATCGAGCAGCCTGAAGATGCCTTCACCGGCCAGCCTGCGGTCAAACATCTCCAGTTCCCCGCCGGAAGCGTGTCCGTCATTGACCAGGAACATGCTTACGTCGAGCATGGTTATGGACCGACAATTCTATCGGAACATTTGAGGGCCTTTATCGCCACTGAATGGGGCTCTGTCACGGATCGCATCAACCTAGGTGAGGGTTCTCTATCTCTTTCTATCTTAACAACCTGCTAATTTTATCCAGGACCTGGTGAATTGAAAATTGGCCTGGATGTCCAGAGCAAGACGAGCATGAGCTTGTTCCGCTCCGCGCAGCAGGATTTGACCCTGTCGCTTGCGGATAACTTAATTCGCCCTGAACTAGCAGGGCAATTAACTGGCTTCCTTGAGAAGCTTACGGCGAAGCCCATGATCCGCCGGCTGGACTTCCCAACCATGCAAGGTATGCTTCGCTCTGACTTTCTGTTTGCTTTTCTAATTTCATCTAGATCTGCATGCCTTTGAGGCAGCTGTGACTGGTTTCCATGTGCTTTACGATGGGTGAGTTTTCATCACGTCCAGCCTTCTGGTCAAGATCTTGCTGACCAAAGTAGTATGGCTACATCGTTTACCATCTCCCGCCGACGGAGTATGGTTCCCATTTACAAAAAATGGGAAGCTTCCCTGGCACGGGTCCAGATTGTTCGACAAGAGAAAGTCGTTCAAATGCTTGCTTTCTTCGGGGACTTCCAGCATGGTACATGTATGAATTTTGTTCTGAAGGGTACTGATATCATGGAGTCCTTTGGCCGGTCTGGCAAATTTGGTATTCGCATGGTAGATGCCAAGTTTGCATTGCCTAAGAAGGACGACAATCCCGCCTCCAACTTTGTGTGCCTCGACATGCCCGAGTATCCCATCGAACATGATGATCTTACCATTACGTTCGATACAGAAGCTTGTAAGTTATATCGCTCTGCCTTGTACTGTTCTTTTGCTAACTTTGCCTGATAGCACGCGCAAGTTTCAAGGCAGCACTTCCTGGATTAGTTCGGGAACCATCGCGCATGGGCTCTATCCGTCGATGATCCATTTCCCCATATCACATATCTCCACGTGACCCATTACGTGATTTCCCCCTCTTCCTCCCCCGAGATCGGATCCTGCATTTTCTGGTGTATCATAAGTCGTTGCTGGATCCTTTCTGTGCATACAATTCAAGAAACATAGCATTTTTTATCATGTTGCATCCTAACGAAGCCATTGGCGCCTCCACGCGCTCCCTACATGCCGATGATGCCCTGAATCTCGTGACTGATGTTGCTCCTCCTATGCATCTCTCTACCACATTTCGTTATTCCAATGATCCAACTCAGCTAGTACCGGCTGCCGATGCCACACCTGTATGCGCCTTGACTCGCTATATGTCTCATTGCCTTAACACGTATATCCAATGTAGGCCGACTATGATCCCACCTCCCACATCTACTCGCGCATGTCTGCGCCGAATCCTACTCGCTTCGAAGCCATCCTCTCCTCCCTCATACACGGCCAAGTCATAAGCTACTCCTCGGGCCTATCAGCCCTGCACGGTGCCCTTACCCTCCTCAATCCCCGCCGTATCTCCGTTGGCGATGGCTACCATGGCTGCCATGGGGTCATTGCCCTCTTCACCCGCCTCACAGGCCTCCAGAAGCTTCCCCTCGACTGCTCACCCGACGAGCTCGAAAAAGGCGATGTAATCCTCCTCGAAACACCTGTCAACCCCCAAGGCACCGCCTTTGACATTGCCTCCTACGCCGCCAAAGCCCACGCCCGCGGCGCATACCTCATTGTCGATAGCACCTTTGCTCCCCCCGGTCTCCAAGAGCCATTCCAGTTCGGCGCCGATATTATAATGCACTCCGGCACCAAGTACTTTGGTGGTCACAGCGATATGCTGTGCGGTGTTCTTGCTACAAACCGCGATGACTGGGCTGCACAGCTAAAATCCGACCGTCTCTTCATCGGAACCGTCATGGGTAGTATGGAGGGTTGGCTCGGTGTCCGCAGTCTGCGTACACTGGAGATCCGCGTCCAACGTCAGAGTGAGAATGCTGCCCGTCTTATTTCGTGGCTTGATACTGCTCTGCACGCGCCTAACCCTGCGCCTGGCAGTGACGAGGCGGCTGTGCAGGCTGTTCTCGGTGAGGTTCTCCATGCTAGTTTGCAGAAGGTCGAGGGCGACTGGTTAAGGAAGCAGATGCCTAATGGGTTCGGGCCTGTTTTCTCTATTGTTATGAAAGAGATGCGCTTTGCACGTGAATTGCCGAGTAAACTGCATTTCTTCCAGCACGCTACTAGTCTCGGTGGTGTTGAGACACTTATTGAGTGGAGAACTATGACGGATCAAACGGTGGATCGGAGATTGTTGAGGATCAGTATTGGATTGGAGAATTGGGAGGATTTGAAGGCCGATATGGCGAGGGCGTTCCGTGAACTTGCGTAGATGAGCTTTCAAGGCACTTGTAGATGTATACAATGCATGTATCGATCTTCTAGATTGTATGTCTGTATAAAATACTGTATCCCTTTGTATCAAATACCGTATCTCTTACCCCGTGGTCATTGCTATTACCTAATCTGGACATATCTCCAGGGCTCCAGGGCCACAGGGCTATCTAACCTATCTAATTTCTTCCCAAACACCTTTCACCTTTCCCATCTCTATAATTTACATTCACTTCAACATGTCCGAAACATTCACAATCCACTACTTTGCAACTGCATCCCAATACACCTCCAAAAACACCGAATCGCTTCCCGCGCCCTTGAAACTATCCGCTTTGTTTGGCGAACTGGAACAGCGATATCCTGGCATTGTTCACAAGGTTTTGTCTACTTGTGGTGTTAGTCTGAATGAGGAGTATGTTGATGTTGAAGAGAATGGGGACGTTGTTATCCAGGCTGGGAGTGAGGTGGCCGTCATCCCGCCTGTGAGTTCGGGATAGACTTATATGTTCGAGATTTAGCCAATACATTGTCTAGGATTTGGAAGATGCATCATTGTGACTGGAGTCAAACTCAATAGACTCGATTGATGTAGAACAAAGGCCTTGTTTTCCTCTTTTACATTAATGCATATCTTTCTATAGTATTGGTATGAAACCAGCGAAATATATCAATCCTCTTCATCTTTCTACAAACGCTATTGGGCTCGATTTGTGGTATTGGTTTTCAAATAGATCATTAACGCGCTATAAAAATCATAATATAAACTGATCATCTCACGACCTTCGATCCTTTTCCGAATGAAATACTCTCTCATAACCCCCCCTAAACCAAAGTCCATCCACCTCATTACTCTACACTCTTCGCGGCCTTCTTTTTCTGTAGCCATAGACAGACATTGCAAATAACAGAGAAGAAAAAGAGAATACTACCAAAAAAGTCAGTCAATCCCCAAAATCCAACAAACAAATGATCCTAGAAGAAAAGTGACCCACCAAAGCCCAATAATCAATCCCCAAACAGCCTTCGTCTCGACACAGATCCCCTTCGAAGCGCCAATCCACGAAGCGTAATCAATCTTGCCAGTGGCATTCGCAAGATAACTCGAAAGTCGAGACGCAAAAGCATACGATGTAGCATCTTTATCTCCCAGCTCCGCCAGCGTTGTGCACTTCAAGTACGAGAGCGGTTTACCGATGATGACGGCGACCACAATCAGTGCGATGAGCAGTAACGCATCTAGCACTGCGCAGCCTAGGAATGGGAGGATGTCATCTGTGTATAGGATTATGGTGATAATGCAGTAGATTGCTGCGATGCAGGTCTGTAGGATTGGGATCGTTAGTTGGAACATGTTTTCGGGAGAGGGACTTACGACGCTGATTGTTCCGATCAGGATGCTTGGGGGGGTGCCATTATTGTTGATGATGACGCTGATGAATTTGGCTGTCATGCCGATTATGGCGATTAGGGAGCATGCTTGAAAGATGCGGGATAGTTGGAAGGTTGCTCCAAGGGCGCCATAGCGAGGAGACATGTTTGGATTGAACTGGGTTGGAATAGGCAATATTGGAGCAACAAATGGTGTTGGAGGGTCAATTGGCCGAGCTGGTTGTATTGTGTCGATGTGTCGAGAGTCGATGATGAGTTGAGGGCAGTATTTAAGCAACGATGTAGCAGATATGTGAGATAAAGTGGAATGAAAGGCTTTGGGCTAATAGAAACTTGCAGAAAAAAGACTCAAAGAACAAAGGGAGGGTATTCTGAAAGAAAGCGAAGCTGATTGTTAGATTCAAGACCAGACTGGTTTCGGCTCTTTATATAGACATCAACAAAGGGTCTCCAAATGACATCAACTGTCCGAAGTCTAGACCAGATTAAATTCACATCAGATCTAGACTCTCCAAGCCGGGCTATGTCTTTATGTGTTACAGATTCTGGGGAAGCGCCGTAGTCATTGGGATGACCCGACTGGTTTTCATTGAGCTCTCGCATGTTGTATGCAGCGATCGCCATAAATGGTAGCTTAAGATAGTATGAGAGCTCATAGCTCTTGCTTGTAAGAAATATCATTGGAAGAATACCGACAATAATCAACAATCCATGGAGGTCCGATTGACCCTGGCGCTTGGAAGGAAACCCTAACTCGCCCCGGGTGTCTCTCAGCCAGTCGTTCCCGGGGCGTCTGCAAATCTGAAGCAGGCGCCAACTTTTGATCTAATTATTGACCAGGGTGAAATCTGCACGGTCGATCAAGTTTCAGGGCAATGCATCTAGCCTCAATATTCTCCATGTCTATTTTCCGAGAGCCACTTGGCCAGGGATTTTACTAAGAAATCATACTCCAGAATATTTCACGGGCGCGTCACTCATGCACCTGCTTCCCAACACTTTCGAGACATATAATTAAATCCAATTGATTAAATAGTCGTAAATACAATTATAGGAGGGCTAAATATATCCAATGCCTAGACCATCTTGTTCTCTAGTCCTTCAGTCTCCAACCTCCACTTGTCCGCTGCTGGAAGAACCCTTCGGGATCATACGCCTTTCTTGTCTTCAGAGCAAGCGCCTTGGACTCGGGGCTGATACGACCCCAGTAATCCTGGCGATGGTATGCGTCATTCATGAACAATGGTCGATACACATCGGGAAGAAGATCATCGTCAATGTTCTTCTGGACCAAATTGCCGATTCCCTGGTAGAGTTCAACGGTGGCTGCGTCCATCTTGGTGTCATCGATGGCGAAAGCGTAGGAGTAGTCGAGCTCCATGATAATGTATGCTTGATCGGAGGGAATGTCAAGGAGATCCTGGGAGTTTTTTTAGCATCGTGATCTTTTTTGCTTTTCATTGGGGATAAAACTCTTACACCACCGCGGTCTTTGGCCTTTTGAGAGAATGCCTTGGGCATGGGTTGGAAGGCAATTGTACCAAGTGCGCCGGTGACTCCTAGTACGGACTTTGTGACGTCGTGGAAATAGTCATAGTAGTCCTGGAGCGGGCCTGCTCCTACGGTACTGTTGGGAAGGGGTGTGGTCTCGGTGGCGATGTTGTATCGTTGTCCCCTAGTAGCTAGTTAGAAAGCGATTCAAGAATGAAGGCTTGCTCGTCTTACTTCAGACTAAAGAAGTCGTTGTGCTTGACCAAGTCGTAATAGGTATCCCAAGTCTTGACGCTTGAGGTGTGCTTAATAGCAGTGAACCGGTCGAAGACTCCAGCGGGAGGCTCGGGGCCGTCGTAGAAGACGAACAACAGACAGAAATCAAGAATGAGACTGCGCTCAAACGTCGCGATGATTGCCGCCTTGTCATCAGGGTACTCGTCAGTGAAGTGACGCACTGCCTCGAGAACCTCGGAGGTCTTGTCGTGTGTGAATGAATAGGTGCCACCCCAGACTTTGTGGTCTTGAGGATGCGTCTGCACGGTGTATGCAGTAACAACTCCAAAGTTGTTGCCGCCTCCCTTCAAGCTAAGGAAAAGGTCTCCCGAGGGTTAGTGTTTTGATCATGGCAGAACTGGTACACTATCGCTCACCTTGGTTTTGCTTTTCGGTTGCGTGGACAATGGTACCGTTGGCAAGGACGACTTCGAAGTCCAAGACATTGTTCGCAGCCCAGCCGTACTGGGTGCTCAGAAAACTCATACCGGCTATATATTATTAGAGATCAACTCGGAGCTGGTTTTTGAACCACATACCTCCGAGCATAAATCCACCAACTCCGACTTCTCCAATTCGACCTCCAACAACAGTCCGCCCAGTGCCTTCCAGGCCTTCCAGGACCTCTTCCCATGAAAGGCCCGGGCCAATGATAGCAGTCTGATCCTTGGGGTTATAATCAACCTGGTCCAGATTTTTAGTCGAGACCAGCAATCCGTCCTGGATACTAGAAAATCCGTTGTTGGGATTATGTCCTCCGCTCTTGATGGCGCTGTTCATGGTTAGTCCGCATCATGGTGATTGCTGTTGGGAGGAGAACAAACAAGAGAGTATCCACATCATGCAGGTTCTTGATGACCTGCGCCATCTCCGCGGCACTGGAGGGGGCTGCAATGCATGTTGGCTTGAGATCACCGCATGCAGTGGACCAGTATTCCCTTTGATCGGCCTGATAGGCCAACGAAAGGCGGCGTTCGATGTCAATGCCGCCGGCCTCGAGCGTCTTGCATATATCTGCCACTGCCCCAGGGACAATAGCCAGGGATAGAGCCAGAGCACGCCATCCGTTGCCTGGGATCATCTTGTCAAAAGAAAGTAGACTCTGAAATAAAGACGGTATTATAAAAATATAGGTGAGAAAGAATGTGATCCAAAGGGGGGACTGGAAAGGGACGATTTAGGGTCCGAATGTGTATCGGAACAGATATTCACCCTCCAATGCAGATTTATGGCACGGCCCATGGATTGAGTTTATATAGGTCTTCGAAGACTCCATAATCGGAGGATATTCTTCAAGCCACTGACCGCACCCCTCTTGAATGATGGACCCGGCAGGAACGGAAACTAGCAAGAGCTAAGAGAAGAGTCTTCTGACTCCACTCCATTCGGGCCTGAGTTGGGTCACGCAGTTTCCGATTGGGCAGGTTCTCTAGTGTTTATCCCGAAAGAGGTCCCAAATGGGTGATGATTTGTGATGAGTTCACTTCCGTGCTCAGTGTGTGCATTTGGCTGCAGTAGTGGTTCCTGCAGATGGAGTGACAGCAGACACATGGCAGCGAAACGGGAAAACACCGTGCATGCACCGTGCATGCCTGTTTTGGGCATGGATATGTCCAAGTCAAGTGCTGCAGATCGAAGGTCGCATAGCCGAATGCCTATCTTGTGCCGATCTCGACGCATAATGCGGCATCGTGAATTTGGCCTAATTTCCGTGCCAGACAGGGGCATCGTGCAGCAGTGGATCCCAACCGGACAATTTCCTTGCTATGTTGTATGTTGCATGTTATAATCGGCTAAGTTGGCGGAATGTGTCTTAGTATGAATTGAGAGAGCAGAAACCTTGTACAAGTCTCGACCCCAATGATCGACAGATCACCAAACATGTTCGTATGTATTAGGCCTTGGCGTGCCACTAGAGTCAAATCAGTCTTCCTCTGGGCTAATTGAAAGTTAGTGGCCCTAACTCAGCCACCAGAGGGGTGGTGTGCACCAAGTGGATATGACTTTTACACGAGAAAAATAAGTGGATTTCGTGAGAGAAAGGTGGAACTTTCCTGACTTGAGCCAATTCCAATTTGGGAGTAAGAGATAATTCAGGAGATAGACGCTAAGTATAGATAGTCAGCTATGCCTGTCTTTGATTCAAAGTCCAACGCGGAGAACGTGGAGCCCACGGGAAATTACCCCTGATATCTTCATGGTATCCTCTCGCTTACACAAATTAGGAAATGATACTCGCAACCTGTCAGGTTTTTTTGTCGACTTGAGCGAGATCGACCCGTCTCGATTGATATGTGATCCTATTGGAAGCGCAGGTACATATATGTATGCGGATCGCTCCGGGCCGAGGACCGAAATGAGCCCATTCCATTAAGAGCACATCGGCTACGATAGCAGACAGGTTTTCCCCCGCTAATCAGTGGCGATCTTCGACATTTACATGGAGGGGGGAAAAAGAGTGGGAATTTGCGGAGAATATGGATTCATAGGTCAAATTCAGTGTGATTTACGAAGTTCTACGGGGTACGGAGTAGAAGTTGGGTATTGGTACTTTCGGAGCAAGAGAGCAGGGGACGGTGGATTAGCGCAATGACTATGGATTTACTATGTATAACCCCGAAAATACACAGTCCGATAGGCTACACCAAGAGCATGGGTCAGCGAGTCAAATCCTTGTTTTATACCCTTGTCTTGAAAAGTGCCGATGCATTGGCCGAGGAGTTCGCCAGCATTTTGACAGCTCAAATCCCGAATCTCGGGGACTATTGTACTTGGCATTCTGTGCAGGATGACAATGTTCTTCCTATCGAGTATGAAGTACGGAATACGAAGTACAATATGCAATATCGGAGAAATGAGACCGCTGATCTCTCGGGCGCTCTATATTTCAGGCTGAAATATTGGATCAGATGCTTTTATGCGAAGAATGACATACATACCACGCAGTACCTCGTATGCTAGTCGACATTATGATCATGCACACTTTTTATAGCAACGCATGGTTAATGGCGCATCTCTTACGGAGTAGGTACATATAACATGCAATCATAGAGCAGTCTGGCTGATCCACAGAAATCCACACTGGAGAGTTCCCCCAGCTTGCGGGTCTGATTGCAACCATACAATTAAACGACTGTATGTCTTACTCCGTAATCCGTCGCCAGCACATCCATGCGCTCCATAACTGGCACATCCAACTTGCTTAGAGATATCCACTGGTATAGTCCACTGGTATAGCCGAATCCAGACTGACCGATAGAATGCTCAGGGGTGGAACTTTGGCCAATAAATCCAGTGTGGCTCTCCTTTCCCTGCACTGCGTACTCTCCGGGCTGTGAAAATGGGTCCGTCGACATCTTCAACTACTGAGTCAAGAAAAAGACAGGAACAAAAGCAGGCTGGCCCCTACGGCCTTGATTGTAACTAAGGCCTTTCCAATGCACCTTTATGCACATGTTTGCTTTTTCTATGCACTAAACACGTGCGGAGGATTATTTTGCCGTCTCTTAGCTGCTCCGTCATCGATACATGATATATGGAGTGCAGAGTAGATTGTGAATAAGTCACTAACCATGATCATGACAAGCGCACTCAGTAGTAGCACCGGACGCGCCTTCGGTGGGGCCGGTGTAGCCCCTTGACTCATTCAGTAAGCTGTGGGTTCTCACACATAGGACCACCAAGAGCCACGAGGATACAACAAAATACTGTCGTACTCGGCTGGGTGTCCCACGGGCATGCCAACGCCATAAATTCCGACCAGCCACGCATATGTTGTATGTACGGGGTACTCCGTACATGCATAGCAAAGTTCTTAGCCTAGTGCAGCAGCAGATGAGGTGGGCACAAATCGGGGCGTACAGATCTAGTTCTGGTAGATGGCAATGCTAGCAATGGTAAGGGATAGAGAGAGGGCCTGTAACCTCTCTCGCACTGCGTCCACAATCCCCCTTGCTGCCAGAAGTTGGAAGGAGCGATCGTCAAAAATGACTAGCATATCCAAGCTCATCTTCACCCTCCTCTCATGCCGACTTTACATTGCGTCCGTCAGGCTATTTCTAGATCAAAATGGAAATTGTCCAAAAGAATGAAGTGTTTGGAAGAATTGACTGCAGTGTCATTTTGCTATCTCTAGGTTTTTGTCCGGCAAGGTGGCATATTATATTTTGGACAATGAATGAATCGATAGAGCTTTCCAAGGACGGTGGGCGATTTTCAGGAACTTGGGGGATCCTATTAGAGGATACGGAAGTAGAGGTGAATGACACTTAGAGAGTGGTCTATATAAAACCACATACGGAGTACGGAGTAGTCTCGTCGTATATAACGATAGAAATCTTAGAAACTAAATTACCCACAAAATTGAATAGTTCAAAGTTCTTAAAGAAAAATCCTAATTACATATTGTATCTATCATAGCTATATGGAGAAGAACGGTCGAGTCTCTGCGATATGCTTGCAGGAATATACCTCCACACTACTTGAAATGGTTAACCCTTAACACTTTAGCAAAGTCACTTTGCTTTCGAGTATACACAAAATTGTCACTCAAAATATGAAAGTTGAATTAAGAAGGAATTTTGGCCTCTATCAAATACGTTCGCTCGCTGAAAATTGTTCATAATGATGACACTACAAAAATTATGCTTGATAAGGATGGTAGGTACACTTATTCTCATCGTTTTCGACGCCGATACATTGAGGAATATTTATGCACCAAAAGCAGCAACCAACCACTAGCACGACCCTACCGTCGACTTTTCGCATGAAAAAAACGACCTAGGCGCTTTCAAATATCCTCAAGTATGGCTGCGTAGATCGGTGGATGCAGCAGGATTCCTCTTTGAATGATACATTGGTTCTTTATGATTCCGGCTGATGGATTGTGACGGGGAAATACTTTTCTAGTTTCTTTCATTCGATTTGACGTGAGCATATAAGGCTATTGGTTTAGTCCTCAACCAAACAAATGAAATTTTGTTATAGGCAGCCCTGGAGGATTCTATACATCAGCATTGTGATGTGATTAGTCGAAACAGCCTCCGAAATCACGAGACTAACCTTATACCGCCCTTGGCGGTATAGCAACTGCTGGCAGAATATGCTTAGTTTTCGAGCCACCGGCGCATTCTTTCTGCGCAAGCTTTGGCAATGGCACTTACAAGAATAAGGGCTTTGCAGAAGCTGACTGGTGCAAATTGGTCACCTGCACAGTGGAAATGGAACCAGAAACCCACAGGGTGTACGTCAACCGCGTCCGTTACTCATCTTCCGGTGCTGTCCCGGGGGCAACGCTTTTTGTCTACGACGAGGACATTGGAGTCAGCTGAAGCCGTTCGAGCGGGCAGTGAGGTATGTCCTAATGGGGAGAATCTAATATGCCCAGCTGACTTTTCTTTCAACTCAGCAGGAAGCATCCCACCCAGACGAGCCCCCAAGAGTTCCCATCGATGGCAATATCCTCCTCAGGTCCCAATTCGAGTTACATGGAGACATCCGAGAGTACCTAAAGAAATGGCTGGACACCAACCCCAATGATTTGGACCCCGTGCGCCGATCTGACTCGAAGCATCGGCCATTGGAATTACCAGGTAAAATGGTTGGCACAATGCCGAACGGCCGCGACACAATCGATTCCTGGGGTGACCCGAACAGGCTGAACCAGGAGTCAGCGGACAAAGATGAATTTGAAGGCGAACACCTCGAGCAGGGTGATTTAATTGCCAGATTGAACGCAGACGGAGTGTTTAATTATGGAATCTACGTGCGGTCTGTTCATAAACAGAAACAGTTCTACAATGGCAACGGGAACTGGCGTATCTGCTCCAACGCAGAGCTTGACTACGTCATCAAAGGATTTGCGCCTACTGAACTTGTCGAGCCTCTCACACCATGGTTCCCGGATAACGAGGCTATCGTAAGCCAAGATATTCAGGTGACCCCCGAGGGAGGCCTTCCGCGGCCACTAGGTGCTCCTCTTCTGCAGATGATGGGCAACTTCAAGACCCATATCTTGAAATTCTATAGAGAAAACTCTCAAATTTTGGACAACCTTCATGATCAGGTGGCAGATGAGACCGAAGTTCTCTGCTTGAGCCTCGAAAAATTGACGATGACTGCTCTTGGCATTGAGGAATCTGAGCTGACTAGCGTCAACATGTTTGCTGTTCATCAGGCAGTTCGCCGATTCCCTTTCCTAATCGAAAAAGATGGCAGCTCCTTGTTCAGCCGGATGTATCTCGTGCAACCCAAACGGATCGCGAAAATTGTCAAACAGGTCGTCGACTGGACTCATGAACACCAAGAGCATTGTGTTCGTGCCGCGATGCGTAAAGATACTCAGGGGTCCAAGGATCACCCTATGAGCCGATTTATCGCCAAAGCACAGCGGTTGATTCGTCTTAGCAGAAGACTCCGCTCTCCGACTATCATGTCCAGCGTGGGACCATCCTCTAACAGATATTCACCTGGTCAGGATGGAAACCCACTGGTGTTCCGCGAACTTCCCACCGAAAAGTTCAGCGCAGACGATTCAATGATCATTGAATACCTGAAGCTGTACTCGGTCCCTGCTATTGTTATGCCATCGGGCACTTTGAGATCAACAGCAACACATATCATGCGTGCCACGGGGATGTATAATACTCTTGGGCTGAGTGAGGCTTCAACGCGTCTTTTGTTGCAGGAGATTGGCATTATAGCCCCTTGGGAGAATCTTCTACCCCTTGACCAGTATCTGATGCTTCCGGGGCATGGCGTATCCCTTGCAAAGGACATGGAGTTGGAAGAGATTGAGGACACTTGCAGTAAACTCTCTGCCGATCAGTTGCAAGATTCTATGCAGCACCTGAGAAAAGATTGGGGAGATATGCCCGTCTACTGTGTGGATGATGTGACGGCGGAAGAAATTGATGACGGTATATCGCTGGAGCATATCCCAGGATCTCATGATACATTCTGGGTGCATGTCCATGTCGCCAACCCAACAGCTTTTATCGGGCATGACAACCCCATCATGCAGTATGCAGCCTCACGACTCTTCACCAGCTATATCCCAGAACGCACATATCCTATGCTTCCCAAAGCTCTCACCGAACCTCACTTCAGTTTGGCGGCTGGTCGGCCAGTGCTCACATTCAGTGCGAAGATGAACCGTCGAGGAGAGATCTTGGACAGTCAGATCCAAAACGGCACAATTCACAATGTCATCAATCTAACCCACAAAACCCTACGCGACTTCTTCGACCCCGATTCCGAAGAACAGTTACAGTCGTTCACCGTAGGTGGCGCGTTCACAGAACCGCCAATACCGCATGGTAAAACAATCCAGCAAGGCCTGCGGCCCGAAGACAAAGATAGGTTCCACATCATGCGTCAGCTCATGCTCGCATTCCGCCAGACTCGCAGAAAGAATGGCGCCATGGACCTTACTCCTCTGAGCTCAGATATTTCTGTCTCAGTCCAGTCCGGCAACGCCCCGATGCCGCCATACGATTTAGAAGCTACAACCGGACGCCACTATCTCGGTGATCCAGTCATTCGGCTCAATATGCATTCTCACGATCCATACGACGTTCGCGACCAATCCCGGGATAATTTGGTCTCCCTGATCATGAATCTGGCTGGGCATATCTCCGGCCAATTCTGTGCCGCACGCAACATCCCCGTTGTTTACGACGGCACCTGGTACGACCCGGAATATGGACGCGTCACCAACAAGAATTTGGCCAAATTTGGCGGTGAGGGTTTCTATGAGCTCAGCGTGCCGCTGGCCTACTCTTCCACGATCCCAACCAAGCACCACACACTGGGCTTGGATACTTACGTCAAAAGCACTAGTCCGCTCCGCCGATACACGGATGTTATTGCGCATTACCAGATCGAAGCAGCATTGCGTTTCGAGCATGAAAACGGCCGTCAATTTGACGCTCTTGTCGATAGTCCCGAACCTGCAGAGATCGATCTAGTGGAGACAGAAACAGTTCTAGCAGAGAACGAACTAGCAGAGACCACCACTGAAATCACCATTAACAACACAAACACCACATCCACCTCTCTCCTCCCCTTCTCCAAATCCGAAATCGACGCACACCTCATCTATTCCCAGCCTCTGCGCAGACATCTTCGAAATCTTGACAAGTACTCCAATCAGCATTGGGCTTGTATGCTGCTTTTCCGCGCATTCTATTTCTCCGAGTGCAATCTCCCCGTCACATTCCCATGTCTGCTACGCACCCCGCGCATGAAGCCTAGACACCTGGACGATGAGTATGCCGGTGTCATCACCAATCTTGGAGTGAACTGCTCGGTCACCATTCCTCATGATTTCCCAGATAAAGATAAGCTGGATATCTTCTGCATGGTCGAAGCTCATATCACTGCCGTTGATATGTCGTCTCTACAGGTGACTATGGAGGCGACTGAGTTTATAAAGCCGTTTGAGAGGAAGGGTGAATGGGCTTGAGTTTAGGTGACTCATTGTACAATACTGTATTATATGCATATCCAATAGACATCGCCAATCGTTATATAATATCAGATCTTACGCCTTCGAGATCACTATGTACATTGTGTCTAAGTGATGCATTCAATGATATGGCCGGTAGTTGAATCTCAGATTATGGTATACAAGGGTGAGAGTGTATGAATGTATCAATTGCCTCCAAACTTGAAGTTCTTGAATTGTCCAGACTTCTTTTTCCGAGACGTTTCGGATGTCTTCTTTTCCCTCAAGATGGATGATATCACCACATGTGGCCAAAGTCCGTGGCAAAAACTCTTCTAAATCTATTATAATTGTTGAATAACCTGCAGATCAAACTGTACTGTTGACCTACAAGCCTAAAAGTCGATTGGGCGATCCTCCACACCTGGTCGAGTATACTTTTCACCCTGAGGAACTCGTCTTTTCGTACGGACAGACGGTAGGAGGTCAATGACGAAAGAAAATACAAAGAAATCGAATATATAGGCGGCAACTGCTCCGGTCAGCTTATTTGGCACAATCACACAGGGCTGAACTCTTACCCCATTCCAACACAGCTGCTGCATTCTGCTTATTTCCCTTTCTCATGCATACGCCAAATGCAATCGCGACAGCAAGTTCACAAACGACGAAAGAAGCTTTAATGCCAAAGCTAACTAACAAGATACGGGCTTGTGGGTGGTAGAATCGGCCGATCTGGATGTATTCCAGACACACCAGGAGAGCGCAGACCACATAACTCGCTCTAGAATCCAGTTAGGATGTGAATGTGAATGTGGGAATCGAAGAAGGGATTCATACATGAACATGCCCAAAAACCCGTTGTGGAGGTTATGGTGATTTTTCGTATCGAAGATGGACAGAAGAATGAGACCTACGGCCCCAGTGATGGAAAAAAAGATCGATCCAACAGCACAGGCCTTGTCGAATTTCCCTTTGTTTCGGGCAAGTTGACCGGCATGGCGAAGCCAACGCTCAGAGAGAAGACCGAGATCCATGAACACAACTGTTACTGCACTGCCGGTAATGAACAGCGGTTTGAGTCCTTCGGCTCCGATATGGGAAATGTAACTGATTTTTCCAATTGACTCAGTCTCTGTCGCCGGCGGGTTGATGAGTACAACTTACGGAATGGTGAGCCCATCGTCCATGGTAATATACCTTGGTTTTCCGTCCGCCGCCCAGGTCCCCATCATGGCTATCAACGTCGCTATAGAATCGTTAGTAGAGTGATTTCCCCTGTTCTTGTGTTTCGATCCTTACCTAACCACATGCACCCAGATATCACGGGGAAAATCCAGAACGATAGGATCCACATGGCTCTTGCGCAGAGGAATTCGTGGAGGAATCTTCAGATCGAAACGACTGTGGGAAGAGCTCGTATTTTATTGGTTGCAAGGGATAACCCTTTGAATGTGAAAATTCAAGAGAGTCGCAAGGGGGAAATGCGGGTCACCAGATCTCAAAGATCTCAAAGATCCCCAGGACCGTAGAACTGCAACCCCACAGGTCTATGAGTTACCGGATTCAGCTATGTCACTTCAAGAGCTCTGGAGCTTTGGAGCTTTGCGGGAGCGGCCGGATGCTGACCTCAGCAGGCTTGGCTTGGAGGCTTTTCGAGTGATCAGGAACAGTCATGTCTTCCAAGGTTATTTCCAACGGAGAGACTCTATCTATCTACCGATCTATCTATATATATATATATATAGATAGATATTTGGCAGTTATGTTTATCAGTGCTCATCGCTGCCTGGGGAAGAATCTCATTCAGTGCACTTTTGAATAGTCGCAAAACCTACAAATGGGCCCAGGCCCCAGGCCCAACCAGCAGTGGGCTATGGGCTTCCACTCCGAAGCCCAACCCACAGCCCATTCGTGGGGGCCCAAGAGCCCCACATTCGAGTGCATTGAGCAGGTTCAGCGAGCATCTTGTAATCGCTATATTCTAACCTCTACTGTAGGCTTGAAATCTAGAATTGGAAATTGTGATTATTATATAAGTGTATATTCTAATTGTGAATAATCGCTACGCAGGGGTCGGACAAGATCAACACATACTTTAATGTCAGATATATATTTTGGATCTACACGCGAGTACGGATATCTTAGTGAGCCTCTGTGATATATAAGTATAACCTCTAGATAGCGCGTCTTCTCGCGTTTTGAAACGCGATGAATATATTTTACTATATATCAGTTATAACAATAGAAGATTATACCTTATTAATGGCGAGAAACGCGGTCTAGAACATAGTGATCAAAAAGTCAACGTCTTTCTAGAACATGTGTTGTTAGTAACTTGGTCCCCAAAGGCTCTATCAAGGGGCCCAGTAGGCTTTCGCTCCGGACCTATGACCCACCGACGGGCCGAAAGATAGGCCCCAAAGCTCAGCTCATTTGCGGGATGGGTTAGCTTTGGCTGTGGGTTTTGCGGCGCGTTACTTCTGAGTCCAAGTAAAAGTTTGATCGCGAAACAAGACTCTAAGAGAAGGCTTGAGTTGAGGTTTTCATCGAGTCTAGCTGCTGGTTCAAGCGAGCAGCATAAATAACATGGAAGCCAATGGGATCCTTGAGTTTAGCATCGGAACATGATATTTCGAAGGGGCTGCAGGTTGAAGCTCTGAAACCGTGCCCGACAATGATGTGGAATGGCTGTATCGATGAGTTAGGAGGGTATATATTCCAGCCATCTTCAGTGGCCTCAGAGACATCTTAGCTCTCCAAAGTTGTGGTGCAATGCCTGGAGTTGCCAGCGCCGATGACCTCCCTTGGAGGCTATGTCAATACAGACTCGATTCAAGTGCAAGCCTGACAAATTGCTACTCGGCAGTGAAAAAAGAAGCAGCTTCATACCAGAATCCGGATCATCGAAAACCACATCCTAGGCCTCCTATTGGTCTCTCATATAATTGCGGGAGACCAACTCGGTTCGGGGTTTGGCATTGGCAGGGCCTAGATTGAACCAAGAGATCAAGGTCACGCTAGTAATGAGCGATTATCCCCAAGGGATCACTGGCATTTCACGAAAGGTCAAGACAAGGATGAGATCCAGTCATGTGACTGGGAACTATACCGATGACGTAGGCAACACCTGCAGTGCCAAACTGGCCGAGGACAAGTCTGCGATTCCAATAAAGGCAGTATGCGGTAGATATGGCTTTGATGTCTGCCTATTATGCGTCTTATGCCTATCAGGCCCTTGGTAACTCCCTCAAGAAACTAAGGAATCGTCACCCTATCACAAGTCCAGAGGACAGTATATTGTACTGAGAATAAGAACAAGATAGGTTAAGCCATGATCTCATGTCAATTCACTCTGGTTGGCTATCAAATTGACAAGGATGTGTCTAGTACAACTTTCCTGCCCGCATACTCTGTATAGTTGGCAGACTTCCTTGGCAGGTTCCCCCATGACGCAATTGTTTTGGATTTCGATATGTTCTAAATCAGGGATAATGGCGAGTTTCTGGTATGTTGATGTCTGATTTACCTCTGTGATGACAAGATCCTGATTCAAGTGGCTGACAGTGTATCCCTCCATGGACATCCTGCCCAATAGCAGATCCTGGCACCGGGAGGCGTTTGTACTGTTTTCCTGGATTGTTTGTACACCATCACATTGAAAATACGAACGTCATTTGAATGTTTGCTTGACTCTGAAGAGAATGTTGTCAGGGTATAAATACCCTCTGCTTTCCCCAGAAACCCACTTTCCTTCTTCCACCATATCCCACACTTCAATAACTTCCAACTTCAACTTTTACCAACACCAACATCAAGATGCAGTTTGTACGAAAGGCCGAAGAGGCCCTGACTGGCAAGAAGAGCGAGTCGCACGAGTCGACCGAGTCTTCTAACCATGGACCTCACAAGTCAAACTTGGCTAACAAGCTTGACCCCCGTGTCGACAGTGACCGAGGTTTGTCATTTCACCTCACATCAAATCTCACATCAACAGTCAAGGATACTAACTGCCGTAGACAACCGTGCTGCACACACTGATGCTACTGGCCTTGGAGCCACCCATGGCACAACCCATGGCACAACCCCTGCTACAGGCACACATAGCTCGGCCCTAGGCTCAGGAACCACTCACGGCACCACTAGCACCAACGCAGGTCCTCACGACTCCAACATCGCCAATAAGGCTGACCCCCGCGTCGACTCTGACCGCGACAACCGTGCTCGCCACGAAGGTCTCACTGGTGCTGGCACTACACACGGTACCTCTGGCGTGACTGGCACCGGTGCTGGTCTTGGATCTACTCATGGCACAACCGGCACTCACAGCTCGACTCTGGGCTCTGGAACCACTCACGGCACCACTGGCAGCACCAACGCAGGTCCTCACGACTCCAACATCGCCAACAAGCTCGACCCCCGCGTCGACTCTGACCGCGACAACCGTGCTCGCCACGAAGGTCTCACTGGTGCTGGCACTACACACGGTACCTCTGGTGTGGCTGGCACCGGTGCTGGTCTTGGATCTACTCATGGCACAACCGGCACTCACAGCTCGACTCTGGGCTCTGGAACCACTCACGGCACCACTAGCACCAATGCCGGTCCTCACGACTCTAACATCGCCAATAAGGCTGACCCCCGCGTCGACTCTGACCGCGACAACCGTGCTCGCCATGAAGGTCTGACCGGCGCTGGTCTTGGATCCACTCACAGCACCACTGGAAGCACCAATGCCGGTCCTCACGACTCCAACATCGCCAACAAGCTCGACCCCCGCGTTGACTCGGACCGTGACAGCCGTGCTCAGCACGCAGGTCTCTCTGGCGCTGGCACCGGTGCCGGTGCCGGTCTTGGATCTACTCACCACACCACCGCTACAGGCACCCATGGCTCAACCTTGGGCTCTGGAACTGGCGCTACCCACAACACTATCCAGGAGCAGCCTGTGTACACTACCGGCGGTCCCATTCCGACCCCTGGTAGCAGCAGCACCAACGCTGGACCTCACAGCTCCAACATTGCCAACAAGCTCGACCCCCGTGTTGACTCGGACCGTGACAGCAGTGCTCAGCATACCTCTGGTCTCGCTGGTTCTACTACCCACGGCACCCACACCCGTGGTGTTCCTCATAGCCCAGCACTTGGTGGCTCTGGTCTGAACACCGCTGGTCATCAGGATGCTCTTGCTGGTAGCAGTTACAATACTCCTGCCACCGGTACTACTACTGGTGCTACTGGTACCACTGGTCCTCACAGTTCAAGCATTGCCAACAAGCTTGATCCCCGTGTCGACTCGGATGTTACCCGTGCTGAGAACGAGGCCCTTCACCGTCAGATCTAGGTGGACACTGGACTAGATTTGGGTTTCCTTTGATATGATGCTACGAATTTGAAATTCAGCGCAAGCAATTAGTTTTCTTTTACCAATACCAGAATTGACAATTCATTCAATATTTTCAATATTTTCGGACAGTATTGTACATCTTTTGATCAAGTAGAGAGAGTAATGGGCCAACAAATCTCCCATCACTCACCTCACTTTAAGTCTGGGTAAAATTTCAATATTGTACAGTGTAATTGTTTCGATCTTCAAACACCAAAGACTTCTCTCACAAGTGCCTTCTTATTGACCTTCCCCATCGCGTTCCTCGGAATAGCCTCCAAAACTTTCATTTCCTGTGGAATCTTGAAGGAAGCAAGAGAACCCTTCAACGCGCGCCGCATATCCATCGGACCCCAAGATTGACCATTACGACCTGAAGCAGCCGCATCGGGAGCAAGAACAAGCACAGCAGCGATCTTCTGACCCCACTGTTCAGACGGGAGACCAACGACAGCAGCTTCGATGACTTGGGGACTAGAGGAGCATCGTTAGTACGGTACCTTTGTTCAACCGAAACTCCGAAAAATGCAACTTACAGAGAAAGTAACTCCCTTTCAACCTCCAACGCGCTAACCTTCTCGGCCCCGGTCTTGATGATATCGACACTCTTCCGCCCCTGGATGAAATACATCGGTCCCCGAGCCCAATCGCCGCTCGCTCCACTGCCAGCTCCCTCAACTTCCCGACGGATAGCTACATCGCCTGTGCAGAACCACGGTTTGCCTCCATCGTCACTCTGCACGAAACTCTCCTGCGTGGCTTTCTCGTTTCCCCAGTAATGGTCGAAGATTGTTTCGCCGCGGAGCTGGATCTCGCCTTCGCGTTCCCGGCCACTGGTACTCTTTTCTTCAATTGGAATGACGGCACCCGTCTCGAGATCGGTGAGTCGGGCTTCGACGCCCGGGAGTGGCCAGCCGACACTCCCGTCGACGCGGTCTGCGGCATCGAGGCCACAGCTAATCGCCATGCCGACCTCGGTCATGCCAAAGCGTTCCAAAAGGACATTGCCGTTGCTAAGATTTGTCCAGGCGGTTTTTGTTGGTGTTGGGAGAGCGGCAGAACCGGAAATGTTCAAGCGGAGGTTTTGTGGGGATATTCCTTCTTTTGCGGCTTTTTGGAGCTCTGGGGTCAGTCTGGGGAAGGTGGTCATGAGCCGGTTGTAGATAGTTGGGACGGCAGTGAGGAATGTGATGGGTGATTTTGAAGCATCGGATGGGAGGAAAGGTGCTGCTAGTCGTTTCCAGACCGTGTCCGGGTTAAAAGGGTACATGAACTCGATTGAAGAGCCTGCTACCAGTGGTGTCAGAATTGCGTTTACCACCCCGTGGATGTGATGGAGTGGTAGCAAATGAAGAAGTCGGTCATCCGGTGTGTACTTCCATGCTTCTAGTAGCGAAGATGCTTGCGCGGCCAGTGCCGATTGGGGGATGAGAGCACCTTTCTGTTTGGCGTTAGTAATAGATCCTAGCATAGAACTGACTCAGCTTACCGGTCGATTCGTTGTCCCAGATGTATACAACATCATCCCACTGGACGAAGGCTGCTTTAGATCATGCAAGGTTACGTCCTCGTGGCTCGATGCACCTTCTATGAGCTTATTGCGAATAGCAAACAGAGGCTCACGCTCTAATCCCCCCCGCAAGAGTTCCATGCCTTTATCAGCATACTTTTCAGTTGTCAACAGCATCCTAGCCTGTGAGTTATCTAGGATATACTTCAGCTCGCTGGTGGGGAAAGACGGCGAGAGCGGAAGCGCAATGGCATTACTAGCAAAGATCGCCAGCAGCGTCACTATGTCTATTAGTATTCTAGATATCTTCTCCAGTAGAGCTCAAGGTAACAGTACCTACGTAGTCATAGCTGTTCTCCGCGAGGAAGGCAACCCGCTCGCCAACCAATTGGCCCTGCGCCTTCGCGGCCTTTTGTTCCAGGTCGTCCTTGGCGCGGACGATGTCGGTAATTAGACTACCATAGGTAAATGACCGGGAAGAGGCGCTATGCACAACAGCCAGACTTTCAGGGTCATGGCCCTGGAGTGCGCGGAAGATATGTGTGTTCGGGAGAGTCGACAAGTGTCTTGCGCTGAGAGGCGTTCGCCGAGTGAAGCAGACGCGCGCATTCGAACGCGAAAGCAGGGAGAGTAGACTGCCAGACATGTTGAATCTCAGCTTTTTAGATATTTGGAATTCATCTCACAGCTTAAAAGATGAGCGATTGAGGTGTCGAGGCGTCGAGCGAAAGACAAGTTGATGTCATAAGAGTGAAGTTCCCCGAAATCAAAAACATCTGATTGGCCTCAATTGCGGACGTCTCTCTCCTCCTCGCTCCCTTTGATCGCTTCTTTTCCTTCTAAATGCTTCCTCGCCGTCTTCCGGGTCTGATCCCTCGCCGTCTATTCTCTGGTTCTGCTAGGATGGCCTCCAATACCCCGTTGGAGGATGTCATGCGCGACAAGGTGAGCCAGTCAGCCACGCCTCCAATGTTGATCTGCATTGCTAATATTTCCTCTCTTCGTTTAATAGATCGCCCACGCATTCACACCCTCGAAACTCGAGATTCGGAATGACTCTCACCTTCATGCGCACCATGCTGCAATGGAAGGGTCGGTGTCAAAGGAGACGCATTTCCAGTTCGTTCCCCCGACACCCGAACATACACTGCACACGAGAGTGAACGTCTAATCCCTCGCAGTGTAACAATTGTCTCTGATTCCTTCGAATCGAAGATGCAGCCCGCTCGCCACCGTATGGTATACGCCTTGTTCAAGGAAGAGATGGCTCGTGAAGGCGGACTGCATGCACTGCAGTTGAAGACGAAGACACCGGCCGAGGAGCAGCGCGAGAAGGAGAGAAGGGATCAGGAGAGGAAAGAGAAGATGGAAAAGGTATAGTGGATTGATTGGGCGTTCTGGTGCTCGTTTTTCTGAAAGAGTCTGTTGAGTCGGATACCCCTAGACGATACCTCGATTTTACATTACACTGCACAAATCATCTGCGATCTTGGGACTCAGCTATGGTAGACTTCAGACTCATGCGCAAAGAAATCGATTATTAGACAGTATTACATAGGTTCTAGCGACAAACAGGGGGTCGAAGAAAGCAATCTAGTATATACACATCCATGCGCCGCGACATCACGAGCCCCGAAACTGCGACAATCATCAAAAGCCATCGCGTATTAGGCGCAGAGCAGCTGTACACGAACACGCAGGTACAGCTAGGAGGCAAAGACACAAAAGAAAGAGGGGTCTGAAAGACATTGCTTTTACACAAGAAGGAAATGCGAAGGGGTGGTATAACGAGGGGACAAAGACAAATGGGAGGATGCAGAGATGCGTCCCCAGGAAAAGGTCGTACATGGAGGGGGTAGGAAGGGGAGTGCAAGACAGATCACTACTTCCCGCCGCCGTTGTTCTGGGTGACACCGACGGCCACACCGACGACAATACCAATAATGATGACTAGACATTAGGTTAGCGGTTGGGGCCATATTTTGGTAGGCAGACAGGTAAATACATACGGATGATAATCAGTGCATACCACTTCCAGCGCCGAGCGTTCTTGGCGCTCTGGATAGCGCTATCAAGCTTGGTGTTGGCCCCCTCAACGTTACGGTGTGTCTCCTCCGCTCCCTGTTGAATCTGCTGGACTGCAGGCTCCTGCTGGTGTACCAGCTCTGCGACCTCATTGTACAGGTGGCTAAGTTCGATCAGATCCTGCTCGATTTTGCGGATGGCGGCGGAACGTTGTAGGGTAGCCTGACGGGCATCGTTGGCCTGGCGAGTGCGAGTACCGGGAACCTAATCCTCATATATTAGCAAGGGACTCCTGCCAAGATTCGACTTTGGACAAAAACATACAACAAAGCTCTGCTCCTGTCCCATCAGAACATTCTGCACACCCTGCTCCAACTCCTCTGGGGAAGCCTCGGGGTTGGCAATCTCGTATCGGCGGCGCACTTGCTCTTCCAGACGCTTTTGGAAGTCGCTCTGTGTGCGCTGGTACTGCTCAATCTCACGACGCAGGTTGCGGCTGACGTTCTCGACCTGGCCCTGCACGCGCGAGTCACCGGATCCCGGGGTCTCCTTGATGCGCTTGAACTGATCGCGGAGGTAACGCAGCGCGGTATTGATCTCATCCTCAATGTAGTCAAGTGTTTGGCGCGAAGCCTGGTCTTCTTTGCCGGTGCTCGAGTCCAGAAGGGCCTTTTGGGCGGCGACCAATTGAGTCTCGCGCTTCTTGGTCAGCTCAGTGATGCCCTCATTCATCTCCTTGCACTTGTTCAGAATCGCAGTTGGGCCACCAGATGAAGCTTGATTCATGTTGGACATCTCTGTCGAGACGTTAGACTTGTCGCAAGGTGAGATCATCGGGTCAGCATACCATAGCCACCGTTTCCCTGTTCTGCCGCACCCGCCTGGTTATAACCAGCACCATATCCATAGCTCTGTTGTTGTTCCTGGGCTCCATAGGGATTGCTCTGCTGCTGACTTCCGTATGGGTTGTACTGGCCGTAGCCGCCTGAGTTGTTATCCCCTAAGCTCTGGTACTAGGGAAAGTTGCATCAGAAAATAGATTCAGGTTAACAAGGTCACATTGATTTCACTTACACTCATGGTGTGCAGATATCTCAGGTTCTTCAAGGGACAATAATAGTAAAGGGGGAGAGTGATGAAGGAGGGAAGGGTGAGACGGGAGAAGTGGAGGGTACGGGCAGAAGCGCTGGCGGTGTCAGGGAGAGCAAAGCCAATTAAGGGTCCGGGGATTAGTCGCGCTGAGCGTTAAGCATTTAATATTTTATTAAGGATTAAATGAGCTTCAAGGGTTTCTCGGGTTTCATATGTATTTTAAATGTTTCATAAAATAGAAAGGTGGTTTTTTTTTTCTTTCGTTATGGCCCCCCTATTTTTAACAATCTTCTAGTAGAGTGCACTGTTCCTACATATTTGGCACTGCAATTTGGTGGAGTCTTCTGAGATTGACCATTCACCCTGTGTGGCTGACGCTGTTCTATTTAAGACAGATCGGCATTCGGTCAAGGATCCGCATTGGATATATTTTCCCAAGGTATTGAGTACTTGACTTTGGTTGGTACTCCCCACTTTGGAGCATGTACCCAGTACCTTGTCTCACGGTCTGTGGCAACCCGAGTCTGCACGTCATGATTATGATGTATGGACTTATGGAAGACCGACTTGGTACACTTCCAATAGGAAACAAATCCAAACGTTGCTACTCTGTATACAACTCGGAAATAGCATGCGTGCCTAGGAGGGTATGTATGTAGCCTGAAAATTATCTATGAAACTTGGCCAATCAGGTTCAAATGTTTCATGAGCCTCATAGGCAACTAAATATATATCCATGTTATGTTTTGTATAACTACAGGACCTATAGATTGAATGTCTTTGCCTTCTCGAAGGTCATGGTTGCCTGATGTAGAAGAAAACCTGATATAGTACTGCCTATCGTTCAGGCATCTTGATTTCTGTAGTATGTCCCACAAGCTATAGTGATCATTAGTGTCTAGAATGTCGCCCGAACCAGTAACATGGTTTCTTTGTCCCTTCCTAGTTCCGTAAGTTCAAAGAGGAAAGGAGTTGAGCCGTTCTCAAAGACGACTCATTTCTCAACTATATCATCTACACCTGTTCAAGTCAATCCGTAGCCAGAGTTCACTGCATTATGAGTGATGAAAAAAACAGTTACTCTCGCCAACCAATCCTGGTTCCCAATCCTCGAAGCTCATTCCAGGCGTGCTCATCTGCTGTCTTGTTGGCTTATATACACCCACAAACCAAGGTCAAGACCAGATCAGAACATATGGAGTTGAAAGAGAGGAAATAGGTGGGAACATAGCAGGGGCCTGGATTTCCGATTCGGACCTTCATTTAGGGTCCTCGAACCAGAGGGGAACAATTCTGGTTTCTGGGGGAAGAATGTGTATGCCCTAAGAGACTGGGGCCCAACTATACTTCAATTTGCTAAGGTCGCATTGCCATTTCACGTAGTTCAAGTGCAATTCTACTTTCCCCTATAGCATGCAATAGGCTTTTTACCGTATCTAGTATCCTAGTCTCTAGACTCGCCTATTTGCACCTATATGCATTGTCAGAAACTCCAGACATAGAAATCATTATTTACTAAACACACTAGCACTAGTACATAAAGAACGGTCACATGCTACTAGTAACGACCTAAGGTTAGCGCCATTTCATCTTACACCCTCACAACAATCGCCCCAACAACAATCTTATATCCGGACTGGTGACTTCGTGAACTTCGTCGACAATGGGAACAGACAGCTATCGTCTTCCAGCGCTGAGCGCCGACAATATCTGTCAATTTATCGTGTCTCTGGATCTCCCCACTCCTACCTCAGTTGAACCTCTCAAAGTCACTGCGGCATTTCATTCTATCTATCTAGTCCATTTCGCAGCACCCACCCCGATCCATACATTAGATGGCTCTGTGCTTCCAGTCAATGCAGACGGCTCAGTGACTCTGGTCCTACGCGTCTCGGGCCATCGACTTCCCACCATCAAAACTCGTAATGAAGTCGGTGTCATGACATGGATCCGTCAGAATACTAGCATTCCCATCCCCGCCATCATTCGCTACGATTCCACCGATGACAATATCATCCGTCATGAATTTACTCTCCTCGAAAAGGTTCCCGGGAAGAGTATCGATCAGGTTTATGATACGTTGTCAATAGAAGTCCGTACTAAAATGGTCCATCAATTGACAGACTACCTGATCGAGCTTCATGCACACCCTTGGGATAGTTATGTTGGCGGGTTGACCCTCTTGGATGGAGAGATCACCCAAGGCCCTCCAATTGATGAGAATTTCTGGGAGGCCCCTGATCTAGAGAAATACTGGGCGGGATCCGAGTCCCTTGAGTTGTTGAACCCTATTCCTTCTCAGGGTTTCGATAGCTTTGTGGCCTTCACCGTCACCTGTCTCGATCGCTATATCTACGCCATGGAAAAGCATCCGTCACTTGAATCTTATAGAGATATGATTCCCAGAATTCAAGCCTTTTCGTCAGCTATTCAGGAACATGCTGAAGAGTTGAACCAGGTCGTCTATGTTCTCGCACATCGAGATCTCCACTTTGCAAATATTATGTGTGACCCGGATCAGCCCGACTGTCCTATCACTGCTGTTCTGGACTGGGAGTTCAGCAGTGTAGTACCCGCACCTCGCTGGAATCCCCCTTGTGCCTTTTTATGGAATATGAAATCGACTCCAGAGGACAAAGAGGAGCAGACTCGTATGGAAAAGCTCTTTGAGTCCGTCGTTCGCGAAAAGGGAGCGGAGAAGATCCTTGAGGAGATGGAGTTGAATCCACTTCAAGAGTCCATGCAGACTGCGGTGAATCATATTCGTGCCATTGTGGAGGTCTGTCCCCGCGGCCAGGCTCAAGACCGAGTGGCCCACTGGCGTGGGGTGGCCGAGTCGGCGATGGAGTCTTTTGGAGTCTAGTACATATCCATAGTAATTTGAAGATAAGACGTGCCTTGGAATTCTTTCATCTGATGTATGTTGTATATTGATTATTTCATTTTCTATTTATGAGCTATATATACTAAAATTAAACCGAGCGTCATATCATACCATGTCTCATGATCTGCACAGCAGTCTGAAAACACCCAAAAGTGCTCCGATGATGCAAGCGAAGATGAAAAAAAAAGTACGATCCCAGCGTAGAGATACTTGCGATAACAATGCGAATGCCAAAAGAACAAGAAAAACAAAATAATACAGATTAACACCGCTGGTGCGATGCTTACTCCGGCTTGGACTGGTGTTGGTCCGCATCGACCGGAGCTTCGGGCATGTAGTCGTCGGCATCGAGGGCGTTCATGTCATCTTCCTTGGCGTTCAGGTGACGGAAGATGGCGTAGAAGATAATTCCGCACAAGCAGGATGCACAGGCAAGACCGGTGAACATCCACATGATGGCGGGATCGAAGGCGGCGGGGGTAAGTGCTTCGGCGATGGCGGATCCGAAGGCGTTTGTGAGAAGGTACATGGCCTGCACGAAGGACTTCATGCTGGGCGGCGCCTTGGTGTATGCGTACTCGAGACCGGAGACAGAGGCGAAAATTTCTGAAATACCCATGAAGACATAGGCCGGGGTTTGAATGGCGATGTGCACCCTGTTTCCTTGGGCAATTCCGTCGATCTCAGAGGCCTCACACAGAGGTGAGTCGTAGCAGGGCCCGGCGGAGTAGATCAGGTGCTGCACGATAGCGGCGTACATCATGGCAAGGGAGCCGACGACGAAGCCAAGGGAGATACGGGTGATGGGGCGGAAGGGGATCTTCATGCGGCGCATCACAGGGTAGACGCAGGTTTCGAGGATTGGGATGAAAACGATGATGGAGATGGGGTCAAAGTTCTGCATCAGATCGTTGGGGATGCCGTGGCCTTCCATCTGGCCGGCCTGGGCGACGAAGTTGCTAGAAAACTGTCCATAGACGACCCAGTAGATCGGGTAGAAGGCGAACACGCGGCAGGCGACCAGGGCACGCTTCAGCTCGTCGATAAAGTGGTCATCCCAGGTGACAGCGGATGCACCATTGTGCTCAGTCTGCCATGAGGGCTTGGGGGCGTCCATGTTGCGGTTCTTGATCATCATCCAGATAGCACGGAAAGCGTCCGTGATGATGGAGCCCTGGGGTGGGCGCACGACGTAGTACTTGCGGCCGAGCACGATGACGAGGGTACCGACCATGAACATGCAGAGACAGAGAAGGAAGGCGGGCCAGAAATCGATGTACAGCTCCATGTAGGGGGTGGCGAGAAGGGAGAGCGAACCGACGTTAATGCATCCGTAGAAGATCATGTAGATACGCTGGATGGTCAGAGCGGGATCAATGATGACGCGCTCGCCCTTCTTGGTGGTAGAAACGGCCATCTTCTTCCGCTTGTACTGATCCGCAATCAACGGAGCCACGTTACTCTTGATACCACCGGTACCCAGACCGATAATCAAGATGGCGACAATGAAACCACCGATACCCGAGCCGTGTTGCAGGGCAGTGGGGATGGAGGTACAGACCAGGATGAGCAAACCAACCATGTAGATCATACAGAACAGCACAATGGTCTTGTACTTGCCCAGGTACTGATCGGCGACGATGGCACCGATGATGGGAGTAACATAACACCAGAACTGGAAGAAGGTAGTGAGGCCGGTGGCACCCTGGTGATCCATACCGAGGGCACCACGTCCCTGACTACCATCGAGAGGTCGCTGGACGTAGTTCTGGAACAGACCAGACATGCCGTAGTATGTGAAACGCTCGCAGAGCTCGACGACGGCCACCAACCAGGCGGACAGAGGCAGGTTCTCTGCCACATGGCGCAAGGAAGTCTTCTCCGAGAGTGTGGGTTCGCCGCCATCAGCGGTGACCTGGTTCTCCTTATCGAATTCGGCATCCATGGCCTTTTCATTCAGAACGACGTGTTGGGTGACGTCCTCGGTATCGTATGGAGGACTGAAGATCGGGTTAGCTACCAACTCATGGATCCCGGCCAACCATATACATACGCAGCAGAAGTCTCCATCTCGTGGTTGGACATGGCTACGAGATCAGATAATGCCTTCTCTTTCAAGAGGGCCCAAAATAAAATCGCAGTCGGAGTAGAGAAGAATTGGAAAAAATCAGGGCATGAATAATACTATATATGCAATTTTTCATTGAGTCAACATCCGAGGCTGAGTGGGACCAGCCTGTCTGATATCGAGCAAAAAGAAAAACCGAAAAATTTGGAAAAATTAAAAAATTAAAACGATAGCATAAAAAAAAAGGCAATTTCGATGTTTTTTTTTCCCAGACTGATCTGAGAAGGTCGGATATTGAACGAAAGATTGGCCACGACCGTGGATGCCGATGATCGGTGTTTATCGTCCCACGGCGAATGGCTGAAATCGAGATGAATTGACCCACGAGGGCAACGCGGAAAGTGCAGGTCAAGCAATGAGATGCCGAGAATTGAGTGGATTGACTCAGTTTGGAATCATCCGAGCAAATGAGGGTCTGCAATCTTTCGTCTGGGGGATTGGTGAAAGGGCCAGCCCGAGTCCACTTTTTTTTGCAGTTTTTTCCATCGAATCATGTCGAGGGTTCCCAGCGGACATGGCCGGTGAAGCTTTTGGAACTTTCCCAGTTGAGGAGGTTTCCGGTTGAATTTGCCACGAGGGCAAATGTTCTTTTTTTATCTCCGGAGTCGAGCAGCTATGCTCCGCTGGAGGGATTTGGGATTTGGGATTTGGAATTTGGGATCTGGGATCTCTGTGTGGCTTCGGTAGATAGGGTCGGTATGTGGCTACGTGCCAGGGCTTTCGGGATATTGAAGACATCACTCATGCCGGTCCGAATGCAACGTTGGGGTCCCCTCGTTCTGTTTCAATAGCTTCACATTACCCGCTTACCCGACACCTTGTTTGATTTCTCCATCAGGCGACAACCAATACAGGAAGCGATGACCTGAAAGAAATCAAGTTCAGTCCCATCTTGGTCTGGTGTGTTCTGGGGTAATTATTCTCTCGTAAGTTGTAGAAGCGAGGTGGATCTGATGTTTAGGGTGCCTGCCAAGCCAGGTGATAAGGCAGGGGTTTCTGTTGGTCATTTTAGTATGTTAGTAGAGACCTCACTTTTTACATTCTTTGGTGAGTGAAAGGTAAGAAGGGAGGAAAAAAAAGAAGAAAAAGGATTCCAAAATCACACGGGATACCCCATAAATATAAACGAAAACACCAAGAACTCCCAAGAAAGCCCAAGAGTCATGGCACACGCCCTTTGCATCTCCGATGGCTCCGATTTCGCTAAGGCTGAAGCTCGGGGGTCACGGACTTAGCACTCAACATCCTCAGATGGTATAAGCCGTGATCTGATTGGATGTCTATGTGGTGGCTTTCTCTCCCAAAGATTGGCAATCCTCTAATAGTTCCCTTGGAGCTTCATGGCTAAGAGCTTACTGATCTTGATAGATCCTCTGGAGCTGCCTATTGGCCAGGGCTTGCCGTGAAAGTCCAGGCTGTAAACGCTCTCTAAAACCTCAATCCTTCGAGCATGTGGTATCGCTGCAACTGTCCGAAGAATAAGCTACCACTACTCTATGTACAACATACTGCGTACTCCGGGAGTCAATAGGACCGATGTCGGCCCCCAACCGAGATTATACACCAGGGATACCACGAGTTGGATGTTCCGACAGCCACTCGGAGCAAACCGGATCTTCGTTGGGGGCCTTCATGAGCCTCAAACGGGATACGATGGTCTTATCTGAGGCTGCATTTTCCGGTAGTATGTCTAGCTGAGACTTACAAGAGTATTCTGCTGACCAGAGGTACCTCGATAAACAGCTGTGTCCTATTGGCTACTCTAACCTTAAGGTAATCTTCAACAAGGTAATAGGACGCCTTTACTCTCTGTCCTCCTGGTCTTCAACTATACTCTACAACATAGGATTGATCAGAGCAGTTGATTTGGAGACCAAACACTTTAAAGTACCTTTGGTTTCTTTTCTTTTTTTTAGCCCTGGAGGTCAGATTTGAGATACTAAGCGACAATGTCACGTCCAAAGAAACAATCCAGTTTTTCATTGTCTTCCCCTATACTTCAAATTCAATCATGGGAGTCATTCTCGTTGTAATTTCCACCATCGGCGCCCTTTCAGAATACCCGGAAGCAGCCTAGGGGACTAATCTGCCCATCGGTTTACTCTACATGCTCAAGAAGCCATCAGTCGTCCATCTGGTGTCATCCCTGTCATTGTCAGTTCTAGCTCTTTGAGCACAAAACCACTATTTGATAGAGTGAGTCCAGGAAAGCAATAAGACACTGGCGATAATCTGTGCCTACGAGGGTTCCATAAGTAAACTCTTGGATTGGAGGTGTACATTTGTCCCCCTCGGTCGAGAGTCCCAAAGCAAAAAAAAAAAAAAAAAAGAACAAAAATACGTCCGGGAATACCTGGGCAATTCATACAACTGTGGATCAGTGAGCAGTCTATCCTTCCAGGATATGTCTAATACTATAGTGTCATATCATAAGAAATAAAGTGGGGAGAGAATCTTCGGGTCTCTTCAAAGTCGGGCGTGTGCCTCTTTTTGAAGGCATGGAGTCCACTTCCTTCCTAGCATGTTTCCTTCACAGATTCACCTTCGCATCGATATGTATTGTCAGTTGCAAACTCATAGCCCCGTCAGAATAAGAGTACAAAAGTAATATATGGAACTTAAGCCAAGACGTTTGATCAGCCCCCGTAGAGAACCAACCGCCTATCTTGAATGTCATCAATATACCGCATCACCTTATAAGTCTTGATCGCATCATACATGATCATTATCTAGGTATATATAGGGTATACAGAAGGCTTCAATGTGTTTCGTGGTGTATTTCCTACTCTCTGATAAGATGATTAGTCCAGATTCGAGCTGACGGAGAGATCTCTCGGTCATCAGCTACGCTGCTTCCAAGGTCTTAGCTTTCTTCAACAGCCTGCTGTGTGGAAGCCTTTCCCACCGAAAGCAGTATTGTCCCTTCTTGAGTGCAGTGCGCCTCGTACGTGGACCCGTTCGCCAAACCGTTTCCCCTTCCTTTGTCCGGCTTAGCTCAAAGGGTACACTGTAGTCTGGAGGGGTCGGCCGGCCTGGCTATGTAAGCCGCTTAGGTACATTGAGACATCGTTCTATGGCTCTGTCGGTTCTCGTCGCTACCCATTCATTTAAAAATGTGCGGAACTTTAACATATCAGAGTCTAGCTCGCGGTGATAGGTCCATTCAATAGTCTACACCATATCTATATCTCGCTCCCAATAAGGAATACTTGTAAAATATATATCGTTAGTGATGATCTCGTACAGCGTAAAGACAACGCTAGACATATCGTCTCGGCTATCCAGTAGATACTCCTTTCTATTAGCGGCCCAATTAAAATCGAAGAGAACAAGCTTGTCTGTTTCGGGATCGACAAGTAAATTCGGCGGTGCAATATCTTGATACATTATCCCAAATTCTAGGTTCAGGAAATCCACCACCTAGGTAAGCTGCTGTAGCCATTCAAATCGGAAGGGCCTTCTCGGATCGGCGTCTGCTAGCGTTCCCTCTAAGATATATTTTGTTGTGAATCCAATCACTCGAGACTCTATATCTTTAAGAACGACCCGATTAAACGGTACAATATTAGGAGAGGATAGTAGCTTATTAAGTATATTAATCTCCTTCAAGATATTTCTAGTCTTCGAGGTATATTATAAGGATTGAATTTAAATACGACTCTCTAGCTATTATATAAGGAGAGATCGACACCTAGCCTAAGCCGATCAAGCTCTTGAAGCTAAGAGAAGTATATTGTAGAGTAATTTGTAAGCGATTAATAGGGTATAAATGGGATATATGCAACGAAGGATATATTATCTTCTTTCGGATCTATCGAGACCCTAGTAAGAAGCCCCTCGTCGTCGACTATAATTGCACGAATTTCCGGCGAAGGATAATCGGTAAATTGAGCAAGAATTGAGTTCTCAATATCTTCGTTAGGGGGAAGAGTTTGGCGGTTCCTTTCACTTTGATCAATCGCAACTGGTCCCAATCCCATACATTGCAGTGGGTTTCGGGGTTGTGGGTCTTTCCCTAGGGCCAAAATAGCCCTGGCCCTCTGAGTAAAACCTGTCTTCGGGCTTGATCATGATGGAATCATCAATGCAGATAAAGAGTCGATCTTTGGATGCTGTTGATACAACAAACACTGCCTGTCTTGCGAAGGGGAGATTATATCGCCAGAGCATCACGTGGACCCGACATAAATCGGGAGAGCCCTGACCTCATTCAGGCACCTGGGCAACCCTGAGCGGTTATTTGAGACATTAGTTGACTCCCGAGGTTACGAAGCCCCCTACCTAATGTAACGGTATAAGGAGTGCAGTCAGATTACTACCGGTACGTGTGCGCAGTGACTGTAGGTCCCTTGACCAACAAGACTTATTCAATGTACCAGAGACCCTAACCGCCATCACCCTTGCTCAACACACTTGTTAGTATTGCTTGTTAAGGGCCAGCGGTAGATTTATGGGTGATTGTTCTCGAAAGGTTGGACCGTACTTGACCATGTGTACTCATAAAATCACCAACGGCCACATATGTGCTGAGCGAGAGATGATAGGTGGTTGATGTTGGTTGCCGCGCACGATTGAGGCTCAGAAAGTCACAAGCTCAGCGATGTCTAATTGTTCTGCTGCGCGTGTATGTCGACTTGAACACAACTCCTCCCTTTTTTCTTGCTTATATATCTCGCCTCAATCTCTCCCTTTTGTACCACCACGGGTGTCACTGTCTACAGCCCTGCGATCAGCATAGCCGACATTGAGCCAGCAGATATGGGAGACGATGTCTGTCCTCCACGTACCAATAGACTCAATTAGTCTAACAACTGCTACTATGGTTGGTTGATCTACTACACCAGTGTCTGTGGCCATGTATTCCAAGATGTGCCAGTCCGCTGTGGAAAAAGGACTACGGTATCTGGGAAAAGTGGCTTCTGCCATATCCCGGCCCCGAGGAACATCGTGACAGTGAGGATCAGTGTTTAGTGCAAGGACTGTTGACACCCCACAGATCAATGAGTGATATACTATTTTACTGCCAGATTCCGTACTAAACCGATCATCTCAGGTTTTTTTTATTCGCCCTTCGAAGGTTCTCGATCAGAAAGCCAGGGTTCGGATGATGTTTTCTAAGGAGATAGTGGTTGAGGATCTTGTAAAGGCAGTGCAGCGAGGGAAAAGATGGGAGGCGTGTCATCGCCTGGTGCATAGGATACTTTGAACCCGTTACTTGGAGCAAACTAATCCACTAGCTTGATGCGTATCTAGACGATGTTTTCACCGCCTATGGTGTAATCAGACTTTTATTCCCGTATATTCTGGTATAACCGAGCTGGCTGCTAGCATTTCCAAGCTCATAAATAGAGTGATTTTGTTTATCAGGTAGGTGGGTAGCTGTTGGTGACAATGGGCATGGTTCAACCACTGTTAGAATCGGCGATGGTAGCTGTATTCGATGGAACTGACACGCTGAAATCTCAATAGTATACTATATTCTACGGTAACAATATGGGACATGTTCCGTTGTAATTGACAGACATAATAGAGATGGATGTACGGAGTACTCCGTATATCGACTGCCTTCACATCCGCCCAGTAACTGAGGAAAGTATCCGGATTTGCGTGGTCGAGGGGCTGAGTACGATTTATCTGTGTGGCTTGCTATGGATATTCTGGCTATGCTAGTGTCAGTCTCACCGCGGTCTTCAAAACTCTCAATTATATCATCGTACCATATATAAGCATACCCCGAGACGCTCCCGCAGCGGGTCGTAAGCTGTGAAATACTCAGTGTTAAGCAAGCTGATCATTGCAGTTAGCTTGCAGTAACTACCATGAAGTTGGGAAAGAAAGCTATAGCCCCATGTGTCAGAATCGCTGGATGTGTGGCACAGTGCTTTGTTGTCAATATATGGAACCCGAGGTCCAAAAAGCCAAGCTCATCGTAGTAGTGATAGAAAGACCAGAGAGAATCTACAAGGCTTTTCTCCCCTCCCTCGTCCATTATAGAATGGGCGAAGAGTACGTTTTCTTCTTCTTTTTGGCCCCTACCCAGGTATAAGAAGCCTTCTTGTTCCAACTCGCTGATCAGATGCGACAACAAAGAACTATAACACAGGGCCTGGAGATTGAGCCTGCTTACCTGACCTACACCGACCAATGTACCTCCTAAGATAGCCACCATCCAAAATCAAGAGCTCTACTCACTTGACCTCGCTAGGATCGACCCTGCAACACCAAAAGTTGAATGGATTCAAGAACAGGTCATATTTGTATAGAATAATGTAAGGAAAATACCATCATACTGGCACGACCTCAGCCTCAACCACGGCATAAGCCTCTCGTAAAATGTGTTTGGTAGAGTAAGATACAAGTCGCAAGCAATCAGATCGTCCCTGCAGAACTATGCGGCGGGGCGGGCATAAAAGGGGGAATCTCGGTCCCTATGTGTATCATTCCCAGTTTCCTAGCACCACACATCGAGTCAATTCCCCTCGATTCGTGTCGTCCATAATCGTGAAATATGCGCATCGCCATCCGTCCCCTTTTCGTTTTTCATCCTCGTCTGCGCATCACCGTCCTAGCCAGCCCCCCATTTAAACGGTGTACTTGGCCTTCGCGCGTGTGCTGCCGCTGTGTGCACTGTCGGTGTGGCCGGAGAACTCGACGACATCCGCCAAGTTGAGTCGCAGAACGTCCTTGAACCGCTGGCCGATTGCCTCCAGGATCTCCTTGCCCTGCGCCTGTGTGCGGGTGTTCTTATCGCCCTGAATGCTCTTGCCGACTGTGCGTGTCCATAGACCGACACGGTAGAAGCCCTTACGCACATTCACAACCACTCCCATAACTTCGTTGTCGTCGTCGTTCTCAAGGGTCTCGCCGATCGCGGCCAGCTGCGCGTGCAGCCAGAGTTCGTCGATGGGGACGGAGCGCTTGTCCTTGAACTGGTATGACCACTTTCCACCGTGCTTGTTTTGGGGGTCCTCCCACTCGGGTCGTACGCCCTTCTTGAAGAGGTGGTAGTCGGCCTTCAAGCCAAGTTCGGAGGTCGGCGTGATGTTGTTCTATTAGCGATCGAGGTTAGTGTGATCGTTGACCGGGGGAGATATCGGATTGGACATACATAGATGCCCCAGAATTCTTCAACAGAGCTGAAGGTAACCACCTCCTTAAGCAAATCGTTCCAGTTGTCGCCCTAATTTCGACTGGTGAGCATGCTGATGTCGATTTACCCAAGGAATGTCTCCTACCTTGCCACTAGGGGGGCTTGGTGAACCACAGGGTCCATTCGTGCATAAGAGGGTGCTTCACGTTGAAGTCATCGGGGTTGTGGAAAACAGTGACGGCATCACCAGTCTGAGTCTCGGTGACAGGAGCGGAGTTCTCATCGGCAACAGCCGGGGTACCATTCTCTGCGACGGTAGCCATAGTGAATGGATGTGGAGGGGGAGACGATCGAGTCGGAAAGTCGGAGGGGCGAGAATTTCAGGGAAAGCGCAAACTTGGGGGTTTTCGCACAAAGAAGGTAAGAGGAATCCAAGCCTGGATCGAGTTAGCAGTAATAGTCTGCTCCAGGCAGTGTGAGATGAGAGTGGAGGTGGGCGACAATTGACTGCAAAGAGTGGAAGTTTTGAAGTTCGAGCCACAAAAACTTGCCTTGCCTCTTTGGGTTCTTCCGTAACATAATCAAATATTCACACCTGTATTCACACCTCTATATTCCCAATCTTCACTTTGCTCTGATTTCTACCAGACCATTTGGTTTATTCTAATTCACTTCAATTTGGATATTGAGATTCATATTTGTGTTGTCTATGATATGGCCCAAAAAAAAAGCAGAATAAAAATTCTCCCGATGCCTGAGGACAAAATAACCCAACTCAAAATTACTATACAATGGAGCGCCAAGGTGAAAATGCTCAGAATAGCTGACAATCAAAACTTCAAGGGTATCTCAAATCACGCCTTGGAGTTCTAATTCCTCGCCGCTGTTCATCAAGCTAAGGAAGCAGTTCCAGCCTAATGAGTTGTTAATAACTGAAGGAGTATGATGGGCACTCAAAAGCACGGTACTCACCCAGACTGATAACGTTGACAAAAAGCAAACGCAGTTCTAGAGGGACAAATGTGAAGTTGACACCCTGTACAAACGGCCAGACCATCAGGTTGGCCTTGTAGGCGGGACCAAAGGCAGCCTTCCACCTTTCCACAGGATCAACGCCTTCCATAATGGCCATCGAGGATAGGAAACAGGTGAGCTGGATCGGAGCAAAGAAGATTTGATCGGCAGCAACACGGGCGACGGTGGTGGATGTGGTGCCCCTCAGAACGACATGACGCTGGAGGATGCCAAACCAGGTAGTGGCAACTGGACCGAAGACCGCTGAAAAGGAAAATACACACCGATCAGCGATATACAACAGACTCGAGACTTGAAAGCATACCTCCGCCATATAGAGCCATGCGCCCAGTGCGGGCAAAGTCGTGTTTCTGGAGACCTTTCCGGTCAACAGCTTGCTGTGCTAGAACATCACCACTGCCGAATAGGAACTGTTGCAACAAGAATCAGGAGCTGCTCAGCGGGAAGAGGAAATGGGATCATACGGCGCTGGTGACGCTTGCGGTGAGGATGGGCCTCTTTGCCAACTTGGACTGGTACCTGGTTGAAGATGTTTTGAGCTTCAATTCAAGGAGGTGATGAGCAAGGAAGACTTACCAGCGCAACATAACTGCGATTGAGTAGCTATGAAAAGATGCAAGATGGATGAATCGAAGAAGAAAGCAAAGAATGAACACCAAAGCAAAGGGGAGACGCTGAAATACTATGGCAGGGGCAACTGGGGGAATAATCTTGAATTGCGGAGTCGAGATTGACCTGTCGCATTGCCCAAATAGGAAGTGCATCCGCCCAAAGCAGATTTTCAGGGTGACGTAGGAGGAAGAACAACAACATCATGAGCAGTCGATCTGATTTCAAATTATGATATTCTATAAGATACTGCTATAGCTAATAGCTTGAAAACACTAACATAAGATAAATCCATTGCATCTTCCACTGCGTCAATGTCCCTCTAAAAATAACGATCTATCGATCTACTTATGGGCCCCATCAGGTGACACCGCCCTGGAAACCTTAAGTGCACGTGCCACCTACCTGATCTGGAACTTAGGGCATAGGGTCTCCACTAGGGTTGCCCGCTCGCTTAGCCCACCCGCGCAAATTTCGGGCAAACAGTGCTCAGCGCCGTGAATCTCGACGACCAACTCAAAACCGACAACCCTCCCCGTCGCTTCCCCATAACAACATAAATATGGCTGACGCTGCTCCCCGTGGACGTGGTGGTTTCGGTTCGCGCGGCGACCGTGGTGGTGAGCGTGGTGGTGACCGCGGTCGTGGTGGCCGTGGTGGCCGTCGCGGCCGTCGTGGCCCCAAGCAGGAGGAGAAGGAGTGGCAGCCCGTCACCAAGCTCGGCCGTCTCGTCAAGGCCGGCAAGATCACCTCCATGGAGCAGATCTACCTCCACTCTCTGCCCGTCAAGGAGTACCAGATTGTCGACTTCTTCCTGCCCAAGCTCAAGGATGAGGTTATGAAGGTACGGATCGACACACTTTTTCTCAGATTGGAGGATTGAGCGGGACTCGACTGGAATGCGACAATTGAATGCAATTGCGCAGTGCAAGCTCGAGTGGAAAGCGAATATATCGAAAACAGACCAGAAACTAACGTCAATTTCAACATACAGATCAAGCCCGTCCAGAAGCAGACCCGTGCCGGTCAGCGTACCCGTTTCAAGGCCATCGTCCTCATCGGTGACTCCGAGGGCCACATCGGTCTCGGAATCAAGACCTCCAAGGAAGTTGCCACCGCTATCCGTGCCGCTATCACCATCGCCAAGCTCGCCGTCCTCCCCGTCCGTCGCGGTTACTGGGGTACCAACCTTGGTGAGCCTCACTCTCTGCCCGTCAAGCAGAGTGGAAAGTGTGGTTCCGTCTCCGTCCGTGTAAGTTTCTACAATGGTCATTTCTGATCTTCAATTCTGCTTTGGAGGTCAGTGATTTGAAGAGATGGTTTCTAATTAATTGCAGCTCATTCCCGCCCCCCCGCGGTACCGGCCTTGTCGCTTCCCCCGCTGTCAAGCGTCTGCTTCAGCTCGCCGGTGTCCAGGACGCTTACACCTCCTCCTCCGGTTCCACCAAGACCCTCGAGAACACCCTCAAGGCCACCTTCGTCGCTGTCGTCAACACCTACGGTTTCCTTACCCCCAACCTGTGGGCCGAGACTAAGCTCATCCGCAGCCCTCTGGAGGAGTTCGGTGATGTCCTCCGCCAGGGCAAGAAGTACTAGGTTATGGATGATGCATGATTTTTGTTCGACAATTCCAATGGGTTTCTTTTAAAACTTCTCCCTCCGTGCTCGGCGATTAAAAGGTGGTTCGTGTGTGCGAGAGACATCTCTGCGCCGCTCTTGATGTATTTATCATGGGGAGGGACACAAAATAGCGAAGTCCACGGGCCATTTGCCAGCCAGATTGTTCTTTTGAGCAGTAGTTGTATGCAGTAGGGCAGTAGGCTTTTCACTTGATATATAATAAGCTTGGGATGCGACAGTATGCATCAACTTCGCATCCTCGCTATGCAGTGGTACAATATCGTCATAATAGTCTTGTATAAGTTGCCCAAGCAGCTCAATATGCAAACAAGACCTAGCCTGTGGTCAAGTCTGTGGTCTCACCTGTCATTTCGGACTTCAGATTAAAGAATATCTTCATATGGTTATCCTGAATCAATGCTTATATTGACGTGTCATAGCTCAGGTCTATGAAGGGAGATGGCAGGGGCCCACATCTTTGGGGTATACTAGTCTAAATATATATACATATATAATAAGTGAATTTTGCCCTACACATTGTGCCCAGTGTGATAACCGAGTGTGGCTATCTATCATATATAACATCCCATAAAAAAAATATCTAGGCAGTTATCAAGACAAAAGTATTATATATACAAGTATTCTATATGACACCACCTCCAAACGCATACGGATTGCATAGAGCGGTTGTCGAATTAGGCTTAGCTCCTTGTGCGACTCCTTCATCTTCCCATTGTAGTTCAGATCAAAACATCTCTTGCTCTCTTTCACCAAATCTTGTGGAAGTCCTTCAGAAGGTACCTGAGCAAACACCCATCTAATCCGATCTGGATCATCTGCGTGGCCACTACATCATCGCCTCTTCTCAGGGGTATCCCTAGCAAGGTTGTCATAGCGAAAGGGAGAAGAAGATTGGACCAAAGTGGATCTCGAATAGGTACAATCAGGGCAGTCGATCATTGACCAGTAGACCACCCGGCTTGAGTGTCTTGAAGTATCTCTTGATTGTATTGGACCCGGTTTCATCTATCTTGTTAGCTAATCGTCATGCAAAGGCCTACCAGGTGGCTTAGGGGTTCAGCCAGGCGAGAACCTTCTCAGTCAAAGTTGCATTGAATGGAGCCACCTAGGTTGGCTGACCGGATGTCTTTTGCTCTTGCTGCTGCACCATGTTCAATATTGTATGCGGATATCTTTTCTGATCCTAGGACAAGCAAAAGATCGATGACTGGATCTTTGGCCGGGAGACATCTCACCATGTCGGCAATTGAGATACTTGAATGGGCCACCACGCTTGGGCCTACGACGGTATCTCTAGTCTCTGCGTATGTCTCCAATAGCATACGAAGGTGAAAGTCTAATTTCATGGGGGCTGCGAGTCTGATGATTTTGATCCCGTTTGCCGTTTATTCGTTTCGAAATCATGGGCGAAATGGTGTTTTGAGCCAGACTCAGATGTTGGATTCAACTATTAGGACTGGTCCCATTCAGTCCAATGTTTCAGGTATAATAAAGTCATAATTCCGAAGTGCCGATCGTCAGTACTTCTGTAGTCTGCAGTACTTCTGCTAGTACTTTTTTTTGTGGGTAAATCTGTACCCAACCTACCTAGGTAACTCGGTTATACTGTCGGGGGCCGTTGGCTTACGTTGAAACGGGTTGGACGGGGAATTTTGTACTCCGTACCTTTACCCCCACGTCGACTTGCCCATTCAATCAATTAGATACGGTCACGAATATGGCGAAAAAATTGGATATCGCGGTGGTAAGTTTCATAATTCCAGTCAATTGGGCATTCTCACCTCTTTTCTAGGATCCGGATTTCTACTCTATGGTCAATGACTATGGAATAGATCCGCAGGACATTCACTCGTGAGTCCCACTTCGAATCATGTCTGTGGAAGAATGGAAGAATTCTCATTTATCCAGGGATACTACCTCGATCGCATCCTCGATCGCGCGAGGACGACTGGAAAATGGCCGAAGGTCAGTCTATATCCCGTTTCAGATCGCTTCCTAAGATTAACCCAAGTGATAGATACCAGGCCATTAAAGAAGATGACTACTGGTCAGTAGTGATAAAACAACGTTGGATTACATCAAGTAACGAGACCAAGGGGTCCTTCTGATGAGCAGCAATTCGAGGCGTTTGAGATTGGGTAAATCACACCCCTATCACTAGAAGGATTATGGTATTAACAAACCCAGTCATATGGTGTTTCTCGTGCTAGATCACAATCGGCCAAATCCTCTGTTTCGCGCTCCTATCGGCAATTCACCCAAGGTGAATCTATATCGAGGTGATCGCTCAAACGTTCCGCTAATGGCAGTATAGAATATTCTAGACATCGGAACCGGTCAGGGGAGTTGGGCAATGTAAGTCAAGTCCACGAGCAAGCCGTAAGAAAACTGACAAATTATTAGTGACGTTGCCGATCGATTTCCGCTAAGTACTGAATTATTGTTGATCTCAGCTCCTATGATTCTTGACTGAGACAGATTAGCTACCGTCCGCGGAGTGGACATCTTTCCTCCACCTGTATCATGGATGCCCCCGAACTGCATCTTCGAGGTGGATGATGTGCTCCGTGAGTGGACCTGGAGAGAGCCGTTTGACTTCATTCATATGCGTCTAATGTATGGCGCATTCCCTCCCGAGGGATGGGAGAAGCTATACAAACAGGCCTACGAGTGAGTTTCCATCCCAAATTAATTAATCTGAGTCATTGCTTATTTTCAATCTTTTTCTTCCCACAATAGTGCTCTAGAGCCTGGTGGTTGGATCGAACAAATGGAATTAGACGTGCGAGTCTACAGCGATGATGGTACCTTGAAGAAAGAACATCAGCTACATGGATGGGGTGACATGTTCATTAAATGCTCCGAGCAAGCTGGACGGTCACTCAGAACTCATGAAACGATGCGCAGCGCGATCGAGAAAGCTGGATTCATTGATGTGCATGAGGAAAAGTATAAGATTCCCCTGGGACCTTGGGCTAGAGATCCCATACTCAAGGAGGCTGGACATCTTCAGTGGGCCCATTGGAACGCCGCGCTAGAAGGTTGGGCGATGTGGCTTCTCACTCACTTTGGGGAGCCAGAGCCGTGGACAAAGGCCGAGGTTGAGGTATTTCTGGCTAAAGTGCGCACAGAGCTGAATAACCCGCATATTCACGCTTATGAACCTGCGTAAGTATCCTTCCGCGCAGTGGGTATTTATTTTCGTGCTGATCAACTTTCTAGAAACCGCGTGTGGGCAAGAAAACCTACTGTGGAGGAATTGCAAGCGAAAGCGAATATCAAGATTGAGACATTGTGAGGCTGTGAATGTTTTGAATGTGTTTTTTTAGTGTTTACAACGTACAGATTCTATAAGCCAAATGTCCCATTACCAACTGAAATATAGGTCTACATACAAAGTACAATATAGATCGCAAAGGGGGAAATCACAATCTATCGGCCAGATTCAAATATATGATACATCATGATACGGCATTTGCATCTATGCATCTATGCAGCAAGATGCAGCAAAACGCGTAAATGACGCCTGCATTGTGAGAGATCATTCTTGGCAAATTAGGGTTATATCTACAGAATGATAGATCAGATATAGCTTGTTAACTATGGTGTCAAACTTCATCGACTATGGTATCATCTTCATCTTTAGCTTAGAGCTTGCTTTCGTGTTGATTTTCGGTGCTCTATAATCTCCTCCAGTTCAATCCATTACACGTCTAGCTGGGCAGGACATAGAACTATGTCAGCATGGGTATATGTGTCTTCAAATCTCGCACATTGGGCAATGCTAAAAGAAAAGTAGAGATAAAAAAACAAGCCCGAATAACGACCAAGTCTTGTCAAAGATGACCAAGTCTCACTCACGCACCAGATAACCTCGTGATTCTCGCCATTTGAGAGAGCTGGCCCTGATTGCCTGTTCACCACGGCCAGTATCACTCCGGCCGTTATCTTCCGTTACCTTGCTAGCAATTTCGAGGGCAGTTGCTTCATGTACCAAGAGCCTGGTAGACAATACCGTCTGTGCTGGGTAGGAAAAAGCGCTGTGATCTAGCTAGCCCCAAGCAGGTTGCCATTCGGGTGACTTTTACCAGAGAAGAAGGAGGGTTCTCATTCAGTACCAACCCCAATGAAACATGGTGAGCATGGAGAGCAGTTTAGGGAATATCTCCCCAAGCCCTAAGTATCAGGTCGCAATGTGATCATTTAGACATAGAGGCTGTTTGCCGATCTTGACAAAGCAGACTAATAGATTTGAATAGCTGACTCAATAGGAACAATAGTCATGCCTTATTCAATATGTTAGGCTGATGAAATTATACCTCCGCCAAAATATGTTGTATGTTGGCGAGCGCGCAAGTTGAACCGGAACCCTCGATCTCGTTCGACGAAATTTCATGCGAATGGTACCTGCCTGATAAGCCTGTTTATGCGACGAGACAACGCTTGAACGGTTCTCGTGTGAAGTACCTTTCTCTCACCCATCCGACTTGCATCTCTTCTCATCCTCTGCCAACCCCTTCATCGCTTCTTTCATCCATTTTTCTCGTTGTTATCATCCTAATCCATCATGAAGAACTTAGACCAGCATGATACACCTAAGCACGGGGAGACCAGCCTCCTGGGTGAACAGTTCTGGGAAAATGCGACGGGACATGCTCAGCAACTTGCTGCAAGTGAGGGACAAGGTATGCGCTACTTCATATTGGAGCTTTGTGAAAGCCCAAACATATATACATAGTGCTTATTGAGATCTACTTTGTGCTGACGTGCATCATCATTTAGCCCTAATCACGAGACCAACTGGTCAATTGCCTCGGAGCTCTGCTCAGTCGCCTTCCAAGAATCTTGTTCAGACTACAGTCACGAGCTCTTCTGAGAAGGGTTCAAAGAATAGTCATTTCCAACTCTCTCAGCTTGCTTCCTTCAATAGTCTCCGACTCCGAAGTATCGTTCATCCCTCCCCGGCAGGGACTGATACCACAACATCACCAACAAAGAGTCAGAAGAGTCCAAAGAAAGGTAGCTTACATCTTCCAAAACTGCCTTCATTCAAGACTCTCAGTCTCAAGCGCCGTGGGCCCATCCTCGCGTCGACTTCAGGAATTGTTCAAGTCGAGAAGACTACTCGTCCATCCATCCTATCTCCTTCCACTTTCCTCCCTCTTGAACCTCCTAAATCCCCTATTCCTCCCATCCCCAAAGCTCCCCGTCCTGCTTTTCGTTCCCTATACAGAGGACCTTCTGCTACCTACATGGATATTGCACCCCCAACCACCTCTGACAGTGTGCCACCTTCTACCACTGTGGCTCCTGGTTATCTTAGCAGAGCCAGCTTTCAAGAATGGCTCGATCGAGAGAGCGATACTCAACCCGAAATTGAGACACCTCCTCACTCAACCCACAGTTCTCGTATCAGCTTGATGGCCTGTCTCAATAAGGGCGGCTCATGGGATAACATCCCCCGTACCAAGTCGGTCCTGAAACTCAACATGTTTTTCGATGCTATCAAGGTCCACCCCAAAAATCCTGTTGATCTCGATGATGACCAGACTACTGAGAAGGGTGCCATGACTGACAAAGTCACTATGGTCGACAAGGCCACCATGACCAACTTCGACAACGAGGGCTCCGCAACCGACCCCACATCTCCCACCACCAACACCACCACCATGGTCGGCGGTGCCATCGATACCTTCTATGAGACTGCCACGGATGACCAGGAAACTGACCACTCTGCGGAGGAGCCAGAGGATGAGATCGTCATCACAATTCTCTCGCTGGAGCAGGTGCGGCCTTTGGGCGAGTTTCGCAACCTGCGTGTGTTGAAGTTGACTGGTATGATGAAGTCATACCAGCCCATCATCTGGCAAACTGTGTGGGTCAACCCTCAACTGACCATCCTGGAGTTGGAGATGGCAGTTGGCTTGGAGATTAACAAGCCACTTGGCCCAAGTGAATGGAAGGCCATCGAAAAGGGATGGGTGATGAGCGTCAAGTCCTGTGCCACGCCCGTGTACTAGTAAGTTTTGTACCAACTGAGAGTTATATGAGACCAAGGTGAAAGATGCTAACCGGAGAGATTTGTAGTGGTTACAATGGCAACGGAGAGATCTGGCACCGAATTGGGTACGGCGAGTACCTTGACAAGTTCTGCATCGAGAGGGCAAAGGTGGTTGCCCTGAGCTCTGGTTTCCCTGTCCCCTCCTACCTCCCGGTCAAGTATCTCACCTTGACCGGCTTCGCTGTGGACGGAGACCCCTTCGGAGTGTGGTTCCGGAACCTCGAAGAGGTTCACTTCAAGAAGGACTGCATCGACTGCGGTTTCTGGCTGTCTCGCGCCCAGCGAAACGTTCGAGTTCGTCACTCGAACGAGTACGGAGTGGCTCGGGGTGCGGACGGGCCCTCCGAGGCTGGCTCAATCGTAGAGCTCGGTGAAGAGGCGCTGGCTGAGCTCACCGCCGCGGTGAAAGGCCTGGGGGTCTTGAGGAAGTGAACACGCCGTGTCTGTGTCCTCCGGCGGCGGCACCCTCGCTGGAGCCTTCTCCAAGAGGCTCTGGTGGGCGTGCAGCCATGGAAATATCATATTCAGTCATGTACGAGTAAACATTAAAAACGTAAAAAAAAAAAAAAAAAACCATTGTTCAAGTCATTCTTGGTTCTTATGTAGAGTACTGAAATAGATAGAATAGATGTAGATAGTAGTAGATAATAGTAGGGCCAAGTATCATCGTGTTCATACTTTACCACGCAAATCAAACCTCAGATAAAACGGGGAGAGAAAGGTGAAACTGACCCGCAAGTGAGAGAAATCTGAACGTCAACAAAAAGAGGGTATTCCGTATCACCTGGATTTTATCCGAACATAAAGTGAAAAGTCATTCCCTTACGCACCCTCTTCATCAGCGATACGGATAGCGCCCTCATTGCCGACACCATGCGACCAGAACCCTTCCATGTAAAGAGCACTGTAGCAATTAGCACGTTATCCCATACAGATGTTCAGGTAAGACCTTACATTCCAGTAGCGCTGTCATGAGCCAACAGAAGCCAGTACCCAAGGACACCTTGCGTAAAGACATCCTGTATAGCGAAGAGGACGGTCTCTATATCAACGCTGATCTTAAGCGCAAGAGCACCAGCCGCGAGGGAACTGTCTATCATTAGCACTCCTGTCGAACCGACACGAGAACGCTCCGGATGTATGACTCACATAGGGAACAGCGCTAGCATGGCAATCGCAGACCCAGAAATAGACCCAAAGAACCGTCTTGTCTGAGCATCCTTGCCCTTCGCCGCTCGCTGCGCGTGGAAGCCTACATGGTGGATCACAACCAGGTAGGAAATACAGGAGAGGGTCAGCCAGATCCAGCGTGCGCGGCTGTGACCTGCAAATATGCCAAATAGGGCTGTTGCTAGCATGATCAAGTGGGCGACAATGCCGATGAGTAGATTTGCTCCTGGTAGTCCGGATAGAAGGGCAAAGTTGATAAACAGAAGGGGTGTCGTTAATGCCCAGTTTACATAGCGCAGCCAAAGGACCTGGCGGATATAGTCTGTGTGTGTATCTGGAACATGCTTGTGGGGTTCGGTGACTGTGGCATGTTTGGTTGTTATACCTTGGCCCGTGGAAAGGGCTAGGTAGATTATGAAGGAGATAGTGGTTATTAGGGAGGTGAGAATGTGGAAGATTCGTTTAGGCTGGGTAGATGTTAGAATATGTATAGATCATAGGGAGGTTCTAGACTGACCAGAGGAGCGCGTGCAGCCAGAGTATAGAACACTAGCGAGGAGATGCCCATCAACACAGTTACAACCCTGTTTGATGTTAAAATAGATATTATATTGACATATTAAACCCGACATACCATAGAGTCCGCTTGCCCACATCATGAAGTTCCTGGTAGACCTCAGATCCCGGAATGACAGTGGGAATAGGCGCCACCGAGGAGGTCGTGGCGGGTGCTGTTGGAGTACCAAAGTGATCAAATTGAGGAATCATACTGAATTTTAGAAGAATCTGAGTCAGAGAAGAGGAAAAGAGGGAAAATGCAAGGTTATAAAAGGAGATCAAAGCAGGATTTTGGATGATTGGAATGACCGTCATTGACAGAAATCCTGTCGTCATAGCCTATAACCGTACATGAACTTCACATGGATACATAGATTTCATGTATTCATTAGATTTCATATATTCATACCCTGTAATAATTGTAGACATGGGTTCATATGCTCTTTTCAGTTGGGTTTATAATTTCAAATATTTTGATGTGATACATCTTGGTTGCACTGTAGTTGGTAAATTGACTGTTCTGTCCAATCACCTGCGTTGGATATAAATACATATAAGTATACAGACTTGTACAGTGATCTAGGCGTTTGCCTGTATCACCGTATCACACCGGTCGCAGATCGCATTTTCCATCGCTGGCTCCGGAATAGCGTACCGCCAGCACCGTGGGCACTTGGAAGCCTGTGGCGCGTACACATACACTTTGCCTGGCTGACCACCAAGCTCAAATGTCTCCTCATATTGCCATTCCGCATTGCTCATGTCAGTCGGGAGAGCTTCACCGTGAGAAAGGGTGATGGAAGACACAACAAAGAGATCAGGAAGCTCTGACAGATACTGCTGGAATAATCCAGAGTTCTCGGGGAGCACCATGTGGACAAAGGATTGCAGGGAGGAGCCAAGTTGCTTTTTACTACGGGCCTGCTCCTGCAAGTTCTTGATGGCGGAGTGAACCACCGTCAGCTCCTGGTAGCTGGTGTCCAGGGCCAAATCCTGCCAGTCCGGAGCCGGGGCGGAAATAATACGCTGCAGGGGGTGCTTAGATTGAGTGCGGATAGACTCGGGAGTATGTTCCCAAGTTTCTTCCACAAGCACTGGTGTGATGGGAGCCAACACCTCTTGAAGATGATTGTAAATGTAGAACAAGGTCGTTTGCGCAGCCCGGCGACTTGTGCTGTCCTCACCAAGGGTGTACAGTCGGTCCTTGATCGCCTCCATATAGAAAGCAGAAAACTCGAGGTTGGCCCACCGGTTCATCGTGCTCACAGCCTTGTAGAACTCAAAGTTGTCACATGCCTTCTGAGACGTGAGCACCATATCTGAGAGGTGCTTGAGTGCAATTCGATCAACAAGCTGCAGTTGCCCGTAAGGGACAACGTTCTCTGGAGAGAAATCGGCAAGGGCACCTAGCAGTAACTTGAAGGTGACACGGAACTTATGAAGACTGGTATTGACGGTCTGGAGTACCTGTTTTCCAATCACCACGTCGCGCGTGTAGTCACTGCTCGCTGCCCACATACGAAGTGCATCCGGGCCAAGAGCGTCGTACACGGGTTCTTGGTTCTCGGGTTGCTTCTTTCCTTTGCCTTTGCGGGGTTTGAGAGGAGGCAGCAGAGTTCCATCCATAATAGTCTGCGGGTGGATCACATTGCCAATGGACTTGCTCATTTTCCGCCCATGTTCATCCAGGGTGAAACCGTGGGTGATGAGGTTCTTGAATGGTGCACGAGGCGTTGGGAATTGATTTGAGCCGAGCTGGTGTGAGATATAAGTGAGAAGCCCGGACTGGAACCAACCACGATGCTGATCGGTACCTTCGAGATACACGTCGGCTGGATGACTCCGTCCTTCGATAGGCACATCGATCTCTGCCCAGCTGGTACCACTGTCAAACCAAACGTCCATAGTGTCTGTTCCACGTCGATACCCCGCTCCGGTCTCGTCTCGCAATGACGGAGGAATCCATGCAGCATCATCCGCACTATCGGTCCACCAAGCATCGATTCCCCGCTCTTCGATGGTAGTCATGATATGGGAAACACTATCTTTAGTCAAAACGGCCTCCCCAGTGATCCGGTGATAGATTGCAGGAATCGGAACACCCCACGCGCGCTGGCGCGAGATACACCATTCACTGCGGTTTTTTACAAAGTTCTCAAGTCGCTGCTTTCCAGTCTCGGGGACGAAACGGACGTCTTCCAAAGCTCGAAGAGCACTGCTGCGGATATCGGCAACATCGGCAAACCATTGCTCCGTTGCCCGAACAATGATCGGGAGCTTTGAGCGCCAGTCGTAAGGGTACTTGTGCTCATACTTGTGTTGAGCAAGCAACTGATCACACGATTCGACCCATTCCAATACTGCGGTGTTACCTTCGCCCAAGACAGCCTTTCCGGATAAACGTGTGGGATCGAGGGGCATGGCTTTATCCGTGAATTTGCCCTCGTCGTTGACGGGAGCGAACACAGGAATGCCACGTGCAAGACATGCTTCGTAGTCGTCCATTCCGTGACCAGGCGCGCAATGAACCATGCCAGAGCCAGAATCGGCAGTAACAAAGTTCGCAGCGAAGATGGGCTGTGGCGGAGCTTCCGGTCCTTTGAATAGAGGTCGATACGTAGTTTGTTCAGCCAGCTCGGACCCCAAAATAGACGGCACAATGATAGACAGTTCTTCTTTCAGCATATTTTGGAGGTACTCAAACCGCGATTGAGCGATAAGAAGATGGCCATGTTTTTCCGACAAGACAATAGTGTATTCCAAAGACTCGCTGACTGCAATGGCAGCATTGGCAGGCAGCGTCCAGGGGGTAGTGGTCCAAATCACAGCACTTACATCCTTTTCACGGAGAAGCGGATTTTGGGAGAGATGCGTAGGGATATCAACAAGAGGGAATTTGACTAGGGCGGCGGTCGAGATATGATCATCCTTGTATTCCAGTTCTGCTTCCGCAAGAGCGGTACCGGTTGAAGGCGACCAGTAAACTGGCTTAAACTTCCGGTAGATAAGCCCCCGGTCCACCATTTCCCGGAAGATACCCAACTGGCGCATCTCGAATTGTTTGTCCATGGTCTTCCAGTGGTTCTCCCAGTCAGCCATGATCGCGAAGCCACGGAACCCTTGCATCTGCTCCTTCACGGTTTGTCTTGCCAATTTCCGCGCGGCCGGGCGAATGACTGCCGCGCCGACCGATCCACCTGCGATGTTTTTATCGCGAAGACCTTGGAGCGCCTTAAGCTCGATCGGAAGTCCGTGGCAGTCCCAGCCTGGCACGTACCGCACTCTCTTCCCGCGACCCAATTGTACGCGACAGATGATATCCTTCAGGATCTTGTTGAGTGCATGTCCGACGTGGAGGTCGCCGTTCGCATATGGTGGACCATCATGCAGGACGAATGGCTGCTCGGCGGGCCTTTCGCGGCGTTGCCAGGCGTAGAGATCATCGGTGCATCGTTTAAGGTATTTTGTCCGATCGACAGGCGATACGCGTGGAGGGAACGAGGATTTAGGAAGTTTTAATGTCGAGGTCCATGAGCGAGGAATTGACCGCGCCAATTCCGGCATTGTCCAGCATATCCTAAAGAAATAAGTCGAAGGGAAGTCCGGGAAGAGCAGGGTCTTGGCGGACAAAACATGGTATTGTCCAAAAGGGGTTTAGACTCCGCCCGGACTGGTGATGCTACCTAGCCCTGAAGGCACCCCTGAAGGTGACGGTGATGATGCCGATGACTCATGGCTTCTATCACATAGGACTAGTCCGTATCTAGTGTCCACATTTCCTAGGGAATTTTGAGAGAAAAAAACACATGCAAAATTGCGCTAAATGGTGTCGGGGCCCGCGGACACCGAGCTACTTTATAGCCTCTTGGCCGAGACCCGCCAAGTATAATCATGAGGAGCATAAAGGAGCGAGAGATCTCGATTTCTGGCTCATAGCATTCTCTGTTTGATTCTAAACATCGTGTATTGAGACACGTCTGGGTGGAGCAAAGCCCATCTTGACTCTATGCCCTGCTCAGTGAAGTGAAACTAATCTCTACAATGGGGAAAGAATCTGAGAAAGAGAAAATTCATGACCAGGAGCCTGCGAAAGAAATAAGTGCATTTGATGGTTATGTGGTAGGAGCACTCCCTCGCATCGCAGACTAATAGTCTAACACTAATCAGAGGATCTTTCAATATGGCTCGTCCAAGGAGTATACCATGCAAGCTATTGCCACTGCCTGTGCGCTGGGATCTGGTGTGGGCATGGCTCTTGTGAACCTGGTGCTTGGACAGTTCATCACACTCACCACCGACTACTCGTTGGGGAATACGGTTCCTTCGAAGTTCCGAAGTGAGGCCGGCAGACTTAGGTATGTATGAGGAGCTCAATATGGATAGACAGAATCAACTAATATGAGATTAGTCTCTACTTCTTCGTCATTGGCCTCTGCCGATTCTTCCTCACTTATGGATATAGCACACTGTATACATTTGCCGCATACCGCATCATACGAAATATTCGTCGCCAGTACCTAAAAGCAGGACTGAGCCAGGAAATTGCCTTTTTCGATGGTGGAACAAGCGGATCGATTGCAATGCAAGCTACTTCAAACGGACGGCTGATCCAAGGTGGAACATCGGAAAAGTTAGGGCTTGTCGTCCAGGGCCTGTCCGCTTTTATCTCGGCCTTCGTACTGGCCTTCGTCACTCAATGGAAGCTAACTCTTATTTGCTGTTGTATTGCCCCAGCAATGCTTCTGGCTGGGGGCATCAGCGCCACTATTGAAGCTTCGATTGAAACAAAAGTCCTCAAAGTTCAGGCCCAGGCTGGAGCTTTTGCAGAGAGTATTTTTTCTAGCTCTCGAACGGTACAGGCTTTCGGGCTTCGAAAGCACTTGCTACGTGACTTTGACAAGTTCTTGCAAGCTTCAAGAAAGCTTGGAAATAAGAAATCCCCTCTTTTTGGCCTCCTGTTTGCCACAGAGTACACCATCATATTTGCAGGGTTTGGTTTGTGTTTCTGGCAGGGCATAAGAATGATATCGACCGGGGAGGTAGAGGAAGCTGGAGATGTTTTCATGTTTGTTCAGTCTTGATTCTTGCATGACTGAGAATGCTAATCATAAAAATCGCAGTGTGCTCATGTCCGTGATCGTGGCTGCTACAAGCATGACCACTATAATGCCTTATCTGATTGACTTTGTCCGCGCTGCCTCTGCAGCGTCAGAGCTATTCCGGCTCATTGACCGAGAGTCGAATATCGATCCGTTCAACGAGTGCGGAGGAAAACCGACAAATGTGATGGGCTATCTTGATTTTAGTAACGTCACGTTTGCTTACCCTACGCGCCCTGATGTCAATGTGTTGGATGACTTCTCATTGCACATCCCTGCTGGGAAGACAACTGCACTCGTCGGAGCAAGCGGTTCTGGAAAGAGCACTATCGTCGGAATGATCGAACGATGGTATAACCCTTTGTCAGGAACAATCAAGCTTGATGGTCAGCCTGTCGAGCAGTTCAACTTGAAATGGCTACGCCAGCAGGTGAGGCTTGTTCAACAGGAGCCTGTTTTATTCGCCGGCTCCGTCGCTGAAAATATCGCCAATGGTCTTGTGGGTACACCGTGGGAGAGTGAGCCCCCGATTGAAAAGCTGGCCCGGATACAGGAAGCTGCTAAAGTAGCTTTTGCTCATGATTTCATCACCGAACTTCCCAACGGATATGACACTGTCATTGGGGAGAGGGGTGGCCTATTGTCCGGCGGTCAAAAGCAACGGGTTGCAATTGCGCGCAGCATTGTTTCCCAGCCGCGAATTCTCCTTCTAGATGAGGCAACAAGTGCACTTGATCCTCATGCCGAGGAACTCGTTCAACGAGCACTTAATAATGTTTCAAAGGGACGCACAACCATCACCATCGCACACAAACTAGCGACTATCAGAGATGCTGACAATATTGTTGTCATGGAAAATGGGCGTATTCTAGAGCAAGGTACGCATAAGGCCCTTTTACAATTGAATGGCGCCTACGCACGACTAGTACGAGCTCAGGATTTGTCTGTGGTCACGCAGCATCCCGAAGATGTCTCAACTAGCCCGGATGAGATAGACAAAGAAGACCATGTTGCATTGACTAGTGAATTGACCCAATACTCAACTATGACGAGATCAGCTCTAGAGAAGCAGTTGAGTCGGGATGATTTTGATAAATGGGAAAGATTAGGGCTTCTCCACACGGTGTGGCGATTGATCAAATCAACCCCAGAGCTCAATGGGACTTTCACTGTTCTGATTATAGTTTGTTTTGCAGGAGGTGAGACACACTTCGATTTCAATACTCGCAGCTTGAAACTGATCAAAATTTAGCGGCTTCATTTCCCGGTCAAGCTATTTTGATGTCCAAGTTTATCAACGTATTTCAGTTCACAGGTGCAGCTATGCGAACGAAAGGGAACTTTTTCGCTCTTATGTTCTTAGTTCTTGGACTTGGATCTTTCGTTGTCTACTTTGTGATGGGTTGGACATCAAACATTGTGGCGCAGGTAAATCTCGTTCGGTGAAATATGAGTATATCTTGATTTAGCTAACATGTCAAGACAATGAACCACAAATACCGAAAGCAGATTGTCAACGACACTATGAAGCAGGACTTGCAATTCTTTGATCGCACGGAGAACACTACAGGGGCACTCACCAGTCGTGCCGACTCTTATCCACAGGCTATGTTTGAGCTCATGGGCTTCAACATTGCTCTGATACTGGTTGCAACAACTGGTGTGCTATCATGCTCCATCCTGTCAATTGTATATGCATGGAAGCTTGGCCTTGTGATTGTATTAGCAGGCCTTCCACCCATGCTTCTTTCTGGTTATGCTCGTATCAGAATGGAGGCTGCACTGGATCACAGAATTTCGAAATTATTTTCCCAGAGTGCATCCATTGCCTCAGAGGCCGTGAATGCTATTCGGACGGTGTCTTCTTTGGCGATCGAAACGTCTGTTTTGGAGCAGTACACCCAGGAGCTTGACCGGGCAATTGCGACGTCCACGAAGCCATTGCTTTTCATCATGCTTCCTTTTGCATTCACTCAGACTGTTGAATACTCGTTCCTGGCACTTGGCTTCTGGTATGTTTATCCAGTGACATTGTTCTAGTTGAGCTTTCAGCCCTATCATGACTCGATGCTAACATTCGGCTCTTTTGAACATAGGTATGGATGCCGGCTTGTCTCATTCGGAGATTTGAGCGAGGTTAATTTCTACATCAGTTTCTTGAGTGTGTTCTTTTCCGGTCAGCAAGCTTCAATTCTTTTTGGATTTTCAAGCAGTAAGTTGCATCCCAAACCTGTGTGGGAGTGAAAAGCAGGTTGTTAACAGCCGTCCAGGCATGACAAAGGCAACCCATGCGGCCAACTACATATTTTGGCTTGAAGAATTGCAGCCCACTATTCGAGACACCGAAGAAAACCTCCACATTGGCCCTGGTGACTTCGGGTCCCTACATATGGAAAGCCTGCAATTCTCTTACCCGATGAGACCTCATGCTCGCGTACTACGCGGCATTGACCTTCACGTATGTCTGCCCAAGATGTGTTCATTTGTTATCTCTATTCTTGTTCTTTGGTCTATCGAGCCCATGCCATCATGCATGTCATTCTTCAATACTGATACGGTGTGCAGATCAAAAAAGGCCAATTTGTCGCATTCGTCGGCGCATCTGGCTGTGGAAAAAGTACTATGATCAGCATGCTCGAACGCTTTTACGACCCAGTGGCCGGCCACATAAAAGTTGATGCTCTTACATTGGACCGTATGAATCCATGGCTGTACCGAGGCCAAGTGGCACTTGTTCAGCAAGAGCCCACCCTCTATCCGGGAACCATTCGCGAAAACGTCTCCATGGGCACACCAACTGATTGCGCGTCAATGGTTCCTGACAGTGACATTGAGGCTGCCTGTCGGGCCGCCAACGTTTGGGAATTTATCTCTTCTCTGCCTGATGGCCTTATGACTCTATGTGGAAACAACGGGACACAGCTTTCTGGCGGGCAACGTCAACGCATCGCCATTGCCAGAGCATTGCTTCGAAATCCAAATTTACTTCTCTTAGATGAAGCAACAAGCGCATTGGACACTCAGTCGGAGAGAATCGTCCAAGATGCACTGAATGAGGCGGCTTCCCAGGGGGATAGAATCACGATTGCGGTTGCCCATCGCTTGTCGACTATTCGCCACGCGGATATGATTTGCGTGTTTGATGGGGGCAAGATCGCCGAGTCTGGAACTCATGAGGAACTACTAGGAAAAGGTCGACTCTATCCGAATATGTGCGAGGCTCAAAACCTAGACATTTGAGCGGGTGAAGAGTCATATCCTTTGTGTCTTCAGGGTTATAAATCGTCATCTACGAAGGTACATCAAGATAAGTCGAGGTGGTGATGGAACGCCTATGATAGAGTAATGCATATAGATCCCCATGTAATTAAATGGAAGCAAATACATATTAACAGCCATATCTCAGTCTCCGATATCTTCATAACTCTTGGCTTCAACAACTTGTCCATGCCTTAAATCACGAGAGTCATTTCCGTTCCATCTTCCTTTGTCTCACCTCTTACTATCAATATTCTTCCTTCCTCTCCGGCTTTTTCATGACTATAATATAAAACCCCAGCTTCCCAACACTAGTATGAGCTCCCATACAGATAGGCTATAGCCTAGCTTCTCTTAGTGTCGAGATGAGCCTAGAAGTAGCTCAGCTGATCTGACCATTTCGATATGCAACTTCCTCACTCGCGCTATACTCCCTGTAATGCCTCATCAAATGACTGCCTGTCTTTACCGGATTTCTAAGTTGGGTCGGTAAGCTCAGAAATACTATATACGCCTCTCTAGTCGATCATCCCGTTGCGTCGAAACCATTCTTATCTACTATAATCTTACTATAAGGAAATTCATCATATGTGTTACAAAAATCGCTATATACAGTTTCCTATTTAAGAATGCAAGAGTAGACAGCCGCGTATGCGGCATGATATCCTACAGGTATATTCAAAGCTCTTCTCAGAGCTCTTTTCAGCGAGCTTCTTAGATATCTTCAAACCCGCCTTTCCAGTGCTATTGGGTAGACTGTAGAAAAAGGCGGGAAAAGCATACTCTGTGCAAGCGACTTTTCTGTGTATAACTTCTGACCTAGTCAGGATTATTACGATTCATGATGTATTCAAATATGGGTAAAAGGAGCTGGGATAATCTCAAATCAGTACACTGTCAAACAACTCACGGCGCCATTCTTAAGAACTTCAAATAAAAGCCCCGGGAACCCAAAAAGCTCGGTATTGCCTAATCCCCCATCCTGGTCATCGGCACCATTCCGAGGACCTTTCGCTGTGCTCTCCTCCCAGCCTCCGAGGAACTCAACACTACTCTCAGGACTATCTCCCCAGCCACGGTTCAGCACCATTGGCCGTTGCAGCGCACGCTCCTCGGCGGGGCTGGCGTAAGATCCTTTCCAAGTGGCACGCAGGCGTTCTGAGACTTCATCATAGGGCGATTCCGAAGTCAGACAGTCGCCAGATTCATCCAAATAAATCAGCCAACGACTTCGGCGATGACGATTAAATGGATAAGAACCTGGGACATTCCCATGAAGAATAATCTTCGTTACTGCTAGCTGGGAAGGTGCTGGCTGAGGCGATGAATCTGGAAGGCCTGAGGCAGGGAAAGCTGGTCCAGGTGTTGTTGGATACGAAATGAAGGCATCGAAACCATGATGGAAGTAATTCATAAAGCACTCTGCGGGCAGTGAGGTGGGGTCTCCAATATTGAAGGGAGCCATCTCTTCGTCAGAATCATCAGTTACGCTGTTAGTGGATGAATGATCGGCGTCCGGAATCTCGATTCCTCTGCCTGGGGAGGGACTCAGATGCAGGTCCCCGCCCCCGGTTGCACGATGAATCGAGATTCGGCGGTCGTGCTTACGATAGATTGCGTCGGGTGGGCCGAAATCCGCAATCAAGTCCTGGGGAGTCGTCTCCCCTAGTGTTATATACAAGGAAGAACTCGTCCTGCGTGTCACTTCAAGTTTCCCAGCCCCGAGGACATGCCACTCCTCGATTTCGTCCGCGAGCGATTCTCGGGATTTGCCAATCAAAGCCGACGAGCGGGGGTACTGTGCCTGTTGTGTGAACAACTTGGCTCGGACCTCAGGCCATGATGACCCTTGGAAGACTGACATAGATGTGGCCGGGAGGGCAGCTGATGAGGATAACAACGCTACAAAATCACACTGATCGGACCAGGCTGAGTGCTGAAGGGGAAAGGAGAATGCAACCCCGGGATACGAGAGCACATAGGTACCATATGGTGACTGCGGATCTGTCGGTGGTACATATTCACCTGGGTATGAGGGACCAAACAAGCGATTGTAGATATGCCGGAAGCTAGGGCCGTGCAAAGATAAGGGCTGTTCTGCCGACTTCCCACCTTTGAGCACCTCCTGGTTCTTGTATACCAGGTTGACTCGAGAAAAGTCGAGAACTTCAATCAAGCGGAGCCTCTGGTCAGGGCCATCAAATCGGAGGCGCAAACCATTTGAAGGCAACTGCAATACCACTGGTTTGCGAAGCGGGTCTGCGGGGGAGTAGGCTAGGTCGATGACGGGGTAGGTTTGGGGATAGGACTTGACACGGGTGAGAACATTATGGAGCGAAGCTCCCAAGGCTTCCACAGTATCAGCGATCGCCACTGGAAAGGTTATGAGGCTAGACAAGGAGACATACTAATAAACCCGATTCCTTTCCCAGGAAAGATTTGTGCCTGCGTTGGGGAAGTAGAAGTTGTCATAGTGGTCTATCTGTTTTCATGGACCCGAGTATGGATGAGAGTCCATGCGATAGTCGAGCTGTGCTTGTTAGTTCAAAAGGGGAGGCTCCGAAGATGTAAGGGATGTCCACATGGTATGAGGGGGAAGAGCGATAAGGACGATGACGATAACGCAGTCATGTGAGAGGGGAACATGACTAGATTATGTAAGCCTTTTGTTTATGTTTTCCCGTTTGAGACAACGCTCCATTTACACGCTAGAAAGACTCCCGGCAGAGGTGAAAAGGTCAAAACAACTGACAAACTAACCATCAAATATTATTGCAAAGGAATACCACAATCACTCTTCGGGTGTCGCATTGTCAATATGGTTGGCCCACCAAGGCCCCCGTCCACCCTCCCCACAACGAGGAGGTCCGGTTTGCGCCAACCAGTTCGACGAGCGGGCTCTGCAGTCCCCGAACGCCATGCACCTCCTGGAGTGTCTACACCGCCAGTAAGGTCATCTGCGATGAGTGCTGCCCGAGCGGCAAGGAGCCCTGAAAAACCGAGCGTTGCGAATAAGAGGAAGGAGAAGGATTTTGAACAGGAGATCAACGAGGACACAAGTATTCACGTGGTGGTCCGCTGTCGCGGCCGCAGTGATCGGGAGATTAAAGAGAATAATGGTGTAGTCTTGTCAACACCAGAAGGTGTGAAAGGCAAAACCCTCGATCTCTCGATGGGACCGAACGCAGTTTCAAACAAGACGTATGCTTTCGACAAGGTCTTCTCCCCGGCCGCTGATCAAACGACTGTCTATGAGGATGTAGTCGCGCCAGTTCTCGACGAAGTTAGTATCGCACCGCTCATGAAATCAAATATCCGCGCTAATTCCTTACAGATGCTGGCAGGTTACAATTGCACAATCTTCGCGTACGGACAGACTGGAACAGGAAAAACATACACCATGTCAGGAGACATGACCGACACATTGGGTATCCTCTCCGATGATGCAGGGATCATTCCACGCACCCTTTACGCCCTATTTCACAAGCTCGAGGACACGGAAAGCACAGTGAAATGCTCTTTCATCGAACTTTATAATGAGGAACTCCGGGATCTTTTGTCATACGATGATAGCACCAAGCTCAAGATTTTCGAAAATGAGAAAAAGGGAGGACACAGCACAATGGTTCAGGGCATGGAAGAGACCTACATCGACTCTGCGTCCACCGGAATCAGGTTACTTCAAACGGGCAGCCATAAACGCCAAGTGGCAGCGACAAAATGCAATGACCTAAGTTCTCGAAGTCACACAGTCTTCACCATCACCGTTCTTACAAAACGCACGACCGAATCTGGCGAGGATTATGTTAGCTCGGGCAAGTTAAACCTGGTTGATCTCGCGGGTAGTGAAAACATCGGACGCAGCGGTGCTGAGAATAAACGCGCAACGGAGGCGGGTCTCATCAACAAGAGTCTCCTTACACTTGGGAGAGTAATCAACGCTCTGGTAGATAAGAGCTCACACATCCCTTACCGCGAATCAAAACTCACAAGACTACTACAAGACTCACTTGGAGGGCGGACAAAAACATGTATCATCGCCACTGTTTCGCCTGCCCGCAACAACCTAGAGGAGACAATATCGACCCTTGATTATGCCTTCCGAGCCAAGAACATTCGCAACAAACCCCAGATCAACTCCATCATCTCCAAAACCAAGCTTCTGCGAGATATCGGGTTGGAAATCGAAAAACTCAAGAGCGAGCTCATTGCCACCCGGCATCGCAATGGTGTCTATATGACGCCTGATGCGTATGAGGAAATGAGGATGGAAAGTGAATCGCGGCGAATAGTCAACGAAGAACAGCGTGCCAAGATCGAGTCGATGGAGGCGAGCCTTCGACACAAGGTTCAAGAGCTACTTTCTATCACGGGCAACTTCAACTCATTGAAGCATGATAATGAGGAGACTGAATCCAAACTCAAAGAAACGCGCGATATTCTCAATGAAACAGAGAGGTTCTGGAAGGATACGCAGGAAAAGTTGGACGAGGAGAAGATTGTGCGGAAGGCCCATGAGAATACGGAAAAGCAACTTCGTCAAATTGGTGCCGGCCTAGTTAACACTTTAAATGGTACCATTCAAGACGTGAATGGGCTACATGCGAAATTGAATCGCAAAGATAACTTGGAGACTGATAATCGGCAAACCTGGCAGACCTCAACTGGCGAGGTATCACACGTCACACAACAGGTCGATGCTCGCATGCAAATCTTCCAGACGCAGCATGCGAAGCTGCTAGAGAATATGTCCGGCAAAATTCACCAATTTGTGGATCATGAACTAGACACTGTGCAGTCTACCCGCTCCCAACTTAAGGATCTTGATACCTCCTTTGACAAGGTCGAGGCAGAGGCGAAAAACAACACCTCTACTGCCCACAATGAGATGAATGAAGTACTCGAAGAGATCAAGGTTCTTCGAGAAGAAGTTAAGTCCAAAGTTGGAGAAGGCCTAAATGGCTTGTCGGCTGCCGCTGCGCGCATCTCTGAAGAGGTCATCGGGGAGTTCTCAGAGTTCCATTCCCAACTTCACTCGTCATACAGCACACTCGGCAAAGACTTCAAGGCCATGTTTGAGGACATGGAAAAGCACCTCAAGGAACAGAAATCCGAAGTCCATAAACTACGTCTCGAGCTGCAGGCAGCTAATCGCCAGACGGTGGACGCCAATAGAAGGGCCTCGTCCAATCTAGCACAGATTCTGCAAGAGGAACATGCGAGTGCACAAGCTGAGCGTGAAACTCTTATGTCTCACATCCGAGGACTCCTTGAGGACTCAAATCATAAACAGAACAACCGCCTCAAGGGGAAATTTGATGCCCTTCGCACTGACATGTCAGCATCAGGCGACTCTCTTGAGCAAGCCACTGCGCAGCACGACAGACACATTGATGAGTGGATCTTCAAGGAGGAACAGTTTGCCAAAGACATTACTGCGTCCAAGGATGAAATCAAGACCAGGATGCAGAATGATTGGGAGGTAAGACCAATTGACATTTTTGGGTCGTGAAATGAAACTAATTACAATAGACTTTTGACCAGCGCAATGCCTCGATTCATCGGGCAACGGAGTCTGTGCATCAAGAGACTGTGCGCATCGTTGATGCTCAAATGAGCGACATGGGCACACAAATGGAGGCTTTGGATGACTTCGTTGCCAAAGCACGATCTCAGAATGGCCGCTTCCATGAATCGCATCTAGGCAGCTTGAATGCGATGGCTGATAATGTCCGACAGTCCCGCTCAAACATTTATGGGCAACTCGGTGGGCTCACTGGACGTGTCGAGCAATTCCAGAGCGATGTCAATATGCATACCAAGAACCTTGGACAAATTACTGCATCTCTACACGCTGAAGTCCGCCGACCACTTGCAGAAATGCTAATCAACATCCATAATCACCCTCTGAAAGAGTACGTACCGACAGGTATAACCCCCCCAGAAACGACGATACGAATATCCTTCGGAAATGCCCCAAACGGAAGCTCACGATGGTCTTCGCACTCGACACCGAACATCCAAGCAGCTTACTGCTCTGCCATTCAGTGAGGAGGAAGAACTGGATTCCCCTGCTCCCTCTTCGCCCCATGTGGCAGAGTCAACCCCCAAGAAATTCGTTTATCATGATACCCCGGAAGAGGTAGGCCACTCTCTTCCGTCGTCCGCAGCTCCACTTTCCAACACTGGCCTTAGAGAAGTCGACATAAACGTCGCCAGACCGGTCGTGTCTGACGGTGACGATGTATTACCTCCCAACAAGCCGGAAACCCCCGCGTTGGCCACGTCTATGGACCTAGACGAGACGCCAGTAAAGGAAGAGCCAGAACAACCTTCTCGCAAACGGCGCCGCTCGAACTCAAACAACAACCCACAGACAAAACTCCCCAAAACCATGATCTCAAAAAGGATGCCTGGCATGAAGGAGGGTCGTGAAAATATGCCCCCCTCGGCCACAGCCAGTGCCCGAAGATTCAGAACCCGCACGTCTGATTAAATGGATTCCGTGTCATTTTCTGCTCTACTTTTTCTCTTTTTTTCTGACAATTTTTGATACCCGATAGTCGCTGGGCTTTCCACTCTGGGTTGGAGTTTTTGGCAAAAAAAACAGTCTTGGGTTGGTCATTCTCTTGTATCCCTTCTTTTGTCTCAGTGCCATAGAAAGGCATTCTACTTGGCGTTTCTAGTTTGACTACGTTGATATTCCTATAGGAATGTCAGATTTGATCTTAATACCATACTTGATCTCCCAATTTGGATTAATTCGTCTTGTATTCCAAGTATATGCATCAGGTTCACCCAGCACTAGCCTGTATACAAAGACGCGAACAATCCTCCCGCGGTGCACCAAAAACAGCAATAATAATCATCGCGATTGTTCCACTTCAACTTCTGCAGCGTATACCGCATCATTCCCCTCATTCTGAGCAGTGCTTTCAGCTGTGTCTGGAGCAAAGGGATGCTGCACGAGCTCTTCCTCGTTGTGTTCTTCCTTCGACTCCGCAGCATCGATGACAACCTGCAGCTCGCTCATCCGCTTCGCAAATTGATCCATCATCTCCTCAAGTGTACGCCCTTTCTCCTTGTCATCCACCTCAATCGGCAGCCCACCTGTACCACGGATCTTTAGCATCAGCCCATGTCCTAATGACTCTCCAGGATTGCTGTTCTCAAAGGTGGGAGCCGGCATCACCTCCGTGCGGAGGACCTGCCATGTTGGTGAGAAGCTCTGCGCCGCGGTAACACGATACTGCGGGTGTGGCTGTCCCTGCTCCTGTGGGAGTGCAGAAACGTTCGCCGGTGACGATGAGATAGACCTCGTGCCACTCCCGCCTTTGCCTGCTGCTAGTTGTTCGTTTATTGGACTGGTTTGCGCTGTCCCAGACGTGTGTGGTGAGGGCTCTACGTCGAGGATGATATAGTTTTCCCGGACACCTGGGGCGGGTGGTGGAAGTAGGGTGGTCTTGGCTTGGTCTGGATCAGAGTGTTTGATCTCATCCGGTAGATTAGATGTTTGAGCCTGCGCGATCTGATCTTTCTTGGAATCGGAGATGGCTTCTTGCTGCGCGGTAAGACTACGTAGGGCTGCCTCTGTCACAATATCGGTGTCATCGTCAGAGAATATGTAGTGTACCGTTGGGTGGTGGTAATCTGAGGTATGGGCGTCTTCAATCAAGGTGAAGAACGGCTGGAAGGCGGGGTGAGACAGAGGTTGCCCTTGGCCTTCATCTGGGTGATCATCGGTTTCATCCGGAACTAACCCTTGGCAAGGCGGTTCAAGTGTTCCGGGGGTTGATGAGTTGATATGCGGCCTTCGGGCAATTGCCCTCTTGAGTGTCGATCACTTGGCCGCGAAGAGGCGGTGCCTGGCCTAGAGGTTTCTTTGTGGAGGGACTGCCGGGATGAGGAAGCTGATAGAGAATGATGGTAGGGGGAGTTGTTCAAAGACATCTCCATAAGCCGAGGCTACATCATTCTGGAGAAGAGCTTGGGATAAGATGAGGTTCTGTATCGCGTGCGGAGAGCTGCTTATCGATAGCGCCACGTGACGGTCGAAGGAAAGTTGACGATCCAGTGTATGTCCATGGGTATACTTGACTTGATGTATCAAATGACTTGAATATTGCTATTCTGATCTGAAATTTCACTATTCCTCGTTCTTGAATAGGAAGTCTGTTGTGTATTCGGCTTGAGCGTGATGTAACTGACCTTCCATGGCCTGATCGTTGAAATATATATCCACGATGTACGTGCTATGTATCAAAGATCAAACATAAGGGGAGTTGCCCACGCAATTCGAACCACTACGATATAAACTAAGCAAGACAATGATGCAGAAACGACAGTCATCCCAAGAAATAGCCCTCAGATACAAGACTGAAGTATAAAAATGGGTCCAATCCCGTGTATTGATCAATCTCATTCTCAATCTCATTCCAACCACTGAATTGTTTTATGTTGACTTGACACTAAGGCTCCAATGACTCTTTTAATGGAATTTTGCATGCCGAATAAAACACAAATGGGTATCTCGAATCCGTCCGACAACGCCTTGATAACAACCGAGAAGCAAAAAATACAAATTTGGCCGTTATTCCTTGTCTTTCCATTCGAATTCTGCTGAAAGTTAGCTCAATATCACACAATCAATCCAAAGAAAACATACTTTGTCGACACATTGGACACAGTCCCTTGGAAGACTCTAGGTCAATCCATGTCATCAAACAATGCTGTTTTGAAAGTGTTGATCAATCCAGTCCTAGCTTGGATGGGTCACTTCGTAGTCTTACCATATGAAAAGCATGATTGCATCTTCCTTGCACTATAATAGTCATTATAGTCAGTATTTGGCATAGAAGTGGGGGCATAAAGATCACTCACCAAGCGCGCAGTCGTCGCCGGGGAATTTGCAGGTTGGACAAGTACCATCAAATTGTACGCGACAGATGCCACACACTTCGTCCTCGGGAATATTCCAGTGCCAAGTAGCAACAGCATTCCATTCTTTAATGGTGACCTTCATTGTGGAGTAGTGGAGAGCCAAGGTGGAAGAGGTGAAGACCTCGGGAGAGAGGGAAAACAGTGTTATCTCTTATCATCTTATCACATGTTCTCCACATGCCGCCATAATACGCAATAGTACTCCTCGTATTGCTCTTCCCTCTGCTCTAACTCATTGGTCTTGCATTTTGACATTCTCCAGGGGCTTTGCTACCTCGTTATGTAAATTGGTTCTTTAGAAAGGTTTCTTTTCTCTCCACTATGGCTTTTGCAGCCAGATCCTTTGCTCCTGCTCGTCTCTTTCGCCCAAACATGTCCATCTCCACAGGGCTCCATACTCAGCGCAATGTCTCCTTCTCTTCGTATCTAGTGACACCAAAGCAGCTGAATGAAGCACTGAAGAAGAACCCCACAACAAAAATCTCAACCTCTCCGCGCGTGATCCCCCTTTGTGCGGCATGGTTCATGCCGAACGACCCCGAGGGTCGCAAGGGAATTGACTCGTTCCGTAACTCGCGCATCCCCCAGGCCCGATTCTTCGACCTTGACGCTATCAAAGATCAAGATTCGCCCTATCCACACATGCTTCCCACTTGCGAGACCTTTGCCGAGGCCATGAGCGAGCTAGGGATCCGTCGCGATGACGAGGTGGTAGTTTACGACACTGCTGACCTGGGTATCTTCAGTGCGCCCCGGGTAGGCTGGACGCTGCGCGTCTTCGGCCATCCCAATGTGCATATTCTCAACAACTATCGTCTCTGGGTCAAAGAAGGTCTTCCGACGGAGAGCGGTGAGCCAGCAGCGGTGGAGAAGTCCAAGTACACCGTTCCGACATACGACGCGCGACTAGTGATCTCCTTCCGCGAGATGAAGGAATTGGCATTGGACTATGGTAAAGAAGGGGCAGAGGAAGTGGAGATTCTAGATGCACGCTCCTATGGACGCTGGGCTGGAACCGACCCGGAGCCACGCCCTGGCCTGTCATCGGGCCATCTTCCTGGTTCCAAGAGTTTGCCCTTTCAAGAACTACTTGACCCCGAAACAAAAGCCTATCTCCCTGCTCAAGACCTGCGAAAGGTCTTTGAGGACCACAAGGTGGATCCAAGCCAAACAATCATCAGCTCATGCGGTACTGGTGTGACTGCCTCCATCATCGAGACAGCCCTGAGTGAGGCGGAATATGGTGACCCAAACCTGCGTCGGGTATATGACGGCAGCTGGACGTAAGTATACGGAGATCCTCCCTTGTGGTTGATACTAGTACTAATATGAACAATCAAATCAGCGAGTGGGCGCAACGAGTCAAGGAATCGGATGGCCTCATCAAGAAGGTGAAATCATAGGCTCGGGATGAGCTCTGGTACTCTATTCTTTAACGTGATTTCTTTTCCCTTCTTTCTCTTTTGCTTTTGATCTTTAAACTGTATCCTCTCAATAAATATAGAAACCCTCAGTTCTCTCTTTAAATTTGGTCTGTCCCTAAAGCATGCTTAGTCAGCATATTTCTATCGCCCATCGCATCATTTCTCAAGGTGCGTTCTTTGCCCAGCAAAAGTCGAGATTGTTATAAAGATGCTGCAGATGGGAATATCCTATCAACTGCTTTCACATCGTGAGTGAAAATTCACGACTCCATCAACCAACATCCCACTACTCCCCTTCCCCCACATTCTCGGGTCCCTCCATCGTCAAACCTCCTTCCTCAGCTCTAGGCCCGTGCTGACCGGCCCCGATTCAGTCGCGGTTGTCTACACTTCTAGTCTTCCGATATAGGGCGGTACTTGCCCTGTATCTCTTACTCAATACAAACACACAAACACATTCGTTCATCATTCGCCATGTCGACCGGACGCAAGGTCTTCCACTGTGCCGTGGACGAGACGGCCTTGTCCACCAATATTAGTGAAATCAAGAAATGGACTGCTAATGGTGCTATTGATCTCGTGGTTCCTCTCTATAGTGAGTATCTGAGTGTTCAGGGGCCTTTTATTTCCTCATCGAAGTGCTTGCCAGTTTAACCATTATCCTCCGATTAGCACTTGAACGACTCCATGCGCTGAAGCGAGCGGGATCGCAGATCGCCATCAATGCCCGCGAGGCAGTCCGATTCCTTGACCGGGTCACTTCCGGCAAAGATCATATCTCCGCCGACCGAGTTCTCCTCCAGGGCCCCATGGAGCAATACGAGCGCTGGGAGGATGCCGAGAAATTCTTCCTACCGGAATTTGAAGAGGAGCCTGAGGTAATCGACGAAGCAGTTACCAATGGTGAGCCTGCGACCGAGCCCAGCGCCGATGATGCTTTGACCAAGAAAGAGGCGGACGATCTGTCGCAGATGCTCTTGTCCAAGCTGAACTTTAAGAAGGACCCGGAGACTGTCTCGATCACCTCCGTCGGCACCCCTAGTGGACCTGGATCGCGCACATCCTCTCGCAGCTCCCGCACCAGCCCCGATTGCGCCCAACATGAGTCCAGCAATGGAACAAAGATTGGCAAGCCCAAGAGCAAGTCTTCCAACCACCAGCGCACCATCTCCGGAACCGTTATCCCGACCGTGCCCCCCGCTCTGCGCCCATTGCTGAGCGCTCTGCTCTGGCGTTTGCATACCGGTCCCGATGCCGAGAACTCTGCCAAGAACTGTATCCTTATCTCCAATGACCGTGCGACCCAGGTGTGGGCTCAGAAGTTTGGCATTGGCGTCAAGAACATTCTGCAGCTACGCACCGCTATCCAGTACGAGGAGCGCGAGTACAAAAATCGCTGCAAATATGTGGAGAAAACCCAAACCCAACCCACCGAGCCGAAGACCTTGTTGTCCTACGAGGAAGAGAGCGACGAAGATGAGTTGGTGTTCGTGCCCCGCGGTCGTGGAAAAGGAACCCCACGAGGCGCTTCACGTGGTGGAGGTCAGCGAAAGGCTGCCCCCAAGGCTGCACCACCTCCTGTTGAGCCTACTGCCACCGTGGTAGTTCCTACGAAGCCCATTGACCCGGACTCTTTCAGCCGGACTCTGGGCGGTGCAACCAAGCTGCCTACTGTAGACTCGAGCATCCAACAGGGTGCCGCCGGTGCCGCCGGTGCCCCCCGCGGTAACGCTGGAGCCTCTCGCCGCTCATCTAATGGTCGCCGTGGTGGATCCTCGCGCGGTGCACGAGGCAATGGTCGTGGCCGTGGTAAGCTCTGGGTCCCTTGATTGGCACGAGAAGAACGGTCTACTTTTTGTCATCTCTTGACAGTAGACTGGAGTGTTTTGTGAATCAATGCATCCAGAACCGGACAGAGTGTCTCTTTTCTCTTTGCAGGACTGCAATCAACCCTCGAATGCGGGGACCTGGATCTGGATCTTGCTGTGATTGCCTGCAGAGTGTTTTTTATCCCTCTTCCCCCGGCATCAATCATCCCAGAATCCCGGCATGATCGGATCTCGGACACGAAAGGACATGGATCCCATCGTGGATTCAACCTGCGGCTGTGCGCTGCTTGAACATGTCTTCGGAAAACCTGTGCCCACCCCATTTTCTTTTTCCCTCTTTCACCCTTTCCTTAGGAGACGGAGATGGGAGATCGTCAAATTGCGGAGACGTTGCGACGGTTGCTACTTTCTTTTTTTTTTTTTTTTTGCGGGAGGTGGTAGTAGATTGTATTATGATCTACTATTTCAGTTATCTCAGATTATCTCAGATTAACCCAGATTCATGCCAGATTCATGCTATAGTCATGCCAGTAAATGCTGTTGATCTCCGTATAAATTGTCTGGCGTTATAGATATAGACCGCTTTCCCCGCGTGAGATCACTTGACTTGCGCCTTTACTTCCTTCGACTGACTTCGACTTCACCTCTTCACAACCCTTAAACTATCACTTACAATGTCCGTCGAACAATCTCTTCCTCCGACCCATGAGCGTCGTAACTCACTGGAGAAACATCTCCAAACCCGTCCGGAAATGCAGGACCTCAAGAATCGCCACATCCTGCTGGATACCAATGTAGCTCCGTGGGTGTTTCCGGAAATATTTCCCCAGTTTCTTGGTGAGATATGATTAATAAAATGACAGAGCCCTTCAATCTGCCCGCCAGGAGCTCGACCGCCAGCGTGCTACAGACAGTCTGAAGAAGAACCTGGAGAAGAGACCTGAGAAGGACCAGCTGATTGAGCGTTTGTTCTCCCTTTCTATTCTTCGATTTTTCATTTTCTACATCTCTGGTACCTGAGATGGTACCTGGGGATTCTTCTCATAACTAACAACCGACCAAGGTAATATCCTCCCCGCAACCTCCGCCGCTCCAGCGCTGCAGGCCCACGCCCGTGAACTCGAGAAGCACATGCTGGCTGATAATCTCGAGCATAAGATTCAAAATAGGCCACAGCCTGAAGAACTGATTTCTCAGGGTATTCTTTCCGAGGATGAGAACCCACGCTCGCCTGTCTGATTTTGGGCTTGGAGAGTAACATTGCACAGGCACATTGGCTCTTCAGTGTTGCTATGAGACATGGGTGACATGATCGTTATATGAGGGCGTTTTATTCCTTTCCCTTTACTGCAATTGGAGAGGCTTTGTTCCTACATTTTTTTCTCTACCTTCTACGGTCTTTACCTGAATGATGTCATCGCTGTAAAGCAAGGAAATTTGTGATTTGCAGAGGTACAACTGTACAAAGAGCGGAAGATAGTAGAACTAAGAAATAAGCACTGAGATGTTAAGACATCGAGAGAAAGACTTGTCGAGGTAAATATTCCATATAGGTTCTACATATTGAATGGCGCCTCGATCTATGACAAAGCTGTCATCCAAAAGCCAATGCATGGGTACTTCATATTGTAATTTCTTAGTAGGATGCGACCTCCACTGAGCCCGAAAGATCCGGCGTCCACCCACTTGGTCTTTCACTCCCACGAACGACAATCCCATACGCCGCCCGCTCAACCTTCTCCACACTGTTCTGCATCACGTCCTGCTTTTTAGCCATATCCCGGAACATGTAATGCCGCTGTGGCACAGTGAGCGCCTCAAAGCCTGCG